TACTTAAGTTATCACTAGGAAAGAAAGCTACGCTCGAGGGACCACTTAAGCAGAATTTCGAAAAGATACTGCTCCGTTTGTCGCGTTTATCAGAGCGATTAGTGATCACTAGAGGGATTTTAGAGCTTTCCCAGGGAAATTTCGAATGTTTTAAGCTTCCAAGTTAGTTAAAGGAGTTTTCCAAGATTTTTTGAATATTTTGAGGATTTTGAGATTTTAAGGGGAATTTTTTGGATTTTTTAGAACTGGAAGTTTTTTGAAAAAGCAGGATTATTGCTGGAAAATTCCTAAAAAAATTTGAATTTTTTTCAAAATTTTTTTTCAAAGTTTTTTTTTAAATTTTAATCACTAGATCTTAATGTATGCTCAACATTTCTTAATTTTTTTCATATTTTGTTCTTTTTTCTATATTCAAATCCTTTTTTGAATTTGCACATTTTGTGGCCACGCCCCTTTTTTGGAGCTCTCAAAAATTCCTTCAAATTCACTAAATCTTTATTCCTACCTGAAAACGCGTTGAATAATGGTTTTTTTCTGAAAATCCAGGTTTCAAAAATTCTAATTTTTTTCCATTCCCAAACAAATTATTACATGAAAATATTGAAAATCTTCGAAAAAACTTGAAAATCCTGATTTTAAATGATTTTTCGCAACGCTTTATTACATCATCCTTCACTTTTTTTGCATTATTTTCTCAATTTCCCAATAAATAAACCCACCGTTTTCTGACTAACCAAACCGAACCGCCTACACGTCTATCCGTTATATTGACTTTGCTCTTTCTTTTCTTGCCAATTTTTTTTTTTTTTTGGTTTTTCGGGGGTATTTCAAAAGTTTTTTAGTGGTCGTCTGGTACTTGAGAGACCTTTGATCCACTTTCTTTTCGAGACATTTTGAATTTCGAAACTTATTTCAAGGCGAAATTCGTTACAGTCTTTCCGGTCCTCTCAGAACTCTTTGTGGGGGAGGCTCTTCGCCTTGAGACCTTCAAAGGATTTGGTCTGAAGCTTCTAGAAAATTTTTGAGCTAGTTCATCTGACAGATTAGCTTCTGAGGCTTGGTTGTTTTGGATTAAAAAAAATTTTTTGGCCAAAAACTATAGTTTTTGAAGAAAATAGTAGGTTAATGGCAGTTTCTGCGCGGTTATCTGCGGAGATCGATGCGGGTGAATGGATCAGTATCTCTAGAAATACTACTCGGGGTCCAACAGATGGTGATTAATAGTTGAGATGAAATGGATTTAGTTACAGGGAAGGTGCGACCAAAAATCAATTACCTACAATGAGGTAAATTTATTTTTCGTTCGGGGTTTTTCTGAAAATTGGTTAGAACACGCTCCGATGTACTAAATAAATATCCTGGCTGTCCCAACCTGCAGAGAAATTTAATTTTCGAGAAACGACGTCTCGGAGCTCTAATTTCCTGCATTTTCTTCAGAAAAGCAAAGTTTAAGACGCCCTTTTTTGGAAAAGTCGGAAGTTTCATAGGTTGAAAATTTCAGGATCTTCCTTCAAGACGTTACGTAGTAGAGTTCTCAAAATGACCAATTGAAAAAAATGATATTTTTCAAAAACGAAAAATTTTCTTTTTGACATTTCAAACGAATGTCGTTTTTTTGAAAGATCAACCAAAATTGATCACTTTCATTCTTTTTCATTTTGTGACTTTTTCAAATAATGACTGAAAAAAATGAATGGTCATTTTCTAAACAATCATATTCTGACTAGTAAATAAATGTTCGTCCTAATGACCAAATTTTTTTCAAAGTGAAAAAGTAAATGGTCACTTTTTTTGACCAAAAATTTTTCAAGAGTGAACTTTAAATGTTTACTTTTTTTGACCAAAATTTCCGAAATGAATTTTAAATGTTTACTTTTTTTCGTAAAAAAAATTTTTTTCAACTGTGAAAAATTAATTAAATGTTTATTTTTCGGCCGATAACTTTCCGAACCTGGATTTTCCGAACCAAAATCCAAATAATACTTTTCCTTTTTCCTCATTCAATTAATTCTCCAGATAGAACCTTTCTTCCGGTCTGCTCATTTTTAACCGGTTTCATATAATTTTTCTCGTCCTTAACCGACTTTTAGCTTTGCCCTTGACCATCCAGATCACTGTTTTTCCAACAGATTTTTTTAATTTTAACCAGAAATTAGTTTGAATTTCGAAGTAATCGATTCAAGATTTCATTTGGAGAAGACTGAGATAGAATTGACTCCGACACAGATACTGCCAAGTACCGTAATAGTAATGAATAAATGTTTACCTTTTTTTGACCAAAAATTTCTAAAATGAATTTTTGAATGTTCATTTTTTTGACCAAAAATGTTCAAAGTGAACTTTTAAATGTTTACTTTTCTGACCAAAATTTCCGAAAGTGAAATTTAAATGTTCATTTTTTTGACCAAAATTTCCGAAATGAATTTTAAATGTTTACTTTTTTGACCAAAATTTTTTTCGAAAAATAAGTAATTGTTCATTTTTTTTAAATGCTCAGTTATGAAATTTAACCAAAATGAAGTTTTTAACAAACGGTTCATGTGAAATTTAACTAATTGGTCGAATTCATCAAACGTTCAGAAAATGTTTGGTTGAACGTTCGTTCAAACATTTACTTTTGAGAACTCTATTACGTAGTGTTCTGACCGTTTTTCAGGGAATTCTCGGAAAAAAATTAAATTACCTTCCTTGTGGGTACTCAGCTTTTTGAAAGCTTTTCCTAGCTTCAAAGGGGTACATGTTTAAGTTCAAACTGTAATTATTTCAAATCTCTATTTTTTTCATTATTTTTAGAGTCCAAAAAAACATCTAGAAAAGAAAATGAGAATTTTGAAATGCTCACAGAATCCTTGAAGTATCACCGTTCCATTCAAATTAATTTTCCTCAAGTTTTTCATTTTTCTTTCATCAAAAAAACCGCAAAATCAAAGCGCCAGACGATTTTCAAAACGGCCTTTGTGCCAAAACCTTCCACTTAAAACAATGCATTAAATGAAATGGGAAAATCTCTTCTTTCCACTCAAAAAAAAAACCTTTCCAACCACGAAAACCCAAAACATCCGCTCTCCCAAAACATTTCGCGACATTTCACATCTTTTGCTGGAGATTAGATCAAGAGATAAATGTTTTACAGCGCATGACTGTAGACGGGGCGAAAATAGACTCCAAATAATCACACATATGATCAAATAAACAAGCCAATTGACCATTTCAACCATTTTGCACTGTTTTTTTGTTTTCTTGAGCTCTTTTCTTTTTTTTGAATGGTCCAGTATTTATGCAACAAACAAAACTTTGAACCCGATAAAAACTGAAAATAGCTTCATACTTCAAGGTCAGCATGGACGTTTCCGTCTATTTGTTGAATAGGTCAAGCTCGCCCAAATCGTTTTCCGCTTCTTCAAAGAACTCTTCAAACACTTAACCATGTTCCGATGCTCAAAAGAGTTTGCGAAACGCAAAAGTACGCGCGCGCAGGAGAGAGAGAGGAAAAAGATTAGTTTCTTTTTTCTTCGTTTCGGAATCTTTTTTTGTACCCTACTCTGTAGACAAAAACTACAACGGCCGAGTAAGAATTTGTAGGTTTCCTGCAAGAAATTGACTTGGATACGGAAAAAAAAAACGAAAAAGTCTTTGACCTACAATCGCGCTCTACGGCTAATGCAGTTTTTCTTCGAATTTTTTTCCCGAAAAAGTTTTTTTGAAGTTTTTTTCAATCTTTTTATTTTTTTAATTTTACAAAATGATGTCTTTCAAAAAGTTTAGAATGGACCACTTAGGAGGCTATAGTGTATTTTTTTATAATAATTTGCTTTTTTTCGAAATAGAATTTACAGTCTTTTTAATTTTTTTGATTTCATCCGCGAAAAAAATAAGCTTTTTTTGTTATTATTTTTTTCCTAACATCCACAACTTTTTCTCCATTCTTTTTTTCTTTCGAAAGTAACCCTAAGAAGATGGGTGGAGCTAGATGGCCACGCCTACGTTTTCCGTGTCCGTTCGCGCGGCCGTTTTTTGATTGCATTTTCGCTGGCCATTCACCCGCCCGTTTCGCTTTTTTTTTGCTTCTCGAAATTTATTCAAATCCAAATATTCGGCAGGAGTATAAAAAGCGAGGGTTGTACACTCTGTTTGACAACTTTTTCCCAGAGTTTTGTTGCGTTCGACTTTTGAAAGAAAAAGTTACGGAGAAGATGTTTCAAATGTTCATTTCTCCTCCCAATATTGCCTCAATTTCGATTTCCTATTGAACTTTCGACTCCGCATCGCCCTATATGAATGCCGTGGAACGTTTTGATTGAAATTTCGAGCTTTTTGACGGTTTTCAAATCGAAAATTCTTTCGTCAAAAAATTAATTTTTCAAGTTTCGATCTTTTCTGATTCAATTTTCAGAATTTAGTTTTTTTTTTTCTAATCTTCTTCGCTTTATATCAAGTCTTATGGGCATCATCGGTACAAAATGTTTCGAAATTGAATTTTTCTGTTCAAATTTCTCATTTCCATCGCAATTTCGCTCAATTTCGAGGCATTTTTCATTTTTTTTTACAATTTCGTTTGCGAGTCTACCATTCCTTTTTTGATCTGTTCGTTGGCATCGAGATCAAAAAATGCTACGAAATTGGGATTTTTGCTGAAAAATGGCACACTTTTCAAGTTTCCGTGCTCTTATTGCTTGGTTTTGAGGCGTTTTTTTCTTTTTTTTCAAATCAAAATTTTCGGATCTCTGATGCAAATTTCGCTTGATTTCATTTTTGAAAGTACATATTTTCTTCTCTGTTCGGGTTTTATTATTTTTTAGCTTTTTACGTCAGAAAATTACCTCATGCTTGTTGATTTCTATATACTTTTAGTACAGAAAACGTGAAAAGACCAGATTTTTCGTACTTCTTCGCTCGCTTTCTTTTTGCAAACAGAGTTTGAAGTTATTTTTAGTGATAAATTGATTTTCAGACCGGAAGATATGAGTTTGGTTTGAAAAGGATCAAAAAGAGAAGGAAAGATGCAGCAACAGCCGCCGATGGACTTGGTCCAGCTCCAGAAGTTCTGGTCCCAGGCCCTGGGTCAGGCTCCCGCCGCCCCGATTCCAACCAGTGTGGCCTCAGCTCCCGCTACGCCCAATATTCCGCCTTTCATGACCCATCCGGTTAGTTTTTGGTGTAGAATTAACGGTTTCAAAAGGAACTGCGCTAAAAATTTAAAAATTGAGATTTCAGCTATAATTTTGAGCAAAAAAACACAAATTTTTGTGTGCTAAAAAAACCTTGATTTCACAGTTTTTTTATCAAAAAAGGCTTCCAGGATATATTTTTGAACACGGAAAAAAACGAAAAATTATGCCCGAATAATCTTTTTTTAACCCATTTAGTTAAATTTAAATCGAAAAATGAAGATTTTTAGTTAGGATTTTGAGCAAAAAAATAGCACTTTTTCAGTGTGCTAAAATTCATAATTTTACAATTTCCCAGACTGGGATAATTTCAGAACGCGTTAGGGTCAATTGAATCGTGGGAAAATCTGCCCAATTAGGTTTGATCTTCGGTCGAAAAAATGCAATTTGCATTGACTTTGCAAATTGTCCGCCTCATGCGTTCTGCAAATCAGTGTTTTGCGTTCTGCTTGCAGCGATTTTGTGGTAGAATATCACTAACGAACCGTTTTTAATCATGAAATTTCGAAATTCTTATCAGAATCTTTCGATAAAAAAATGGCAAAAGAAAGTTGGCGGGGAAAGGGTGCGAACCTGCATCATGGGCTTCGCAGGCTAGCGCGCTAGCTACTGCACCACGCTACCAGGAGCCATGAAATGGTTGTTGGCGCGACCAGATTCCTTCCTAACTTTATCACGTGGTTAAGGATGAAAACTTTAAAAAAATCATACTTTCAAAAAAATAAAAGTTTTTCACAGGTAGCGACTATCTGGGATCGATTTCCAGTTCATCAAAGATTTATTAAAAATCTGTTTGGAGAAAATTTCAAACCCTTAGCTAAAACGGCCTTGCAAACAGAACAAAATACTCAAAAATTCATCCCGAATAAAACAAAAAAAAAATGAAGAAGACATAATTCTGGTTCTATATTTTCGTTCTAAAAATAGCCAAAATGTCTTCCAATCCCCCATGAATCACTTCCCAGAAAAACCAATAAATTCCTCAAAAGTAATAAAATTCGAAAAGAATTATTGCCCTTCATTTCTTTTTCTGTTGTGTTCCCATGGTTTTATCCCGGAAAATGGTTTTGTTGAGGAATTTATTGAGAATTGCAATTCGGACTCTCGGGACAAACAGAAAAGATCGTTTTGCAAGATAGGCTTCCTGTTTTTCGTATTTGGGTTTGGACACGGCGGGAACGCGGTAACCTTTATACAGCTGCCATGTCGCGGCGTATTTAAAAGCGTTCGAAATGTCTCGAAATGGCTCATTTCGGCCCTTTTCAATGGATTTTTGTGCTTTGTTCTTTTCGGCGATTTTTGGCAGGAAAATTTTCGAATTTTTCTGTTTTTTCTGTTTGAAAAGTGCAAATATTTCTGATCAAACTTTTTTCTAACTTGCCAAACTTGGATAAAGTGAGATTATCTTGAAAAATTGTTTCTATTTCAAATTTTTCAGCTTTTGGGGTCAATAAAAGTTGCAAAAGCTCCCATTTTTTCTCATTTTATGAGCTCTAATTTAAATTCAGTACAGTTTTCAGAAAACCGTGAACTTTTATAGAGTGGAAAATGATAGAAAAATTTTTTTTTCCACGAAAAAAACCTCATAATTTTTCGATCTCCAAAGCGTTATTATTAATTATAAACTAATAAAGGTATTTTTTTAAACCTTATAAGTTTTTTTGAATCGCAGTTTTATCCCGTAATGAGTAAGTCCTGCTGCACTTTTTAAGCCAATTTACTTGATGTCGAAAGAAAACTTCGACGTGTGAGTTACTAATTAAAAATAATTGAAAGTGCAACTTTTTTCCCACGTCTAGGCCTAATTTCATTATTCCTTATTAGTTTCATCCGACTTGTTTCTAGAAGGAAAGCTGGATATTATGAGACTTTTATATTCTGAAGTGAAACTAGGGGACTTTAATAAAGTGAAATTATGAAAAAAAAAATTTCGAATTTTTTTTCGTTATGCAGTACTTCTATATAACTGTAATATTGCGCGAAAACGAATTTTAAAAAATCTAGATATTTTTGAAACTTTTTCTCAAACATGGAAGTGATCACTGTGGGAATATTAGCGGAGTGAAATCAAAAAAAAATTTTTTTTTAAAGATTTTTCTTTATACAGTACTTCTATATAACTGTAATATTGCCCGAAAAACAAGACTTTAAAAAAAAATTTTAAAATCTAAAAATGCTTCTGTGGCACTAAGGGATCCTTCCCTGAAAATAAACATTCCGACAAAAAACCAAAAAATGCCTTTCCTGTTGATTTTCGGGTTTATCTGGGGATTACGGGGCACATGTATGTAGGCTGGTGTTGACATTGAAGACGAAAAAAATTGTTCAGATGATGCTCGGAATGAATCCGGCGCTGATGGCTCAACTCACACAGGCCCGCTATCAACAATACTATCTTCAGTTGCAATTCATGGCAGCTCTCCAGTCTCAGAATGGTAATAAGAATGAAAAAATGTACACATTTAGAATAAAAAATTAGTTTTTTATCGAAAAAATGATGAAAAAAATTTTTTCCGGTTCAAAATTGGACCATTTTTCACCTAAGAGGGCAGTTATGAAGTATTATTAGGCGATGGGAAGGACAAAAATAGTTCAGAATTTCAGAAAAATGTATAAATTTCGGGGCAGAGCAGTTTTCTACGAAAAAATCGTGAAAAAACCTTTTTCCGGTTCAAAATTGGACCATTTTTCACCTAAGAAGGCAGTTATGAAGTATTACTAGGCGATGGGGGAAGGATGAAAATAGTCCAGAAATTCAGAAAAATGTAGAAATTTCGGAGCAAATCAGTTTTCAATCGTGAAAAATCGTGACAAAACCTTTTTTTCCGGCTCAAAAATTAGACCATTTTTTTCGCTTTTTAAATTTTTTTAAAGCTCCAATTTCACAATTGGAAGGTTGGAAAAAAATCGAGGAGTTCGTCCTTTGGGCGGGGGAGGGTCGAAGCTTTATTAAAAAAAGGCAGATCTATGAAAAAAATTCTGAAGTTTTTTTCATCCGCTCATAAAATTGTATAGCTCGGGAAAAAAATAGTTTTTTTATATAAAAAGGTCTAAATGTACTGCTAGTTACTGGAACCAGAGTTTAACCCCCGGGCTCTTGGAAAATTTTTACAGTAGAGTTTGACTTGTTTAGAAAAGTTTCCAATAGGGAAAAAAAGACCAAAAAAAGGTTTTTTTAAATATCTTTCTCAAGCGGTCAGAAACCTTTGATCTGAACCTTCCTTCCTAAGCAAACTTGGGGAAGGTACAAAGAAAAGTTGTGCCGAGGCCGGTCGTCTGGCGTTAGAGATTAGTATGGGGCCAATGTCGCAAGCACCAGAAAGAAAACTGTTGCGCAATGGCCAAGTTCTTTTCGCACTTAGTCAACCTAATAACTGTGGTAGAGCTTTTCTTTCAAGTTTTAAGGTAGAATTCTTAAAAATTCGAGAGTTTTAAGCCGGAAATTGACTTCAAAATAGGAAAACAGAGGAGATTTGAATTGAAAAATAGAAAAAGTTGAAATTTAAGACCTTTGGCAGGAAATTGACTCGAAAAATCATCTAAGGAAAAAAATTTTTGAGTAATTTTTTTAGAGATTTTTTTGTAGGAAATCGATTCAAAAAGTAGAAAAAAATAGCGAAAATTGGCTGGGAAATTGTTAAGAAAAATAGAAATTTCGAGAAATATGGAGAGGTTTTGGTCAAAAAAATGGACTAAAAAAATAGAAAAAAAGGGGAAATTTTCAAAAAGTCAAGATTTTTTTCAACAGGAAACTGTTCTGAAATAAAAAAAGACTCGAAATTTTTGAATTTATCTTTCTAAATTCAATAAAATTCCACTTTTGAGAGCGATTTCCAACGATTTTTTTGGACTTTTTAAAACCTTAATAAACTTCAAATTCATTATTATTCTCAAAATTTGCTGATTCTCTGATTTCCTCTACCTTTTTCGTATAGTAGGCCAAAAAGGCCAACATCTTTAGAGGTTCCCATGATCTCCCCACGCATTTCTACCGTTTCCCACGGTTTTGATTGGGTTTTCCAATTTGCCTATTTTGTGAATCATTCGGATCTGCATGGGATTCTCGATTTGCATATTGAATAGATAGGAAAAAACCAATCAGTGTGATAATCGGTCAAGATCAAACATACGATTTTCGAAAAAAAAAATTCCGTTAATTTGGGGTTTGACCTTTGAGAAAACTGGTTTTGAAATGGGTTCGGAATGCGCTGAATCACTGATTTTTGGAGGAATTTCTGCGGTTTCGAATTTTTCAAAAATTCTAGAGCTTCGAAATTGTGTTTTTTGTTAGAAGAAGAGGTCAAGCCACAATTTTTGAAGCTTTCAAAAAAAATTTTCGGGAAGAAATGAGTAAAATTCAGTTGGAAGGTAGAAAATTAATCAAAAAAAGTAGTGAAAATAAAAAATCAAGTCCAAAATTGGTCATTTCAGCAGCGGCCCCGACGACGTCGGCCAACACGGCAGGGCCATCTTCGGGCTCCCCGGCCCTCCCACTTCTCAGTCCGATGCTCCCGACGCCCGTCATGCCGACCGCCGTCCCCAGTCCCATCTTCCCGCCGCCGGCCCTAACTCCCATCCAGCCGCCGCCAAAACCCCCCAAAACTGAGAAATTCATGGCCCCCGAGACCAAGAAACGCCGTGTGATGGCCGCCTCGAACGTCGCTGAAGAAACCGCGATCCGCAAGATTCTGAATCGACCAACGGCCCTGGTCATGCCCAAGTTGACCCCGATGGAGCCCGTCAAACCCGCGAATCCGAAGAATCCCGGAACTCCAGTCAACCAAGTCAATCAAGCCAATCAAGTGATTCCAGTGATTCCAGTGAATCAAGTCAAGGTGAGGAAAGAATGGAGGAAAATTGGCCTAGAAAAATATTCTATACGCTTCTAGTTTTGAAAAAGTGACCCTTCTTGAGCTTGTGGATGATTTTTTTTTTCCTTAAATGAAGAAAATCTTGAAAAAAATGGGAATTTTCGTCCCGAGAATTTTCCTAACACACTTTTTTGGTACCGGTGTCAAAAATAAGCCAATTCTCGCCGACCAAATACGACTTGCGCGCGGAGGCATTCTGTAGCAACAAGCGAAAACCGCTAGAAGTCGGGTGCAATTCCAAAAATCTAAACTTTTTGGCGAAAAACCGCCTTGAACCATTTTTTAGTGTCTCAAGACGAAAAATCAAAAAAGGCATGAAAAATTTCTATTCCAAGGCTATTTTTTCGCGTCTATAAAAGTTGAGCTCGGACATTTTTCTTAATAGAAACTAGGCCGAAAATCCCGAGCTCGAGTTTCATGTTGCATGTCCAAATTCGCTAATTTCAGAACGAAGAGCCCCTGAAAGGCGTCACCGTAGAGATCCCCGAAAAAGGTCAGGCTCACATAACCTTACCCAAAAATGGGATCATGACCGCCTGGATCGCCATGCTCAACAACACGGCCGGCGATGGCAAAACTTCTGGTGATTCTGAATCCCCCCTCGACGAAAATAACGACCTCTTCAGTGACCATCTCGCCGACGACGCCGCTCACTTCGACGCCGCCGAAGGTCGTCATCACGACGACCCCGATGACGACGTCGCCGAGCACGTCTTCCAACTTGCCCGTCGAGGAGGAAGACGAGCAGTTCATCGACGTCGAATCGGTCGACGACGACGCCTTGGAGGGCAGGGACCGCCGGAAGGCCCACGTCGAGTTCTATCGCAAAGTCAAGAGCATCCGGATGAGGTGATTTGTGCGGGGGAAGACTGTCTATTCCGTCAATTTACAAGCATAATCTGAGTTTTTCTAATTTAGAAAATATAAAATTTGCGATTTTTTTTCCGATTTATAAGCTTATTCAAGCGAGTAGAATTTATATTTTCCGAAAAAATAACTCCATCTTTTGTTTACTACCATTCGGTTTGACCTAGCGGAGAAGATTAGGCAGGTCGAAGACTGTAATAATGAGTAGAAACACGTGTTGGCGCTCTTTTTTTGACCGGGATAGTTTATAAAAGTACGGTCCGCCATGTGGAACTTTTCCATATGTGATTCTTCCCGAAAAATAAACAGTAACCCACGGAAAATACGAGTAGAAACACATGTTAGCGGCCTTTTTTTGACCGGGATTGTTTACAAAAGTATGTGGTAACTGTATTCCAAAAGACTGTTCCATATGTGATTCTTCCCGAAGAATAAACAGTGATACATAGAAAATACGAGTAGAAACACATGTTAGCGGCCTTTTTTGAGTTTGGAAATTTACAAAAGTATGGTCTGCCATATGGGAATTGACCTAGCTGCGAAGGTTCTAATAAACTTTTGAAGAAACGAAAAAAAATTTAGTTTTGAATCCAGGAAAAAAACCAACGGAAGTCTTCGGAAAAGTAGCTTTAATGAAGAAAAAAAATTTTTTGACTGCGGCTGAATTTTCAGGAAAAATTATGGAAAAAAAGGTTCAGAAAAAAAAAATCAGTTAACTCGAAAATGAGCTTCGAATATATAGTTCAGTTTATCCGTAGAGCGCAGTTGCTTTCCTTTTTTCAGAAAAACTCAAAAAAATTATAAGATTTATAAATTTTCAAAAATGGTTTTTCCAATGGCACGGCATTCCTAATGGGGAAGGTGAGACGTCAAAGTTTCTGAATTTACAAAAAAAAAGTAAGTGCGCGCTCCGGATAAAATGACGTCATTCTACGTCGCAAATTACACTGAGTATTCAAAGTTTATAACTTGTTTGTTCGATCGCCTTTGGCTGCGTACTGGAGATTTGAATTTTCGCGCTTAATTTTTTTGACCCCACCCCGTTTGGGAACGCCGTGAATGGAGAGACTCTTGAAATTTCGTTTTTCGAATTTTTTTCAAAAAAATCTTACCTCTAGTTATCCTTAGAGCGCAAATGCCTTTTTTTACTCATATTTTTCCTAATTTTTTTGAACTATTTTCTATCAATACTCGGAAATTCGTTTCAAATTTTCATCAACAAAGAGCCAAAAACCATTGGAACTCGTTCTATAAACCTCAACCTCCAAACTCAAAATATAAAAATAGAATATCATGCGGATTTTCACAACAATGATCCTTTGCAAACCGAATTTGAAAAGGAACATGTTCGAATGGAAGCTGCATTGCAGGGCTGCCAAAGAGACATCGGTGAAATGCGCGAAATGCGACGAAATGGTCGAGAACAACGACAATGCCCTTCAGCGGCACCTCACCGAGCACTGCGACGCCGGAGGGTGAGATAAATGGGTCCCGGAGCGAAAATTACAGTAGGCAGCGTTTTTAGGTATCATTGCAAGTTGTGCGGCTGGCAGTCGCCGGAGAAGTACCGCATGTACGAGCACATGAGGAAGGAGCATCCGAAAAAGGTGAGGGGTTGGAGAGTGACGTCATGAGCTTGAGCATGAGTTTGAGCTGGACTAGGTTGTAATGAGAAAAGAATTTTTTGATTTAGCATGACGTCATAATTTTTGAAAAGCTGCAAAAAATTTCAAATTAGGAGCTCGCGAAGATATTCCATATACTTGAGCATGAACTTGAGCTGGACTAGGTGGTAACTTCTGATATAGAGAAAATTTGAGCATATCATCATAATTTTTTGAAAAGCTGTTAAAAGTTTCAAGTTTATGGCTTGGAAATGGATGTCATGAGCTTGAGCTGGAGCTGGAGTAGGTGTTAGCTTCTTATAGGTTGAAAAAATTGGAAAGACGTTCTGAGCCTGAACTTGAGCTGAAACAGGATATTGATAAATAATTGGATAATACAGCGAGGGGAACTAGATTGATGACGTCACAAATAGACTCGAAAATGACGTCATGAACTTCAGCAAAAAATAACTAGTTTCCCTGTTTCTAATGATGTTAAATCCAAGTCTCTTGAAAAGTTTAATGATGAGCTAGATTTGGAGCGCTTGAGAGTTTAGAGTAAAATGATCTCAATGACGTCATAATAATAAAGTGATGTCATAAATTCTTGAGTTCGAGTTTTGGGCAGCTCCAATAGATGGATAAATGATGAAAAGTTGGTAACCTTGAGATTGAAGGAAATTTTATTTACTAAGGATAGATGGAAGCGATATCGCTGGCGATACGACCTTTCGAAATAACTGCTTTTTAGTTGCGCAGGTCTTGCCATTTTCCTCGGCGCGATATCGCGTTTTTCTCGCCGCGATTTCGGATTTATGAACAGAGGGGGATTTTGGAGCTAAGTGCATACGAACACTATCAATATTCATACTTCAAAGTGATTTCTACCGTTCTTTGAAAAGAAATATTGCAGGTGGACATGTTCTCGGACAAGCGGAACATGACGAAGCTGAGTGCGGCGATCACCGAATGTTTCCCGCGGCTGAGCGCCAGGGCCAAGAAGGAGGCCGAGAAAGGCTCCGACCGATTCATGACGTCAGTCGCATCATCTTAGGCTCTTTTAACGGATCTTTGGATTTTCTAGTTTTTGCTGATTTTTCTTTTTAAACTCCTTACTTATTTGTCTTTCTCAATTCCGTGTTCAAAATTAACTTTGGGTGATTTTCAGGGAGCTCATGAAGCTCGGAATTTCATACTGCGCCTTGTGCAGATCCGACCTCCGCATGGACAAGTACAGCATTTTGCGCCACGTTCAGACCCTCCACACCGTCAAGTGAGCTTTTTAGAGGTTTCTGTGAAAAAAATCGTTCATTTTCAAATCTCTAGATTAGAAACGAAAAATTATGAATTTCGTGTCATTCTCACAGAAAACTTTGTTCAAAGACCAGCTGCTTTTTGAGAAAATTTTGAAAATCCAAGTCTTTGTGTTTTTTTGGTGTTTCAGAAAAGAATGGGGTGCCTCGAAAAATTTACTATTTTGCAAAGATTTTTTGAAATTTCAAGCTTACAAAGTCTAAATTTGAGTTTCTATAAGCCCGAATAGAGTTTTCGAATCAGTACCTCCCAAAAAGTTCCACAAAAACCGAAAAAGATTCAAAAAATTTCGGTCAGCGTGTACCGGCCGTCTACTTTTTCATTGGACGACTTGTGCCTTTTTTTGAGCCCTATTGTTTCGAGTTTGACGCGACGGCGCTCAGATTTGAATCTTTTTTTCCAAAATGAAATTTTCGAATCGCCGCCTCCAAAAAGTTCGAAAAAGTGTGGTCAGCATGAGTCGACGTGCCGGCCGTCTGGCTTTTTTGCGCCCCATTGTTTCGAGTTTGTCGCGACGGCGCTCGGATTTGAATTTTTCTAAGTTGAAGTTTACGAATCGCCGCCTCCAAAAAGTTCGAAAAAGTTTGGTCAGCATGAGTCGATGGCCGGCCGTCTGGCTTTTTTGCGCCCTATTGTTTCGAGTTTGTCGCGACGGCGCTCAGATTTGAATTTCGTGACGCGTTTTGAAACCAAACTAGGAGGACTAGGGGACAAGAAGAAAAAGTTTGGCGGAGACTTTGGAAAAGGGGGAATAAAGTTTGGATGATGAAAACTGAGTTTTTCCAAACTGGAAGGTGTTAAAAAATTCCTGATAAGGTATTTGGAGGTTCAGGACTTTAATTCAAATTGAAAAATGCTCTTTTCCTTCAGAGAAGTTCATGAAAAAGCATACAAAAAAAGTTTTTAAGATATAGAAATCAAAAAAATAATTTAAAAATTTCTACCTCAATTCAACCCTTCAAGTTACTGACAGTTGCAGGGAGTTTTAAGGAATGAAACTAGTTATAAATTTGAAGTGTATTATCGAAAATTTGGTCAGGTGCGCTCTATGGCTAACCGCCTCTAAAATCGCCTTTTTCTACCAGGTTAAAAAAAGGTTCTGACACTGACGAAGAGCTTCAATTAACGACTATCATTCCAATTCTGATCGAAAAGTCTCCAATTTGACAATTCGCAGATGCAAGCACTGCAAGACGACGACCAACACGAGCGAAGGCCAGATCCGACATCAACTTGAGGCCCATGGCCTGAACGAGCCCCAACTCTCTGTCGACTACGCTCCGTGCTCGGCCGACTCGGTCCTGCTTCCGCAACTTCAGCTTTGCTTCCCTACCGTCATCTTCAATCCCGACTCTGAGCCTGGATCCCCGAACTGAGCTTCTGACGTTTGCTCCATGGTCTTAGGGACTTTCTGACTGATTTCTAGCCAATAAAACTAATTTTTGATCGCCTTTGTGAAAAAGGTCAGATGCGCTCCATGGCTAATATCTTTCAAAAATCGTCTTTTTGACCAGATTGATTTTGGGAATAGGGAGCCAATTTTCTTCAGGAATTCCCTAGAAACTCGAATACAGTTAGAAAATTTTTCGAAAATCAGCCTTGGAGCGCTTTTTCCGTGAGTTATCCTTGGAGCGCACTTTTCGCAGCTATTTTTTCTAACTATTTCTTGCAAAGTTGTAGCCCTTTTTCCCCTTATTTAAAAAAATTTATATAATTTTTAATAACTATGTAATAAAACTTGTTCATGATACCATTTCAATTTGTCCGATTTTATCCATTTTTGTCTCATTTTCTCACCTGTTGCCATCGATCCTTCTTTTCTATGATCTGTCCAATGGATTTTTAACCTTTCCCGTTATTTTTCGCGCACTCTATACATGCATGCTGCGTGTCTTTCATGCCGTATCGATATTACCGACAGCTTTACGCTTTTTTCGATCCGATTCCAGGGATTCCCTCGCAATGTTTTGCCGTTTCATGTCGTTTTTTAGTACGATGCTTTAAACCTTTTTCTTTTTTATGCTCTTTCCAATAATGTGCCAGTTTTCTTACCATGACTGATCATTTTCCGATTCACCGTTTCCTCGGGAAAAAAACGCCTTTAAAGGAACATTGGCCGCGCGCCAAAAAGTGTCCCACCACGAAAACTTTTTTCCCTTGACCCCAAGGCAGCGATGAACACACTTATCTCTTTTCGTTCGCCGAAAATTGCCTTCTCGCCCTTGCTATCAACATTTTTCTTACCATGACTCGATTCTTGAAAATGCTTCTTGTTTTTTGTGACCTACGGGTTGATAAATTTAATGGATTTGAAGTGGGAAAACGCACCTGAAGGCCTTCGGTACTGGGAAGCTGTCGGCCAGTCCCACGGATCACTTCGAAAGAAGCTCGTCGAGCTTCTTCGGAGGTGTCTGGCGGCAGCAACTCGGCCGAATGAGCTCGGGTCGGAGCTCCGGAGACGGAGAGCAGGGCTGGAACGGGGAATATTGAAAATCTTCTGTTTGATAGGTTTCAAGTCAAAAAAGCCATCTTTTAAAAAAATTCGAATAATGACGCCATAAAAACGCCAGAGTGGTCCCTAGAGGGGTCAGGCGATAAAAGCCTCTACAAAGGACAAGATAGGGTTCCCTAGAGTGGTGGAGTTTGAGTGGTCCTTATAGGGTCTGATCCCTGAGCCCCTAAAGCTTGAGCGATCCCTTAAGGGGTCTTAAAAGTAACCCTCTTATGATATTTTTCATTCAAAAAAAGTTAACTTTTTTCTTTTTTCGCATGCTTTTTCTCATAAAGCTCACAGCAATATACGAAAAATGCTCCCCTAGAGTGGACACTTTTGCAAACCTTAGGGTCCCCTATATAGTATCCCCTAGAAGGGAGCCTTAAAGAAAATGATGGTCCCTCTAGGGGCCACTCTGCCGCTTCTAAGGTCTCAAAACGAACTTCCTGTGAAGTAGTTCGAACTTTAGGGAAGATTTCAATTTTTTACAAGGTTCTACTCGAAAAAAGGAACTTCAATCGATAAGACTAGAGATCCTACAGTTGTATGTATTCTGTGAGAGACGCAGAGCGTAGCTCGAATCGTTGTTGACCAGAAGCGGCACGACGGAACGTGACTCGTGCTCGTCCTCGTAGTCGACGTTGGTCAGGCTTCTGAAAAAAAAGATTACGGTGGCGTACTGTAGCCTAAGAGTCATACTGTAGTCCACTCTTGAGTTGAAATTCATGAAAAAAAACGTGGAGAAGTGTTGATAGGACACAAGCCAACAGAGCTAACCAGGTGGATGAAAAGTCAAACTTTTTAAAAAAAAAGTGGGGTACTGTAGTAATTCAATGCGCCCTACTGTAGTCAACTTTCAAGTTGAAACAAACAAAAAACAGGAAAAAAACTCAATACGACTCAAATCAGCAGACCACACCAATCAAAAAATAAACTTCTGGAAAAATAAGTTGATTACTGTAACATTTTGATGCGTCATACTGTAGCACTTTTTTTCTCTTTGATTCCTTCAGAATAAAGAATGACGTCATAGAAGTCGAAGAAGGTCCTTTGATTCCCAAACTTCTGAGATCAAGTATGATCTTATTTTTGTATACAGTATACTGTAGTATTTTATAATCATACTGTAGTCAAATTTATATTTGAAATCACAGAAAATTTTTTTAAAAAAATTTGAGTCTCGATAAGTGCCTAAAAAGCGCGGAAAAATTTTTCAAAATCATTTTTTTAAAAATAATTTCAAAAATTCGCTTCCTTATTATTTAGTTCAAACTACATAGACATCTTCTGGAAGATTTTTTTTTTAAACTTAATTTTTTTGTTGAAGTTTTGAAAATAGTGGAACCGGAGTGAAGCTATAAAAGCGATTCCAAGTTTGAATTTTTTCACTTTAAAAAAAAATGTCTGTCAAATTCGAAACTTGATTTATTCGTGTAGACACTACGAAATCGCTAACTTTTCCTTTTTTTCAAGATGTAAGATTTGGAATCGAACTGACGTATTCTTGGGCGTCGTCGAGACGATGGCTGGCAGGATGTCTGGCGGCAATGGCAGTGGTCGGCTGAGCCCCGTGACGACACTTCGGATGTGCTCCCTCTTGAAGTCTGGATTCACCGTCCTGAACCAGAAGTTTTTTCAAGAAAAAGTGTAGCTCAGTGGCTAAGACGGATGTTTGGCGTCTGCAAGGTCACTGGTTCGAGTCCTTTCCACCAGAGGTGGAGAAATGACGCCCCTGAGCGTTTTGAAACGTTTACATTTCAAAACGGTCGTAGGCCGCCACTGCCATTTCTTTATAAGGCGCTGCCTAAGGCGCCAGGGGCTAGAAACGCCAATCGAAGAAAAATAACTCGAAAAATTGGAATATTCTAAAATCTTGTAAAATCTTTGATTTCGAAGCTTCCAAATAGATTATGGCGGCCATACATGCGCCTTTAATAAGAGCCTCATTTGGTGATTTATTCCTGTTTCTATTGCTTTTTTTTACATTAATCTCATTGTTATAGATTTTCTTAAAATCGACGAATAATGAGAGAAAAATGAAGTCACAAAATGGGGTTTTTATGGAAGGCGCATGAATAGTTGCCATGATCTACCTTTGCCGCAAAAATTAAAACCGCAAACCGCCTGTTCGCTGCCCCAAGTCAGCCGTGAATGGGCTGTACTTCAAAGGACTTTTAGGGTTCTTTGTAACGTTGTCCTTTTTCAAAAACTAAGAAGTTATGCAGGTCAGCGATTTCAGGATCTTCACCTGGTTCATCAAAGAGCCATCTAGCCAATTTTCAGAAAATTACCAGTAGTAGAATGACTCTCCTTGTTAGTAAACTTTTGAACACAGGTTTGAACCAGCGTTAAAACTGCACTATCTGGAGTCTCATTGTGAGCTGAGACTAGACCCTCGTTTGGGAGACCTCATTGAGAAAATCCTGACCAAAACTCATAAAATCAAAGTTTTTTGGGTGAATTCAGCCGCTTTTACTCTTACACTCAACGACGGAACACCTTCCGCCCTTAAGTGGCCACTCACGTGGTGACTGGCGGCCGCTTCTTGAGACAGAAGCGGTAGAGGTAGACGACCGAGATGACGACGGTCAGGCCGCCGACCACGCCGCACACGAGCACGCCGATAGTAAACAACGGACGCTGCTCTTCCTGCAAAGTGGTCTCTTTAGGGCTTACGAATGATCAATTAAAGGTCAGGCTCGAGAGCTTTTTGTTGTTTCTGAGTGATCCATTAAGTGATTTAAGCTTGACATCAGTCTCACAGAGGATCGAAAAATTGGTAAAGGGTTATTTGATTCTCGAATTTCAGTACTGCCTGGGAAAATTTTTAGTGGTCACTATAGAGGCTGGCCAAGGACTACTTGGAGAGGACACTATAGTGGCCACTAAACCAACCTCTATGATGGCCACTTTTTTCCGTTTAGTGGCCACTATAGAGGTTCCCTATTTAGTGGCCACTTCAGTAGTTTCTCATCCAGTATTCCTCCCAGTAACTCTGATAATGTTAAAACAAACAGATTGGACCAGTTATGTTGATCCATTGACCCCTAAAGTGGCCACTAGGATTTTTAGTGGTCTAGTAGTAGCACTTAGACCTCTATAATGGTCACTAATTTTTTACCCCTTAAATGGTCACTGAAAAAACCACTATAGTGACCACTCAAACGTCAAAACCCTACTAAAAATTTTCCCAGTGCGTTGAAACGATCGATTTTTGAATTTTTGGTTTTATTTTTTTTTTCATTACACTGATCTTTTCGATAAAAAATGGGGTCTGAAATATTTTTCATAAGGATATACGACGTAGTAGTTTAAACTAATCAAAGGAACAATTGAAAAATTTGAAAAGTGACAAATTTTTTCAGAATCTCGGTTACGCAAGCCGGACGTTTCTGAGCCCCTCTAGGGATCACTTAAGAGTGTTGATGCCCCTAAAGGGGTCCCTAGATATTCTCAGACACGTCCGGGATAAATAAGGAAAAATTGGATGATATTAAAAATTTTTAGGCGTTCGCAAGAACTCATTTTGTAGCTACAAGATGATAAAACTTGCCTCGAGTGAAACAGAAAAATCAAAAAAGCCACAAAATGATGTCAAATTATATCAGCTGTTTCATAAATAAGCTTAATCTCTTATCCAATCGAGAAAAATTGAGAAATAAGCCTTTTTGAAAGAGAATACGTGATAGTTGACATTACTGAAAGCTCTAAAAATGGTAAAGTTGGGGAAAAAATCATGAAAAATGTAGTTTAATTGTAAAAAATGGTCTTGGAGTATTCAAAATGACAAAAATTGCAGATTCTCAATGGAGCACATTGGTTCGATATATCGCGGCTATTTCTTCACATCTCGTTTTTTCAGCGTAATGATGTCAAACATTATCAGCTGCTCAATTTTGAAACCTCTGATTTTTTAAGTCTATTTTAAATTTCATTTCCGTTTTTTATGAACAATTTTGCAATGAAAAACCAGAAAAGTCCGAAAAAACAGCTGTTTCCCAATTAAGCTTGAGCTTCTCTCTCACCAGAAAAAGCCCTAGAAAAAGCCAAAAAAACCGTTTGAAAAAGATAAAATTTCAGTTTAGGTCCCTGAAAGCTCAAAAAAATGGTAAGATTTGACAAAAAAATAATGAAAAAAAGGATTCGAAAAAAACGGACAAAATCTTCAAAATGACTAAAAAAAGTCAAATTCTCAATGGAGCAGATTGGTTCGATTAATCGCGGCTATTTTTTTCACATCTTGTTTTTTTCAGCGAAATGATCTCAAAAAGTCTCAGCTGCTCCAATTTTTGATAGATCTGATTTCTTTAGTCTATTTTTAAAAGTCTATTTCCGTTTTTATGAATGATTTTGCATTGAAAAAATAAAAACCCCGAAAACAGCTGTTTCCCAATCAAGCTTGAGCCAGAAGCCTTGAAAGAAGCCAAAAAACCCGAGTCTACGCTACAGTAGACCCGAGATTTTTCGGCAAACAGAAAAGGAGGGCAAAAGGCCAAGAAATGTCGTGACTCGGCATATTTTGGACCCGAAAAAAGGGCTTTTCGGGGGCGTGGCCTTCGGGAAAAGGAAAAAAGAGATGCGTAATTCGATCCGACATCCGCCTATTATCATATGTATGTGGAAATGAGCCCCATTTCTCTTTCTCTCAAACATCAAAAATAAACATTTTTTTTGTTGGTAGATGACATTCCGGTTTCGAATGTCTTCCAAATGTTGAAAGTTTTGAAAGTTACTCCATTTGATTGAGCTTCCTTTTGAGAATTCCTTTGGTCGCATTTGGAATGGCTCACGGCGTCGTGGTTGCATTGCGGCGCGCCAGAAGCTGCCTCAGATACTTCCACTAGCGCAAGTCGTTTTTGGTCGGTTGCAAGACGAACTTCGCACTCGTTACGCTTTGAGACATTCCACGTGCGGTCATAAGTTACCGTGACTCATTTTTTGAACTTATTTTCAATCAAAAAAGCATTTTCCGATACTTCTGCAGTTATTCTTGCATAGTTGGAGTCTTCTGAAACTGAATTAAAAAATAACGTTGTTTACTGTTTCAATAATTTCATTTAGTCTTGAAAACTTGGAGAAAGATATTACTTTCCAAACATGTCGGGATTATATGAATTAGTTATAAAAATGCAAATTTAAGTTTGAAAGTGACAAAAAAGGATAATCTTGTCTTTGAAACGCGACTTCTAAGCCATTTTTTCAAGACGCGCTCGACTCGAAACGACTTGCGCGCTTTTTCATCCGAAAGCGTTGAGATAAGCTGCTCAATTTCAATGTTTTCATCAACCGCAACCTTTTGAGCCATTTCTCGTGCGGTCACAATGTTTTTAAGGGTGTTATAATACTTTCTTCTCTTTTTAAAGTTATGAAATATAATTAAAATGATATTTTTCGCGAGTACAGAAGAGAGAAAAACATATTTCGGAAAGCAGGATGATTGCTGTTTCATGAGAATTATATAAGAAAGAAAAATAGGAAAAAAATATTGTAAGATCTTTGGCTTTTAGAAGTAATAATTCGATAAACCCATTCAGATGCTGGATAATTTGAGTCAATCTTTAAAAAAGAAAAATTTTTCAAATTCGATAAAAAAATACTAATATTCTTGTGTTCCTCTCAACGAAGAATGGCTCGACGCAAAATTTTTCAAAGTGCACCCTGACCAAAACCGACTTGCGCTCAGGGGTACCAAAAAAATTATTTAAAAAGTCGAATAGCATCACTCTGAGCCATTCTAAATGCGGCCAAAAAAATTGAGAAATTTTTATAAAATTACTTTTTTTCAAAGGTTTTTCGAATGTTATCGTGTAAACTCGAAATTAAAGAAATTTTTTTCAAAAAAATAAAATAAAATGGAGAGAGAACTTTGCGCACGTAAAATTGAATATCAGAATTGCAAAACGGAGGAGAAATTGGGTAAGAAAATGGCGCTAAAAGCCATGCGATAATTTGGGCGCGCAAATGGCCCAAAATCACGAAATGACGTCTTGGCCGGCTAAAGTCCGGCTTAATACTAGAAAAGGAGCGTGAACTTTGCCCAGGAAGAAATTTGAAAATGCACAAAAAATTTAGAATTTTCATATTTACGTGCAAAGTTTGTACACTGGAAGCTTTGGTTGAAAAAAAAAGTCGTTTTGAAAATTTTTATCAGTTCCCAAAAAATGGGATCCAAATGTACTATTCAGAAGAAAAAGATGAGATATTTTTTTAAAGTGGAAAAATTGGCTTTTCTTTTTGAATTACAGATAATTTCTGAAGTTCACAGTAAATGCGCTCCATGGCTAATTTTTTTCCAAGAAACAACAGAAATTTGTAGTTTCGACGTAAAATTACAATGAAATGAGCTCCAAGAAAATTATTAAATAGACAATTTTCTCATAAATTCGACAGAAATGATGGAATTTCCGAAAATAAGCATTTTCTGATCTAAACTCAGAAAGATCAAAATTGTATGACAATAACCAAGTTTAACTACGTTTTCTGTTTCTTTGTTGCTATAAAAAACAAGAAAAGAAAAAAAAAAATGATAATTTACCGTCAACATCTGCTCAAACAAAAAAAAAATAGAAAATCGACGTTGTTAAATCGAATGGTCGCGTTTGGAATGGCTCAATGCGTGGCGGTCGCGTTGCGGTTAGAAAGTGATCACGGAAAAACTTGTTGGAAATGTAGGAAATAAAAAAAGAAACTCAAAAAATTTATTTTTTCGCCTGTTTTTTTTGTGTTTCACATTATAGCCATTACAGTAAGGTTTTTTTCAAAAATAAAAATTCCGCAAAAAAATTTTGAGCTTTTTTTCTACAATTTCTGTTCAAATATCTCTACTCCTAAGGTCACAGGTTCGACTCCTCTTCACGGTTTTGAATTTTTGCCATTTTTTTTTTTTGAGTTTTAACCTTTATTAAGAATAAGAACTAGTTTATCTTTGGAATAGAAACCATTGAGAACCCAAAAATGGCCCAAAAAAACTGCTTCTCAGAATAATTACAGTACACTTTCCACATTTCTCTCGTTGCAGGAACCTTTTCAAAGTTCAAAGGTGGTCGATGGATGAGCTACGATTCAAAAAAACAGTTCGAGAAGGACGAAAAATGGAGAATGACTTATTTCCTGGAAAGGTTACCGACCGGCAAAAAACTTCCATTTTTTCTCACGTTTTCTTTCTCAGACGTGTGACCGGGAAGTGAGTAAAAAACGGGAAAAAGTCAGGGAAATGAAACAGAAAAAAAAGAAAGTGTTTTGCGACGTTCGGAAAGGGAATCATGCTCGGCTGCAAATCCGCTTCGGATTATCCTCCTTTCCTTCTTTCCGATATTTCATTTCTTCTGGCGACCTCGTCATGAGCTAAAGCTCAAAATAGGGCAAAGCCGTAAAATTCAGAGCAAAAAAAAAATCATATTTTGAAGGCTGTGTATTCACGAACAAGTGCGCTCTACGGACAAAATCGGAGTTTACTCTTATAATCTTGCTAAGAAATACCGAAAGCGTCACGGAAGTTTCTGAGCCTTTTAGTGACCACTTTAGCGGCTTCAGCACCCTTAAGTGACCACTTCAAATGCTCAGAAATGTCCATGGATCGTCCGGAAAGGACCGAGATTTCAAGAGCTTTTTTTCGTTTTTCTCAAAATTTTCAAAATAATTCGAATTGAATCCAGAAAACATCCGCATTGATAAGATACTGGAAAAGGTTCCCAAGTTTTGAGGGCCCTTAAGTGACCACTAGAACCACCTCGAAGTCATTATTTTTCGTCTTAGTGATCACTGAAGTAGTTTTTAGCGATCTAGTAGTACCACTTAGGCTTCTAAAGAGACTTCCAAGTTTAGTCACTTAAGTGGTCACTAATTCGACCACTATAGTGGCCACCATAACGGATAAAACCCTCCAAGTGACCCCTATAAGCTCTCCCAGTACAAGAAGAAAATGCTCAAGAATTGAAGTTTTTTTAATATGAAATATTTTTTTAATCTCTTCCTAACAGTAAAGTCTGTTAAAAATTCAATCCAAAAAAATCATTGACTTTAAAAAAATTTACAATGGAACCCTTGCAATGGAAAACAAAAAAAAATAAGTTGAATATATTTTTTTGGGGCGACGAGCCCATAATTGGAAAATGTATGCGTTGGGCCGAATAATTCAGCAGCACCCGAAAAACAGAAGAAATGACGCCTTCTTTTGGGTATTGACTGGAAAAATGAGGAGTTTATTCGAGGGTACTGTAGGTTCAGTCAAGTTGGGGTAAGTCTTTGGAAAAGGGAAATTTTTGTTTGAAGAAATTTTTTTTTAGATAAAGGATTGTATAAAACGTTATAATACAAATTTTCCATGGCATGAAACTGTCTGACCTGTCTGCGGCTCTTTTCCCTCGCTGTCGAGGTTAGAGAAACATGAAAATAGCACATAAACACGAGAGGGTCCAGAGAAACGAGACTGCAATTCATTGAGTTCAATGTTGCGAATTATAAATTTAACTAGCTCATTAAAAAAATTGGTGACCTTTTTAAAGGAGCATAGCCAAGTTTTCGAGAGGGTCTTGGGGCGAAAAGCCTTTTTCCGTCTTTTAACGGCTTCCTGTTCTTCAATAAAGACTTTCCTTTCAAAATACAGATTCAAAAAAATACTGAAATTTCATAAAAAAATCTCGAAGCTGTTTTTTAAAGGAGCATGTGCAAATTTATAATGGGTCTCGAGGCGAAAAAGCCTTTTTTTCATACTTTTTCCGGCTTCTTGCTCTTCAATAAAGACTTTCTCTTGAAACGCAGAATAAAAAATATACTGGACTTAAATTCATAAAAAAAAAACCCGAGTGAAGTTTTTTAAAGGAGCATATGAAAGTTCAATAAAGGGTCTCGAAGCGAAAAGCCTTTTTATTTTTTTTTCGGTTTCCTGTGGCTTTCAACCTCTGAATGAAAACTTTTTTTTTAAAATACAGACCTTAATTTTGAAAAAGACGTTTTTTAAAGGCATTCTTCAGAAAAGGCCCAGAAATATAATGGGGAAAAAGTTCTGAGCCAGGTCCTTGGCTATTGAATTCGCAAGTGAATATGAAATAAGACTCTTTTATTTTGGAAAGTCCGTTCGTCTCTACGTCAAGACTTTGATTTTTTTGGGTCCTAAGGCTCTTAATTTATGGGTCATCAATAGAAATACCAACTTAGGAGCGCCGAAGTGGCCCCTAGAGGGATTAGGAGAAAAAGGCTTCCAAATAATGTATTGAAGTTTCGCATGGTAATGCTTCCCTAGAGTGGTCACTTTTGCAAGCTTAAGTGCCCCTTATAGCAAAAGGCAAAGTGGTCCCTAAAGGGAAAAATTCGAGGACCTTAGGGCTACCCCTCTAGTGATAACTCTGGCGTTGCCAATGGTTCAAAAATGAAGCTTAGGGACCCCTGAAATTTGGATAAACACGGAAAATTCAACTAGAATACTAATCCGTAGTCTCTAACTGACCACAAAGTTTAATTAAATAAATGGCAAAAAATTCCAATTCACGAGGTGGGATCGAACTTTTGACCACTTGATCTACACTACTATCTTCATACTATCCATAAAAAAACAGATTATTCCTTATAACGCAAGTTTAAGCTTACAAAAGCTTCAAAAAATCTTGGGAAAATGACAAAAATTTCAAATCCCTCAGGGGGAGTCGAACCTGTGACCTCTTGACCGTAGATCCACACCACTACCTTTTATACTATCCATAAAAAAACCGATTATTATTTCTAATGCAAGTTTAAGCTTACGAAAGCTTCAAAAAACTCTTGATAAAATGGCAAAAATTTTATATCCATCAGGAGGAGTCGAACCTGTGACCTCTGGACCGTAAATCTACACCACTACCTTTATACTATCCATAAAAAAAAATAATAACTCCTAATTCAAGTTTTAGCTTACATAAGCTTCAAAAACTCTTGAAAAAATGGCAAAATGTCCAAGCCCTTAGGAGGAGTCGAACCTGTGACCTTGTGAGTAGCATTCTACCTTCCTACCTCGACACCATCTTGAAATCCGATTTATCATACCTATAGAGCAAAATTAAACGATCCTATTGCTAGTTGGAACTCTTGAAAAACCTCAAAAGTCGGCAAAAATTTCAAAACCGTGGACAGGAGCCGAACCCGGGACCTAATTCTCACAAAAAAAAAAGCTCAGAGATCCATCTTTTCTGTCTTTTTTCATCAAATTGAACAACAAGGCTATCAAAAAGCCTATTCGAATAAAGGTTATGAGTAATAAGCTGCAGGATTAATCCGGAATAACATGGCTGAAATGCTTATAACACGAGAAAAGCTCATTTGAGCCGAAAAAATACATATTTTGGCCGGAGGAAATGTTTTTTGACAGATATTTTGAGCTCTTTGTACTGTAAAAGGAGACGCAATAACGAAAAAAAAATTCTTAAAAGTGAGATGAAACAGTAATACTTTCTTATTGAGTTTTGACCAGATTTTTATTTTTCAGCCAGATTTTTTTTGAATGTTCCTGGATTTTTTTCAATGAGAAAAAAAATTTAAAATACTCAATTTACTTTGAAGGTTACTGTAGCCTTTTTTTCAAGACCATTTTCACTCAGAAAAACCCTTTAAAAAAATAGGCTGGTGATTAAAAACAGGATTTTACCGATTGAAAAGTGAAAAGGGAAAAAAACACTTCTCTGTTCCAAAAAAATAATTTTAAACGTTTAAAACTTGAATTTAAGTTTTTCAAGCAAGAGCGCATGTAAGAAAAAAAGCCGAAAATGAAGCGAATTTTTGTATTTTTTTCATACAACTTTCGTCTAAAATTGAAAAAAAATGAGGACTGAAAAAAATAAAAAAATAAAGCTTCAAAATTATAACCAAAAAAACAGGATTTTACCGGCTGGAGAGAAAAAAAAACCGAAAATTAAACCAATTCGTGTGACGTCAATGACATACACGACATAAGCATGACTAACGACTGCCAAGCCAACTTTTTTTCAGTTTTTTTGCCAAACCCCCCATTTTTCCCGTTTTTTTGCCATCTTTTTCAGGTCCCATCAAGACTATCCTTTGTATGGATTTCCGACGCCAATCCCAGTTTTATGGAAAAAAAAACAAATTTCAAAGAGAATCTCACCGACTGAAGAGTGAAAGCAACGGGAAGGAAGCAAAAAGCGACGACGAAAAGAATCAAAGCGGAAATCAAGGCGTGTTCGCAGAGGTCGAACAGTTGGTAATAGACCCGATAAAAGGCGTTCAGCATCAGAATCGCCACCTCGCACATTTCCAGCTTCTCCTTCTGATTTCCCAGCTTTTCCCTCCAGCTGATGAGCTCCCCCCCAGCAGCCCTGATTGCGTTCGAGTCAATAATTCTGACGCACCTTTTCCTCCCATAAAAGGCGTTCAGCATCAGAATCGCCACCTCGCACATTTCCAGCTTCTCCTTCTGATTTCCCAGCTTTTCCCTCCAGCTGATGAGCTCCCCCCCAGTAGCCCTGATTGCGTTCGAGTCAATAATTCTGACGCACCTTTTCCTCCCATAAAAGGCGTTCAGCATCAGAATCGCCACCTCGCACATTTCCAGCTTCTCCTTCTGATTTCCCAGCTTTTCCCTCCAGCTGATGAGCTCCCCCAGTAGCCCTGATTGCGTTCGAGTCAATAATTCTGACGCACCTTTTTCCTCCCATAAAAAGGCGTTCAGCATCAGAATCGCCACCTCGCACATTTCCAGCTTCTCCTTCTGATTTCCCAGCTTTTCCCTCCAGCTGATGAGCTCCCCCCAGCAGCCCTGATTGCGTTCGAGTCAATAATTCTGACGCACCTTTTCCTCCCATAAAAGGCGTTCAGCATCAGAATCGCCACCTCGCACATTTCCAGCTTCTCCTTCTGATTTACCAGCTTTTCCCTCCAGCTGATGAGCTCCCCCCGCAGTAGCCCTGATTGCGTTCGAGTCAATAATTCTGACGCACCTTTTCCTCGGAGAGAAAGGCCCAGAAACGCGAAAACGAGCCAAAGAATGTCGAGCCAGCCAGTATTCGTCCTGGAAAAAAGGGATAATTTCCAGACTTTGCGGGGGGTTAAAAACACGGCGAGCTGTCAGAAACACACACACACACACGAAAACGTGGACTTTGACCTTTGAAAACAGGTCAATTAATATTTTGGAGGGTTCCTGGAATCGAAAGATATTCCCATAGTTTTGTTGTCTTGGGAAAATAGTTCTTCTGGTGAACAATTTGGAGACATTCATAGTATCATTTTTGCGGAAACTTTAGGTTTTACCCGAAATTTCAAAACTCTAGGATAATTTATTTTGAAAATCAATGAAAATTCGTTGCGATTGAACCTGAAACGGCTCATTTTTTTATATTGATTTTTTTAAAAAAATACATTCGAAAAAAATTTTTAAAAAAATATTGATTTTTGCTTTCAGAAATTACAGTAATTTTTCAAAAAAATTGGCCGAGCTTTTCAAATTTTTGTATCTTTTTTTCTCTTTGAAAGAAACGTTTTTCTGAAATGCCTAGAATTCGGGTTTCATTTAAAAAAATGTGACAAATCGTTCAAAAAAACCTTGGATATTTGCTAAAAAAACAGATTCCACTTGAAGCGGTTTATATTGCTCTTTTTCAATATTAAATTTGAAAAAAATAGTTTTTAAAAATTTACAAATAGTGATTCTCACTTCAAATTGACAGTAATTTTTTTGAAGCTTAATCAAAAAGAAATTTTTTTAATTTTATAAATTTCGAATTTTTCAAGTTTTTTTCAGAACACTGTTATATGATTTATGTGAAAATGGTTCAAAAAAATCTCAGAAAAAAAGTGTTTTTTTAACAAATTTATATAGGCTGCTGCTTCATATCAAACCTGAAAAATGATGATTTTTTTAATATTCAAATAAAATTCAACAAAAATCGCATCAATGCTGTTTTTTTAAAAACTATTTTTATGAATTTTTCAAATTTTTCCATTAGGGTTTCCAGGTCACTAAAAAAATAGAGGAACAAAAAAATGGCGAAATTTGTTTGAAACGCCTCAAAATTTAAAGGAGCATCCACCAGACTGTAAAAGATATCTCGAAACGAAAAGTGACGATTTTTTGGTATTTTATCAAGAGAACCGTTAAAAAAACGAGTTTCTTAAAAAAATTTGTGAAAATTATAAAATTTAAATTTACTTTTTCAAAAAGTGGCCGTTTAAAGGCGCAGCAAGTGGGCGTGGCTTCAATTCGCTACGAAACATTTTTTTTTTCAAATTTTTACTTCATTTCGTTGATTTTTTTGACTTCTATTAAGACATAGAAACAGCAATTATTGTTAAAATGAGGAAAAAGAATGGAAGCTTCAACATGCACTTTTACACAAGGTAATTCATTTTCCCACAAATCTGTCAAAACGATGAGAAAAGGAAGAAAAAAAGAAAAGAGAAAGACGAAAAAAACAAGAAGACAAATGAAGGAATGGACCGGAAAAAAAGAGTCGTAAAACGTGTGGAAATTGGCTTTTTGAGACATATCTATCTGCATATTGGCTGAAAAATAGTCGGCGGAAAAAAATTGGCGGTTTTTGACGGTCACATAATTTTTATTCTAAAAGGAAGTTATTTTTTCGGTTTTTATGGAGAAGCAGCTGCATTTTCAAGGCTTGGAAAGGTAGAAAAAAAAACATGGAAATATGAAAAAAAAAAAATGCTTCAAGTTCTTGACTACTGGGAAAATTAGTGGCCACTATAGGGTTTTTGACGTTTTTAGTGGCCACTATAGTAGTCAAATTAATGGCCACTATAGAGGTTGGTTTAGTGGCCACTTTAGTGTCCACTCCAAGTAGTTCAAGGCGAGCCTCTATAAAAGCCACTGAAAATTTTCCCAGTTTCTTAAAATTATAGCCTAAATGCCTAAAATATCTTCTACTTTTTGAGATCCTAGAAGATTTTTATAAAGGAACTTCGGAAGAAAATAAATTTTGAAGCTTGAATAAAATGGTCACAGTAATATTAGGCGGTTTTCCAAGCTGATTTCGAATTTATACTGGTCAGAAACTGTCCAGAAGGTCTGTAAAAAAGCTTATGAACGCATAAAGAAAAAAAAAATACTTTGCGAACTTTTTATAGATAGGACTAACCCCGGTGTTCACGGAAAACTGATTGGAAACTCAGAAATTGCAAAGTGGTCCCTATAGGGAAAACCTTCAGACCTTTGAAGGTTTTTTTTTCTCGATTACCGAACACATAAAGATTCTCTGTTTAGTGGCCACTTCAGTAGTTTTTCATCCAGAATTCCTTCCAGTAACTCTGATAATGTTAAAACAAACAGATTGAACCAGCTATGTTGATCCGTTGACCCCTTAAGTGGCCACTAAAAATTTTAGTGGTCTAGTAGTAGCACTTAGACCTCTATAGTGGCCACTAATTTTTAACCCCTCAAGTGGCCACTAATTTGAATACTATAGTGGCCACTAGAACGCCAAAACCCTATAGTGGCCACTAAAAATTTTCCCATCTGTCTTTTTTTTTCGAAATAAATGAGCCCAAATAAGATTTTATTTTTCGTGAATAGCTTTTCGAAAATCTCCATGAGTCTCAAATTCTTATAATATTCAACCGGACTTCTTCATTCACACCGCCAAAAGTTTACGAAAACTGCGAGAAAAGGTGAAAACGATTTGAAAAATCGGCGGAAAACACATTATGGCGATGAAAATAACTAAAAATGCAAAAGACATTATTGAAAAGGTCCGTTGAACTTCTGGGATTTGTCGAAAACAGCCGAAATGAAGTGGAATGAAGAAAAAGTTGAAGATCTATTAAAAGACAGGTGATATATTTTTCCATAATTCTCAAGTTTAATCGTTCGATTTCATGCTTGTTTGATAGGTTTTTAATCAATAAATTTCATTTTTCTCAGAAAGAAAAAAAAAACGAAGAATTTGAAAATACCGTTTCAAAAAAAAAGTAAAAAAGCCGAAAGATTCAATGTTTAATGATGTTGTTTCATATAACTCGAAAAATGTCTCTCTAGCTACATTTTTTCATGCTAGTTCCAGATTCGGTCTCAAAAACTGCCCTCGAAAAAGATTGGAGGCTCTAAAAAGTCGAGATTTTCAAATTCTCAAATCGATCTCATTTTTGGAGGTTATATACATGTAGATGTTATCTCTAAAAGCGGAAAAAAATTATTTTTTCGAAAAATGTTTGAGCCTAGTTGGACTAGGCTGGCGAGTGAAACTACTAACGAGGTCACAGGTTCGGTCCCCATGCTGCGCAAAATTTTTTTGCAATTTTTTCTTTTTCAGAAATTTTCGTGAGAGAGCTATTTTTTTGAATATCGAAACATTGAATAATGAAAAATACTGTGTTTTAGTCTTGTTATAAGCTGTCAGATCATTTCTAAAAAGCTAAAATTTTTTTAAAAAAAGCCCCCAAAAAAAGAAGTTTTTTTCCGTAAAATGTTATTCAATAATGTTGAAAATGAAATTTATTTTTTTGCAAAAGTTTAAGAAAAAAACTTTCGAAAAAAATAGTTTAAAAAAATGAGATGCAAAAAAACCTAAAAATTGAAATTATACCAAATGTTAATTCAAAAAAAGCAAAAAAACTTCTTAGAAATACCATTTTCATGGCCAAAAATTTTCAATAATATTCATCGAGATTTCGCCAAAATTGAATTTTTTGCGACGTTTGGAAAAATGGAAAAAAAGGCATCCAGAAAAAGAAGATGACCAAAATTAAGGAAAAACCCAATTATACCAAATATCGACTCGAAAACCGAAAAAATACTCTGTTTTGCAAGGCTTTTCCTTCTCGACGGCTGTCTCCGAAAAAAGGAAAATTTGTGGGAGAAATGAAGAGGAGCCAATTTAAAAAGAAAAAATGGAAGGATGCATTAATGACCGACGAGCTTCCTTTTGAAAAAGGACGTCGGCCCAATTACCCTCGTTTAATTCCGGTTAAACTCATTTTTTAATCTCCAATTCACTGGTTTCTGTCGGCTTTTGATCTTTTGACTCGGTTCAGGGGATCCAGGGACGATGGTTCTTTGATTTCCTACATAAATTGCTGTTTATACTGAGAAGGGGTCAATGGGAATGAGAAAAAAAACACATATTTCAGAAAAAGCTGCAAAATAAATAAATTACCCTTCCGGAATCCGCCTAGGGAAGGTGCCCAAAAATTAAAAATTTGCACAAAAAATCCGAAAATCTAAATATCAAGTGAAAAAATTTGGTGAAAACTGGAGCCTTATGATTTTAAAATATCCTCATTTCATCCAGTAAAAATCTATCAAAAAAATTTTTTTCAAAAAAAATTCAGTAAAAAAATCGCAAAAACTTGACTAATTTCTGCTCAAATACCTTTGCTTTGGTTGTTTAAAGGAGCATGACCAAGTTTCTCGAAAAATTTCGAAGCGACGGCCTTTTTTATCTTTTTGTTCCTAAAAAAATCCTGTACCTTAAAAGACCATAGCAAGAGATTTTTGAAGAAAATGTTGGCCAAACTTGGAAATTTTAGAGATTGAAGTTTTTTATTTCAGTTGAAATTGCATGAAGAATATTATAAGAAGGAAGTCCAATGGAAAAAAAAAAAAAAATTTTCCAAATGACATGAGCGCAGTAATTCAAATTCAAAAAGATAGAAACAAGAAATTTGACACAAAAAAATCAAATTAAAAACCCGATAAAAAAACTTTAAAGGAGCATGAGAAAATAATATGGGTCTCGAGACGAAGAGCCGTTTTTATGTTCTTTTCGGTCATAAAAGGTTAATTTCTTCTGGGGAGAATTTTCGGACTGACAGCAAAATGATCGAAAAAAAAGAAGAATGGCAATCTCGTCAAAAAAACTGAAAAAAAAAACTTTATGATTTTTTTATCAGCTCAAAATATTTTTGGGGAAACGATAGCGCATCTACTGGACCAAAAAAATGAACAATAATAAACAAAAAATAAAGAAAAAATTGGACCACACAGAGCTTCTTCTTCGTCCTCTACACTTAGTCAGCGGCGGCCCAGACGTTATCCGCAATTCATTAATAAAGCGAAATGAATGCGTCGCTTCTCAATTATTCCCGCGTTCGTGTGCCGCCGAGCAACCTTCCTCGTCAGGAAACTTTCCCACGGCCGTTCTGACCGTCAGTTTCAAAAAAAAAACCGATCAATAACGACCATATCAGAAGAACTGCAGATGGATGAGTTTTCATCAAAACCGCAACGCGACCGCGACGCGTCGAATCATCTCACGTGTTTCGGATAAACTTTCCCACGACCTTTTTCGAAAGAAAATGTGAAAACCGGTCGCAAATGAGTCAAAAATGAGACCTCCGACCGAAAACGACTTGCGCTCGGGGCACCCGAATAAATGGACTCTGCAGCGCCTCAAATCTTCATCATAACCGCAGCGCAACCGCGACGCATCCAGGCCGTGGTCTCGATAAACTTTCACACCGTATTAATGATCAATTATTTGAAGATGAGGACAAATTCCGACCAAAAACGACTTTAGCTCGTGTATATCATAACCGAAACTGTTTTGCGCCAAGCCGCTGACACAACCGCGACGCATCGAACCATTCTACGTGTCCCCCTATGGCCGTTCGGATGGGTATGGGAAAACGCTACAAAAAACGGACTAAATGGGGCCAAAATGAAGATACCTGAGGTTCAACCCCGACCTTCCCGACTTCGTTAGAAGCTAGAGACTATGGGAGTCTGAGAGACAGTTAGAGAGTTCAAGAAATCGCTCCTTCAGAAATCAAAATTCATGTTTTGTGAGTAGCTCAAAGTCCAGAAAACTGCAAGAATTGCATATTTGAGTATATGTTTTCCATTTCCACGTGATCGTAGGCGAAGAAAATAATAAATTAAGTCCTGAAACATTTATCGCAGGTTTTTTTTCTAATTCCGCGTGGAAGTTTGAAAAAAGTAGAGTTTTTTGAGTACAGTTTTGGGATTTGGTAGGAAAATTTCAATAACACAACATTTTGAGCTGAGATTTCGGTTTTTATTAGCATAGAAAATTCCAAGTCTCTTGAAAAAAGGTCACAAACCTATCACGATTGAAACTCGGCCAATGTGGATCTAGAACCAACCGCAACGCGACCGCGACGCTTCGAGCCATTCCAAGTGCAACCGCTTTTTTTTCGAGGCTGAAAAAATTAAAATCATGTTTATTTGACGTTTATTTACGGAAAATTTGCATTAAATATCATTCATGTCTAGTTTTTGCTAGTGGAAGATAATGCGAAACTAAAAACACGGTGGGCGGAGCCAAACCATCCGCCGTTCCCACGTAACGTCATTGGAACAGCAGAGATTTCGGCTCAGGGCATATTAAAGGCGCAGACCGCCGTATCGCCAGAGATCTTCAAGACGAATCGAAATTTCTCTACATAAACACAATTTTCTGCGCGAAAGCGGCGCAGTGAATGCACATGAAACACGATAATTTACGAAGAAAAGTGGGCGTGGCGTAGTCGAAAAAACGCCGTGCATTTTCACTCTTTTATTAAAGAAAAAGATTTAATATCTTTAAAATAGAGTTTATTCCCATTTTCCCGTTGAAAAAGAGAAGGAAAAAGCGAAAAGCGGTATTTTTTGTCCATGGAGCGACTTTACTTCAAAACGCCCTTTTGGCGGGAGTTCAAACTTTTTCCTGTTTTGAATATTTTTTTCTCCGAAAATAGGAACTTCTGTACTTTTTCAAGTATGCCATTTAACACGCAATGAAATAACACCAAAAAAAGGTCCATTTATCTCAAATCAAAATTTTGACTGTTTATTTGCCTTTAAGTTGGTTTCTCTGTTTCAAAGTTGGTATTTTATAGCTCAAACGATCGAATATTTACACTTTGATTATTTTGAGAAGAAATACGGGAAAGTTGAAGTTAAGAGAAAAATTAAAATCAAAAATGAAAACCACCATCTTGATTTAGTGGAAAAATAAAGTTTCCAGACTATTTTCCCTGTACTTTTCGATTCAAAATATCAACTTTTCACAAACTCAAGACTTCTTGGAAAGGAGAAGCTCGAATCGGAATCATTGGAACCAAATAAACGTGTTGACATTCACGAAGACGGCCCGATTTGTTAATCCGTCGGTGTCTTGTACGCTTCAATCAATGTTTTTCAGTCCCTGATTCCTACGATTTTTCCTAATTCAGGTAATTTCTGTTCAACCTAATATTATAGTCTGTGTGTGACGACTTGGAATTTCACGGAACGACATTCCGCTGTTCCGCTGCGTGCGTTCGCGAAGCGTCTTTTCGAATCTAGGTCACGCTTTCAATTGATTTTTGTTGCTGTGGGAGCCCATGAAAGTAGAGTACCTTAATAAAAGAAAAAAAAAATTAAAAGCGCGACCGAAATTCGCAAAGGCGCGCAGCGTCAGAATGGAATGTCGTTCGGTGAGATTCCAAGTCGTGGTCATAATTTGAAACATTATCCAGTACCCTAACTTCCTTTAAAGGCATAGGGGCAGTAAAAAATGGGTTTTCAGGTGAAAGCAGTATCTTGTATAGTTTTTCTTTGCGAATCGAATGGTGTACTCGAAAAAATTAAAGATGTGACAACTTTAGAAGAAAAACGCGATTTTACTTTCCCGCCATTAATTTTGAAAAAAGCTTTGGATCGGCCTACGGACAACTGTTTACAGTAGCAGTGCACGCGATGTTGCGGACGTCTCATTAGACTCGCATTTTTGAGAAATAACCGGATTTCTGCTTCAAACTAAGGGTTTATTCTCTGAAAAATTGATTAAGAAAACAGAAAACACACATTGATAATAAAGAAAACACAAAATATCGCTATCCCAATCGAAACCTGTGTAAAATCATCATTTTTCACCAGAAACGTATTTTTGCGATTAAAGTTGTAAACTATACATGAATAGAAAGCTTTTGTGACGAAAAGAACTTCGGTGACAACAGAAAAAATTGAAATTTGAAAGAAACTAAGAAAAAAGCGAAAATCCGGAAGATGGCGAAGCCTGTTGTCCATAGAGCAACTTTACTGCAAAGCGCCCTTTTTGGCGGGAACTCAAGCTTTCCGACTTTGAATTATTTTTTCTCCAAAAATAGGAAGTTTGGTACGTTTCCAAGTTTACCGTTCGATTCGCAATGAAAATCTCTACAAAGTAGTGCTTTGAACTCAAACATCATTTTTTTACTGCCCCTATGCCTTTAAAAAGTTCACTCAGTCCCCCCAAAAATCTCAGGTATCGTCCAATTACACCCCCTCCGCCCTCCTCAATAACGCCTTCTTGTTTACCTTCCCGCAACAGTTGCATTATTTCTCCGACGACAGGTGTACCTGTATCTAATTACCATCCTTCTTTAGGCATCAATAAATATTCTACCGAAGATGATCATACGACTACTGCTTTTCCTCCTGTACCTGGGGGCTTCTGAAGGCAGCGAGGAGGAATTCCGACTTCTGAACGACCTTCGGCAAGGCTATGACGTGGTCGAAAGGCCCATCGCCAATCATTCTCAGCCGTTGACCGTCCGACTGAGGCTCATTCTTCAGCAACTCGTTGACGTCGTGAGTCATGCTTATTTCTACATTTTGGACTTGTGGAAGGCCTTGAAAAAAGATGAATGCAATGATTATCGTTGTTTTCAGTCGCAACTCGTTTCAGGTCGGGCGCGCTGCGAAAAAAGCCATTCCCTCATGACCATGGGTTTTCAAGTCAAACTATACTTTGAAAAAAGGCCAAGAAATCAAAATCTAAACTTAGTCTATTCATTGCAACTTGAAACGACATGACTTCACTGTACCCTCTTTTCCATCGACTACCCTCTCAATTTCACCTTCTATTTCTCTGATTTTCTGATCTCCCTGTTGAGGTGAAAAGAAAGCGCAAAAAAAAAACCCCCAGTCAAAAAAGTGTTTCCTCGAAAATTTAAATCTGTAATGCTTAATGACGACTCCAGTCGCAACTCGTATCAGGTCGGGTGCATTAAGAAAAGCCTTTCCACGTGGGGTGGGGATTCTATCTTGATAGAAACTGTATCTTGAGGAAAAAAGACACAAAAAAAAATTTAATGAACTTAGTCCATTCATCGCAACTTCAAAGAAACGAGCTGACTTCTCTGCGCTCTCTTTTCTATCGGCTACACTCTCATTTTTACCTTCTATTTCTCTGATTTTCTGACCTCTCTCTTGAGGGAACAACTGCTTCTGTGACGTATGCTTTTCAACAAAGAAATTATACTTGAATCAAAATTCTCACGCTTCAAACTTCTTATTTTAACTATCATCCATCCTTTCAGGACGAGAAAAATCAAGTTCTGACATTGGTCATGTGGTCACAGTACACCTGGAACGACTACAAAATGCGCTGGGCTCCTGAAGAATATGGGAATATCACGACGTTGCAGATCCCGACCGGGTCTCTTTGGAAACCGGATATTATCCTTTTCAACAGGTTTCTTTCAATTCTGACCTGTCTGCGCTCTCTTATCTCTCGTTGGAGAGGTCAGAGAGCGCAGAGAAATCAGCACTTTTTAAAAAAAATTAACGAAAATTTTCAATATCTCGGACCTTGGTAGCGCAATCCGGGCATGCCCCGGACGTTTTTGAGCTTTTCTAGTGATCCCTTTAGTGGCTTTTGTTATTTCAAGTGGTCACTAGAATGTCTGTGGATCCGGTTTGCGTTCCTGAGCAGTTTCTAGTGATCTCTTAAGTGCCCATGACGCGTCCAGTTTGCGTTTCTGCTCATTAGAATGTAGTGGCCCCTTTAGTGGCTTCAGTAACTTAAGTGATCACTAGAAATGTTCAAAGCGTACGGGTAGCGTTATCGAAGTCTAAGATCTCGTAAATACTTCAAATTCCTCCATTTTAACTCATTCTACTGTTTCCTCAACTTTTTAATTTATTGATTTTAATCTGTATACTCGTTCCCCTTAGTTCCTTTAGAAGAAAATTCGATTTCCAGTGCGAATGAACATTTCGACTCCTCATTCCCGGTGAACTTCGTTGTTTCCCATACGGGGGAAGTTCTTCATGCTCCTCCGGGCATTATTCAACTGTCATGCTCCCTTTCGATGACTTGGTTCCCCTACGACGAACAATTGTGCTACCTCAAAGTGAGCAAATTTTATTCTACATTTCATAGATTACACGGCATTCCTAATGGGGTGAGGGAAGGAGAGTGAGACGTCAAAGTTTCTGAATTTACAAAAAAAGTAAGTGCGCGCTTCGGATAAAAGGACTGTGACGTCACAGCTACCTATCGTTGCAAATTAAACTGAGTATCCAACGGCATGAAGAATACATTTGGCTGCGTACTTGAGATTTCAAATATCGCGCCAAAATTTTTTTGACGTATCCACACCCCGTTTGGGAACGCCGTGATTACAAAGCTCTTAAGAGATAACTGTTTTTACCCCCGGTTGAACTTTTGACGAAACTTTGCAGGGATGTACTAGGCATGCTGATTCCAAATCAAAAATAAAATTTCTCGACTTTTGCCTCGTAGTCGAGTTATGACGGCTCAAAGGTTGCACCTCAGAAAAGTGGAACGCAACAAGAAGGAATGTGTCTGGCGCACGAGTCTTCAAGTTGGCCGCTTAGTGTAGTGGCTAGCGTGCCAGCCTTGCAGGGGAAATGATCCGGGTTCGAATCCTTTCAGCGGAATTTATTTTTGCTTTTTTTCTTTGAAGAAATCTATTAAAACTGTTGAAATATGATCAAAGCTTTTGCTCAAAACATAAGAGGGCCCCAATTTTCACCAAAAACAGTTTTCTTGTTATAAGCTTTACACCGAGGAAATTAAGACTGAGTTTTTGAAGTCCTAAAAGCTTGGCTTACAGAATAATGAAAAATTTCACGATTCTTTTTTCAAAAAGATCAAAAAAAGCTTTGAAAACATATACAAAATTCAGCCCTCGTCTCATGAGAAAGATTTTGATTTTTATAAAATATTTCCATAACGAATTTCAATTTAATGATTCAGTACGGTTCCTGGACCTACACCGGCTCAAAACTCGACCTTCAAATCGAGGATTCCGGACTAACCGAACGTCATAAAATGGACCTCAAGTACTACGTTCCGAATGGAGAGTTTGACCTTCTAGGTACCTATTTTTTTTCTGAAGCTTGAATTTTTCGTTTTTCCAGCTACTCCGGCTCAAAGAATATCCACTGATTTCCATGGCGACAACTACGTCGAACTCTATTTCCACATGCATCTCAAGGTTTTCATCCTCGAAAAGTCTGACTTGTCTGCGCTCTCTTCTTTCTCGACATCGATGGGAAGAGAAAAGAGGGCGCAGAGAAGACAGAACTTTCAAAAAATGAACCAAAATTCAGCGTCGAACCCTGTACTACGGTCTCAATTGGATAGTCCCATCGGTTCTAATTTCCTTCACAAATATTTTGGGCTTCACGATGCCCCCCGAGTGCGGAGAAAAGATCACGTTACGTGAGGAACATAGACTTTGACGCGAACCGTTTCTGGTCGGATGACGTTTTCAGAGATTACCAACTTACTCTCGGTTACTGTATTTCTTGGAATGGTCTCTGAGGTGACTCCGCCCACTTCTGAATCGATTCCAGTTATTGGTAAGGTTTTTGGTAAAAAAAAATTATTACTGGGAATTTTCTTAGTATCTCCGCTAGAATAATCACAAAATACGAATTATCTTTTTGGGTTTCATTTTTTTTCCAATTTCTCCTGAAACAGTAAACTTGGGAAAGTTTTTGAAAAAAAAATTTTTTTACGACGCTTCGCTAGGACGCTTCTAACTCGAAAAAAATATAAATTTATCAAAAAAATTATATTTTTTTCAACGGTGTCAATATTCAGGAAGAAGGGAATCATCTAGAAATTTCACAAAAAATGAAAAAAAAAAGACTGGTTTCATTTTCAATACGACACTCCGCTAGTACGCTCCGATTTCTAGAAAATGATTTTTTTTTTTACAAAAATAGCTTTTTTTCTGAATTTTGAGATGCCGCAAGACTTATGAGACACTGTCCAGAAGTCCAAAAAAAAAAAAATCAAAAAAGAAATTTTTTACGACGCTCCGCTAGGACGCATCCAAGTCGAAAAAATATCATTTCATTAAAAGTTTTACTTTTTTCGAGGGTGTCGATATTCAGGACAAAGGGAATCATGTAGAAATTTCACAAAAAATGAAAAAATCAGACGTTTCATTTTTCAATACGACACTCCGCTAGTACGCTCCAATTTCTAGAAAATCATCCTTCTATTTGACGAGATTTTTCCTTAAAATTTAGGAACATTTTTTATCCAACAAAAATAGCTTTTTTCTGAACTTTGAGATGCCGCAATACTCATAAGACACTGTCTAGAAGTCCAAAAACAAAAAAAAATTTTTTTCTTAGGAATTCCAATTTTCAGCCGCCTTCTTCTCAATATCGATGCTAATCTTGGGTCTATCGATTGTGGCAACTTTGGTGGTTATAAATGTCCATTTTCGGTCTCCACACACCCATCGGATGACTAAATGGGTTCGAAAAAACTTGAAAAATTTCTTAAAACTAAAATTTTCAGACTAAAAGCATTTTTATCGAATGGCTACCATGGATGCTGCTGATGAGCCGACCCGAGTATATTTTCAAAAAACCGAAAAGAAATTGCGCCGACGAGGAAAGTTGCTCCAGTGAGAAGGTCAGTGACCAAGTGGGCACTTTAGTGGATTAGGAGAATCTCAAAAACCAAAATAAATATTTTTCTGGTTGAAAAAATAGTTCAATCTATCGGAAATCCGATCCTAATATGTAGAATCAACAGTTGGAAAACTTGATAATTATAAAAAATCGAAAAATCACTTGATTTTTGAAATGAATAAGATGGATTTGTTGACGCAAATGCGCTCTGACGAACTTACTTTTAGAATTTTCAAAAAATAATCATTTCGAACCAAAATCACAGGCGTGAAGCTATTCTAATATCAAAAGAAAAATGTTGAAAGGTAATTTTATTTTGAAAAATGATTTTCTGCTTCTTGAGTCAAGCTTTTCATTAGAAATTATGAAAAACCCTTGAAAATTTGAGCAAAAAGTGCACCCGACCTAAACCGACTTACGAACGCTTTCATCAAAATTCGGCATCTCGTTTTAAAATGATGCCGCATCGCGTCGCAAGCCATTCCAATTGCGACCAAGGAATTAAGATTTCCCTTCAAACATGGACTAGAGTCCATTAGAAATCTAAATCAGAAAAAAAGACTTTTTCTGTTTCAACTATTACATAAAATTATCTTCAATGCGATATATAGGCACATTTACACTGGTAGCAATTTATATGAAAAAATGAAAGATAAAATGTTTAAGAGTACAAAATCAGCGATTAGAAACAAAGAAGAACGAATTCCGATGGCTCAAGAGGAGGAGGATGACGTCATCAATCAAAATGTCAAAGGTTTTACTCTTGAAAAACCAAAAAAAATCGATGACTCAGAAATAAGGATGAGGCCACGCCTTCTGATCAACAGTGACGTCAGAAACGCGCCTTTTGAAGAATCTCTTCAGCAAATCGTCGAATTGCTTCAATCTCTGAAGGCTTGAATTTTAATTTTCAATGAAAAAAGAGAAAATTTCGGGAAAAAAAATATACTTTTTCGGAAAAAAATGAAATGAAATTAGGACGATCACCGGGAACTTTTCGAATATTTGAAAGCTCTAGAGTGGTCCCTAGAGGGTTTAGACCAACAATAACCATTTTAAAGGACAAAAAGTGCTCCCTATAGAGGTCTACTTCTGACCAGCAAGCTTCCAAAGTTTAAGGGGTCCCTATAGGGTTTTAAAATTAATAATTTTTTTCTCTGTTGATATTGTTTTCTTCAAAAGGCGCTATTTTATCAATTTTTTTTTTTGCGCATGGAAATGTTTCTTCTGATGAAGTTCCACTATTTAAAACCCCTAAAGTGGCCTAAAAGAAGAGCTAAGTGGTCCCTAGAGGGGAAAGTTCAAGGGTCCTGGGGGTTGCTTCTATAGGGACCACTCTGGAGCTTATAATTAATTAATAAAAATATGAATTTCTAAACAACGTACCTCTGCAGGAAAAAATTTTTGTTTAACGGATTTTCCAGGTCTTTCGGCGGTTTCAAAATAGACCCTTTACTAAAAACAATATCGCGAAATACACAAAATAATGATTCCGGGATCCTTTATAAAAAAGGGTCCTACAACGATATTCGCGATATATTACTTCATACGGTGGCTTTACCGCACGAACACCAAATTTTGAAATAATCGGGCATTTTCAACGGAAAAATTCAAACTCGCGCGTAAAAATCACCATATCGCGATATATCGTTGTAAGACCCATTTTTTTTTAAAAATGATTTTGCCTGTTTCTTGAAATAGTTTTAAACAAATAACGCGTCAGTTTTGATATCGGCATGAAGATTGAGACAGATTTAGCAGTGGAGCGAATATGCTTAGCAGTAAAAAAATAATATGGATAAAAAAAGCGATTCGTCGGTTTCAGTCAAGGTTTAAGTTAGTTTCTCAACTTTTCTCCTAATTATTGGGAACGACCGAATGAGCCTATATTTTCCAAAAAAATGATTATTTATGAGCATTTATCAAAAAGCATTCATAAAACCAAATCTGATAATATATTCCAGCCCACGAAGCTTACTGCGAAAAAAAGTTATAATAATTCTTTTCCAGGTGAAACTCGAAGAAGAGGAGGAAGAAGATGAACAACAACAGGACTGGCGGTTCATGGCGATGGTTATCGATCGGTTATCTTTGTACCTTTTCACAGGCAATTTTTGAAGCTTCTTTTCGAAAATAGATCCCAGTCCATTCACACGCGTCTGAGCTAAATCTTTGGAAAAGTTCAATTTCCAAACTCTTGCAGATCTTATCTACATGATAGTTCATTCATAAGAGTGTGAGGTACAATTTAAAAAAAAAAATGGTTTTTTAGGCTTTTATAGATCTTATCTAAATGATACATGGAAATCGGTCTAGACTGTTTCGAAAAAAATTGAATTTTTTTGGATTTTTGATAGATGAGATTTATATGTTAGTCCATTCCCAACAGACTGAGCAAAAAGTATCGAAAAAAATTTTTTTGAAGTTTTTTTGTAGATTTTTATCAAAAAAATAGTCCGTTCACAACACTTTTATCAAACTTTTTGAGGCCTTGATTCACTTTAAAAAAATCCTTATTACGTTGAAAAAATATTCACTTATCAGTTAAAGCATTATCAAAATCAAGAAAAAAACATTAACTGAATAAATTTTCATTTAATAAGTGGTAAACATGCCTCAAAAAATCACTCTTCGCCTCAAGACCTTTATCAAAAAAGCCCATGCTCCTTTAATAACGTCTAAAATTGCAGATTCTTCCAATTTTTCAAAATTTCAGCTCTGATCATCTCCACAACTTTATTCGTGTTCCTGTCGACGCCAGGCCTTTTCACGACGAAACCTATTATTTGAACCTTTTTTCCAATTTTCTGTGTAAATAAATGGATTATCCGCTATTGATATGCAAGCATGGAAAGAAAAATAAAATAATTCAGGATTGAAAAAAACTTTTGCAATTTTTTGATTTCTCTACGCTTTTTTCCCTCATTCGCTCTTTTTAGGTGACTTTTCGATTTATGACCTCGCCGGTGAGGGAAAAGAGGGCGCAGACAGGTCAGACTTTTTCAAGACATGACGAATAATGTATATCATCTCATAGAGATTTTTATCGCGATTTTTATGGTCTAGTTCTATTTTTTTAAAGTAATAAAGAATTAAAAAAATCCTATTTCTAAGAAGTTTTGAAATTCCCGAAAAAAATTTTTCTAATGGTATTCGATATGAAAAATGAACGAATGCTCTTTTTTTCCCATTTTTCGCCAAAAACCTTTTTTATATTCATAAGCTTCACAGAGATTCTAAAGCTTTGAAATCCAATTTTATTTCAAAAAAAAAACGTCGAAAATCAGAAATCCGAGAAAAAGGTGGTGTGAGACGTGCACTTGCTTATCAGCCGCCGTCTCATTTTCCTTTTCCGTCCATTCTCATGCTATTTTGTAGCTTTTCCCTTCATTTTTCTCGCTTTTTTAATCGAAAATGTTGCGATCTGAATTATCAAGGAAAGATAACCGATTTTTCAATGAGTTTTGAGGAAAAAAATCTACTTTTTTTCAGTTTTTCTTGTTCTTTTTTGATAGTTTTCGTCGAATCCATGTTACTTTACATTGAAATTTTTGATTATTGCCTTCTTTTTTTGAAATTACATATCGAGAAAAAAGATTTACTGGAACTACATTGATTCGATTTAATTTCACTTCCGTCTGAAACATTAATCCGTTCGAAAGTTCTGTGATTTCCTTGATTTTTCCGATTTTAATTTCATTTTTTGTGTGTAAAATCTATCACTTCGAAAAAAATCCATGAATATGTAAAATTATGCAATTTATTGAAAAAATGGCCAATTTCCTGTTTGTAAAAGTTTTGCTCCACACAAAAAAAGATGAAAATGAAAAATGTAGAAAATCTACAAAACTCTCTTCACAGCTACTTTCAGAAATTCACAGTCATTTTTTTGATTTTTTCTCGAAACAATTGAGTCTAAAGAATGGTCGATTTACAGATATTCTTTTCAAAATATTTCAAAAAACTCTATTTTCAACTACTTCTGTTTTCGATTTCATATCCAATTTATAAGCCAGATTCTTATTTGTTATCATTAGATGAAGCGGATATTTTTTATAAAGGCGTTTTTGTATCCAGCCGCTTCGCGACCGCCCCGCGTTCAACCATTTTTATCACCTTTTTCTCTAAAATAAGTGGGAAAATTTCTAGTGGCTACTATAGAGGCTCGCTAAGGTCTACTCGGATAGGACACTAAAGTGGCCACTAAACCTTCCTCTACATTGGCCATTATTTTCCGCTTTAGTGGCCACTTCAGTAGTTTTTCATCCAGTTTTCCTTCCAGTAACTTTGATAATTTTGAAAAAACAAATTAATTGGACCAGTTATGTTGATCCATTGACCCCCTAAAGTGGCCACTAAAATTTTTTAGTGGTCTAGTAGTAACACTTAGACTTCTGTAGTGGCCACTAATTTTTAACTCCTCAAGCGGCCACTAATTTGAATCCTATAGTGGCCACTAAAACGTCAAAACCCTAAAGTAGCCACTAAAAATTTTGCCACAACTTTTTTAAATAACTGGGTCTATCTTACCTGATTTTTATGGTGATTGTTTTATGGCTACAGTAGTGACTTTTTGTTAAGTTTTTTGACGGGAAATTAGGTTTTTTTTTCATTTTATATTATTTTCCGACCATTCTCCTTTCAAGCCAGAAAAAACTTGACAAAAATCGAAATTTTCCCATTATCCACAATTAAAGATGCCATGCCGAAACGGTCGGCTGGTCCGTTACCCGGAATTCGAGGACTTCCTGGCCGGAGTCCGGAAAAACGGACCCCTTCATTGGATCTGCCAGCGGCGGAATTTCCCAGTCGGCTCGAGAGTTGGCAGTTCGCCAAGCGCCCGATCTCTCGCCGACATCAAAAGATCGGTTTTGGAATCCTCGAGGGTCAAGGTAAACTATCCTTTTGTCTAGTTTGTTCTGTGCTCAGCGCCAAATTGGAACCTTCAATCAGATAATCGAGACCAAATTGATAAGGGGCTGATAGTTAAAATGGAGATAAAATGGTTGTGATAAGGAAAGAGAGCGAATTTTGAAGGAAGGTTGGAAAAAAAAAGAAACTTCGATTTTAATTCATACCATACATGGGATAGTCTCGATGGGACCTGTAAAGGGAGGAAGAGGGGGGACTTAGTAAGAAAAAGGGGGGAGGGCAAAATCGTAAAAGCCAGTCAGGCTCCTCCCATGTATTCATACTTGATTCAGTCTGACTTCTCTGCGTCTCTTTTCCCTCACCCTGGAGGTCATAGAAACTTAGAAACAGCACTAGGTGAGAGAAAAGAGGGCGCAGAGAAACGAGATTATTTGGAGTTTTGGCGAATGATATTCTAAAGGTTTTTATCAAGATTTTAAGAGTCCAATTTAAATTTTTAGGCATTCCTAATTTTGAGCTCAGGAACATCAGAGTAGTCCTTATAGGGGCAACTTCAGGGGCGTTTGAAGGTTCCCTTTTAGGGACTGCTTGACCTCATCTTATAGGTGCACGAGAGTTTCCAAAAGTTTAAGTTTAAAACCCTACAGGGAGCACTTTTTCGTATCCTCTAGGGGCTGTTTCCCCTGACCCCTGTAGGGGCTACTCTAGCGTTTCTAAGAGTAGTGACATAGCGCATCACAAAGAAATTCCAGGTTTCTACAATTTCGCGACAAAGTTGCTCCATGGACAAAAAACTGATTTTTACAGAATGTGGTGGCTGAGGAAGCGATCAGAAGAGATTGGAAAGAAAAGTTGGTTTTCAAAGAAGCCGAGGCGATTTTGGAAGAAATGGCCCACGCGTACAGTATCTACAATGTTCGGGCGCTTGGATTCGTCGTTTGTGCGGCTATGGAGGTTATTAATATTTTAATTTTGACTATTATCCATTCCAAATGCGGCCAGGGGCGTTCAACTTGAAGAAAACGGTGTTTTGCTTCTTTTTCTAGTTGTTTTGAATGGAAAAGGCTTCGAGAAAACATAAATTTAGTCAAAATACGTCTTTTTCACAAATAGGAAATATTGAAAAAAATCTAAAAAAACTATGATCAGAAAGTTTTAGTTTCCTCTTCATGAACCCCCCATCAAAACTGGAAAATTTCGGAAGATCTTCTCAGTTTTTTTGTTTGTGTAGCTCATAATGAATTATATGGCAATCGAACATAAAATGCGATGCCAACCTTCTTTTAAATTAATATTGAAACGGGAAGGTGCTCTAATTCAAACTTCATTCTTCTTTCTAGAAACCCCCCCGGTCGAACTTTTGACCGCACTTTAGGACCTCCTGATATCAGAACAGAACAAAAAAAAAATGTCCCGTAATAGATCTGGTTTTAAAGTTAAGAAGCTTCAAAAGCTTGAAATGTCGCTTTTTCGTCAAAAAATGAGCATTTTGAGGACTTCGAAGCTTCATAACTCGAAAAATAGATATATTGCTAGAAATTTCGTACGTTGTCAGGAGGTCCTAAAGAACAGTTTAGCAAAAGTTTGGCTGCAAAAATTTCAACGGGGGAAGTTCCTTGGTCAGAGCTGTTCTAACAAGAAGCCGCGATCGAAAAAAATTTGATATATTTCTATCTATTTTGGAAATTTACATCTTCCATTTTCGATCATTCCCCAATTTACACACTCCATGAACATTTCGAGACGAAATGGTTCAAAAAAATGGGCAATTTTTTTCGATCGCGTTGCAAACCCCCAGCTCTGATTTTTTTCATCATTTTTCAGAAAATGTTCGACTCAATAATGGTGAACGAGCAAATGTTGCTGAAAATCCGGGCGATGAGTCCAAATGACGCCGTCATTTTCATGCCGTCTCACAAGACCTACATGGATTTCATCATCCTTTCTTTGATCTGTTTCCATTATGTGAGTACATTTCGAGCTTTCTGACCTGTCTGCGCTCTCTTCTCTCTCACAATTTCTCCTAACAGAGAAATTTCAAAAATTTATCAGACGTAATTTTTCCCGCTGATTCTGAATCTGTACTTGAAAAACGGCGAAAAGGTCTGCACGTGATAAAAAAGAGAAAAAATCTTCTTTTTTTTATAGTCTGTTCAGATTTTATATGTCAAGTAGAATGACGTCATTCTAAAATGCTCTGTGGGTGGCTCGCTCTCTGATTTGGTTTATCGCGTCATTAGGGGGCGGAGCTTTGGCGAGGACTTGACATTTGAAATCTGAACAGATTATAAAGCCACGACGTTTTTGTTAGTGGAAGGAAAGGCAAATCCAAAAATGAAGGGGCGTGGTCAAAACCTCCCATGTGACGTCATGAGAAAAACGCGTAAACAACAGGAAATATTAAAGGCGCATGGTCATTTAAAAAACGCGATTTTTCTGTTTTTTCTTAACACATGGAAGTAATTCCGCGAAACTCAAAATAGCCTGGTACCAAGTCCGGAAAATCTATCTTGAAATCATTTTTTAGCTTAAACACCATTTTTCAAAGTTGTCCAAACGCTTAAAAATTTTGAGCTTTAACTCTTTATGACTCCGGTCATTTCTCAACAAATTTGAGGGGCCATAACTTTTTTCACAGACATTCCTGTCAATTTTCAAGCTTAGACTCGGAATCAGCTCAAAAAATAACCCCTAGTTGCCACATTCCCGTTCAAAATTCCCAATTTAAGCTGAGAGCGTTTCCTGGGGAGAGATTAGAGAGCGCAGACACGCCAGACAGTTTCAGAATGAGGCAAATTTCCAGGAAATTCAACTACCAGCGATCGCAGCTGGGATGGACTTCATGAACATGAAGTTCATTGGGGAGCTTCTCCGCCGTTCCGGAGCCTTTTTCATGAGACGATCTTTCGGCCATGTTTAACTGAAAAACCGCGACGCGACCGCAACGCAGCACTTTTCAGGACAAGTTATACTGGGCCGTTTTCACCGAATATGTCCAATCGCATATCGTCTTTAATGATCGGCCAGTAGAGTTTTTCGTGGAAGGAACTAGAAGTCGAGTCGGGAAAAGCCTGCATCCCAAGTATGGCCTTCTACAGATTGTTCTGGAGCCTTACTTGAGAGGCTCAACTTTTGATATTGTGAGTTTCCACAGAATTTTAAAAACGGTCCATATAATTCATTCACATCTGGCTTGGAAGGAAATAGTGTCTAATCCTCTTCTTTTTGCACACTGTCTCGCTGAAACCTGTTGAATTTCTCTCAAGCCAACGGTTAATGGACCACAGTCCATTTTTTTGCGGGGAAAGGGCTATAATTCATTAAGAAAAATATGAATGGACTTATAAGCCTATGGAAAAGGCCAGAGTCAAAAAAACTGATTCAGTGGAAAAAGTCAGAAAAAGGCCTCCGATTTGGGATTTTAGGCCTCGATCTTTTCCTTTTTTTTTCTGATAACGTTTGTCCAATCCTCTTCTTTTGCACACTGTCTCGCTGAAACCTGTTGAATTCTTATCGAGCCAGCGGTGAATGGTCCATTTGGGCCTAAGGAAAATGCCAAGGTCAAAAAACTGATTTAGTGGAAAAAAAAGTCAAAAAAGTGAAGAAAAGTCAAAAAAAGGCCTCCGATTTGGGATTTTAGGCCTCGCTATTTTCATTTATTTTTCTGATACTATTTGTCTAATCCTCTTCTTTTTGCACACTCTCTCGCTGAAACCTGCTGAATTCTTATCGAGCCAGCAGTGAATGGTCCATTTGGGCCTAGGGAAAATGCCAAGGTCAAAAAACTGATTCAGTGACAAAAAAAAGTCGGAAAAAAGGCCTCCGCACTCTGATTTGGGATTTTAGGCCTCGTTATTTTCATTCATTTTTCTGGTAATGTATTTTTTTTGTCATGCCTATGACGTATAGTCCGTGGGCCGCGACTTGAAATTTTTCGAGTGTCTCCGTCTCTCTGTTCCCTCGTCGTTTAGGTCAGAGAAACATGAAAAGAGCACGTAAAAGTGAGAGAGGCGAGGAGGGCGCAGAGAAGTTTTTTTTTACTCTGCGCCCTCCTTATCTCTCGCCTTTCAAATCGCGGGATTCGTGAAAAATGGAGGCCGAAGTCAGAAAAAATTCCGGAAAAAAAGAAGGAGGCCGAATTTTACAAATCGCGGCTCTTTTTTGAATCTTTTTTTCCCATCAAAACCCCGGATCCTTGTAAAATAAAGCATTTCAAGCCTATTACAGACAATTGTGCCAGTCTCAATGACCTATGACAAAATTCTTGAAGAGAAACTGTATGCCTATGAACTCCTCGGCTTCCCCAAACCGAAGGAATCGACGTCAGGTTTTTTTGAAAAATAATTTCATAAAAAAAAGTAGAAAAATCTCAGGATTATTCAAAGCTAGGGAAATATTGAACAAGAAGAACGGCAGCTGTTTTTTGACGTTCGGGGAGCCGATTTCAGTTCGGAAATATTTTGGCGTCTCTCTTCATCGGAGCGCTTTCGTCTGTCAGGTTTTCGGTATTTTATATACTTTTGAAACGAGGGAAGAAGACTAAATAACAAAAATCGATACAGTCTGCTCACAGATTTTCTCACAGAGTCAGCTTTTGAAGGTCAAGTACAATGACGTCATTAGAAAACGCTCTGTGGATGGCTCTTCTTTTGATTGGCTCATTGCGCTATTAGGGGCGGAGCTTGAGCGACGGCCTGACTTTCAAAATCTGAACAGGACTTCAGAGTGGTCCCTATAGGGGCAAACCTAGAGAAATGTATTTTCAATTTTCAAGTTTAAAAAAAGATTTTAAAAAAAATTAAAAGACCCTATACGGACCACTTGAGCTTTGGGAGCTTAGGAATGAGATCTCACATCCCTATAGAGACTACTTTAGCGTTTCTAAGTGTACTTCCCATAGTCCCAATTTATAATAATTTAAGATTTTTGTTTCAAAAGATCTTCATCTACTATAATTTTTTCAAAAGGCAAAATGCGGAAGTCGTTTTGGGTCGGTTGCAGATTGGAATGATGTGTCAACTTACAAACTCACATGACTTAGTTGAAAACAATATATTGTCCACGCAAAAATTCAGAAAAATGCCAAAATGGTCGCAGTGGGAATGGCTTAATGCGCAAAAGCTGCGAATTTAATTTTTTGAATTTTTTGCTTTTTTTTCAGTTCACCCGACCTCAAAGCGACTTGCGCCTTTCATACAAAATTGTTCTCGATTTTTATTTTTTTTAAATCAGGAAAAAAGTAAGATTATCGACGTAAAAAAACTTTCAATAACTTCCGGTTGTTCTCATTGAGCCATTCCAAATGCGACCATAAAGCTTCAATTCCAGCTATATCGCTCGATTTTGACGTTTTTTATTTCCGTTTTTGAAGATTATTTTCAGCCAGACTCCCAATTCGTCCTAGACGACCAAGCAAAACGAGAAATCAAAAGATTCGCCCATCAAGTCGTCGAAATTCAAAATAAAAATGCGGTCATCACTGTTTGGTCCCTCGCTTCGATGGTCATGCTACAGGTACTTTCCAAAAAAATAAATCAACCTAAATTCAAGCCAGGAACTTGACCTGAACGACCTGACGACGTTCCGTTATCGTTGGCTCCACGAAAAAGTCCACGATCTTCTCAAGCTTCTTCACTTGCTAGGAACTACTGTGAATGTTCAAGAGAACTTGGATCATGACTTAAGGTTTTTTTTTCTTCATTTAATATCGATTTACGGGCGTTTGGCCTTCTTAACTGAGGAACACTAGAGTGGTCTCTTTTAGGGCAACTGTAGAAATCCTTGAAGGTTTCCCTCTAGGGACCACCTTACATTTTCAAGCTTTAGGGCCCCCTCAAGGGGTTCTAGTTAATGCGCATAATGGGGGAGTAGGATAGTGGTCCCTAGAGGGTGTTCAGTTTTTAATAAATTAGCATTATTGAAAAGGGAAAAAAATCAATGAAACTTTCAAGTTTCAAAGTATAAAAAAAAAATCGAAAAACCCCTATAGGGACCACTTGAGCTTGAGGGCTTAGGGACTGACTATAAAACCCTATAGTGACCACTAATTTCATCCCTATAGAAATTGTTCCTTTTAAAATTTAAAATCAAGTCTTTTTTAGGTTTTTCCCTGCTAAAAAGATATATAAAAGAAAAAATCTTATCAAAAAGTTGAAAGAAAAATGGCAAAACGAAAATACAAGGATAGGACTCGAACTTTGGTATTGAACTTTCCAGTCTAAATCGTTAACCTCTAGGCTAACTGCTTAATGAGTTTTATGAAAGTACGATTTTTGAAAGACCTGTACAAAAACGAATAACAACCAGAAACTCTAGTAGAACATTGAATAGAAAAAGTGGAACGACAAAAAAAATTCTCTCAGAGGATTCGAACCTTGGTCACGGATTTCTTAAGCCAAAGACTTATCCACTAGGCTATATGTTAAGCTTAGAAGCTGCTCCAGAGCTCTAAGATTAGATTGGGCTTTTCAAAACTGTACGAATAAGAGAGAAAGTTATTGAGAAAGCCATTCGCTTGGAAAATTCATAGAAAGAGTGAAACGGCAAAAAACTTCTTCTGTCAGAGGATTCGAACCTTGGTTACGGATTTCTTAAGCTAAGACGTTATCCACTAGGCTAAGTTTCATAGGCATCAAATCAGGCTTGATCCCCTAAGTGCACGAAAAAAGTTTGAATAAAGTAGCGAACCCAACTCAGAAACTTCTATAAAGATTGAAACGGCAAAAGAAATTACATCAAAGATTCAACTTTTCTACTCTAGTGCGCTACTAATTAGACTATTTGACTAGTTGAAAAATTTCTTTCTAAAAAAAAATAAGAGAAAATTCGAGATTCACGATTTTATTCCCTCAAATTCCGATTTCATTACACGCCGACCACGAATCGACGCCACAACCACCGCAGTGGCGGAAAATGAAATGTGTTGTACGCAATGCACACGATGCATAAAAATTGACGCGCAAAAAACAAAATTGAATCTTATTATGACCAAAATTCGTTTTCATTCAGAGATAGCCAAAGAAAATTCTGAAATATTATTCTAAAAAAATCGTACCAGATTTTTGTGAAGCGCTCTAAGAAAATATATGAAATATATTCAGAAAGCCAGAAAAGTAACTTTTTTAAAAGCCAAAATATTTTCAAAAAATTTTCAGCTCAAAAGTAACCCAATAAAAGTCCTAAAAAGGTTCAAAAATTTGAAGGAACTACCTGACGATCCACGAAGATTTGTTCGAACGTAGCTCCGACGAGGATTTCGTGCTCCGACTTGTCGACCAGCCCGTCGAGCAGGATTCCGCGGGAATCTCGAAGATCATCATGGGAAGAGCCGTTTCCCGACTGATCCTCACCACCTATTCCAACGGGGTGCGACTTTCCTCTTAATTTTCTTTGATTTCAATGATTTTTTGGCTTACAGGAATATTTCAGGCCATGTCAAGTTATTTCATGGATTTCAACATTGACATTATGTTCGTTTGAAATAATTACGCGAAATAAGCAAAATTAGACTCGAAATAAATCATAATGGTCTCAATATTCAACCAGGATAGCGCACGATTTATCCCTGTAGGGGCACTTCTTCCTCCCCTTACCCCTATAGGGACCACTTAAGCTTCAGGAGCTTTGGGGTCAGACCGTGAAACCCTATGAGGGACACGTGAGCTTCACTCCCATAGGGGGCACTTTTTCTCCCTCAGAGGGGCTGCTTTACTCCCCTGACCCCTATAGAGAGCACTCTGGAGTTCCTTAATTAGAAGATTGTGAAAAAATTGGGTCCTACAACGAAATGGCGACGCGAATTCAAAATTTTGGTAAAAAATGAGCCATATCAATGCGATTTTTACGTGGAAAGATAATTTTTCGTATTTCAAATAATCATTTTGAACGAATAAAACGTCATCAGAATTGCTAAATAATAACAAAACCTCTAGAGAACCTTAAAAAGCGGAGATTAAATTAAAAATGTCTTATAATTTTGTTCAGGAAAATGGGGAGGGCTATTTTCATTCACAGCTCAAAAAAGACGCAAAAATGGACTTGAAAATGCTTCTAGAAGGGACCAAAAAGACCCTTCAAACGGCTATTTTGTTCCATTTTTTTCTTATTTTTTTCTATTCTTAAGCTCTTATAGAATTAGCTAAAAAACGCCCAAATCTCAGTTATTTTTCGGAATTTCGCAGAAAAGCTAGAAATTTAAAATTCAAACTTTCCAAAATAGGATCTCTGTTTCGCAGAAAACTGGTGTTTCAAGCCGAAAAAAATGAAAAATAAAATTTACTTTGAAAATTTCATTTTAGCTAAAACTAAAACTTAGGGGTCGCTATAGGGATCATCCAGCTTTATTCAAAAAAGGCTTTTTTTTAGTTTTTCGCATTTAAATGCTTCTCCTTATAAGGGCCCCCCAATTTGCCTCTGTAGGGACCACTCTGGATTTTCTAAGGAAGTCAATTTTTCAAAAATTCAGATGATACATGCTGTGGACAGCGAAGGGATTCTGTGTATTTTGGTACGATCCATGGAATCGGCAAGTATTGATCAGCTTCGGAAAGAGTTTTTGGTGAGTAATTTATTGAAAAAAATAAACTTGTCATAAAAAAATAAAGCTTCGACTTTTTTTATCGTTAGAATCTCGAAAACATCAATCTGACGAAAAAAAACATTTACTTGGCAATTTTTTTCTTTTTTTCTAAATTTTTTTCTCAAGGAAAAGACATAAAAATCATTTTCAGAAAAAAATATCGATCAAACTTCTTGATAAACTTTTTCAATTATGAGAAAGGCACAAAATGGCAGTCAAGTTCAATTTTACTGAGCTGAAAACTGTTTTTTTATGTTGAAAAAAACATTGAAAACCTGGAAAACGTGCCGTTGAGAATGATTGATAGCGAATGACCAAGAAAAAGGTAAAAAATCGAAAATGGTCAATTTTTGGGCATATTAGGTCAATGCAACATTTGGCGCGCCTGATCAAAATATTTGTCAATTTCGACTTAAAATCCTGCTTTTTTTCCCTTTTTTTAATAATATTTCGAAAGGGAATCTAGATATGAAGCACAAAATGACGTAGAAAAAAATTTTTTTAGCTTATCTTAATTTTTCCAGCTTCGCATTTCATTTTTTTCATTTTACTTCCTAATCGAGGTAAAATTTGTAGAATGAAAAAAATTTTTTTAAATATATATATAGATCATTTTTATCTTTCTGCGTAAATCAATCAAGAGCCGTTTCATTTGATATATCTAGATCCTGGGATACGAAAGGTTTTTTCCAAAAATTTTCCAACCCATAATTTTAATACCCCTATAGGGACCCCTACGACAAGCTTTGGAGGGCTGTTTAGTCTATAGGGGTCCCTCATAGATTCCCACAAAAATCAAGTTAAAAATCATGATTAATATTTTCCAGTTGGCTACACTTCCTATTGAAACGGGAATTCGTCAGTACGCCCGGGGAGTTGAACAAATTGTTCGATGAAACGTTGGGAATCCTTTTGGAAGCTCGAATTTTGGACATTTTCGAAGAAAGGCCGGTTATTCTGGCCGAGAACTACTCTCGAAAGCTTGAACTGATGATTTTGGTGATTTTCTAATTTTTATTCTCGGGAGTGGATCAATTTTAGCCCTATATTTTCAACTTCAAAATGATTTTCGATGCTGCAAAATCGCTTCCAGCAACTTTCAAGAGTTTGAATGAAGTCGTTCCGAAAGTTCAGGAGGTATGTCTTTCAAAAAAAAGATCTTCTAAGGGTTTTTATAGTCAATTTATGCATCTTTTTCCCATCCTCTGATGAAAAGAAACTAAAAAGATTCCAGGGGAACCCTCTGAGACTATAAGAAAGGGGCTCAAAAGCTTTTTCGCATGATTTCTGAAGCTTTTCAGCTCTTTTTGAGGCACTCAAGAGGGTTTTTCTGTTTTCTCTCGAAATATATCATTTTCAGCACATTTGCAACGTTTATTCCACTGGAAGCCAACCAGTTCGATTGTCTTTTTTGTCGACTGAACCGATCAAAAATGCTCTTCTCGCTTTGTTGGACCTTCAGGCGATCCGAAGAACTGTGAGTTGGAGAAAAAAATCTAGGATATGATAGAAAAAAACCCAACTTGATAATATCCTTTTTGAAATTATTATTTTTCCTAGAAATTAAAAAAATAACATTGTCAAAATTTAACTTTTTTTGTTGGCAGGCGTTACACTAGGAGCATTTAGAAAAATATTTCTCGCAAAAAGATTTTTCTTTGAAATACGGCTACTTTTTCACGACTTTTTGAAGTCATTGCACAAAGACCAGAGATCAACTGCAATCTGAAGAGACGCCAGAGAAAGAGGAAACTTCTGCTTCTCTGGCGTCTCTTCAGCCCGCATTGTCTCTCTCTTTTTTCAAAAAAATACCTCTCAGGAAGCCGGATTCGAGATCGACAGCGGGAAATTGACACAGGAGCAGTCGAGGATAGGAAATTATGTCAACAGTCGGAAAAACGCCAACTCCAAGCTTTAATAAAATATTCTTCGGTCTTTTTCAGAACCCACAGCATTCAAATTTTGCAAAAAAGGCATAGAAATTTATTGGTAAATAATAGAAATATTAGAATTAATATTTCTTTTTGAGCAATATGTACAAATAAAACAATACAAACATTGAAAACTCAACAAATCAAGATTTAAAAAAGTCTACCAGAGCATTTTAAATTGGTTGAAATACTCGTCAGCCTCTCCGATTGGTTGAACCTGCGTTCGATTCGTTGTTCTCTTCGGAAAACGGCGGCAAAGATGCGGGATTTGTTTCAGAAAGGCCGTTCTCCACGTCGGCATCGACAGTATTGTCACCGGGGCGATGTAGAGAGCGTTTCTAGAATTTTTGACGGTCAGAATATGGATAGTCCACTCGTAACTGCTTTCAGAAATTTTTAAAAGCTTCAGTTATAAAATCACTTAGGAACGCCAAAGTGGTCCATATAGGGCCCCTGGAGGCTCTTCTCTAGGGACCACTTTATCTCCTCTATGAGGGGCCACTAAAGCTCGCAAAAGTGGCCTCTACAGGAGTCATGTTAGTCGATTGATGGTATGAACCTTATAAGAAAAAATTTTTTCTCGCATAAATTTCAATATGAATGAAAATACCCTTCAGGAACCACTCGAGCTTTGAAGGCTTTGCGGTCAGACCTCTATAGGGACCACCTAAACTTCACCCCTATATGGAGCACTTTTTTGTTCCTCACCTCTCTGGCGTCTGGGAAAATTTTTAGTGGCCACTATAGAGGCTCGCCAAAGACTACTTGGAGAGGACACTTAAGTGGCCACTAAACCCACCTAAATAGTGGCCACTATTTTCCATTTTAGTGGCCACGTCAGTAGTTTTTCATCCAGTATTCCTTCCAGTAACTCTCATAATTTTAAAACAAACAGATTGGACCAGTTATTTTGATCCATTGACCCCTATAGTGGGCACTAAGATTTCTAGTGGTGTAGCACTAGACCTCTATAGTGGCTCCTGATTTTTAACCTCTTAAGTGGCCACTAATTTGACTACTATAGTGGGCACTAAAACTTCAAAACCCTATAGTGGCCTCTAAAAATTTTCCCAGTACATAAGCATTGTGTGATACTCAGGCAAGAAAAGCTTGTGAAAAACAAATTTTCTCCCTAGAATGCTTGAAGCACACAAATCTTAGATTAAGGTGTCTCTAAACGATAAACTAATGCTTGTTTGGGGTCCCTCAAGGGGTCTCTCATAGGGCCCTTATTGAGCCCCCTGGAGGGACCCCTCTGAAATTCCTGCAAGTTTAATGAACTTCTTCTCATTCAAGCAGCTCAATTCATTTTTCGAAATTGGAATTCGAATATCCTTTTTTAAAACTCAAAAAAATGTATTTTCAATTTTTGTGTTATCATTTTATTATAACCCTTATCTATGGCTCATAGCGCATAATTTCATTTCCCTGATCTTATTACCTGCAAGAATCAAATTTGCAGGTGTAATAGCAAAGTTTGAAACAGATTACACAACTTTCCATGATTCAAAACTTCCGGCCAGGTGTTTTTGCAACAAGGGAAACTTGAACAAAAAAGTATTTAATTTGGTTTTTTTCGCGTCTGAGACTTTTTATTGAATTTTTTTCATAAGAAACAAAACTTACAAATTCAGAACGGCCTCCATGATGGAGAACATAATATTGGACACGAAATCGGAAACCAATCGATATGTTCCCAAAGTCAATAGAATTCCATTAAAAGTGAGAGTCCCGACGGCGGTGGCCACCAGATAACTCATCAACTAAAGTTCATTTTTAAACTTTATTTAAGGTGAAAAATGAGGTTTTGTATATTTATGAGATCGTTTAGAGCCTTGAGTCTCATTCAAACGTTTTTTTATAAATTGCACAGAATTTTTGTACTTTTTTCCAGAAAAGTTTCAGTTCGGCGCCAGGACAGCAAAGCAACAACAATAATGAATTTTTTTATAGCCTGTGTACCACGACTTGGAATTTCACCGAACGACATTCCGCTGTGCCGTTGCGCTTTCAATTTTTTTTTTCTTTTATTAAGGTTCTCTACTTTCATGAGCTCCCACAGAAATAAAAATCAATTGAAAGACGCTTCGCGAACGCACGCAGCGGAACAGCGGAATGTCGTTCAGTGAAATTTCAAGTCGTGGCATCCAGACTTTACTTAGAACGCCAGAGCGGTTTCTACAGGGGGAAAACATCCCCTATAAGGTTAAAAATAATCGCCCAGCATGTCCCCTCTAGTGGCCACTAAAAAACCCTTACAAATACAGCCTGTGCAAGCTCTAGTGGCCCCTACAGGGGAAAATACCATCTTTGCAAGCTCTAGTGGCCCCTATAGGGGGATAAAGTCATCCATTGAAAGGAGCAAGAGAAAGGACCCCTATAGGGATCACTCTGGCGCTCCTATTCAAATAATTATTTAGTGATTCACAAATATATCCTAATCGGAAGCCTTTTTCTCGTAAAACATTTTTCCAAACCTTTAAACATCTCAAATTCTCGCGAGCCTGGTATCTCTTGGCCAATGAATAGGCATAGGTCCGGTATTGCTCGTTCATTCTTTTTTGTATTTTAAAATTGTAGTAATTGAGATAGAAATATGTCTGGAAAAAAATAATGATTATAACGATCTTCTCATTTGGAACGCCACAAAGTTACATGAATGACACAAAATCCCCCTTTCTTCGTTTTTGAGGAAAAAAACTCTAGTGGTCCCTTAAGAAGCTCCTCGGGGACTACTAGGAGAGGACACTAAAGTGGCCACTAAAACCATCTCTATAAAAGTCCGAGCTTTGCGTCTTAGTGACCACTATACCGGTCTCTAGTAGCACCACTTGGACTTCTGAAAAAGCCATCAAATTTTAATAACTTAAGTGGTCACTAATTGGACTGCTACAGTGACCAATAAAAAATACAAACCCTAAAGAGACCACTAAACATTTACGAGTCATTAAAATATTTTATTATTTCTCATTAAATGACTCAAAGCGTTACAGTTCTCCTTTATCAATTCCTCAAGCTGCGCCCGACTTTGAGCGGCTTTTCTCCTATTATTCAGGATGCTTTAGAACGCAAGTAGTTTTTTGTCGGTTGCACTGGGAACCGTTATTGTTTGAACCATTATTTGCAACAAGGACACATTGAAGAGATGAAAAAATTAAGATTTTTCAACTCAAAACTAACCAAAATTGACGGGACCAAAATAGATAGAACTATAATCAGGGTAACCGTGTAGAAAAACTGCTTCAAAACAATTAATGCAGAAAAAATAATCGTAAAAGTTTCAGCCGTAAGTATTAACAATATAGAAATATATCGTCGTTTTTTCTTCTCGTAGTCACTGAAAAAAAAATAGCCTAGATCTCGTCAAATGTGCTCCAATGATAATGACGAGTTTTCTTCGAGAATTTTGAGAAAAAATGAGCAAAAGACAATGGAAACCTGATATTCAATGTTCTTTTTTTCTTTTTCATAGATGAAAAAGAAAAAAAGTACATTGAAAAACTATACAAAAAAAGCCGAAAAAAAGCGATAAAGAAAATGAGAAAAAAAAACACAGCCAAAATTTGAGAAAGTGCGCTCCATTGATAACGACGAATTTTCTTTAAGAATTTCGAGAAAAAAATTGAGCAAAAAACAATGAAAACTTCAGTTTCTGAGAAATCAAAAAAGCGGTGTGGTTACTTTAAAAAGTTACTTTAAAAACCATAGCCTAAATTTGAGAAGATGCGCTCCATTGATAATGAAGAATTTCGAGAAAAAAGTGAGCGGATTTTAATGAAAAACTCAGTTTCTGATAACTATGCGAAGAAATAAGATCTTTTCTAATTTGAGAATCCAAAAGAAAAACCAACTCGAGCCAAAAAGAAGCGATGGACCGTTCCACGACAAATACTGTAACAGTAGAAATCATAGCAAAGACGTAGTGAATCCTGAGAAATCCTCCCAGAAATAACAGCCAATGGCAACTTAAGTGCAACGTTGGGATACCGTGGTAGACTTTGTTCCTTCGGTACTTGTAGTTTTCTCCTGGAAAATTTTTTATTTTTTTATTTTTTTGAATTTTACGAAAAATACATGCAATAGAAGTCTTGAGAAGGCCTAAAAACCTAGGAAATTGGGCTTTGTTTGAAAATCAATTTAAAAAATAAAAGATCATTAAAAAATTGGTCTTGATAATTCATTCCATAACTGTTACAGAAATTAAATTTCATTATTCTTTTTAAAAATTTATTACAATAAAATTTTTCAATTAACGAAAAAAAGATAACTTGACTGAAAAACAATAGAATAAGAAATAGTCGAACAATGAACACAGTGACAAAGATATACATATTCACTTCTAAAAAAAAATTAATTTTCAATCAAGGTCAAAAAATCGATAGCGCACGCCCAATCGTGCAAGGTCCGCACGCTTTTTTTGCAGTCCAGAGCGTCATTTCCTTGAAAATTTTTTTCCACTATTTTTTTCCATATCTTTACCGCTCTGAATGATATCATAAAGAACAAACCCCCAACTTGAATCCAACCTTCTTGGTAAGGTAGAATACACAATCTCGCCACGAAACATTCGATCCATTGAGCCAAAAAAGTCACAATGATGATGGTCATGTTGACGTGGAAAATCCTGTTTTTCGATGCGATTCGGCAAACCAAAGCCGTCAGAATCAACGCAGGAATGTGAAGAAATAATTCCAGTGATCTGAAATCGTACAATGGTTGGAGTTTTGTATTGAATAAAGACCTCAGAACCCAGTACCACCAGCTAAGTTCGGGGCTCTCATTCATCGTGTAAATGGGAAGCCAGATAATCGTACCATCTTCGTTTGTTAATTGGACATTCATACTGAAAAAACTTGAAAATAAGATTGTTTTTTTAATCGATCTAAATAAATATGACACTCTTAGGAACGCCAGAGTGGTCCCTATAGGGGTCTAGGTCAGCTCCCTAAACTGTATTCACTATGTTTCAGAATATGAATATGCTTCTGCTCATGGAATTCCTAAAAATAATCGACTAGCATTGTCCCCTGAAGTGGCCACTTACTAAAACATCTAGAGGGGCCACTTTTGCAAGTTTTAATTCCCCCCTTAAGGGGAGATTGAACGCGGCCCAGAAAGGAGCCTTTAAAAACCCCTATAGTGACCACTCTGGCGTTGCTAATTTGAAAAAGCTTTGAAAAATTGTTTTTATATTGATATTCATCTTCGAGCGAATGGCAAACACAACAAGGAAAACTTCAGAAATTTCTGAAAATCAAAAAAAAAACCTCAACGAGCGCCAGCGCTGAATAAGTGCTCAAACGCGCTCCAATGAGTCATGCTTCTAATTGGCTGGCCACGCCTTTTTTTTGAATGCGGAAGGCGGGGAAAAATTCAAAACTAGTTTTGCGTTCTCTCTACATTTTGAAATCTATTCGTGGAACGGAAAAACTTGAAATCAAACAAAATATTTAGATAATTGAAGTTCAGAAATAATTTTAAAAAAGCAAAGTTATTGACGCTATAAGAAACAAATCATGACCTTTTCAGGATTCAAAAAAATAGAAAAATTCCAGGTGAAAAAAATGGAAAAAAATGAACTTGTAAAATTTTTTAGAAGCTCTTTCTCATCAATAAAAAAACGAAAACAATCAAAAAAATTTTTGTTTTGGACCTTTTTAAGCTTGGAGTTCTAAGAAAAGAAAGAAAAAATGATTTCTGGTTCTGAAAAAATCATCCAAAACACATTCAAACTATATTTTCGCGTATATTAAATTCTTTTTAGTCTATAATTTGCTGAGAAATGATAAAAACAAGCTGCAAAAAAACGAAAAGCTATTTTTTTCTGAATCATTAATAAAGTTATGAGAAAGCTTGATGAAAACCTACGCGCCTTGGCATTTGGAAATAAAAATGAGAGGCGTAAACTCGTGAAACTTTTTTTCCGAACAGGTGAAAGTTTACAACTTTACTTGGAACCGACTCTGGATTTCGTAAGAAAAACTCGATTTGTATGTAGTTTACTAAAAGTTGAAAAGCCATGACCGCACTTAAAATGGCTCGGCTCAGTTGCTGAGCGGTTGTTTTGAAGCGCAACCGACCTCAAACGACTTCCGCGCGACGGCATTGATTATTATCAGACGGAGGTGCTTAATTCAAAGTCGGCTGTGACACCATTGCGTACGCAACGCAACCGCGACGCTTTGAGCCATTCCCCGTGCGACCATAGGGTTTTCAGAAACGGCGGATGAACTACTCTAAAAAAAGTTGCGGTGCACCCCGCGTCGAACTCTCGGTGCACCCCGCAGTGTAACCAGAGGTGCACACCGTTTAGCTTTAAATGCCTATTAAAGTACATTCCGTACAGAATTTCGAAGTGGTTTTTTCCCAATATCATAATTTTTTTACAGTTTCATCCTATCTCAAAAGAAACTTTTTATTTCCGACCGGTTGCCCCAGGGTTCACCCTAGTTAGGTCCAACGCGGGGTGCACCGAAAGCATCGATGAAAAGTTCACGTTTTCCGGGGCTCACTACCGATTCACACACATTCATTTATGGTTTAAAAAGCACATTAGCGGACATTTGACTTTTAAGTTTTTGATAACTGTTGGATGAAGTAGAAAAGTAGTGTTTTTTGTGGATAAAAGATTTCTAACTATAAATAAACACTTCATTGAATTTTTTTAAATTATTAGGACTAGAGTTGACTCAAAAATCAGATTTTTAAAGCTTTATAGGCTTCCTAAGCGATATATATTTTCGATCTCATTGAAATTGCGCCTAATTTTTTCTTTTTTTCATTTAAAAAAATAAATAAAATGAATGAAAACCAGGAAGTTGAAAAAAATATTATTTTTCAAATTTTTCAAATTTTTCATTGGTACAAAAAGGTTAGAAGTGAGAAATCAGTTAACTTTTAGGGATTTAAAATAGATGAAAATCATTTTTAAAAAAAATTTTCCAAAATTTCTTCCTTGTAATTTGATACCAGAAACACTGAATCTCTTATCAAAAAAATCAAATTTCAAAAAAATTCGTCAGCCAGCGTAGCCCAATCTTTTTAACTCGGGGCAATTGAAAAAGTAACGAGATTTTTTTGACCTCTAAAACTTGCACTTCCCTGAGAAAAAGGAATAAATCAAGTCTGGAACCTTTTTTTATTTCCGAAAAAAAACAGTTTTTTTGAACTTTTTTTATTAAATTAACAACTTTTTGAAAAAAATCAAATAATTTTTATATAAAATTTAATAAAACTTTTAAAAAAAACTTGAAAAAAATATAAATCCAAAATACTGGCAAAAATACAATGAACCATGAAAGGAATGAGCGAATTTTTTTCTCTTAAAATTGCTGGACGATTCTGACTTGCTAAAGTGATCACTATAGGGCTCTAAAACTACTCAAGTGATTCCTAAACTGCTGTGGACCATTGCATATGGAATCCACTAGAAAACTGAAAAAAACCTGAAAGTTGAAAGGTTTTAAAAAATCAAAGAGACCAATTTTAACTTGCAAAAAGCTACCTAAATCTTTTCCACTGTTCAAAATTAAAGTCAGCCTCATTTTTTCTTTTCAAGTGGATTTTTTTTCACTCAAGTGATCACAAAATCGCTCAGAAATGTCCTAGAAGTAAATATATTGCGATTCTCCTTCGGAATACACAATAAAAACACTGGCAAAATAAAATGAACCAGGAAAGAAAGGAAAAAATCATTTTCTCATAAAATTGCTTGACGATTCTGGCTTGCTCAAGTGATCATTATAGGGCGCTAAAATCACTCAAGTGATCACTAAATTTCTGAGGATATCATGCGATCCTCCCTCGGAATATACCATTTCATATAAAATCCACTATAAAACTGATAGAAAACCCTGAAAATTGAGCAGATTATAAAAATATAAAAAGGACATTCTTACCTCAAAAAATCTACCAAGACTTTTTCAATTGTTCAAAGTACTGGTCAGTCTCCTGTTTCTTTTTGTCATGGATTTTGTTCGGCTTTTTTATCGAGCCGAGTTTCTTCAATAAGGGCACTGATTGCAGAAAAGCCGATCTCCAGGCCGGCATGGACATGATTGTCACCAGGGTGATCCATAGAGCGTTTCTAAAAAAACTTATTTTTTTACCAAAATCAAGCTATCATTGACTCAATTCTTACAAACTACTTCATGAAATTTTTTTCACCAAGAAGAACTTTTTTTGAATAAACCTGTCACTAATACTCAGGAAAAAAAATTTTTTGAAAAAAAAAATTTTAGAATTTCGTCAAGATCACTGAGACGATTTTTTTCAACGCACCCGACTAAAAAAACAACTTGCGCGCGGCGGCATTCTTTAGCTTGCAATTAAAATGAGCTCGATCAACTTCAAAATAAAAAAATCATGGCTCAATTAGACGCCTTATCTTTTTTTCATCTTCTCAAAAAAATTTCGAGCCTACCTGAAATCAAGAAAAAAATGAGAACAAGATACAAAAAAATAAAAAAATAAACGTTTCGAAAAAAACATCAAAGAAAAATGTATCAATAGAGCACATTTGTACGTGAATAAGAGGTTGAAAAATTCAAACTGTCTTTTTTTGAAATTCACTTTCTTATTTTTTTGCTTCATTTTCAAATTCTATTGGAGCATAAATTATGACTGGATCCAAAATAGTTTTTTTTGAACCGGTAGACTTGGCTTCAGGTTTTTCCGAGGGCCGACCGGTCAGCCTCCCGGCCATTTCTAATGGTAAGCCTGAGTTTAAAAAGCGCATATTTTTTCACGTCAATCATGAAGCTTGTTTTACGACAAAAAACACGTTTCTGACTCTTTTTCAACACAAAATTTAACCGAAACTATGATATATCTAGTGAAAAGTTTCTTTGAAAAATTCCGGTTACTGGTCGTTTTTTAGCCCCCCTATTGGACTTCCAGGAGTCTGTTCTGGATCAGGAGGTCCTGAAGAACAGAAAAGTTTCATTGAAAGGTTTAACCGGGGGTTAGGAAACGTTTTGCGGTTTTTTCGCGAGAAATGAGCCCCAAAGCCCGGGCGGCCCGTCTGTTCTGAAACCCTTCTTGACTCAAAAACCAACAAATTGAGAAGCGCCTCGGAGATGGCCATCAACACGAAGCCGCCATTCGCCGACACATAATTGTTCTTGACGATACTCGTCAGAATACCGTTGACGACTATTGTCGCCACAACCGTCGCCACCAAATAACTCATCAGCTTCAATTCAAAATCTTTTATATTAATTTTCCTGAATTCTCTACCTTTAAACACCGTAAATTCTCCCGGGCTTGATATCGTTTGGCCAGTGAATACGTGTAACTCCGATGGTCTTTGTCCATTTTCTTTTGGACTCGAATATTGTGATATTTCAAATAGATGTAGATCTGAAACGGCATTATTTTTCTAATGATTTACCAATATTAAACAATTTCAAAGCACAGACTCAAAAATAGAGTTTTGCAGCCCCCGGTTGAAAACTTTTGGTGGAACTAGTCTGAAGTCTACTTTAGAAGCTCCTTGATCTAGAAAAAACATGAATTCTCTCAATTTTTGTGTTCTAATCGATTTATGATGCTTCAAAACTAGCAAACTATGGAAAAAGACGTTTCTTGAACCTATCGGAGCGTGACAAAGTGAGTAAATTTCTTCGTTTTAATCCAAGAAGCCTTAAACTTCAATCAATATTCATCAAAAGTCCACCCAGGGCTATCTGGCGCGATTCTTCCAACGCACCCGATTGGAAACTACTTGCGCGTGGCGGCATTCTTAAGCTTACAAGTCCGCTCACTTCGCAGCTTGTAAACTTCTGAAGCCTGGTCCGGATAGCAAATAAACGTACTAAAGTCTCAATTTGCACTAATTCTTAGTTTTTGAGAAGATCAACCTAAAAACAAAGGAAACCATCCGAAACCGTAGAAATGAGTGAATTTTGAAATTTTCAGGATGCTTTTCGAGTAAATCAAAAAATGATCTGGCCAATTTTTGAAATTATAAGTTAGATAAATTTAAATTCTATTATTTTTCTCTAAATCGCTGCCACATGATGATTTTTAAAGACACAGAAATCGATTTCTTAAAAGTCGATCGAAAACATACCACTGTCGAGAAAAATGCAGTTAAGCCATTAATGAGCAGTATACTGAGATAGGAGGCTTTCAAAGTGAAAACGAAAAAAGTGAAGAAAAAGTTGACAACTTCAGCGATGAATATCAATATGAAGGATATGTAAATCCGATTGTAACGCTCATAATCGCTGAAAATTAAGATTGAAGATAAAAGGCCATTTATAAAGGTACTATTGCGCTCTACAGCTAAAAAAAGCTTTTTACACTGATTCCTTTCTTTAAATTTTGAAATGTTCTGTTGTTGACAGTTTTACTTTTGGAAATGATAAATATGATAAGTGAGACTAGAAAATCATGAATGGTTCACGGTAACTTTGAAAATTTTGAGGAAAAATGTTTTTTTTTCATAGCTTTTCTCTCAATGTTTGCCAAACTTACTCGAGAAAAAACGTCGCAATGGCCCTTTCGACCACAAATGCAGCAAGACCGAACATTCCGGAACAGTTATAGTGTAATCTCAGGTATCCGCCCAACAAAAGGAGCCAATGAAGTTTCGGGTTAAGCTCCGAGATGACTTCAACTTCTCCATTCAGGTCAAACTCGTACTTGTCGTCTGAAAATGGTTGGGATTATTTTTGGAAGGGCTAGAAAATTTTGAAAAATAGCTCAAACTGTGAAAATTATTACTGGCGTTCTCATTTTCAGTACGATGATTGAGAAATTTTCAAACTTCGTCCTCAAAAGGCTTCAGCTTCTCTAGTCGACAAGAATCGCGACTTCTGACTTCCTTCCTGCTTTCATAAAGGCATAAAAATCGATCGAACATATTCGAAAAAAAAAATCAAAGCGAGGAAACAACTTTATGGGTCTGAAGAAGTTTTTTAATGCAACATGTACGATTTTAAAGCTCTCATAAAACTTTATCGAAGCAGGATTTTTCATTTCCTTATCATCGCTAAAATCATGAATTCCCTACTGGTGGTCCTATTACTAGGACTCTTACCATTAGCTTATGGGTACAAGTGTGACCCATTGGTGAGTTGAAAAATTCTATTTTTTGCATTTTGCATTTTTTGAAAGTTTGGGACTCCAACTTCTTTATATTTCTTTTAGAGTCTCGTAGAATATACTTGACGTTGGTCCAATGGGTCTAGTCACAGCCGCCAGACAACAAGATAAACGTGTCTCAAAGCCTGCTTGTGCGTCAAACCCAAGCATTTGGGCCTCATTTTTGAGAAGAAGATTGCGCGGGCTCGGGCCGGGCCAGGCTACGAAAAAAAAAAATTGAGCCTTTGGGCCGGGCCGGCCATTTTTGCTTGGAGCCTCCCTGAAGCCTCCCTGAGGCCGGGCTTGAAACATAGCCGAAAATTCGATAGGCTGATGGGCCGGCCCTCACACAAGCCTGGGCCAAACTGATTCATAGATTGTTCATTATTATTCCTTTCCAAAAACTTCTCATGGAAAACTTCAGCCGCCGCAAGTGGCCGGAGCTCATCCCGGGATGATGGCTCGATATTTCACCCTGCCAAGAAAACTTCGCGTCAGCGATACCATCATAGTTCGAGGCAAAATCGGTCCAAGTACTTATCCATACAAGTAACTTATATTTTTCTCGCCTAGCTTCAACAAGGAACTTTCAAAACAGGAGATTCTGGATTGATCTGTTCGTCGGAACAAATCCAGTGTACTGGAACTCGTTCAGCTCGTTGCACTTCACACCGCAATACGACTTGAATAAAACCTTCATAGGAGATTATCAGGTACTCTTCTTGAAAATTTTTCATATTCTATGAGGTTTTTTTTTTGATTAATAGTGAGAGAGAGAGCGCGCGCAGACGGTCATATTGTATCAAATCATTCCGAACAGCTGATAGAACTCTTGGAATTTTTTCCCACAACCGGGGCACCGTATTAGCATAGCTAAGTCCAGATTTCTGAGACAAACACAGCTGGGTCATCTATTTCTGATGCTACAACAATAGCGAGTTTTCCATTTGCGAGGAGTACTGTATGCGGAAATGCGCATTGCGTGCATATACTTTTCGTGTTTACACTTTCGTTGCGTGACGTCACCGGGTAGGACATCTCCGGGTTTTTTGTTTCCGAGTTTTTTTTTTCGAATAGTTTTCAATTTTTATTTGCAATTGTCAAGATTCGCATTTTTGTCGATGATATTTGCACGATAAAAAACAGTATCAAGAAAACAAAATTGAAAACTATTTGAAAAAAAACTCGGTAACAAAAAACCCGGAGTCCTGCATGGTGACGTCACGCAACGAAGGTGTAAACAAGCAAAGTGTATGCACGCAATTCGCATATCCGCATACAGTACTCCTCGCAAATGGAAAACTCGCTCTCGTCGTAGTACCCTATTTTTTCTTACACTCGTGATTTTACCGTTTTTGCACAAATGACTCAAATAGCCTCAAAAACACGGGTTTTTACCCGTTCAGAAACCTGATCAGCATGAGAATACGAGGTTCTTGATTTGAAGCACTCTAAATGTCTGCGCTCTCTTTCCCCCTGGCTTGATTTTTACATTTTCTCAATTAGTGTCAAATGAACTTTCGACGGGAGTTCATAAAGTTTGTAGATGAAATTCTAGACGAGCACACTCGTTGAGGTCCCCATATTGTATATGATCGGTTGTACCACAAGTGACTCCTTTATTCCAGCCTAACCCTGGACACGTGTTCCGCAATGACGTATATCTGCCCCTCCTGTTCACCGACAAACCTTTCCTCATCAGAATCCTGTGAGTTCTACCTGAAATGCAAAACAATATTTTTGTGATCCTTTCAGAGTCCAACGTGATGGGTATCTGATCTACAAGGACGGGAAGTTCATCCACAAGATGAAATACACGAAATACAACTACGCCTCGGTTCAGACAATCTTCGTACAGAACATTGACCTCGGCACTGAGCCGTCAGTTTATTTTATCCACACGAATTATTTTTTGGTATTGAAGATGCTGTGGGGTGAGAAAAAGATGTCCATCTACGGGAGCCGGAAGAATGACATTTTACTTCGGTGACGGAGTCGTCGAGTACATCGGTGAGTTCTACGGAGTCGTTCAAAAATGGTAGAATTTTTTCAGAAGGAGGCTGCATTGATTGAATAGTTCAATCATTTAAAAACTGTCATTCCCTTTTTCTAATAAAATTTTGATAAAAGAAGGTCGTGAGTAGAAACTCAACTACAAACTAGTTTCCAATGCACTTCCTTTCCGACTCATTTTCCGCTGATAAGATTTGATATACTGACTTTTATGAGAAAAAGGTCGGAATTTCTATTTGATGTTAAAATCCCAAGAGGCCGTAAACCATCGCAAAAAATGCGATTACTTTTTGGCCGTGATAAGGTTCCGTCAGCAAAAAAATTGCGAAATTTTATTATATAGTTTATCAGATAGAGGTTATAAAAATTACTTCTTCTATGATTTTTCAATAGGTCGTAAAATCAGAAGTTTGTGATTTTTTTGAAAGTAATGGATTATGAAAGAGAATCCTCCAGTCTGTGAAAAAAATTGAAATAAAAAAACGCAGGACATCGTTTTTTTCCTTGTTACCCTCCCTGATGGAACATCCAATAAATCCTGTTTACTCATTTTTTACTGATAAATTTATCTACTCATTTTATTTCTTTTGAGAAAAAGGTCGGAGTTTTATTTGAAGTTGAGGGCACAAAAAGGCCGCGAAACTTCGAAAAAAGTTTTACAACCTTTTTGGTCATGATAAGGTTCTTTTAACGAAAAAATGCCGAATGGCTGCAGGGAAAACAAAATTTTGAAGATTTAAAAAATTATTAGAACTAGACTACAATAATCAGAAGTTTCCATGGTGTAAAATAGATCGAAAAAAATCAGAATATTTTTTTATTTTTTTCTTGGGCGATGATCAAATTGATGACGCTATAAACAGTTTCTGTTTGGAATGAAAAAAGTGAAGAAGATTTTTATCACTTTTTTGTGAGGATTTTATTGCTAAACGGAGAAAAATGTAAAAATTCTCCGATGGATGACGAGAATCTCCAAACAGTATCGGAGATGCTTTTTTGAAAAGTCTTCTCAGTGCTTGGTCATGAAGCTTCTACCTGTCCTACTTCTGGGAGTTTTTCCAGCGGCCTATGGCTACTCGTGTAGCGCTTTGGTGAGTCCAGTTGAAAATAATTAAAGATTAAATTAGTTTTTACTTATCAGTTAGTCGAAGAATTTTGAAAAAAAAATCCAAAAACGATAATAATGTGTGTCCCTCCACATAGCCTTCTCGTACTTCCAAAATTGACCATCAAAATATTCAATATTATTTTATTACTGTATACCGTATAAAACCTACCGTACTACCGATACCTTTACCAAATACAGTCCGCACAATGCTAGAGTAATACTCCCACATTACCAAAGACCTCCCTGAATCCCATTTCTACTACTTCATCCTTTCAGCCACCCGCAGTACCTGGAGTTCACAAAGACCTGCTAGAGCGGTTCATTGTCCTGCCTCGACCACTTCGAGTCGGTGACAATATTGTTATCTACGGTAAAGTCGGCAGCGGCACCGTTCCTTTCAAGTTTGAACTAACTTTCTTCTTTTCAATATCGGAACCTTTCAAAACAGGCGGTTTTCTCTGGACCTTTTTGTTGATACAAATCCAATCATCTACAAAACGGTTAGCACTTTGCACATGACTGCCCAGTATGATTTGAATCGAACCTTCTTTGGTGATTATCAGGTCAGACTTCCGATATGATCGTATTTATTAGAGATCTCAACTCTCTGAAGTCGTCGTGAATGAAATGTTCTGCCATGTATTCTTCAGGTTAACGCTAACCAACTATTCCGCACAGACAAAATAATTCCTCTGGCCTTCAACGACAATTACTTCTTTCTCAGAATAACGTTAGTCCAATTAAAATTCCAGAACAGAATCAACTCTTCAGGGTTGAAGCAGACGGATACTCAATCTACAAAGACAACGTTCTTCTCCACAAGTTGAAGTACTTCAAGGAGAACTACAGCACTGTGAGCACTATCTACCTGCAAAACCTCGACTTCCAAACGGATTGGTAGGTTTTTTTTGTTGCTACAATTCATATGATATTTCAAGCGTAATCGATTGTACCGAGGCGAAACAATGCCCAGCCACGGCAGCTGAAGAAATGACGATTATTATTTCACACAAAACGCTTCAATACGTCGGTATGTTTCAAAGGACTACAGTAATCACGGAGGAATTATTTTAAAAAACCTTTTTTCAGATGGCGTATGCCCCTGATGAGATCGTCAAGCCAGAGGACACCAAGCAATAGGAAAATCGGAAAAAAGTCGTTTCTAATAAATGTTCAAATTCCTTGAAGAAATATACTCAAATGCTAGATAAAAATGGCTTAAATTGCAGATAAGTCAGAAAATTGGGCCTCCTTGTACTATTAGATTAAGCACGATGGATTTTTTTTTTGTTGTACTTCAGGGGCGCGCCGTAGCGCAACAGGTTGTGTGCTTGTCTACGGTTCACAGGGTCACAAGTTCGATCCCCGCCCTGACCCAACAAAGGGGTTTAAGAAATGTTGGTAGTTAGAGACCACGACTTCAAAATCCCCAGCCGTTGCACACAAGGACGGATATGTCACTGGAGCCAGTCCACTGATTATCAGGATAGAACCTCGGCTGATCGACTTGGGGCGCCGACACCGCTCAAGCGGTACAAAGGCGTAAGAAGAAGAAGAAGAAGAAGATTTATTGTACTTCAACTGTGGAGAAGCACGGAGCAATGGACACTTTTTATTTCGAATCATCGAAAACTTCATGAAAACTTTTAGTACTGTAGCGAACTCTCAGAATCACATAATGATGTATGGAAATGGTATTTGTTTCAACGTCCCGATTGATATGATTTTTATTAGTTTTTGTGAAAGTTTTATCAATGAGTGGAAAAAAGGAACGCCTTTATGGATCATAAGATTGTTGAGAGTCCATATAAAACTGTATCGGAGAATCATTTTTAAACATTCTTCTTCATATATTCTAATGGTAATTTCATTTGTTTTAATGCTCGCGGTTTTTATTGCTCTCAGAATTCAATTATGCATTCTTATGGGATTCTGATCCGTTTTAATGTTCGGATTAATGGGTTTTTTAACAGTTTTGTGAAAATGTGGATTATGGAAATTTTCAAGGCTCCTATAAAACTGTATCCGAGAGCCATTCTGGACGTTCTTCTCATCCCAATATGATGAAACTTTTGACTGTCCTCTTCCTGGGACTTTCGCCTGCGGCCTATGGTTACCAGTGTGAGCTATTGGTGAGTTCGAAATCAAAATATTAAACTTCTCAGTAGTTGGTTGGAAAAATCTCATGAAGTTAGCGAAAGAGCAAAAGGCCTAATGATTTTTCTCAAATTCAGCCAGCACTGAAGGCTGGAACTTACCCAGACCTGCTAGAACGCTACATCGTCATGCCGAAGACACTTCAAGTCGGCGATACCATTATTATCAACGGCAAAGTTGGCAACGGCACCGTACCGTTCAAGTTTGGACTGATTATCTTCTTTATCTTATTCTCCAAAACAGGCGCTTCACTGTAGACTTTTTCGTCGGAACAAAGCCAGTTTACTACAAAACGGTCAGCACTTTGCACCTGACTGGGCAGTACGATTTGAACACAACTTTCATCGGCGATTATCAGGTCCGTCAATCCACTGAAAGAGATGAATTTTCTCCGTTTCTTGCTTGAAACCACGTCCCTCAAATATAGCAAGGCCAAGTCAACTGTTTTTGAGCCTTTTTTTCTTCTCACGTTGCCACTTGAATTGGCCTGAATTACTGTATAACCAGCTCTGTCAAGTGGTTGTAGTGAGGACACTTTTTCAGCCCAATAACAAGCACGAATTCCGGAGAGACAAGGCACTTCCTCTCGTGTTCACCGACGATCCGAGCTCTGTCAGAATTGTGTAAGTACAATAAAGACTCCACAGCTAGGTCCACTACTTCAGAGTCGAAGCAGACGGATACTCAATTTACAAGGACAACGTTTTCCTTCACAAATTGAAATACTTAAAGGAAAACTACAGCACTGTGCAGACGATTTACTTGCAGAACCTCGAGTTTCACACTGAGTGGTGAGATTTTGTCCTGAATCCCTACTCAAATGATTTTTGAAGCGTCATCGACTGTAAAGAGGAGAAAGTGTGCCCATCCGCGAATACTGGAAAACGGACGATTATTATCGGCAACAGAGTGGTCCGATACGTCGGTATGTTTCGTTCTATTATTTAAAGTCCAAACTTTTTTTTCCAGGAAGCTTATTTTTTAAACCCATAATTTGCAGATGGCTTGTGCTCCCCATGAGATCGTCAAGCGAAAAGCGTCAATCATCAAGAAAATCGGAACAAAGTCGCTTCTAACTAATAAAAAATTTTTGAAAAGTTCACTTCACAACTGACTGAAGAAATGTTTTGAATTGGACAGGAAATCGAATCGTGCTTACTGTGAACATGGAAATTATAGGGAAAAATGTTTTATTTAGTGTCATCAAATAATGCACGAAAAATTTCAGTGCCATGGCGAAATTCTCTTTCGGAATCTCATTATGTCGTAATATGTCTTGGATAGCTTTATGTTCTTTTTCTTTTTCCCACTACTTCATATTGAGCGGCGTGCACCTCAAGCCGATGAGCTAGTCCTTATTCGGACAACGCTCATAATCAGTGGAATGACTCTAGTGACATTTCCGTCCTTGTGTGTGACATATGTGGACTTTGAAGCCCTGGTCGCGGCGGGGATTGAACTCGTGAACCTTTGGACCGTAGTCAAGAACACAACCTGTTCCGCACGGCGCAATGCCTTGAACAACTATTTACTTAAAACTGCGTTGAACTGTGAAGATCATGAATGATAAAATGAACCAAGATTTCGATTCATTGAGAAAATAATAAAAAATTGTGTGTGTGGGATTGTTCACCGTTTTTCTCTTCTCAGCAATTTATTACATCTTCTCATGAGAGTCGTATCTGTTTCAACGGTCACAACTTTATTTTTCTCAGCGAGCCATTATGTATTCTTATGAGAATCGTATACTTTGATGTTCCCATAGTTCGGATTTCTATCAATTTTTGTGAAAATGTCTCTGCTGGATCCCAAGAATCCCTATAAAACTGGGTCGAAGAACCATTTTAAACGTTCTTCTCATCTCTAAAAGATGAAGCTTCTGACCGTTCTCTTCCTGGGACTTCTGCCGGTAGCCTACGGCTACAAGTGTGATATTTTGGTGAGTTTTAACCTAAAACTTTATAATTCAGATCAGTCTCATTAGTTGAAATCTGCAAAAAAAGTTGAAATCTGCAAAAAATTCCCCAATCTGCAAAAAAGCTAAAGTTTATACTTTATAATTTTTCTTAAATTCAGCCTCCGCTAAAGCCTGGAGGTGCTGGAACTTATCCAAACTTGCTAGAACGTTATATCGTCATGCCGAAGACGCTTCAAGTCGGCGATACCATTATTATTACCGGCAAAGTCGGCAACGGCACCGTACCATTCAAGTTTCGATTGATTATCTTCTCAATCTCATTTCTAAATCTACCAAACAGGCGGTTCACTATCGACTTCTTCGTCGGAAAAAATGTTGTTTACTACACTACAGTCAGCACTTTGCACATTACTGGACAGTACGACTTGAATTCAACCTTCATCGGGGATTATCAGGTTAATCACCCAACAAAAAAAGATGGAAATTACGCCTAGAATCTCCTGTAGTATAACGCCAAAAAAGAGTTCTTTTTTTTTTCCTTCTTAAATAAAGGAAAGCCGTTTGCATAATGAACCTATGGACCTCTGGAAGGGGGATGCGAAACTGCAGAAAAGCTGTTCAATCTTCCATTCCTTATAGTCAAGCCATCCCGACCAAACTCTCACAAAGACCTTCAATGATATCACACTAAATTCAATTCGCTACAACTTGAATCAATCTGACGTGTCTGTGCCCTCTTGACTCTGACAAAGTCATTAAAAAAGCCATCAGCTTCATCGTAACAGAAGTCTCTTTTCTCTATAATTTTAATTCCAGCCGAATCCGCAACACAAATTCCGAAGTGATAAAGCATTTCCCCTTTTGTTCACCGACGAGCCAACCACTCTCCGAATCACGTTAGTCCACGTTTGGCTCCGAAACTGAGGTTTTTCTTTCAGAGTCGAAGCAGACGGATACACAGTTTACAAGGACAAAGTTTTCCTTCACAAGTTGAAATACTTGAAGGAAAACTATAGCACCGTGCAGACGATTTACTTGCAGAACCTCGATTTCCAAACTGAATGGTGACTTTTTTATTTTCTACCGTTTTTAAAATGATTTTCTGAAGTTCAATCGATTGTAAAGAGGATAAAGTGTGCCCAGCAGCAGAAAGTGGAAAAAGGACCATTATTATTGGCAACAGGGTGGTCCGATACGTCGGTATGTTTTTGATAAACTATTATTTTTTTCGGAAATAATCAATCTTGAAAAATTAAAATTTGCAGATGGAATATGCCCCGAATGAGATCGACAAACCAAGAGACGTCAGTAATCAAAAAAATTTGCATCATTTTTTTGACCTCAATAAATATTGAACCGTTTTAACCTTACATATTATTCAATCATTTAAAAAAAATCTATGACTTTATCTGGTATTCCGTGTATTTTCTTCACTCTAAGTGGTAGCTCTCTCAGTCGGCCGAGGCTACCCTAGAGTGTACACGGCGTCCGTGCCCGAGCCCTACCATCCCCGCCGTGCCCGTACCCGCAAAACTGAGGGATCTACTTGTGGAAGAACGAGGCGAAGGACCGTAAGACCATGCTTTCAAATCATTCGACTACACGTTTTGACTTCTTTTTCGCCAAAGGCGGTGTTAGTGCCGCTCAAAAGAGCAATTTTTTCACCGCCTAGTCGATACCATCTGACTAAAACAACCAATAAATATTGATGATGATGGTGTCTTTTTGGTTATAAGCACGGTCCAAAAAAGTCTGAAGCTTATTTTTTTTTCTCAAAAAATTGGCCATGAAATGTTCCTAAAGAAAATTACCGCCATGAAGTGACTGAAGATTTTTCACAGTGATATTTGGCCGCAAATTAAAACTTCTTAGGTTATCAAAAATAGAGGTTATAAAACAACTCAAATTCGTCATTTACAAAAAAAAAAAGTTACTGATTATAATGGTATCAGCGATAAACCTCGGCGCTTATTGAATAACTTATTTCCCGAGATAAAATAAGCGAGGGTTCAAAGAGTCTCCGGCTCAATCAATTTGCTTTAATATTTCGATCGGGAGAAGCTTCGTAAAAAATATCAGTCAAATTGAAAAATTCGGAATGTTTTTTAAATATGAAGGGATGATGGAAAAAATATTTTGATACATGCTCATCTTCATAATTGAGAAATGATGATGTTATTATCCCTGAACCCTTCAAAGCCACTAACACCCCTGAAAATAGTTGAACTGCGATGAGTCATGAAAATGGTTCAACAAGGTATAGTCGATGTGCCACGAGTTGAAATTCCATGGAACGACACTCCGCTCGGTGGCCTTGTGGCCTTGAAGAATCAATGCCTTTGCGGGTCTCGGTCACGCTTTCCCATTTTATAATTTGCCGTTTTCAAATACGATTTCTTCAATTCTTTAGTTTTATGAACTTTTTGGCAGTGCAATGGATGAATAAAGTTTTTCGAAATGCCAATAATTCAACCAGGAGATAAATAAGCAGTGAAAAACGTTATATAGACTGAAACCGATCTCTCTATTTCATAGTGCGTACACGTCTTCATTTTATAAGCCACTCACCCTCTGAAAAAATCCATTAACCACTGCAACAAACAGAAAGAACAACGATGAAAACATTAAAAAATGGCTTTAACAAAAGCACACTTTTTTATCGCTTTCTTAGAGGAAGATCATGAAATTTACTGTTTTCTTTCGTTTACATTTGTACAACGCTATTCTTTTCAATGATAATAATGCATTTTAAAGAAATAAAACAATTAAAAAACGATCAAATCAAAATTAGAACCAAAAAAAATTAGCGTGGCCGAGGTTGGCAAATTCGCACGATGCGCGCTACCGCACAAGTCGAAACAGCGGAGTGTCGTTCCATGAAATTTCAACTTGTGGCGCATCGACTATAATAGCTCGAAATTATAAGCCGTTGGGCACCACAAACTCAGTGCAACTTCTGAGTATTGGTTGCAAATCTGAACTATACCTGAGACCGAGCTGCTAATGAGACGAGCCAGCCGCCAGGGACGAACCGACCCGCGAAGCGGTCATTTTGTCAAAAGTACCATTCTTTTGTAATGCTTCGCCCACTATTTTCTCCACTTTTTACACTTCTACTTATTTCCAACTGTGAGGGTCGTCTTCTCAAGTTTTCCATGGAGCAAATGTTCTTCATACTAGAGCGCCTACTGCGACTCTCTTTCTAAGGCTTTTTTGTCTAGGTGGTTTTCCAAAGTATTTTTGTCTTCGGCTTGTTTATGACCAGTCATCCGAGATTTTCGATCACATGCTCCAGAAAAAAAGGAATTCCGATTTGAATGATCGTGAAATTTATGACGCAATAAACAATTCTTGTCAAATCAACGAAAAAAAAAATTTAATGTCATGTGGGTTGCGATTTTTTTCCTCCGTAATTTTTCACGTATTCTTATGGAAATTTCATTTGTTTCAATGCTCGCGTTTTTATTGCTCTCAGACTTCAATTATGCATTCTTATGGGAATCTAATCCGTTTTAATGTTCCGATTGATGGGTTTTTTAACAGTTTTTGTGAAAATGTGGATTATGGAAATTTTCCAGGCTCCTATAAAACCGTTTCGGAGAGGCATTCTCAACATTCTTATCATCTCAATATGGTGAAACTTTTGACTGTCCTCTTCCTGGGACTTTCGCCTGCGGCCTATGGCTACGTGTGTAACACAGTGGTGAGTCCAAATGAAACACTTATGGGTGAGATTCGTTTTACTCATTATTCAATCGTATGAATCGGTTCTTGACATGTAGATGTAGACCCTCTAATGCTGATGAGGTTAGCCAGTCGTGCTGACACGGGCTCACAGTGGGTTTCCCCTTATTGAGTCCGTATAAGCATAGCTTGTGGAACTTCAGCTTTCAAGAACATGTATCTGGCCAGCAGTCTTACTCATCAAAACATCTAAAGGCAAACTCCTAGACTTTCTGCCTATTACTCAATTCCAGCCAGATCCAGTGGCCGGACCTCACAACGACATACCGACACGATTCGTCGTCCTGTCGCGGCCGCTTCGCGTCGGCGACACCGTCGTTATCAACGGCAAAGTCGTCCCCGACGTCCAGGCCAAAAAGTTGTTCTCACTTCAATTTTGAAATAATACAATCTTCCGATACAGACGGCTCTCTATAGACCTTCTTGTTGGAACAAAGCCGGTTTACTACAAAACGGTCAGCACGTTGCACTTCACTGCACAGTACGATTTAAATCAAACTTCCATTGGAGACTATCAGGTGGGTAGCTCAAAGAGATCGCTAGGGTTATTCAAACGACAAGAAAATTTCACAGCGAGAAAAGTTGTTTCACCGTGTGGTTTTAGTTTTCAAGGAATGTTTTCTTAAAATTGAAAAATGTGGGTTTTCGGCTTGATTCCACGTTAAAGGAGAACTTCAAAAAAAAACATAAGTATTTCAAAAAATTGAGGTTTGCACAGAGGGCGGCTAGTTAACCCAGACCTCTATGATTTATTTTGACGAACTTATAGAAACAATAAAATAAATTGAGAAACTTTTTATAAAGCGCATCTCGCTCTCAGAAAGATGTGAAATATCGCCATAATTCAGCCCAACAAAAACCAAGTCTTCCGCGAGGAAAAGGTTCTCCCTCTTGCGTTCACCTTCGATCCCTTCTCTCTCAGAGTCAAGTTAGTTTGATCATAACCCTACAACTAGCTCGGATCGTTCAGAGTCGAGGCGGACGGATATTCAATTTACGTCGATAAAAAGTTCCTCTACAAGTTGAAATACTTCAAGGAGAACTATAGCACTGTGCAGACTCTTTACTTCCAAAACGTCGACTTTCACACCGAATGGTGAATTTTGTTTTTTTTTATCCATACTCAACAAATTTTTAAAGCTTCATTGATTGTAAAGAGGAAAAAGTTTGCCCGAACACAGGAGGTGGAGAAAAGACGTTCATTGTTGGCCAGAGAGTGTTCCGAGAAGTCGGTAAGTCTTCACAGAACTATCCATATCTTCTTCTTGTAAAACAATCATTATAGATGGAACGTGTCCAGCATGAGATCATCAACGCAAAAAACGTCAATAATCGAGAAAATAGCATCCACTTGCTTTTAATAAAACTTACACGTTTGTAAATCGTACATGTTATATCGAAAGGAGATGATAAAATTCTGAAAAAGTACGACTAAATAGAAGGGATTTGTCTGAAAATGGTATAGTCCATACATGGGAGTCTCGGTAGGACCTGAAAAGGAGAGGGGGCTTGGCTGTCGCCCGTCATGCTCATCCCGTGTCAGGTATAGTCATATGTCGTGTTTGATTCCGGCGATTCCAAAATTGACGCTTTCTCCGTTTATAAGGATAACGCGAAATCAGCTTTCCGGAGCCCGTAAAAAAATTGGGTCTCACAGCGAGATAACGGAGTTTACGGTCGATTTTCAAATTTGGGGTGAAATGTGCTCAAATAAATCAGAAATTTGAAGAGCCTAACTTACTTTTAAAAAAATAAAAAAAATAAAAAAAAAACTGATGGGTTTGCGAATTTTCTACATTTATTCCAATTGTCGTGATCGCACTTGGAATGGTTCAACGCGTCGCGGTCGCATTGCGATTCAGACAGCTTCCATTACAGAATTGGCACTTTACAGCGTGTTTCAATACTATTTTTGCACTGTTTTTATGAAGCTCAATCTTCTCAAAACTTCACTTCAAGAAAACTCGAAAAGTAGTGACATAAATCCACAAAGAGAGACTTCAGAACGAGTCGGTGCAATTTTTGCGTTTCTTAAAGTGATTTACTTCGAAACAGAAAAAAATATGAAAAAAGGTTTGCAAACTTTGAAAAAAACCTTCCGTACTCATTAAAGCTGCATGTTTTTTTTTTCTAAAACTTAGTTACCTCATCAAATGAACTTTTTCGTCATTATCTACAAAATAGTCATTGTCTCACAGTTCTTCTATTCTTATTAAGAAAGCAAATTTATAGAGAAAGTTCCGAAAATTCAGAATAGCGAATTCGGACTCAGATTCTCACTATTACAAAAAAATTTCAGTTTCAAAAAAATTATTATGGAGCTAATAATGGAATGAAATTTTTTTATATTCAGAAAGACCAGGAAATTTTTTTGCTGAAAAATACGGTTTTCATTTTTCTCAAATCTACATTAGATGTCATGGGAAATTCGTTTTTGATTGATAAGGTTTTTCATCAATTTTTTTAAAGTAATCTGTCTTTTTGATGAGATTTTTATTCGTTTCTGTGAACATGTGTGCGTGTGGGAAGGTGTTGAGGAAATTATTATTTGACCATTTTTTTCAGCAGGTAGTTTTTACCAGGTGGGGTATGGTCCGCATAAGATTTGTTTTGATGAAATATTATTTCCTTTTGTGAATTCTATAGAAAAATATAAAAAAACGTTTTCAGGAGCGTGAATATTACAAAACTGAGATTGGTATTTTAAGAGCAACAAAATTTATGATGCAATAAACAATTAATCTTTTGAATCATAGAAAAGAACCCAATAAAAAATTTAGCCTTTTTTGTAGGAATTTTATTGCCAAATGAAAGAAATCGGGAAATGTCTTTAATGGATCATGAAAAATTTCAAAGGCCCGTATAACACCCTTTCGAGCATTCTTCTCATCGTGTGGGGATGAAGTTTCTTTCGATTCTACTTCTGGGGCTTCTACCGGTGGCTTACGGCTACAGGTGTGAGAACTTGGTTAGTCCGTTTAAAAATTTGAAAAGTTAGGATTATTTATAACTTATAGGCTTGTTGGATGAAATTTCAAAAATGAAAAAAAAATAATACAAGACTTTCAGGCGATTACCATAGTAGTTGTTCTCTCGAATAGGTGACTCTAGAAAAGTAAGCACACTTGAGAGACCACTCAGGTTTCTTCAGCGATCACTTAGAGCTCTCTTTAGGAGATTTATCTGACGTTTTTTTTAAACAAATAAACAAAAGTCTTTTTGTAATTCCAGCCAGGGCTAGTGGACGGTCCCCACAAAGGCCTGCCTACCCGATTCGTCGTCCTGTCGCGGGCGCTTCGCGTCGGCGACATCATCGTTATCAAAGGCAAAGTTGCGAACGGCACTGTACCATTCAAGTTTGGATTGATCATCTTCTCAACCCCATATACGAATACTTCATAACAGACGATCTACCGTAGATCTTTTGGTCGGAACAAAGCCAGTTTACTACAAAACGGTCAGCACGTTGCACCTGACGGCGCAGTTCGACTTGAATAAAACCTTCATCGGGGATTATCAAGTAGGGAGTCTTTGATACCTTTCCTGAAACTCGGGTTCAAGGCTTATCGAGAAGCATAACCCACGGAGAGAGATTTTACTGTTTCTATGTGGTTAAAAGCCTTTTGTGAAAAAGTTCGCACCGCAGGAAAAAACTTTTCACAAAAATCTATAATTTAATCACGGTAGTTGGAAACTTAACAAGGTAGATCTTGAAGATTGGCCTATAAACTTTTTTTTTGAAGCTTCAAATGAAATTTTTAGTCTTTTCTGGGCAAGGTTCTAGTTTGGAGAATTCAAAGTTCTCAAATATTTCGCCAGTACTGAGCCGAGAATTTATTTCTCTGTATTATCTCAACGCCAACCTTATTTTTAAATTCCAGCCTAACCCGAGACAAGAAAACCGCCAGGACGCGTTGATTCCTCTTGTGTTCAACGATGATATATTCACTCTCAGAATCGTGTAAGTTAAAATTTAATCTAAAACTTCAAACGACTTGATCGATTTTTCAGGGTGGAAGCTGACGGATATTCGATCAGCAAGGACAAAGTTTTCCTTCACAAGTTGAAATACTTCAAGGAGAACTACAGCACTGTGCAGACGATTTACTTGCAAAACTTCGACTTCTACACTGAATGGTACGTTTTTTGTACCCTATAAATACTAAAACTAATTTTTGTAGTGTTATTGACTGCAATGAAGAAAAGAAATGCCCAACGACAGGAGGTGGAGAACTGACGATTATTCTTGGCAACAGAGTGTACCGAGAAATCGGTAAGTCAAGAAAATCCTAGTAAAATTAGTATTAAAAAACCTTCTTTTCAGATGGAAAGTGCCCAGAATAATATCGTTATTCCGAAAAACGTCAATTATCAAGAAAACTGGCGTTTACTTGTTTTTAATAAATACTTCCCAAAGAACATGTTATTCGGGAAAGACGAAGATATCAACAAAAAAAATTGAAAGTCGTGACAAGTGCATCATGATTTTCACCCTTCAACTGAGCTCTAAACCATTATCAATTTTCCAGCTTTGTTCTAATTTAAAACTGTGTAAAGTCTTCACATGCTGCCCTAATTTCGTTGCGAAACAGTTACCCGGAATGACCCGACCCGCAAAGTTGAAAATAAGTCAAAAGTATTAAGTGAATGTCCACTTAGTGGGTCGGGTCCCCTCTCATCAGCAGATCCGATTACATCTACAAATGAAACAAAATAAATAATATTGATCAAAAATACTCTCAGCTTCCAAATTCACAAGGTCCAGCCACTTCGACGAAAGTCTCATTCTCATCAAAAAGGTTCGAATTTTTGTCCAAAGGACTTTCTCTGAATAATATTCACGACCGGATGTGGTGAACGATAAAAGCGGGCGACAGAACTTTTCAAAAAAAAAACCGTTAACAAATTACCAGGAAAATACGTTGATAGATTGAATTTTACTGCTCTTGTCATTACTTCATAAATTCGAAAAAATTTCAACTCTCAAGAAATTTTCATCCTAAAGATGGAGTTACAGAAAAAACTTTGCTCTATCTTTAAATTGATAATAACTTCCGCAACGGGATGCAAATATAGTTCATTTTTTTTAAATCTAAAACAAACCAAATTCAACTCACCAATTTAGGCTTACTACGCGCGCGCAATTGAATTAGCAAAAAAAAGCGACTTGGTGGGCGGACCTTGGTGGTCCCGAGTCTTGTGGGATTCTTCGTAATTCTTCATGTATGAATCGTATTTGGATGAATGCTCGTTTTCATGGGCCTCAGGGCTCATTTCTGTATTTTTATGAGAATCTGATCCGTTTTAATGTTCCGATTGATGGTTTTTTTCTTCAACAGTTTTGTCAAAATGTCTTTGATGGATTATAAAAGTTTTCAGGGCCCTCATAAATAGCGAAATCGGAGAGGAGTTCTGAACATTCTTCTCATCTCAACATGGTGAAGCTTTTGCTCGTCCTCCTTTTCGGGCTTTTGCCGGTAATCGATGGCCTCTACTATCGGTGTGGTTTAATGGTGAGTTCAAATGAAGTACTTATACTTACAGGGTAGGTCATTTTTTTTTTCGGTTGGATTTTCCTGAAACTTGGTTAGAACACTCCGTGATGTACCTGAGAATCTTAACCTACATAACTGTTCAGTTTACGAGAAAGGACAACTCAAAGTCAGTTAAAACTATTAAAATTCATCAAAATGAGCTACTTTGGAGAACTTTGAGCCTTTATTTCTCGAAAACTAAGAAGTTGTGCAGGTTGAGACTTTCAGATTTTTTATCGGATATATCAAGGAACATGCTTGCCAAATTTCAGGAAAGTCCTATCTGCAAACTCAATTGAACTTCCTTGTTAATGTCACTTCGAGATCAATCGCAAACCGCTACCCCCCGTGGGGGCCCCTAACTCAACCCCTCTCTGGGCCCCTAATTTTTTTTTGTCATTTACAAAAGTCAAAACGAAGGCATAGTTCAGGCTCCTTTCATTTTTCATTTTTTTTTACGTAAATAAAATAAATATATAACCACCGAGTTTGCTACCGAGTGCTTTAACACACGTTCTCTGAGAAAATCGATGACTTTTCAGTAATAAAAAGCAAAATAAAAAAAAAGTTTTTTTGATTTGCCTCAAAATGTGGTCACGGCTCACACACGTGCTTCTGATTATTTAGCACCAGGTTCCAGGTGGCTCCGCCCCTTTTAAAAGATACTGTAGACAGTAAGCTGAAAAAAATTAATTTTTTTCCTGTTGAGAATTTTCATTCAAAAATGTTTGGAAATGTAAGAAAACACTATTTTGAGTATTTTTTCAGTTGCAACTTTTTTTCTAACTCGACTTCTTCGGGGAGAAAAAAATCGAAATTTCCTCAAAAACAGCGATTTTTTCAGTTTTTGAGCCATAACTAGAGTAAGAACCCCCCTATGGTACGACTTTTATTTCTGATTATGAAACTAGGGGCCTTCTTCTTCAAGAAAAAGTAGTTCTACAACAAATCCCTGGGGTGGGATAGTTGAGCTCCATTCGACCGAAGGTGATCAACTCGAATCGGCTCAAAATTCAAAAAATCATTTTTCTCCTAATATGACGGCTTCTTTCTCTTTTTTGTTTTGAAACAAAAGACAACACTCACGTTCATGTTCTCCACCATTTTGGTGCTCAAAGAAAATTTGATTCCGAATTTCTCGAGACTTTTTCGAATTTTAGGACTTTCGTCGATTTTTCGGTTTTTCCGTTTTTCAGGTAGTTTTTTTCTGTAGGAACCCCCGAATGTGGTCATTATCTTTTGGTATATGTAAGAGTAGGTCTTTCTTGATAAGGAAAAAAATTAGTCCGGTAGAAATCTCTGGGGTGGCCCAGTTGACCTCCGACCGCCTGAAGGTGACGACCCCAAAAAAATGGAATTTTTCACAAAGGATCGGAAAAACAACTTTTTTTGTTTCCATTCTAACAAAAAAACTTTTTTTCAGTGAGACCTACATCACTTTTTCAACATGAATCGGAGTCTTTTCGGCAAGAAATATGTAGTTTTATTCAAATTTGAGTCTTGGCGCGCTTATCTTCGTTTTCACCGTTCTTACCTGCTCTAAGTTGCTGAAGTAACCTGGAAAACCGTTTATAATGATTTTTGGGAAACCCAGCAAATGTTTGAATTTTTTTGAACACCTAAGCAAGTGAGATCGGAGTGAAGAAATGGCGAAAAAAGCTTTTTTATCAACTTTTTCGAGAAATAAAAACACCTTATGACATTCAAAAATGTCAATTACTCTTTAAAAAACAACTATTGATGAAACTTAATAGAAAGAAAAAAGAGAGACTTAATAAACCTGACTATAATCTGGAGGACGCATTAAAACGCTTCTTAGGTCAAAAAAATGCATTTTTTTAAAAACCCTTTTCCATTTGAGTTGTTCTGTAAATGAATGAAAAACATGAAACAGTGTCTGAGCAAATGAAATCGGGGTTAAGAAATGGCGAAAAAAGCTGTTTAATCAACTTTTCGAAAAATAAAAACACCTTATGACATTCAATAATGTCGATGATTCTCAAAAATTATTTTTTCGCCAGAATACAATAACTGACAGTTTTTTAAACTTTCAATCGACTCTATCCATACCCTTTTTCCCTGAAATTGAGGTTTCTGAGGCTTTTAGAAGTACTTGTAATACAATTCTGCCTTTTTTTGTGTTGCAACGTTTATACAGACACTGTTTCATGTTTTTCATTCATTTACAGAACAACTCAAATGGAAAAGGGTTTTTAAAAAAATGCATTTTTTTGACCTAAGAAGCGTTTTAATGCGTCCTCCAGATTATAGTCAGGTTTATTAAGTCTCTCTTTTTTCTTTCTATTAAGTTTCATCAATAGTTGTTTTTTAAAGAGTAATTGACATTTTTGAATGTCATAAGGTGTTTTTATTTCTCGAAAAAGTTGATAAAAAAGCTTTTTTCGCCATTTCTTCACTCCGATCTCACTTGCTTAGGTGTTCAAAAAAATTCAAACATTTGCTGGGTTTCCCAAAAATCATTATAAACGGTTTTCCAGGTTACTTCAGCAACTTAGAGCAGGTAAGAACGGTGAAAACGAAGATAAGCGCGCCAAGACTCAAATTTGAATAAAACTACATATTTCTTGCCGAAAAGACTCCGATTCATGTTGAAAAGTGATGTAGGTCTCACTGAAAAAGTTTTTTGTTAGAATGGAAACAAAAAAAGTTGTTTTCCGATCCTTTGTGAAAATTCCATTTTTGGGGTCGTCACCTTCAGGCGGTCGGAGGTCAACTGGGCCACCCCAGAGATTTCTACCGGACTAATTTTTCCTTATCAAGAAAGACCTACTCTTACATATACCAAAAGATAATGACCACATTCGGGGGTTCCTACAGAAAAAACTACCTGAAAACGGAAAAAACCGAAAATCGACGAAAGTCCTAAAATTCGAAAAGTCTCGAGAAATTCGGAATCAAATTTTCTTTGAGCACCAAAATGGTGGAGAACATGAACGTGAGTGTTGTCTTTTGTTTCAAAACAAAAAAGAGAAAGAAGCCGTCATATTAGGAGAAAAATGATTTTTTGAATTTTGAGCCGATTCGAGTTGATCACCTTCGGTCGAATGGAGCTCAACTATCCCACCCCAGGGATTTGTTGTAGAACTACTTTTTCTTGAAGAAGAAGGCCCCTAGTTTCATAATCAGAAATAAAAGTCGTACCATAGGGGGGTTCTTACTCTAGTTATGGCTCAAAAACTGAAAAAATCGCTGTTTTTGAGGAAATTTCGATTTTTTTCTCCCCGAAGAAGTCGAGTTAGAAAAAAAGTTGCAACTGAAAAAAATACTCAAAAATAGTGTTTTCTTACATTTCAAACATTTTTTTGAATGAAAAATTCTCAACAGGAAAAAAATTAATTTTTTTCAGCTTACTGTCTACAGTATCTTTTAAAAGGGGCGGAGCCACCTGGAACCTGGTGCTAAATAATCAGAAGCACGTGTGTGAGCCGTGACCACATTTTGAGGCAAATCAAAAAAACTTTTTTTTTATTTTGCTTTAGATTCATCGACTTTCTCCGAGAACGCGTGTTAAATAGTAAAGTGGAGCAGTATCATGGTGTTTTCAAAGCTTCAATTTTTTTTTTTTTGAAAATATTGTTGGGTCTCTAGAATGTCGCTTTTTTCTAGGCGCGAGCTCGCATTCTTCTCGGCGCCGCCTCGCATTTATCTTGCATTTCGGAAATTTTCAAAATGCGAGAGAAATGCGAGCTCGCGTCTAGAAAAGTGCGAGCTCGCGCCCAGAAAAATGCGAAACCGGCGCGAGAAAAAATGCGAGATGTTTGTGAGCTCGTCAATGTACCGCCAGCGTCTCGCGTTTATCTCGGCAATTATTCTTAGTGTAAAGACAAACGCGTTTCTTCTTATTCATCAAACTCCAGAGAACAGTTCCCGGACCTCACCCAGACATACCAGCGATCAGTTTTTTAATGTCGCGGACGCTTGGCGTCGGCGACACCATCATTATCAAAGGAAAAGTTTTTCCCGACGTTCAGGCTAAGAAGTTGAATTTCAATTCAATTTTTTAATTTTTCAAAGAACTTTCCAACAGACGTCTCACCATTGACCTTCTCACTGAACTTTCGGAAGAGTACTACAAATCGGTCAGTACGTTGCACTTCTCGGCACAGTTTGATTTGAATCGAACCTCCATCGGAGATTATAAGGTTGGTATCTCAGAAAGATCTCTAGGGTTCAGTTGGAAAACAAGAAATTTTTCCAAAAAAGTAGGGACCGCAAGGCCACGCCCCCTCGCTGACCAAAAAACGTCGTATATTTTGTTGCATTTTGACGTTCCCTTGTTGTTTATGCAGTTTCCCTGAACCGTTTTGGGGAAGAATTGAGGGAAACATACAATTGGCTATCCTCTACAATCTAATGACGTTTAAAATGACGTTTTTTTTTCGCGACGGCTCTGTGCGAAAAAGTGGAAAAACGTTGAATATTAAATACCGCTTGTGGGCAAGTTATTATTTTTTTTTAACATCGCGTGCACGGCTACTGTAAACAGTTTTCTGTATAACGCTGCCAAGCAATTTTCAAAATTAGAAGACGGGAAAATCAATTTTAACTGCTCCTATGCCTTTAAAAAGTTCTGATATTTCGCCATTTTTGATTCAGCCCAACGCAAACCAAGTCTTCCGCGAGGAGAAGATACTTCCTCTTGCGCTCACCCTCGAACCATTCTCCATCAGAATCAAGTTAGTTTGTTCATAGCCCTACAACTAGCTCGGATCGTTCAGAGTCGAGGCGGACGGATATTCAATTTACGTCGATAAAAAGTTCCTTTACAAGTTGAAATACTCAACGGATTTAAAAGAATCCTACAAAACTGTGTGGAGAATATTTTTACAAAACGTCGACATTCACACCGAATGGTGAATTTTTGTTTTCTATCACTGCTCACTCGATTTTTGTAGCATCATTGATTGCAAAGAGGATAAGGATTGCCCAGCTGGAGGAATGACGTACATTATCAGCAACAGATCATACCGAGAAGCCGGTTAGTTTTCAAAGAACCTTGTTCTACACTGCGTTCAATAAGGATAGGACCCCCCTCGATTTTGGACTTTCTGGCAAAATACGGAAAGATATCAAAAATCTGTAGGTGCCATTCGATTCAGAGTACAAAATAACCCCCAGAGCCAAACTTTCATTATCCTAGCACTTTTCCTACGAAAATGCCATCGAAAAAACGGTTTTTTGACCGTTCAATAAGGATAGGACCACCTGGAAATTTTGACTTTCATTGGTGGTTTTTGGTCAATTTCTTTTTTGGATGAGTGGTTTTTTTGTTTTTATATTATTTGTTTCCAAGTTTTCTACGGTTTTCTTTTCGAATCTTCCAGGTTTAAAAAATATTTTATATCGAAAATAGGGAAAAATGACGTTTTTTGAGTTTGCATCAAAATATTTGAGCGAGTGATTTTTTCCAGTACTTTGAATGAACTTATCTTATTAATAGAGACATTTTAACATTCAAAAAAACAAAAAGAAGTTTGAAAAACATTAGTTTAAAAGTTAGAAAACCAGTTAGAAGATGGTGTATCATGACCGAATTTCCGACTGTCGTCGTTTTCGACCGTTTTTTTTTCTGTATGTAGTCGGAATGGCGGTGTATTTTTTTTAAAGGATTTGTGAAGGTGCTCCCATCACAAAAAGACATTTAGTTGGATTGGATAAAAAATATCGATCTTCGGAAATCGAGGGGTTAAACACCCTTCCGACTGCTACTCGAACTTTTTGCGGTACATGTAAATAAATCATATGAAAAGTTTTAATTCTAATGAAAATTGTTTTATTGCACGTTTTTTTATTTTTTTGTTTTATTTAGTTGACAAACTTAAAACCCGCCAAACGCTCTCTTTGAAACAATACCTTCGATGAGCGCGGGTAACAATTTCTCCGCACATTTTTCTCGGCATTGTACGTAGTAAATGAAATTTTTTTAGATTATCTTGTTGATGAATTATGTTCATAGCACCTTCGCGAGTTCTCAAAAAAAAAGTACACCGCCATTCCGACTACGTACAGAAAGAAAAACGGTCGAAAACGACGACAGTCTGAAATTCGGTCATGATACACCATCTTGTAACTGGTTTTCTAACTTTTTAAACTAATGTTTCTCAAACTTCTTTTTGTTTTTTTGAATGTTAAAATGTCTCTATTAATAAGATAAGTTCATTCAAAGTACTGGAAAAAATCACTCGCTCGAATATTATGATGCAAACTCAAAAAACGTCATTTTTCCCTATTTTCGATATAAAATATTTTTTAAACCTGGAAGATTCGAAAAGAAAACCGTAGAAAACTTGGAAACAAATAATATAAAAACAAAAAAACCACTCATCCAAAAAAGAAATTGACCAAAAACCACCAATGAAAGTCAAAATTTCCAGGTGGTCCTATCCTTATTGAACGGTCAAAAAACCGTTTTTTCGATGGCATTTTCGTAGGAAAAGTGCTAGGATAATGAAAGTTTGGCTCTGGGGGTTATTTTGTACTCTGAATCGAATGGCACCTACAGATTTTTGATATCTTTCCGTATTTTGCCAGAAAGTCCAAAATCGAGGGGGGTCCTATCCTTATTGAACGCAGTGTATTTGCATAATCATTTTTAGTTGGAACGTGTCCAGAATAAGTGGTCAAGCAGAAGGACGTCAAACGTCAAGAAAATTGGTACACACTTGTTTTTGATAAAAATTACCCGTTTTTAAAGCGTACAAGTTATTCGGAAAAGACGATGATGAAAGTTTGGAATTTGTGACCCTATCGTAGCAGTTTAGTCTATTAAAAAAAAAGAAAAAGAAAATTTCCTTTTTCTTTCTTGGTGATCGATTTTTTTTTTCTTTTTCTTGAAAATAGTCTTCTTCTTCTTCTTTCTACGCTTTTGTACTGTTTGAGCGGCGTCGCTCCTATTCTGATCCCAGTGGTAATCAGTGAGCTGGCTCCAGTGACATATCCGTCCTTGTGTGTGACGGCTGGGGATTGCCGTGGTTTTCCCACTACCAAAATTTCTTAAACCCCTTGTTTGGGTCGAGGCGGGGATCGAACTTGTGACCCTGTTGACTGTAGACAGGCACACAACCTGTTGCGCTACGGCGCGCCCTTTTTCTTGAAAATAGTATGGCTAGAAATTTCTGGAAAAAAAAATCGATGGGTCTGCAGATTATCCTACCGAGTCTCAATTCTCAACTCGATGTTCAGGGGAGACCATATCCAAGTAAGAACGATATTTTGAAGGAGAGAAATTAATATATAAATAATGATTTGATGGTTCTGCAAGTTTCCTACACCACATTTCATCTAACTTGGGTTGTCGTGGTCGCACTTGGAATGGTTCAACGCGTCGCGATGTGATTCAGAAAGGTGCCACTGCATACTTGGCGCTTGACAGCATGTTTCAATATTTGCGATGTTTTTTATGGAACTCAATCCTCTCGAAACTTCAAGAAACTACGGAAAGAGGTGACATAAATTCACAGAAAAGTCTTTAGAACAAGTCGGCGCACTTTTGTGTTTTTTTAAGTGATAACTTCGGACACAAAAAAAAACAAAAAAGGTCTGCAAACTTTTAAAAATCGTTCTTGACCATCAATGCTGCATTTATATTTTTTTTCTGTAATATGGTAACCTAATCAAACGTACTTTTTCGTTTTCAACTTTAAAATAGTCATATTTTCCCATTTTTACTACTTTTGGAACAAAATCTCACTTTCCGCATTCTTGAAAAACTATTCCGCCCATCACTGATTATCAAGCCAAATGACCTTCACGGGACAGTTGGTCTAAAAAGGGTATAAAGATGGGGAGAACACGCCCAAACGATCATTTTTTTCATCGACTTCTGATCTTTTACTCTTTTGTCGATAAAAAAAATCAAACAAAATCAACAGGGAGGTTATTTTTAGTTTGATATTTCGAACTTTTAAACCAATAAACCAGCCGAAATTATTTTTGAAAGTTAAAGTAGCAATTCTTTCTAACCGTCCCTTTTGCAAACTTTTAAATATAGAGGTAAAATTTTTCTAAGTTTGAGTTTGACAAAAATGTGTCTCTCATTCAGAAAAGTTCAGGAAATGTTTGATAAAGAGTTCCATTTAATTTCTCTCAAAACTCTATTAAGTATCGTGGAAATTCTTTTGAACTTTTTCATCATTTTTTGTAAAAAAATAATATTTGTTTTGATGAAGTTTATATTCGTTTTTGTGAACGTGTGGGCGTGTGGAAAGGTGCTGAAAAACTTATTATTTGATTTTTTTCCAACAAATACCTTTCAGAATTTAGGGTATGAACTTATTCTTCTTCAGAGGCTGCTAGTGATCAGTTTCAATAAAATGATCGCGTCAAGAACTTCCTTGCGTGCAATGTATTGCTTAGGACTTTAAATAAATTTGAGACAATAGTTGGGTAACAAAATTTATAATGAAGTGAACGAATTATCTTTCCAATGATCGGAAAAAAAAAACTTTGGTATTTTTTGTAGTAATTTTCCGAGAGAATGGAAATGAAGCTTCTCTCGATTCTACTTCTGGGGCTTCTACCGGTGGCTTACGGCTACAGGTGTGAGAACTTGGTCAGTTCAAATAAAATCATTCATATTATTATTTTAGTAATAGATGTAATCGACTAGGCGGTGACCAAGAACTTTAAAAGCTCAAACGAACAACCGCCTTTGGCAAAAAAGTCCAAACGTGTAGTTGATCAAGTTGGAAGCATGATCTTGCGGTCCTTCGCCTATTTTTCTGCGCCTAGTCCGTCTATTCGCGCCTTGACAAGCTCAGAATGTAGCGGATGTTGTAGCTAGAGCAGGGTGAAACCCTCGAAATGAGCACTTGAAAGAGCAACTAGTCTATGAATGACGTCCGTAGAGAGAAGATTGATGTGTGTTTTATTATTGAAACCGGAAGTTCCAGCCAGAACCAGTGGACGGTCCTCACAAAGGCCTGCCGACGCGATTTGTCGTCCTGTCGCGGCCACTTCTCGTCGGTGACATCTTCATTCTTAGTGGCAAAGTCGACAACGGCACTGTACCATTCAAGTTTAGATTGATTCTCAACCGCATATACGAATACTTCATAACAGACGATCCACTGTAGACCTTTTGGTCGGAACAAAGCCAGTTTACTACGAAACGGTCAGCACGTTGCATCTGACGGCGCAGTTCGACTTGAATCAAACCTTCATCGGGGATTATCAAGTAGGGAGTCTTTGATACATTCCCTAAAATGCGGTGAAAGAACAGACAGTCAAAACTTCGCCCGTATAGCCTTGAACTATGTCTTCATGAAGCGACCAAGACACGCTTGTAAATATTCCGGCCGTTCCGAAAAAATGTGCGTGGGCCGAGGGTTATAGCGAAACCGGCTAACAATCAGTCACAACCGCAACTTTTTTTGATCTCATCACAAAATTTAGAAAACATATTGTTGGTAAACAACACATTTTCGATCACTAACTTGACAAACTCTGTTAAAATTTCGAAACAACAAGGTAGAAAAATTCCTTGTTCCTATGCGATTCGAGAAAGCTTTATGAGTAATCCCAAACCACAAAAAATACCTCGCGTCAAAGAATATTATTTTTATTACAGTAGTCACGACTTTACAAGGCAGTTGCAAAAACCATAAACTTTCCCAAATTTTTTAAAAATCCCGATGAGGTTCTTAATATCTTCTGTGCGAGATTATCATTCCAAAAATATGAACTATAGAGGCTTCGTTCAGGAATCCAAGAAATCCAGTCTTTTCATTTAACACTAAGCTTTTTCCTTTATTTTCAGCCTAACCCTAGACATGAAAACCGCGAGGACAAGTTGCTTCCTCTTGACTTCACCGATGATCCATTCACCCTTAGAATCTTGTTAGTTTCTTTTTCAACCTAAGACTTCATTCGATTCAATCCATGTTTCAGAGTGGAAGCTGACGGATACTCAATTTACAAGGACAAAGTTTTTCTCCACAAGTTGATTTACTTCAAAGAAGACTACAGCACCGTGCAGACGATTTACTTGCAGAATATCGACTTCTACACTGAATGGTACGTTTTTCTGTTATTGTAACCATTAAACTAATTTTTGTAGTGTTATTGACTGTAAGGAGGAAAAGCAATGCCCAAAGACAGGAGCTGGGGAAATGACGATCATCCTTGGCAACAGAGCGTACCGAGAAGTCGGTAAGTCTGACAAGGATATCTCAATTCGAAACAAATTCCTATTGAAGAAAAAAGTATTTTTCAGATGGACAGTGCCCACAATAAGGTCGTCAGGCCGAAAAACGTCAATTTTCAAGAAAATAGAGTTTCGCTTGTTATTAATAAAGTTTTCCGCGTTTTTGAAGAGAGTATACTATCTGGGATACAATATGATGATAAAAAAAAAGAAAAACTCAACGAGAGATCACCTCGGTGGGAGGGAAGTTCCAGGCACGTATAGGACTTCTTTTAATTTTCTTCGAAGAATTTTTTTCTCAAAAGCCGAAAAGGTTTTAGCAAACAGACTTGTTTTTTTATTGTGTGCGGCCTACCCAACTCAAACTGCGGCCTACTGTCCAAAAAACGCGGCCTACCCCCCGAAAATTGAGGTCTACATCAGTAAATTTTCAAAATTTTTCGCGCGCCAAACGCTGGGTGGGATCCAGCCGATTTATGTTTTGAAAAAAATTAGTTGACCGACTGAAATAATAAAAAAATGAAATCTTTTTTTTCTACAGTTTTTCCATTCTCTCGAGTTTTTCGCCAAAAGCCGCGTCGCATACGCAACGCTTCCCCCTTGCCAATCCTCTCCTCTCGCCTTTCAAGTCGGAAAAAATTGACTATAAGGAAGGAAAAGTTGGCAAAAGTTCTCAACAAAAGGATTCGAACCTTTTTCATGGATTTCATAGACAGTACAACTACCACTGAACCATGCTGTGAGCTGAATCGGCGGCCTCCTTGGTTTTAAACTTTAGAAGACTATAAGTTGTCTAAAAACGTCCTGAAGGTTTTATCCGAAAAAGACAACGAAACGACTAGTTTTAAAAGTTTTGAATGTTTCAAAATTTGAAATATTTAGTGTATTTATTCAGCTAATTAGTTTTGGCCACGATTCCAAGACTCCCAAGTTCCCAATAAAATCACCTCTCTTGTGAATCAAAAAAAATTTTCCCCTCGTCCAGTTCCCGCCCTCTTGAAGAATCATAAGAAAATGTTTTGTCCTAAAAAGTTTTACCGGAGGAATCTTCTTTGAATAAGATTTATTACAGGTGATGAATGAAAGAAGTTGATGCAAAAAACTGAAAAACAACTGTGAAAAGTTACCGGGAAAATGGATTACTGTTCTACAGCCTTATCCATTAGCACATCTTCATGAATCCAAACAATTTTCAGCTCTTGAGAAATTTCCCTCCTAAAGATGGGGCTACAGAAGAAGCCTTTGCAAGATCATTAAACTTTAAATGGAAATCGCAATCGGATGGATATGAAATTTATGATGTAATAAAATTTTTTCTTTCAGGAAATCGAAAGGCTTTCAACGATTTTTGTAGGATTTTTATTGCTGAAGGTGAAAGGAAGCGAAAAATTTCTTTTTATGGATCATGAACATCTTTAAAACCCTTATAAAACTGTATCCGAGAGGCATTCTGGACGTTCTTCTCATCTCAAAAAGATGAATTTTCTGGCGGTCCTACTTCTGGGACTTTTGCCTGCGGTCTATGGCTACCAGTGTGAACCAGTGGTGAGTTCGAAACTAAGAATCAACTACAGATCCCTTTGTTGATTTAACTAGTCAGTTTATGTACCCCTGAACACATCAAAAAACTGAGCTCCAAGGAAAGAACTCAAGATAAAATAGGAAAAAGAAACGCCTAGAATCAATTCATTTTTTCGAATCTTCAACTTCAGCCACCGGGAAAGCCCGGGGTCTATCCGGCCCTGCTAGAGCGGTACATCGTCATGCCTCAGACGCTTCGTGTCGGCGACACTGTCATTATCAACGGCAAAGTCGGCAACGGCAGTGTTCCATTCAAGTTTCTTTTTATCAACTTTTTGAAGAAAAGCAAAAAAGTGCTCCGAAGTTTCATAGTGTTTTACTTCTCGAAAAGTTACATGTACTGTGCCTTTTAACAGCTTATGCCGGCGCCTCCTGCTTTTATACTTGTGACCAAAATGAAAAAGGTCGGCATTTCGGCGCCCTTCTTAGATTATTTTCTAGCCCTTTAAAAAATGTCTGAGTTGCTCCAATTCTTCAATACAGGCGGTTCACCATCGACTTCTTCGTCGGAAAAAATGTATCTTACTACAACACTGTCAGCACCATGCACCTGACTGGACAGTACGACTTGAATCAAACCTTCATCGGGGATTATCAGGTGAGGTTCAGTCAACAGAGAGAAGAACTCATCCTGTCTCGCTTAAAACCATTCTACTGTGCAATTGATGCCAAGTTTTTTTCAAGCAACAGAAAAGTCGTATGTATAGAAAAAGCCTGACTAAATTACTCTAAAGGGAGTCAAGGAGTTGTAGAAAAACAGTTTGGAACTTCCATACTTATCAGCGTGCGTCTAAACTCTCCTTTTGTTCACGACCAACTCTCCCAAGGATTTTTTTTTATTGAACTCAATAACAATTATTTCAATTCGCAATAAACTGAATCAGTCTGACACTTCGGTGGTATGAAAAAAACACCAGCGAAAAATCAAACGGCGACTTTTCCGATTTTTTCATATCGCTAGGGAACTTTCCGACGGCCACCTTTTCGCCGAATCCCTTTCCGACTTTTTTTTCTCGATAAATTCTTCGTTTTAAATCTTCCTATATAAAGTAGGTAGTTGGTTAATGATTAAAACACAAAGACATAGGAAAAAAAAAGTAAATAGATGTCTTATAAACCAAAAAATATAAAGGAAAAAAGTCGGAAAAAATTTCGTCGGAAAGGTGGCCGTCGGAAAGTTCCCTAGCGATATGAAAAAATCGGAAAAGTCGCCGTTTGAATTTTCGCTGGTGTTCTTTTCATACCACCGACACTTCTGGGCCCTCTCGCTCTATTCATAAGCCAAAACGTTTCAAGAGAAAGCGAACAGAGTCCTTATGATGTCATAGTAAACGGAGTTTGTCACCGTGAAATCTGTTATTATTCCAGCCCAATCCCCAACACGCATTCCGCAGAGACAAGAACTTTACTCTTCTGTTCACCGACGAGCCAACGAGTATCAAATTCAAGTTAGTTCGATTATAACTCCAAGGGTGAATTCGATACTTAAGGGTTGAAGCTGACGGATACTCAATTTACAAGGACAACGTTTTCATCCACAAGTTAAAGTACTTCAAGGAGAACTACAGCACCGTGCAGACGATTTACATTCAGAACCTCGACTTCCAAACTGAATGGTGAATTTTTTGTTTTCCACCGCTTTTCAAACAATTTTTGAAGTTACATCGATTGCAAAGAAGAAAAATTCTGCCCATGCAAGGGACTTGGAGAGCGGACAATCTATATTGGCTATAGAGTGGTTCGATACATTGGTAAGTTCCAATATTATTTCAATTTTTAAAGGGACTTGCTTTTTTGAAAAATCATCATTTCCAGATGGAGAATGCCCCTGATGAGATCGGCAAGTCGAAAAATGTCAAGCAACAAGGAAATCGTCATCAGCTCGTTTCAAATAAAACTTTTAAGCGAAATTTTCAATATTCGTGGTAAAAGATGTTTGCGGTCGAAGGATTACAGAAAAGCTGGAGACTGTTTAAAAGTAGTCAAGCAAGAAGGACTGCTCAGGACAAGCCTTTTTCCGTGCGTAGAAAAAAAAACCACCGAGAAACTCATCACCACCCAAAGAGCCAAAGAGCGCTCAAGAAAATCCTACTTACAATCAGTCGAGAACAAGTAAAAATAAGTCCTGTAGGACACGTTATGAGAAGACGCGACGATCGATGGACAATAAGAACTACAGTATGGTGGCCGAGGGACGTGAAAAAAATACTTGGTCGTCCCGCAACAAGTTGGAGTGACTCATTTAAAAATTAAAATTCAACCCTCCTGGGGGGGAATCGGTAACAGTCCGGGCGGGACCGAAGCCTTGCACGGTACTGAGTAGGCGACAACCGGTGTAAGTGAGTGATTGCGGTAGTGTGATCAAAAATTCCGTCGATTTTATTCAATAATAATAATTTAATCGGTACGTATAAAACGGCAAAACGCGGCTTTTACAATGATAAGCGGACGCGTTTTGTCGCCGATACAAAAATTATCGAATAGGTCGCGAGGATTCTCGTCAATTGTATGAAGAGATCTCATTTGTGTGAATTTTTTGATTTTCTTAACAGGAAACACGAACAAACCAAAGCGAAGAATTCAGAGATTATGAATACGCCCAAAAAACCGAAAGCATGTGCTCCATATGGTTATGAACCGTGAAAACCTTATTTGTTTCTGTTGTTGAACTGGTTTTACAGGTTCCCTGACTCTTTCGAAAAAAAAAGCATGTTTTCTCAACCGTCTTTGGTACCTTTTTCAAGGCGCTCAATTTTCGTGAACGATGAAAATTGTGATAGAACGCTACTGAATAGTGATTCCGATTTTGACTCAGATTGGAAAAAGGAAAAAAATTGGACATTCTAAAATCGGTCGGTTTTTATAATGACTAGTTTTTAAATTTTGAAAAGGTTTTCCAACATTTTCAAGGTTTTAATGGTTTTTGAGTACATATTTCTTCATAGCATTACGGAAATGAAGTTTGAGTTTAAAAAAATCTGATCACAAAATTTCCGAAAATTGACTTTATCTGAACTTTTCTATTTTCACCAGCCCTCACCAAATAAAGATGTTTCATTCGCACACCATATTACGATACCAGCTCAAATAAAAGAAACCTTGACCTCCAATTTACTAAAACATCTTCTTTTTGCTGAAAATATTTTGAAACTTTCAGATTACCCACATTCGAGAACCCTACGCATTTTGGAAACTTTCAAATTGAAAAGCTTTGAAAAATTTGAGAAATGGACACTATAATACCCCCATGCGATAAAAACAATGAAACTGACCTCCAACTCGGACGAAGCCTTCTTGAAACGGCAGAATCGAAAACCGGGCGATCATGCACTCGATCCATTTCGCCGAGAAGACCATGATGATGATTGTCATGTTAATGTGAAAAATGCGGCTTTTCGAGGCGAGCCGAATCACGAAAAGAGTCAGGATAAAGGTTGGAACGTGCAAAAGCAATTCAAACGATCTGAAGTGATCGATTTGAAGGGCAAGCTAGGTAGAATGAACCTAAATAACCAATAGACCCAGTTGGAATCGGGTGCTTGGTTCAACGAGTAGATTGGAAGGAAAACGACTGGGCCTTCCGAGATCTTGACATTCATTTCCTGGAATTGATCCATTCATCGGCTGAGTCCCACCTCGATTTGTGCGCGAAAAAAAGTTTGAAAATGTACTGAAGTAGGCCACACTTTTTAGGGGAATAGGCTGCAGTTTGAGGGGGGTGGGCCGCACCCCGGGGTGAGATCCAGCCGACGTTGAACTGATCGAACTTTGAGCAACTTCTTCATAGACTTTAGAACTTCAAGTCTTCGGATATAGTCAATCCTTTCCGACTTGAGAAGCGAGAGGGGAAAATTGACGAGGGTGAGGCGTTGCGTACGCGACGCGGCTTTATTGCGGGGTACTCGAGATCAAACGGGATCATGGAAAAATGTAGGGAAAATAATTTTTTTATATTTTGTACTTTTATTCGTTCAACTGTCTTTTTCAAAACCATGAAGGTTGTTGAAAATCTGTCAAAAAAAAGACATAAAATATAGGATAAAGTAGCTTGCGTTTGTCAAGTTTCCCGCCAAAAAAAGCTACATACGTAACGCTTCCCACCTCCTTACACATTTTTTTATCAAAAAAAGAATCAAATAAATGATTTGAATTTGAATTCTGCTTTTCGATAACGTGAACATGACAAGTGTAGAGGAAAAAAATTGTATGACGCATTTTTGAAATTCAGATTTGAAAAATTAAAACGAAATTTTTTTAAATATTCATGGAGTACACTGTTACCAGTGAGATAGGAGACAGGTTCAAGTTCCCAATACTTTTGAAAAGTATTTTTTTTCTGATGGCTAATCTTCGAAAATAACCCAATTTTTCACTATATCAGGTGTACCGTTTGACGCGCGATAAAAAACTCTACAAGATAAAAATTGTCGCATCAAACTGAATTTTTGCAAAGAGAAATAATTCTGAAAGACGATGGGAAGGCTTGTTTGGAGCGGAATGTTGATTAAAACCCAATATTTTTCTAATTTCGCGACCGGATGAGCAGGATTTCAAGAAACATGAGCAAGAGGCGAATCAATTTTCTTGTGCAAACAACATATTTTCGAAACAAGACGGAATTCAATTCACCTGGACGTCTGTAATAACAAACTCCGAGTCTACAATTTGCTCTCTTTCATCTCGGGAGTTTGAAAAGAGGACGAGTCTTTCAGCTTTGAACTCTGTTTTGAACACTTGGGTTCAAAAATTACTTTTGTTCATGAAAAAAGTCAAGAAAATGGGTAAACCTGACAGGAAATGTCATTTTACTTTGCGATCGGGAACTTCTTCAAAATCGGCCAGGACACTTCTTGATGTATCACATTAACATCGTGAAAGTCTCAAGCTGCACAACTTCCTATTTTTGGAGAAAGGACACCTCACCAGGGAACTACGAGAATCCGTATTCACGGAACATTGATGGTTTACAAAGTAAGCTCGTTTAAAGTCGAAGAAAAACCTCAAAATCCGTTAAAATGGGTTATTTTTGGGCCTTTATTTCTCGAAAACTGAGAAAACGTACAGGTTGAGACTTTCAGTATCATTTTCTCGTACATTAAGAAAAGTTCTGACCGAATTTCAGGAAATTCTCAACCGCAAAATGAATTGACCACCCTTGGGGAAGGAATGTGGGAAAAACTAAAAATTTATCCCCTGAACGTTTACATCAAAAATATATATAAGCGTGCTTGAAAACTTTATGCAAAAGTGTCAAAGGAGCAAAAAAAAGTTGATAAAGATCTCGAGGCGAAGAGTTACTTCTGCGCCTTTAAAAACTCTAGTAAGGCCAAGGTAGAGAACGGACTTCACCTGGACGTCTACATCAACTCACAACCTTAACCTATAATTTCATTTCTCGGTCCAAAAAATGCAAAGCGAAAGTGGAAAAAAAAAGATGTTCGCTTGAAATTTGTGAACTTTTACGCTGAGTGAAGAAATTTTTGGAACGAGAAGTAACTTTTTTATGGTAATGCAAAGATTGTGTGTGGGTGTTGATGAGAAAAAAAAGTGGGAAATAATTATTTGTTTGAACATTTTTTACGGTTGTTTGGACGATTCGAATGAGTTTCAAAATGAAAATTTTAAGAAGAGTTTTATTTTTTTCAATCCAAATTTTTTTAGCTTCAACTTTATTTTTTTCGAATAGTGATTTTGAACGGCAAATAAGGTTGGAAGCGCGAAATTCGTATTTAAAAAAATTGTAGAGCTTCCAAAAAAACTTGGTTTTTTTGAAACTGTTTTTAAGACAGGAAAAGGAGAAAAAAAGAACAAAAAAAGTTTTTTTCTTTTTCTACTAAATAGAATTTGAAAAAAATTATTATCTTCTAGAAACCTTTTTCTTTGTTTTTTTAAGAACAGAAAAATCAAAAAAATCCAAGAAATGGTTAATTTCCTACTTCTTTTTCGAAACAAAAATTTTGCGAATGTCGGAAACTCGATATATTACTAATCAGTTTTTCCGGGCAGGTGTTTTTTTCTCCAAAAATCTCTGTACTTTCAACGTAAGCTGCTTTTCTTATTCTCGTAACTTAGACTTTCAATCTTAAAGAGCAAAATTTCAATCAATTCAATTTTGGAAATATACAGTCTCCCAGTTTTTTTTTTCTGTAATGACCTTGAAATAATTATTTTTTTCCAATTGATCTTTTATTGCTGCAATCAAAGTTATTTCCGCGTCATGTTTATTCCGCGAAACACACAAATTTGGAATTTCTAAAGTCTTTTAAAAAAAATGGAGAATAATGCGATATGGTGACTTTTTCCGTCGGAAGCTATTAACGTTCAAAATTTGAACCTTTGCGCGTGAAATTCGTTGTCGGACTCATTTTTTCTGACGATTCCACAAATTCAAATTCAGCAAAATAATTTTAAACAAATAACGAGTCAAATTTGGAATCATAGAAATTACTTCAAACACAGCATTAGTCAAAAAATTATAATTTGAGATACATTTTCAGTTACGAACCTTTTTTATAGTTTTGTAGAGCTTAAAGAAAGAATCGAATAGTTGTAATCTTCAAAATCTCTATTTTTTCTTGAGTTGTTTCCATCTCACAGTATGATTGTATCATGTGAAATGTTCTTTTCTCTTTTTCTAAATTCCCATCCAAAAAACAGTGTGTCCTTTGATCCTCCTCCTAGACAGTAGTTTGTAGGGCGTCCAAACAACTTGGCCAAACAAATAATGCGATAAGAAACCAACAAAACCGAGTCGATAGCGATTTTTTTCGAGCGCTCCGAACAGCCTTTCCGTGTTTCAACTTGGTTCAATTTCAATATTTTCCAGAGAAAATGATATTTTTCGTTTTGATTTTCGGTATTTTGTCATATTTATTCCTACGGCAATCTCAAATGCGAAAGAAGCTTCCGAAAGGTACCGCTGAACTTGTCTTTCTTACTATTTTAAGTGATATTTTCAGGACCTTTTCCTTTGCCCATAATTGGTAATTATCACCAGTTCATCTGGGCGATTTACAGAGAGAAAAGCATGGTGAAAGTGTTGCAAAAGTTCCAGAGAGTGGGTTTTGTGTTTTAGTTACTTTGCAAGTTTTTCTTGAAGGAATATGGAAATTTGTTCACGATTTGGCTTGGACCGACGCCGTCGGTCAGTATCGCCGATTTCGAAACTGCTCAAGAGGCGATGGTCAAAAACGGCGACAAATTTCCTCACAGGGACAGCAGTGGAATTTTCGAGGACAATAGGGGTTCGTTTTTTGAAATTTGGAGAGAGGGAATTTGGAAAAAGCTGAGAAACGGAGTCAATTCGGACCCTTCCTATTTCAAAAAAGGGGGTTTCGGAGTTTTTTCTTTTCGCTGAACTCTGACTTTTTCACAGAACCACAAAATTCCATTTAAGTTGAAAATAGAAAATTTGAAGTACCAAATGGTTACTAATAAGATTTGAAGGCTTCTCGGCGTAAAATGGCAACATTGAGAATGAATTTTTCAAAAAAAAAAGTTCAAGCATTTCTTAAGCGCTTTAAGATCCTGTGGAGCAAAGACGTTCAATTTTCAACTTTTAAACTAGATATTAGCCTGCTATTAAAACATTTTAAGTGGATAAGACTTCATCAATCATTTTTTATTTTTTTTTAATGTTTTTTAGTTGGGTAGTAAAGAAGAAATAGTAACAAAAGCCCTTTTGAGGAAAAACACTAATTTTCGAATTGAAACAGCAAAAATAGTACCAGACGATTTTCCATTAGAATAAGTAGGAATAGATAAAATAAGAGCAAAAATTATTTCAATATTGTAAATTCCCATCTTCTAAATTGATGATTCTCTAATAAAGGCTTTTTCAGAAATGAGTTAAAAATTTCCTCATTAATGACGTCATAGTATAGAAAAACCTTTTCGAGAAAAAAAAACATTTTCTAACAGAAAAAAACAAAAAAACGAGCCAAGAAGTTAATATGAAATTTTTCAAAAATGCGGATTTTTTTATCTACTCAATTAATAATTTTTCAAAACTGAGACTTTTTAGAGATAATTTATAATTTTTGAAATGACGTCATAATAAAGAAGACTTATTTTTCGAACTGAAACAGCAAAAAAAAGAGCCCGAGACTTGATGTGAAAGTTTGAAAAGAATTACAGGAGATAAGAGAAAAAGATAATCAAAGAAAAAAAAATTGCAAATTTCCGATTTTCTGAAAACAAAAATCTTAAAACCGAAGCTCTTAGAGATCATTTAAAATTTTTCAATGACGTCATGATAAAAAGAGTTTTCTAACGTTTTTCTTTCAATTTTCAGCGGGTTTGGGTGTTTTTGCGGCAAACGGCCATGAGTGGCAAGTGCGCCGCCGGTTCACCCTTCAGACTTTGAGGAATTTCGGCCTCGGCAAAAATATGATGGAAGCCCGGATTATGGAAGAAGTCAACTCTAGGTTCTATTAATCCTCAAGTTTCGTTTCAAAATATTAAAACCCAGGTTTCAATCGATCGAAAGAGACGCCGTGAATGGGGAAACTGTGAGGAATATTCATAATTTCCTGGATATCACTATTGGAAGTCTAATCAACAGTATTCTGTTCTCGAAACGATTCAAGGAGGTTTCTTTCTACCTCAATGTTCTGAAAATTCTCTTCAACTTTTTAGGACGACGAAGAATTCAAGAAATTAAAGCGGAACCTAGACGCGTCTACGGAAAACTTCTCCTGGTTCGAAGTTCTCATGCCCCTTTGGATTCAAAAGTTGAAAATATTCGAGAAAAGGTTTCATTTTTTAATTCCTTCTGTTTGAAAATGATATTCATCAGACAAGAAAAAATCTTCACTCCCCAGAAAGAAGCACTCAAGTACCTCAACAGCTACATTGTCAAGAGGTATAGCCTGTGTACCACGACTTGGAATTTCACCGAACGACATTCCGCTGTTCCGCTGCGCGCCTTTGCGAACCTTGGTCGCGCTTTTAATTTTTTTTTTCTTTTTCAAAGGTACTTTACTTCCATGTGTTCCCACAGCAATAAAAATCAATTGAAAGCGTGACCTAGATTCGAAAGACGCTTCGCGAACGCACGCAGCGGAACAGCGGAATGTCGCTCCGTGAAATTTCAAGTCGTGAAGATATTTTTAGAACTTGAACTGAAAAATTGGATATTTTTCAGACAGGAAGAAATCGAAAATGGACAACGACAGGTTTCAGATGAGCCTCAGGACTTCCTAGACGCTTATTTGCAAAAAATACGACAAGAAAAGGAAGATGGAGTGAAGGATAGCCCTTTCCAGTGAGTTCAGAGATGAAAACTCCTCAAAAAAAAGTGATATTTTGGCGTTTTTTTAAAGAAAGGGTGGAATGGAAGGGCAGAATAATCTTCATTTGTCAAAAAATAACATTTTCGGCCTACTTTCAAAGGGGAAGTCCAAATTATGTTTAATAAAAGTCTTCGAAAAAGTTTTCTAACCATTTATTTTCGCTAAAACGGTTTTTTTTTTCACTTTTTGAAAGTCAATCGACGACAAAAGGTTTGAAAAATAGTGAATTTTTCCCAAAACTTTAAGAAACTTTTTTGAAGCTGTTTTATAAGGGAAGGACAAAAAGATGCAGAATAATGTAGTGAAACGCAAAAAAATAAAAGAAAATATCACTGGAATCAGCTTTTCTACGTAAATTAGAGCCAAATTCAAATTCCGCGCCAAACGAAATGAAAAAATTGCCTTGTTTTGAACTCCTTTTTCAGTTTGGAAGACCTCCGACTCACCTTGTTGGATCTTTGGATAACCGCCCAAGAAACGACGGCGGCCACGTTGAACGTCGCCATTATGAAGATGATCTTCCATCCTGAAGTTGGCTTGAAATTATGCTTCTTCTATAGCCTGTGTACCACGACTTGGAATTTCACCGAACGACATTCCGCTGTGCCGCTGCGCGCCTTTGCGAAGCTTTTGATTTTATTTTCATTTTTTAATAAGGTACTCTACTTTCATGTGCTTCAACAGCAATAACAATCAATTGAAAGCGTGACCCAGATTCGAAAAACGCTTCGAACGCACGCAGCGGAACAGCGGAATGTCGTTCGGTGAAATTTCAAGTCGTGGCACAGACAAGGAAGGTCATTTCACTTTTTTTGGGGGTTCCCTAAAAATAGGCCAGAACACTTCTAGATGGTCCAAATGAAAATCCTAGAAGTCTCAACCTGCAAAACTTCCTAGTTTCCGAGAAAGGAAACTTAAAACATTTAAAACCAGGGAAAATATTAAAAATCAGGAAAAATTTCTGGACTTTGAGCCCTTATTTCTCAAAAACTAGGGAGTTTTAAAGGTTGAGAGCTTCAGAATATTTTTCTGATACATCAAGAAGTATGCTGGCCAATTTTCAAGAAATTCCCGACAAAAATGGGAAATGACCTCCTTAGCTTTAATGAAACATCGCAAAAAAGGCCAATATCTTGATTTCTGGAAGAAAAGGCTATAAAAAAGGTCGAAATTCAGGAGAAAAAACAATTTTTGACGCCTTTCCAGTCCCGTTCTTATTCTGTAGCTTCTTTTGATATCCACAAAAAATTACTCTACCAGGATTTTTTATAGATATTTTTAAAAACTCCTTTTAAGCAGCTTTGAAATTAAGTTTCAATTCAAAATGTCGCTTTTAAGGTGCAAAAAAAGGTCCGAGATGAATTATTGAAAGTGACAAACGGCGGAAATCGTCCCCTGTCCCAAACTGACAGGACCAGTACCCCTATTTCAATGCCACCATTCAGGTTTTCTAAAAAAAAAAGAAAACATGTAATTTTTGGTTTTTTCCAGGAAATTCACCGACACGCTTCGATTCTCAACTTGAGCTTTTGGCGGCGGAACGCGGAGGTACCTATTTTTCGAAATATATGAAAAAAGCTTGGCAGATGCTTTTTTATTTTTTATATTGGTCTTTAGAGACAGTGAGACTTCTGAATGAGACCTCGATGAAGTTTTTCACGCTGATTTCAAATCTGGTCTCAAAAGTTGTCCAATACGTCTGTGAGAAAAAGTTATGGACCCTCAAAAGTCGAAAAATTCCAGTGTCTCCGTTTTAGCTTCTTCCTGGGGGTATATATATCTTGTTTTTCCGCTTAACATAAAACGAATTATTTTTTTCTTCAAAAGAATTTTTCAAGCCCAGATATGATTTTTCAAAGCTCCGCCAGAGTTCATAACTTTTTTCACAAGCGTATTGGGCAAAGTTTGAGACTAGATTTGAAATCAGCGTTAAAAACTACATCTAAAAGCTGGTCTCATTCAGAAGTCACACTGCGTCCAAATAACATTCCCGGATAAGGATATTTTTCTGTTCTTTGTGACATAAAATGACGCAAAATTGCCTGGTTATCTTATCTTATGAGACGGTTGTTGATAAACCCAATGAAACACTTAGTCTATCAGAAAAAAACTGTTGTCAGTTCTTGTTGAAGATTTTGGAAAAGTATAACTGGAAAACTACCAAAAAACCTTTTTTTTTCGTCTTTTAAGGTCTTTTTGAAGATTTTAGTAGTTTTAAAGACATATGATATAGTCAAAAAAGTTTAATTTCGGACAAAAAATTTTCCCTAGAATAGTTCCCATAAGGGAACGCAAGTGGCCCCCTAGAGAAGTTAACCCCCCTTATGTTGTCCTTATTTAGGTTTAGGATTTGATGTCTAAATCCCTTAATAAAGCTCGAGAGGTCCCTATAGGGTTTTTAAATTTTTTTTTTCAAATTTCTAACTATACAAAAACCTTTGTATTTATTGAAATAACGCTAATTTACCGATTTTTTCGCTTTGGAATGCTGTTCCTTTAACAAAAATCGACTAGCATGTTCCCTAAAGTGGCTACTAACTGAAACCCCTCAAGTAGCTTTTGCAAGCTTTAGTTGATCCTAGAGGAAGAAGAAAGACGGTCTCTAGAGAGAAGCTTTTGAAGAGCCCTACAGGATCCGCTCTGGTGTTCCTAGCTGCGTAAAGCTTTAAAATTTTATTTTGACATTTATATTTTTCTTGGAGCTGAATGACAAAGAATTCACAAAAAGGAAAAGTCCAGAAACCTACAGTAGTCTGAAAAATCAAAAAAAAATATTCTGCGAAAGCCAGCGCTCCAATGAATCATGCTTTTAATTGGCTGACCACGCCCACTTTTTTTGAATACGGAAGGCGTGGAAAAGAGAGGAAAGTGGTCCCTAATTGTAAACCTTCAAAAGCCTTTAAAGTTGTCTCTATAGAGAACACTCTGAAGTTCCTGAGTGAGTATGAATCTAAAAATTCTAGGACACGGTAGTGGCTGGCCAGCCTGTGGCGGAAGGAGCCCTGGTTGGAGTTCAATTGAGTCTTCTCCACAGGGATGAAAGTGTCTACAAAAACTGGCAGGAGGTTTCAAAATCTCAATTTTTCTTTAATAAACGAGATAATTTTAGTTCAACCCATCGAGATTTTTGGAAAACGAAAAGCTGAATCGAATGGTGATCCCATTTGGAGTCGGCAAAAGGGCCTGCCTGGGAGAATCCATGGCCCAAGCTGAGATCTACCTGGTTCTTTTTACTTTTTTAGTTAATTAACTCCATCACTAATTAAGATATTCGGAAATCTACTGCTCAACTACGAGATCCAAGCTCACGGGGCAGACCCGGACCCGGAAGAATTGGCTCCGACTTGTCCGTTCCGAGTTCCGAAGGACTACGACTTCAAACTAATTAAAGTTACTTAAAATCGGGATATTTTTGAGGCCACTCGGGACTTCTAAAATCTCAAAATAGCGGGAATGTGTAGGAAAAGCTTTTATTGTGAGAAACGTGTTTGATGGTTTATGTGAAATAAAATGTTCATTTCTTATGATAAATATAAAGAATCTATTAATAAAAACAAGAATTTTTCTTTCAGAATCTACTTTTTTGAAGCCAACTCAGTTTTTTTTCCTATCGAATTTCGTCCATTCTTGTTTCTTTTTTTTTCTATTCTCGGGCAAAGTCGGAATGGTGGATAATGGCCGCTAAAAGGAAAGAGGCTCAAGAAAGGCCACAAAAAGACAGCAAAAAGGGTCCCTTAACAAGCCTTCTATTTTTCTGGGATCATAAAAAAGGCTGAAGAAATGGTGAAAAAAGAGAGGCAGCAAAAATGATGTATAGTCTCTAACAAAAGTTGCGGTGCACCCCGCGTCCAACTCTCGTTTCACCCCGCAGTGTAACCAGGGGTGCACCCCGTTTTGCTTTAAATGCCTATTAATGTACTTATTCCGTACAGAATTTCGAAGTGGTTGTTTCCCAATATCACCATTTTCTACCGTTTCATCCTAGGTCGTTTCGGTAGCTCAAAAAGAACTTTTCATTTCTGACCGGTTGCCCCAGGGGTTCACCCCATTCAGGTCCAACGCGGGGTTCAGCGCAAAAATTAACGAAAAGCTCACTTTTTTCGGGGTTCACTGCGGGGTACACCCCCATTTTTGTTAGAGGTCTGTTCAGATTTTGAATGTCAAGCAGCTAACTACACCCCCAAGGCTACAATATCTTTCGCGTCAATATTTTATCCACAGATGACGATGGCCCTTTAATAACGCTGCATTTTTTTGACTTCTTTTTTTCTATCTTTTTAAATCAAAAAAAGATCAAAATTAGTCCCGCGCGATAAAACATCGACGCGAAAAGATACCTTCTCAGCAGGGGCGGAGTTAGCTGGTTGACATTCAAAATCTGAACAGACTATATCTCCAGCATCTTCTCAGAAAGGTCTAAAAAATTGTTTGTGATCGAACAAAAAATTTAATGAAACGTTCAAAGTATTTTTTTATTACATAAAAAACATTTTTCTGGGCCTAAATGAATTAAATAAATAAAAAACGCTCTTTTCGAATGGCAGACTTCAATAAAGAGAAATAATAGTTATTTTAAATTTTTCAGTCTAAAAGAGGGTATCATATTTTTGGCTTATTCAAAAAAATCTATAACATTTTTTTAGACAAATAATAGACTTGTTTTGAAACAACACAATAAAAAAAGTACCACGAGCCTGAACGCGTATGAAAAATTTAACAAAATTGATTTGAAATAAATGAACTAAAATTTTTAAAAAAAATTTTTATTGACTATGCACATAACAACGATAAAAAAAAAACAACAAGAATAAAATTTTGAAATGAAAAATTGGAAAATTGAGGGAAAAAAAAATTGAAAATTCGAAAGGATATATCAATAAAATCAAAGATGATAGAGACTTGGATTTCCAGGATGAAATTGAACTACATTATAAAAAAATTGAAAAAAATTTTTCTAAATCAAAATATATAAATTTTGATCTTTGATGAAGAAATCAACAGTTAGTAAGGATGTAACAAATAATGAGGCTGGATTCAGAGAAATGAAATATAATTTGTTAGTTAGAACATAGAAAAACGGCAAAGATCAAAAGGCCCAAAGATTAGGGTTACAAAGAAAAAAAAACGTTGTAAAGCTTTCCTGACGCCTTTTCATGGCAAAATTGTTCGAGAAAGCTTTTTTTTTTAGGTTCGCAAAAAAAATAAATTTTGATGAGCAGAAGACCGAGAAGAATTTTTGAAAAACATGAATAAAAGTTGATAAACAGTTGAAATGCTTTAGGATACTAAAAGAACATTTTTCTGTCTTTTAAAAGTTTTCCCAATGCGTTTCGAACTTTGCCTACAATATGAACAGGTAATTAACAAATGTCGTCCATCACAGAACGTCTCCGATCCTCGGGACTTCCGACTTCGGATTCTTCTCCGCCACAATATCCACAGGAGTCGTCGTTGCAGAACTCGCGGTGAGAGAACTCAAGGAAAAGCGAAAATCGGTTGACGGAGACGACGAGAAGAGTCGAATAGAACAACAGAACGATCAAAAAGTCGTACAGCTCGTCTCTAAGGTTGATTTTGATTTGAACAAAAAGCAATTTTTTTCAGACATTGAGTTGATTGTCTGTTATTCAATGGTTTTACTCGGTTTGAAAATTTTCCTATAGCTGGTCTTGATTTTCCCTTTTCTCCAAGCTACAGAACCCTTCCCTTCCATGCTCTCTGTCTGTCTCTATGCATGCTCCTTTAATATAAGACCAAACTTTGGCTAAATGAAAGGCGCATGCCTAGAGACAGGCCACGTGCATTGAAGAGAAGGGTTCTGTAGCTCGGAGAGAAAAAATCGTGAAAAGCTGGAGAAAAGAATGACTCACCGCTTGTCAGTAAATAAGAGAATTATAATCATTGGGACGAGCACTTTGAATAAAATATGCACGAAAAAGTACATGACGAGGAAGATATCGAAGAGAAGACAGAAGAAAATCATGAGAAAGTTCTTGCTCAACACGGTCAGGGCCTCGAAACAGGAGAAAAAGGCCAGGATAAATGCGTCGGTTTCCAAGAAGCAGAAGAAACCGTAAGCCAAAATTAAGCTCAGTAAATCGTGGGCGTAGATCATAAATTCAAAGAATGGGAAGCCGAAAAGCTTCACGCGTGGAGTCATTTTGAGAGCGATCTGTAATAAAATACAGCTAGATTATTATAACTTTATAATTAAAAAGAATTACAAGGTCTTTTTTTCAGTGACTTTGGTATGAAGAAAGACAAGTAGGAAACTTTTTTTTCAATAATGAATCATATGAAGTTCGATATCATTGAAAGATATGATAACGGCTTCAAAGAGAGGAATTTTTTTCGATTAAGACTTGGACCACGCCTAATTGAAACGCCATGAACTTTGTTCATACAAACTTATTTGATAAGATCTTAAATGAAATATGAATTTCACAAACAAAATGAAAAAAAAACCCTTAACGATTGAAAATAATCAAACTAGCGACGCTAACTTTTTTTTAAAAAAGCGCTCAAAAATTTTATTTTTTTTTTTCAGTGAGATCGCGAAATATATTTTTCGAAAAATTATAACAAAAATGGAATTCAATTTGAGGAAAGTAAGTTATTTTATCATTTGATTTCGAAAATGATATGAAAAATATTATGAGTTCGAACTCGCAAATGTTCTCAAACAATTTGGATTCTTAAAAAAATAATAAGCAGATCTGAACAACTTTTATTGAGTATGTACAGAAAACAACAACGAAATAACAAATAACAAAGCACAAAAAAATAAGTGAGATTTATCCGAAAAAAAATTTGAGTAAAAAAATTAGTTTTTAGCTGTAAAAATTCTGTAAGAAAATTTAAAAAAATTGAAAAACTTTGAAAAATTATTAAATTGGTTCAGTGATAACAACAACAGAAAAAAAGAATTTAAAGTGCCAAACAACACATTTCGACACTCGATTGGCGCCTCGGAGTTTCACTGCTGTGCATATAAGCGACGTGAGGCTGGTTGTCACAAAAGTCGCCATCTTTCCGTTCGAAAAGCTCAAGAAGAGTGAAGAAACGATGAATCGAGGCGGAGATGAGCAGAATGTAGAAACAGGCCGCCATTGTGAGATACTCCTTCTCCATGGTTTCTTCTGAGCGAGCTCTGAAAACGAAAATTTTCCGTATCAAGCAATTTAGGGTGTTCCGCGCAAGACCGTTTTTAAAGAAAAAATCGGAGCAGCCTTTCTGGAGATTTTTCTCTAAAGAAATGCAAAGAAGACAGCAAAAACAAAGGTCTTGAAGCGAAGCTAGTCCAATTAGGTATATATACGGTCATTTTGCAGAGAAAAAAAAACGTGAAAAGCTGTCGCGGAATGGGCTATAACAAAAAAAAGAGACAAAAAAAACCGACGTCTCCAAGTATTTTCTTCTTCATCTAACTTTTAAAAAATTTCTTCAAAAGATCGAAAACTAACGTTTTGAAAACCAAAGGCTTCAGCACTTCGAAAAGTGCGTGGTGGATGAGAAAAAGAACTCCGATCATCTCGCAGATGATATAGGAGAAGATCATGAATCCCCAGTTGGCGTAGACAACGAGACTTTCGAAAAAGAAGACGAAGAAAAGCAGACAGAAGACCACCGACTGAAAACCGAAGAAGAATCCGGCCAGAATCGAGTTCACCACAAAGTGGTTGTAGACCATTGCCTCGGGGCCAGTCAGGCCAAAAAACTTTGTGCTACCCAGCATTTTTCGAGTTAACCTGAAAAATCATAACTTGGCGAGTAAGATTTTTTTAAAACGAAAGTCAATCGAGGTATTAACATAGTCAGTCAATAAATAGGATGCGCGACAGATTTGAAAGCAAGTGAATTTGGAAGCGCAAACCGTTAGACGATTTTGTGAATACACCAATTGACCAGGGGAAATGAAAAAAAAAAAACGATGCTTTCAGAAAAAAAAAAATCAATATAGGAATGAATAACGAAGACATTTTAAAATTTTTAAAACATCATTTACTGGAAAAATTCACAAAATTATATTTTATTATGCTATAAATCTCTTGCACTCCAAAACCGAATAGGAAAAAATGAGGCAGAAAATCTGGGAACTTGGAAAATTAAGTCTTGAAACAACACAAATTTTTTTTTGTCAGAAGTGCTTATTAAAGGCGCATGGGATAAAATCATTATTGAAAAAGCATAATGCAAGTTTTGAGATTTGTTTCGTTTTTTTAAAACAGTGTTAACGTTATACATTCAAAAAAATTTGAGGATGAAATAAATTTTTTTATTTTTTTATTTAAAAAAACCCTAGCAAGAATTTTTCAAAAAATTTTTTTGAATTTGAAGTTTATGATCCAGTGTAATTGATTTTGAAATTGAATTTAATGCGATACATATATGATTCTTTTTTTTCATAGTGACTTTTTCTATTACAAAAAAAAAATAGCAAAAATAACGAAGTAAGGCTCACTTTTATAATTTTTTTTCATTTATAATTAAAATTTTTTGTTCTACCATAAGCCAGTCATATATGGATCATTGTTTTATATTTCAAATACTGAAAAAAACACAAATATTCAGGTCTTGGACCGATTATTTTACTACGCACGGAAACCTCATTTAATCAAATTTTATTCAAAAAAAGTGTAAAAAAATGATATAACCATAACAGTATTGGGAATGTGCATAACGTAGGAAGACAACAACAACAGAACGAAGAAAATTTCGTTCGAATGCTCAATTTTTTCAAGATACGTGGAGAGGTGCAAATAAATTTCATAAAATTCTAGAAAAGGGAATCCGTTTTCCGTTTAATTCAAAGTCATGCAAGGTTTATATGCTTAAAATATCCAAGAATGGACTTCCAGAGAACGAGAAGTGAAATAATTATAGTAAGGGTGTTGAGATCAAACTTAAAAACAATGAAAAGTTTTTTTAGACTTCAAAAATAAATTGACAACGATCGTTGGAGAAAATCTCAATATTTTCGTGATTCTTCTTGGTGTAGCGGTAAATGCGGTAGACCATAAAGCAGTGAAAGGTAGAAAAAGTAAGGATAGAAATAAAGGTTGTTGCAGCGTCAATGGTGACACTGAAGCTGAAAGACAATTTAAATGAAACGAAGTACAAGGTGAAATACGTTTTATTTAGTTCCGTTTTTTTTCATTAAATCTACAGATTTCAAAAATAACGAATCAGGTTTTTTTTTTCAGAAGAGAACCTTGAAAGAAAAATTTAAAATGCATACGGATGCTTCTTCATAGAATGAAATAATAATTTACGCAGCATTTCGCTTTACACTTTTGAATGTTGAAAAACCAGAGAAAAGTTTATCATTGAAGAAATTATATCAACTTTTATATTAAGATTTTTTTTTATTGAGCGAGAAAAATTTTTTTTAACAGACCTTACGGGAATAGTTACATTCGAAAAAATAACGAACCTTATATCCCTGTATATCATCATGATAACAGTAAACATCGCATTGCTGAAGAAAAAGGTGATGCTGAACACCTCCATGACGAGAAAGAAGAGAATCGAGAATGGATCGTTGTTCCACATTGAAACGGCCTCACACAGCAAAAGAACACCAACGCCAATAAATACCTTGTCGAATCCGCAAAAAGTCAGGTATATCAAGAGCCCGAGAATGCCGTAACCGTAGAACAGAAATTTGGGAAAGAAGAAACGAATAGTTTTCTCGTCTGTCAGAATCTCTTGAGATTCTTGCTTTTCCATTTTCTCCATGATTTCCTAAAAAGAAAAAATTGATTAGAAAAAGAATAAGCAAAAAAGGCGACAAGTTAGAGAAAAGGTGATTTAGAAAACTTTTTCTGGCGTTCCGCCCTCAAAAAATGACAGAAAACGAATGCGGTGTTCAAAATAACTTCGGCGATTTCAAAATAGACGTGTTATTCGTTTAAACTGACTTCAGGAAATAGGCAGAATAGGTATTCCGAGGAGGCGCAGAAAAAATGAATCCCACAACGACATATCGCTATAGCGCTAGATATGCCGAATTCGAAATCTACGTAAAAAAAAAATGCCCTAATCATTTCAATAATTTTGAGTTTGCGCGTAGAACTGTTAAAATGCATATCAAGCGAAATATCGTTGTAGGACTAATTTTTCTGGGCTTTCCAGGAATCGTTTTAAACGAATAACGCGTCAGTTTTGAAATGGCAGAAATTATTTTGAACACGGCAAAAGCAAGTCAAAAAAAAAAAATTAATGGCGTGTTCATCGGAGAAACGGAACATGCTTCGAAACGAAAAATCGTGTTCATCGGCGCGCCAAAGTTGCTCCAAAACAGTACTAACTTTTGTTTTGGAACAATTTTTTGCGTTTCGAAGCAATTTTCGTTTTGTCCGATGCATCGATGAACACGCGCCATAAAATCGGATGAGCGTCAGAAATTAAAGGAGCATCTCGGTCGGAGCGACGAAAATCGTTGTAGGAGTTTTTCTTGACTACTGTGCTGTTCAACTGTGCAAACACGTCGACGCATATCCTTCTTTTCTTGTTTTCTACGCAACGCTCATTCGAATTTTTTTTTCTCCCGAAGCTTCAAATAAAGTACACGTTTTCTGACTTTTTTTTTTCATAACGTAACGACTTTTTAAATGTAATTCATCGAAAAAAAAATCCGAGACAAAAATTTAAAAAAAAGCGCAACAAAAATGAAAAAAACAGTATACAAGAATAGTGAAAAAGAAAACATCGATATGACTGGTTAATATAAGTAACAAGAAAAATAGGCCTCATGATTGATTGAAGAGGTTTAGTTAGAGCTCTTTAAGCTTAATAAAACGGGAAAAAAAGCTTCAGTCTTCCATAATGAAACCATAGCGGTCGTTGGTTTTCTTGGTGTGACGGTATATACGGCGGAGCATAATCGAATGCCAGGTAACGCAAGTGAGAAGGAGCATGAAGCTGAGGACAACAGATAGCGTAAGCGTATTGGCCCTTTCGAAACTCATTTTTCTGAAAAGTTATTTTTTCATTTTTTTTTTTTAAGCTGAGTGCTTTTTGAAGATTGTTGAGCTTTTGAAAAGGCTTCATCTATATTTTTAATACAAAAGGCTGGACGAGCTTGCTTTGAACAGGTTTGAAAAAAAAAACGAACTTCTCGAAAGAACTGTAGCCGATGTAGGCGAGGAACATGACCAACGCGATAAGTAGAACGAAGAATAAGAATAGAAGACCGATCAGCTCCCAAATAAGGAAGAATAGAATCGCATAAATATTGTTGGAATATACAGCAAGAGCTTCCAAAGCGAAAATGACGACGGGAAACGGCGTAAATCCGCCAAAGTAATGGAAATTGAGGACGATATAGGACGCGGCTAAACAATCAAAGTAGAACCACATCTTGGGGACGAATATAAAGTAGACTTTGTTGTCTCTGAGTTCTTCCATCGATCCCTGTCGCCTCATTTTCTGAAAATTCAAAAGCATTGGAACGCGGGAGAAAAGACGAACCGTAAGAATTTACGAGTAAATTTTTAAAAAATCTTGCTGGAAAGGGGCAGAAGTCTTGCAAGACCTAGAAAAAACAGAAAAACTGCTTATATAGTTGATTTCAAACAAATTTAAAGAAAAAATAATAGGTTTATCGGCAAGAGTGACCTCTTGCTTCTGGCGGGGAACTCGAGGTCAAAGGCGAGTCTCTTTTTTGATAATTTATATGATCTTTCGACTTTTTTAAATTATTTCAAAGAACTTAGTTGAGCGAATAGAAGTATCAGGATATCGAAAAAGTACCTACTGCTTATATATTTTTCCATGATTGCGTTTGAACTTTAGTTTCTCGCTTGAGCAAAATCATAGGTGAATAGAAAAAGGGTATCGCGAGACCCTTTTTCTATTCTCGCAGGGTCTGAAGTCTCAGGATGGTACCAAGAAGATACCTCTGATGACTTTGAGCAAAATGAGACAGACTTGGGGAGACTCTCAAGTACTTCCGAGATGGCTCAGATATAACTAAAAGGTATGCTAAAGGTCTCACAATGGACATACGTTGTATTATGGGGCCTTCACGATCCATCTTGAAAGATATCTTTGTGGACACATTATGGTACCTTCTCGATTTGCATGTGGCAGAATATAGCCATTATTTTTCTGCGAAAAAGACCGTATTTGACCGAATTCGCTTCGAAACCTTCGTTTTAATCAATTTCTTTTTGCAGTTTTGTAGAGCAAATAACCGTCATGCGCAGTATATAACTATACTATATAGTCGATGTGCCACAAGTTGAAATTTCATGGAACGACACTCCGCTGTTTCGATTTGTGCGGTAGCGCGCATCGTGCGAATTTGCCAACCTCGGCCACGCTAATTTTTTTTGGTTTCAATCTTCATTTTATAAGCCACTCACTCTCTGAAAAAGTCCGTTAACCACTGCAACAAACAGAAAAAAAAGATGAAAACATTAAAAAATGTCTTTAACAAAAACACACTTTTTATCGCTCTTTTCGAAGAAGATCATGAAATTTACTGTGTTCTTTCATTTACATTTGTACAACGCAATCCTTTTCAACGATAATAATACATTTTAAAGAAATAAAAAAATTAAAAACGATCGAAATTAGAATGAAAACCAAAAAAAAAATTAGCGTGGCCGAGGTTGGCAAATTCGCACGATGCGCGCTACCGCACAAATCGAAACAGCGGAGTCTCGTTCCATGAAATTTCAACTTGTAGCACATCGACTATATAACCAATTTCGGTTTTTAAATTCATATTAAAAGGCATAGGGGCAGTAAAAAACGGTGTTTCAGTTCAAAGCTTTTTGTAGAGTTTTTCATTGCGAATCGAACGGTGAACTTGGAAATGTACCGAACTTCCTAGTTTTGAAGAAAAAATAATTCAAAGTCGGAGAAAGAAGAGCTTGAAATCCCGCCAAAAGGGCGCTTTGCAGTAAAGTTGCTTTATGGACAACACGCTTCGCCATTTTTTTCGCATTTTCGTTTTTCTCTGTTTTTTTAATTTCAATTTTTTTCTGTTGTCACCAAAGTTCTTCTCGTCACAAAAAGCGTCTTTTTCAAAATTCAAAATTCAAAAAAACATATTCACAGAAGCAAAAAAATGGATCACAGTTGCGTTTCAGACAGTTTCAACGGCGACTTGTTCGACGGCGTGGGCGGCGATCTTCTTGTTGCTGGCGTGGCGGTAGACCCAGAGAGTGAGCAGCAATTGGTGGATCATCATTGCCAGGAGAACGAGCTCGAAGACCAACTCGAGAACTGTCGCTGCGAAGGGCGAGAGGTCGCCTTTTTGGTGTGCTCTGCAATATATTAATAAAACGAATGAATTCAGGAAGCCGTTAGAAAATTTGGGTAATAATATGCCGGGACTTTTACGCGCTCATTCAAAACTTTTGTTATGAATGCCCAGGTTATTCAAGTTCTTGGATTTCGCGCGTAAAGTCGTTATCTCGTTGTAGAACCCAATGTTTATTACGGCTCCCGAAATTTTTTTCACATTTGCACGGCGTTTTTGTGTGACGCCATGGAAACGGCAGAGATTCCGGCTCTAAGAACTTAAATAACAGGGCATATTAAAAGCAGAAGTCTTCAAGACGAATCGAAATTTCTCTGCGTTAACGCAACTTTCTGCGCGAAAGCGGCGCAAAGCATGCACATGACACACGACACTTTACGGAGAACAAGTGGGCCTCGCGTCGTCGAAAAAACGCGGTGATTCGCCAATTTATTTCAAACGATAGTGACATCAATTTTGAAATCGCTTTGAACACGGTATTAAGGATAACTTTAAGGTTTTTGAATGTTTTTTCAGAAAAAAAATCTTTGATTTTGAGCAGATTTTTCTCACAAAATGCGAGTCTAATGACACTTCCGCAACTTCTCGTGCACGGCTACTGTAATCAGTTTTGTGTACACCGATCCAAAGCAGATTTCAAAAAACCAAATGACAAAAAAAGAAATGCGAGTTTTTCTTCGAAAGTAATCCCTGCTGTGACTTTTTGAGTACACCGTTCGATTGACAATGAGAAGGTCTATAGTCAATGTTTCCCGACTTGAAAGGCGAGGGAGGCGGGGCAAGGGGCGGGGCGCGTACGCGGTTCTTGGCGCCAGTTCAATTCAATCGCCGCCGACTATTTAAAAAGCTCGGCCACCGCTCTTTTTCTGTATTTTTCTTCTATTTTTTTGATGCACACATGAACATAATCAATAAATAATTAAAAAACAAGTGAAAAGAGCAATAAATAAGCTCTCTGAATGCTCGCTAGCGGTTGAATTGAACACGTGCCAAGAACCGCGTACGCACACGCTACGCGTCCCGCCCCTTGCCACGCCTTTCAAGTCGGGAAACATTGACTATACAAGACAAGTATTTTTCACCAATAACCCCGTTTTTTACTGCCCCTCTGCCTTTGAACTAGAGAAGTTACGTAACTAGAGATTGAAAAGTTCTGTTGGAGATAAGAGAACAAACCTTGTGACGCCGCCTGGAACGGAGAGGAGCTGGAAGAGGGTGACGCAGTACACGCTTTGGGCGACGGCGCAGATGGTGTTCAAGAAGAGCAAGATGAGCAGGAAACAGGCGTTGTCGCGGTAGATGGCAGTGGCCTCGATGAGGGCTATCAGCATAGTCAGAGAAGCCATGATGGAGCAACTTTGCGTGAACATTGCCGTCGTCACGAACATGGTGACCAACATGTAGACGTAGTGGTCTCTCCTCGGCGAATAGACTTCGCTCCATTTCGAGTCCGCCGGCTTTTGTACTACCATCCCTATTTTGGCCATTTGGGTGTTCAATCAACCTGAAATCCTCAAAGTTTTGGTCCAGAGAGAGAATTTTCTTCACAAGCAACTGCAGAGTAAAATGTCCATTCCTTCACAATTTTCAGAAAAGACTCGGACATTGATAACGCGAATCGGACGTGTCGGGGCATTTCTAGTGACCACTTAAGCAGCTTCAGCCCTCTTTAGTGATCCCTAGAAGTGCCCAGAAACGTCCGGAGCACGTCCGTTTCGCGTTACAAATGTTCAAGAAAAACAAACAGAAAAATTGCCCCTCTATAGTGGTAAAATTTAAGTGGCTCCTATAGGGGTTTTTCAAACTTTTGTTCAAATTTGAAAATTAAAAATATCTAGTAAATGAAACTTGATCGATTAATCCTCTGTTAATATTTTTCATTCAAAAAATTATCGATTGTTTCTCATAGATTTAACAACAGTAATAGATTAGCAGACCCCTAGAGAGACCACTTTTGCAAGCTAGTAGCCATTTTAGCGGGAGATAAAAAACCTGGAAAGGCTCCTAAGGTGGCCCCTACAGGGACCACTCTGCGCTTCCTAATGGCGCCTCAAAACGTTTTTTCATTTTTTGCTAAAAAAAAATGGAGAAAATTTAATGGCGTGTTCATCGGACAAAACGAAAATTGCTTCGAAACAAAAATTAGTACTGTTTTGAAGGAACTTGGCCAATGAACATGATTTTTGGTTTTGAAGCAGTTCCATGAACACGCCATCAAGGAATTTCAAAATTGCAAAATAATCACCTATATTGTAAAGAACGAAAGCGAAGAAAAAGGGAAGGCTCTGGGAAAGGACGCCCGTTGACCTGACCTCCGTGCCATATGCATTATCGTGTGGGCGGGTCACGCATACCAACTGACGGTCTCCAGATGGCAATGGACCTATAATATGGCTACATTTTTTTGACTCATTTTTCTATCTTTCAGAACAAAAGAAATCAAAAACGAAACATCGACGCGAAAAGAGACTGCGATACAAGGGGTGGAGTTACATTTAAATCTGAACAGACTATAGATGAGCGAATAAAAGTATTGAGATATCCAAAAAATACCCAATTATTATGCGTTTTTCCATGATTGCGTTGGAACTTACCCAACGAAGGTCGGGAAAAGTGACCAAATGAGCCAACAAAGGACTTTTCTTCAAAAAATGAAAGAGACTTATTGAACTTTATCTATTTCTGGTTGGAGAATTTTCTTGCTGAAAAAGCATAAAAGAAGATGAAAAAAGGACTAGAAATTCACTTGAAAAGAGTTTGTTTTTGTGGAAGTTTGGTGGCGGAAAACTGTAGAACAAAGAAAGGGCGATTCGGCGCTCTCTGTAAACAGTTTCGACCCCGGGAAAGTCCTTAGTGGCCACTATAGGGTTTTGACGTTTTAGTAGCCACTATAGTAGTCAAATTAGTGGCACACTTTTTAACCCCTTAAGTCTTAAGGGGTTAAAAATTAGTGGCCACTGTAGAGGTCTAAGTGCTATTACTAGACCAATAAAAGTTTTAGTGGATACTTTATGGTCCAATGGATCAACATAACTGGTCCAATCTGTTTGTTTTTAATTCTCAGAGTTACTGGAAGAAATACTGGATGAAAAACTACTGAAGTGGCCACTAAAACGGAAAATATTGACCACTATAGTGGATTGAGTGGCTACTTTAGTGTCCACTCCAAGTAGTCCTCTATAGTGGCCACTAAAAAAATTTTCAGTACAGCCCATTACTTTTCTAGAAACTGTACATCAAATTTCGTCTCGAGACCTTTTTTTGGAGCTTTGTTTTGACAGCTCTTTCCTTTTTAAAACGTGACCGTCTTGCCCGGGACGAACTATATTGGGTTACAATGTTTTGTTTTAGAACTTCTTTTCAGTATTATCATACACTTCGTTTAAATAAAAGGTTTTATTAAAGCAAAAAAATGAATCACAGTTGCGTTTCAGACAGTTTCGACGGCGACTTGTCCGACGGCGGGGGCGACGGCGTAGGCGTTGATCTTCTTCTTGTTGCTGGCGTGGCGGTAGACCCAGAGAGTGAGCAGCCATTGGTGGATCACCATCGCCAGGAGGATGAGCTGGAGGACCAACAGGAGACCAGTTACTTCGATGGACGGGAGGTCGCCTAATTGGTCGACACTGCAATATATTAATGATATTTCTCACAAAATGCGAGTCTAATGACCCTTCTCGTGCACGACTACTGTAAACAGTTGTCTGTACACCGATCCAAAGCAGATATCAAAATCAAATTGCGGGAAAAGAAGTGCGCGCTTTCTTTAAAAGTAATCCCTGCTGTGATTTTTTGAATACACCGTTGGATTGGCAGTGAGAATGTCTACAAGACAAGTATTTTTCACCAATAACCCTGTTTTTTACTGCCCCTCTGCCTTTGAACAAGAGAAGTTACGTAACTAGAGACTGAAAAGTTCTGTTGGAAACAAGAGAACGAACCTTGTGACGCTGGCGACGCCGCTCAGAACGGAGAGGAGCACGAAGGTTAAGACGAAGCACACGCTCTGGATGACGACGCCGATGGCGTTCATGATGAGGAAGAAGAGCAGAAGACAGGCGTGGTCGCGGTAGATGGCGTAGACCTCGACGAGGGTCATCAGCACACTCACAGACGATGCGATGACGTAGCCTTGCGTGAAGCTGACGATCGTCAGAAGAAACCCGACGAACATGTAGACGTAGAGGTCCCTCTTCGGCGGATAGATTCCGCACCACTTGGAGTCCGTTGGTTTCTGCTCTACCATCACTTCTTTGGTCATTTTCGAGTTCAATCAATCTAAAATCAGCAAAGTTTTTGGTTCAGCTAGAGAATTTTCTTCACAAGCAACTGCAGAGTAAAATGTCCATTCCTTCACAATTTTCAGAAAAGACTCGGACATTGATAACGCGAATCGGACGTGTCGGGGCTAGTGACCACTTAAGCTGCTTTCTAGTGACCACTTAAGCTGCTTCAGCCCTCTTTAGTAGAGTTCTCAAAGAACGTTCAACCAAAATGAACGTTCATTTTTCCGTTCGTAAAAAGTTCGTTCAAAAAAATGAACGTTCATTTTTTTCATTTTCAAAAAGTTCGTTCAAAAAAATGAACGTTCATTTTTTTCATTTTCAAAAAGTTCGTTCAAAAAAATGAACGTTCATTTTTTTCATTTTCCAAAAAGTTCGTTCAAAAAAAATGAACGTTCATTTTTTTCGTTCGTAAAAAGTTCGTTCAAAAAAACGAACGTTCATTTTTTTCATTTTCCAAAAAGTTCGTTCAAAAAAATGAACGTTCATTTTTTTCATTTTCAAAAAGTTCGTTCAAAAAAACGAACGTTCATTTTTCATTTCCAAAAAGTTCGTTCAAAAAAATGAACGTTCATTTTTTTCATTTTAAAAAAAGTTCGTTCAAAAAAATGAACGTTCATTTTTTTCGTTCGTAAAAAGTTCGTTCAAAAAAACGAACGTTCATTTTTCATTTTTAAAAAGTTCGTTCAAAAAAACGAACGTTCATTTTTTTCATTTCCAAAAAGTTCGTTCAAAAAAATGAACGTTCATTTTTTTCATTTTCCAAAAAAAGTTCGTTCAAAAAAATGAACGTTCATTTTTTTCGTTCGTAAAAAGTTTGTTCAAAAAAACGAACGTTCATTTTTTTCGTTCGTAAAAAGTTCGTTCAAAAAACGGACGTTCGTTTTTCATTTTAAAAAAGTTCGTTCAAAAAACGAACGTTCGTTTTTTATGTGAACGTTCATTTTCTGTTCGATTTTTTTTTAATTGCAAAATGTAATAAAATTAAAAAAGTTTCCTGGCTCCGAAACTGACTGCGCAATATTGACCGGACACCGGCCGCTGTGGTACTGTCTCAAACATGCGAGCCAGCACGAATGTCAAAAAACAAACGGCATGCCAGCGCGCATACATCCGTTTAGAGAGAATTGTAAACTTGGAGTGACCAGACTCGTACTCTCCCCGCTCTCCACACTGTCGAGGATCTGCGCGCTGGCATGCTAATTTCAACAGAAAACGGTCTGCCATTTTTCTTCTGAGTGTCTTCCTCTGCCAATAATTCATTTCGAGTTAAATCGCACACCGCTACTCCCTGACATCATCCCTATGACGTCATCGTGGCTTGGCGATTCGCACACGCAGCCATATTATTTGATTTATTTTTTTCACGTTTTTAAATTTATAAAATTAGATTCGACTCGAAAAAAATTTTCATATTATTTCAGGCTCTTCCCATTCTTCAATTTTTTTCGGCGTACTTTCAACCCAATCCATTCTTTTCCGAATCGAATCCGAATCGGCCATTCAACCGAACCCATTCTTTTCCGAATCGGTTAATTATCAATCCGAATCGGATATTTTCAACCGAACCCTAGAAAATTTCCAAATATTCTTCCGAATCGGGCGTTCAATCCGAATCAGTCATGAAACCAATTTTTATTCAAATTTTTTTCTTTCTTTACTATTTATTTTTCATTTAAACTCACTGTATATTCAGAAATTTAATATGATCTGGGAGAGATAAACGGAGTACAGCCAAAAGCCTATCAAAACTTGAGTGTGTGCAATATCTTCACAAAGCTGAAGACTTCTCATTGCTACAGATCATTTTTTTCGGCTTTTTTTCCTCAATTTTTTTCTCGCCCATAGCCGACTTTCAGCTTTGCCCTTGACTATTTAGATACATCTGTCCAGATCACTTTTTTTCAACATTTTTGATTTTTAACCCAAGTTTGAATTTGAAAGTATCTGGTCTATGACTTCTTTTTAGGGTCGTCTGAGAGTAGAAATGAAGTCGCTACAGATACTGCCAAGTTTCCTGATCTTGGCATGACTTTTTCAGATTTTTCCAGACATTTTTTTAATTATTTCTTTTTCAGCCAGTCAATTATTTCGCTGTTTTTAGGCACAAATATTATCGACTGAGCTGGATGCAAGAGTTTTTCAAACTTCATCGAATTGGAAGTCCAAATTTGTAGTCGAAGGAGTGGATAGAACTGTCTGACGGTCCTTCACGAAGCTCGTGCTCTAGTTCAAATCCTTGAAATGAAAGAAATCACTTCAAGGGAAGATTTTTATAAAAAGAGCTGATCTTTCGCCTTTTTCTATCTTTTCTAGGAACAGAACTTTCAGTTCATTTGTTAAAACTGTTCTAACTAAATATAATTTATAGTTTAAACTCAGGTTTTTTTCTATTTATAACTTTTTGAAAATATCGCCAAGTTTTTTTGTTTTTCTTTTAAGTTGTCAGATGGCGATTCTACTGTAAACTTCTGAACATTTTTCGGAATTGACGGTGACAGTCACTTGAAAAATAGCTTCGAGAGGTTTTTCCTAATAAATAATCTTGACTAAAAACTAGTTCTCAGTCGTTGCTTACATAGCGCTATATATAGAAAAAAATCTGCGGACTTATTAGTAAGAATTTTTTTCGAATTGTTCACTACGAAATTCATTCCCGAATTCAGAGCGTTTTTGCAAAAACAAGAGTTGCAGACGGTCACGCGGAAGTCTCAAGCAGAATTCAAGTATAGGTCATTCCGCGCCAGCTTGTCACGATTTTAATTTTTCCTCGGAGCTACAGAACCCCTTTTCGGCGCTTCGCTTCAATGCTCTCGGTGTTCCCCCTTGCGTGCGCCTTTAATAAAAATATTATTTCTGATTAAGATATTGCTTCAATTTCCTCTCACTCTTCTATTAATTTACGAGGTTGTTTTCGATGGATTGATTTCATTTTTCGCTTGGACTATACACACTCAGATTCTGTGCTGGATTTGTAAGAAAAAAAGAAAATCAAAAAGATTGAATTACTACTTTTTAATTGTTATTAATGAAACCGGCTGTTCGAGCTTTTCTTGCATATAGTTTTTGGGTTAATGTGATATAAAATTTGATGTTACAACTGTTTTTGTAGAATAGGAAAATTCCAAAGTTCCAAAATAATGAGTTTTATTAAAGGCGCACGCAAGGGGGCACACCGAGAGCATCGAAGCGAAGCGCCGAAAAGGCTTCTCTAGCTCCAAATAAACTGGAAATCGTGACAAGCTGGCGCGGAATGACCTATATTTTATACCGAACTTCACTGGTTTCATCCGAAACGAGCGGAACAAAAAAAAAATTACAGCCCAATTGCATTGACTTTATCAATCGATTTCAAACTAAAATTTAAAGTCGTTATCACGCAATATTTCTTCCGAAATGATATTTAATTTCGGTATAATCCGACGTTCATGCTGAAAATCAAACATGTTGGTAACGTCGGATTATTCCTTAATTTCCATGAAACTTGATAGGGAAATGAAATGAAAAATTTTAAATGACGAAAACCGATTAAAAATTTTTGGGCCTAAAATTTTTCTTGAAAAGATGTGAAACCTGCGAATAAATATAAGAAAAAAGAATGACTATAGCAAAATACTAATATTAAGCAAAGTCTATAAGTGATGAAACTATACAGAAAACACAAGAATTGAAAAAGAAACATTGAAGAAAAACAACTAAAAAAACGTAATTTAAGCAGGCGCCAAGAGTTTTTGGCGCGCTATCTCATCGCTTTGGGACCCTATGTTCCCGTACACTTGGATAATTGCCAGTTTTCGAAAATTATTTTTTTCCATTGCCAAAAATAAGTTTCTGGCGGGTTTTTTTCTCTGCTCTTTTTTGCTTTTTTCATTTTGACTTTTTACATTTAGTGTTAGCTCTCTACAGTCAAATTACTTGAAATTATCGACGCTAAATCTCAATTTTTTGAAAAAAAAAATCTGGCCTAAAATTTCGCTGATTTTTACTTTGTGTTTTTATATTTTTTTATTCAGGTTTTTCCAACAACTGATATTCTACAATGAGAAGAATTAATGTTTTAAAGTTCGTATTGAACTTTTTCACTTTTCTCCAAAAAAACAAAATTTAGGCCCAAAAAGTTGAATTTTTTTACATCAATTTTTTTCATGTCAATTAAGCCTTTCAAAGTTTGAGTTATAATATCGTGAAAAAGGAGTGCCGTGTCTTTATGCCGCTCTCAAAGTGATTCTAGCAAGAAGACCGGCAAAAGGAAAAATAAACGAAAAATTTTTTTAAGAAATCATTTTTGCTAAATTACTTTGAATGATAATTCACGCCAAAATTTGTTTTTCTTTTGAAATTTGTTTTAAATATGTGGAATTTGATCGCACTGATTTTCACTCATTCTCAAGGCTGTAGGAAAGTATATCAATGGTTTTCGAGAGAGCTTCCAGAGACTTTTTGGACCTCCTCAGACCCCCTTTAACACAGTCTTTTTTTAAAAATTTGCCTCAAAAATCCAATTGATAAAGTCAATGAACTTGAGCTTTGATTTTTTTTTCTCGTTCCTCATGTTTCGGATGAAACTCGGAAGAAAACAGCTAGATGGGTTCTCGAATGGGTGAATTCTGCTTGAGATTGGCCTTCCGCGTGACCGTCTGCAAATCTTGTTTCGCATAACACTCTGAACTCTGCATGTACTAATCTTAGACTGTGTAACGATCTGAAAGAGATAAGATTTCTTCTGGCGACGCGTTTTTGAATTATTGGAAAATTTGGAATTTAAAAAAATGAAATCAATACTAACAAGTCGCTAGCAGATTTTTCTTACATTCTGAATAATTGCAACGACTGAGAATTAGTATTAGTCAAGCTCATTTATTAGGTGAATCTCGCTGAGCTTTTCTTAAATCATTATCACCCGCGCTAATGCGAAACCTGTTCAGAAATTGACAGTAGAAACATATCTAGAAAAAACTTGGCAATTATTTTAAAAAGTTCCAGCCAGAAAAAAACCTGAGATTAAACTAAAATTTCTAATTTTTGAGATTTGACCTGTAACACGATCTCCGCGCTCCAATTCCAAAATTAATCAAATTTTGAACTCGTCATAGCGCAACTGGTGAACTACGCTCAGAAGAATGAACCGCAGGAACGTCAGAAAATGCTTTCAACTCCTTGAACTACAAATTTGCACTTCCAATTCGCCAGAGACGATTTTGAATGGGGCTTCAAAAGCTCTTGAATCCAGCTCAGTCGATAATATCTGTGACTAAAACAGAGAAACAATTGACTGACTGAAAAAGAAATAATTAAAAATGTTTGGAAAATCTGAAAAGTCATGCCAAGATCAGGAAACTTGGCAGTATCTGTGGCGACTTCATTTCTACTCTCAGACGACCCTAAAAGAAGTCATAGACCAGATACTTTCAAATTCAAACTTGGGTTAAAATCAAAAAAAAATGTTGAAAAAAGTGATCTGGACAGATGTATCTAAATAGTCAAGGGCAAAGCTGAAAGTCGGCTATGGGCGAGAAAAATTGAGGAAAAAGCCGAAAAATGATCTGTAGCAATGAGAAGTCTTCAGCTTTGTGAAGATATTGCACACACTCAAGTTTTGATAGGCTTTTGGCTGTACTCCGTTTATCTCTCCCAGATCATATTAAATTTCTGAATATACAGTGAGTTTAAAATGAAAATAAATAGTAAAAGAAAGAAAAAAATTTGAATAAAATTGGTTTCATTTTTTGACCGATTCGGATTGAACGCCCGATTCGGAAGAATATTTGGAAATTTTTCTAGGGTTCGGTTGAAAATATCCGATTCGGATTGATAATTAACCGATTCGGAAAGAATGGGTTCGGTTGAATGGCCGATTCGGATTCGATTCGGAAAGAATGGATTCAGTTGAAAGTAGGCCATTTTTTCACGTAAATAAAATAATTATATAGCCAAATATTTAGATTACGCTTATTTCTTGTGTTTCGAATGATGTCATAGTGACGTCAGGGAGTAGCGGTTTGCGATTAATAGATGATTCACGGCTAACTTGGGACGCAAAAAGGCGTGGCATGTCTGCACTCTCCACCAACTAGGGCACTGTCTCGTCTCTATTCGTGGCAGGACCCTTTTCGCGATGGCTCAAGCCAGCCGTGAATCAGCTATAACGAAAACTCAATATATCATGTTCCATGTCGTAATTATAAGAATATTCGCTGGAAATTCGAAAGTACGTTCAAAATGAACGTTCATTTTCCGCTCGTGAAAAGTTCGTTTAAAAAATGAACGTTCATTTTTCCGCTCGTGAAAAGTTCGTTTCAAAAAATGAACGTTCATTTTTTTCATTTTTAAAAAAAGTTCGTTCAAAAAAATGAACGTTCATTTTTTTCATTTTTCAAAAAAAGTTCGTTCAAAAAAATGAACGTTCATTTTTTTCATTTTCAAAAAGTTCGTTCAAAAAAATGAACGTTCATTTTTTTCATTTTCCAAAAAGTTCGTTCAAAAAAATGAACGTTCATTTTTTTCATTTTCCAAAAAGTTCGTTTAAAAAAATGAACGTTCATTTTTCCATTTTCCAAAAAGTTCGTTTAAAAAAATGAACGTTCATTTTTCCATTTCAAAACAGTTCTTTCAAAAAAATGAACGTTCATTTTTTTCATTTCCAAAAAGTTCGTTCAAAAAAATGAACGTTCATTTTTTTCATTTCCAAAAAGTTCGTTCAAAAAAATGAACGTTCATTTTTCCGCTCGTGAAAAGTTCGTTTAAAAAAATGAACGTTCATTTTTCCGCTCGTGAAAAAGTTCGTTTAAAAAAATGAACGTTCATTTTTTTCATTTTAAAAAAAGTTCGTTCAAAAAAATGAACGTTCATTTTTTTCATTTTCAAAAAGTTCGTTCAAAAAAATGAACGTTCATTTTTTTCATTTTAAAAAAAGTTCGTTCAAAAAAATGAACGTTCATTTTTTTCATTTCAAAAAGTTCGTTCAAAAAATGAACGTTCATTTTTCATTTCCAAAAAGTTCGTTCAAAAAAATGAACGTTCATTTTTCATTTCCAAAAAGTTCGTTCAAAAAAATGAACGTTCATTTTTCATTTCCAAAAAGTTCGTTTAAAAAATGAACGTTCATTTTCCATTTCAAAACAGTTCTTTCAAAAAACGAACGTCCGTTTTTTATGTGAAAAGCAAACGTTCATTATTATAAGAAAACGATTTTCGAACTTTTTGGTTGAACGTTTGAAAATGATATATCCTAAACTATCGAAAAATGAAAAAGTTCATTTTTTTCAAACGGTCATTTTTTGAACGTTCGGTTTTGAGAACTCTACTCTTTAGTGATCCCTAGAAGTGCCCAGAAACGTCCGGAGCACGTCCGTTTCGCGTTACAAATGTTCAAGAAAAACAAACAGAAAAATTGCCCCTCTATAGTGGTAAAATTTAAGTGGCTCCTATAGGGGTTTTTCAAACTTTTGTTCAAATTTGAAAATTAAAAATATCTAGTAAATAAAACTTGATCGATTAATCCTCTGTTAATATTTTTCATTCAAAAAAACGCAAATCATCGATTTTACAAGAATAATAAATTAGCAGGCCCCTAGAGGGACCTCTTTTGCAAGCTAGTAGCCCTTTTAGCGGGAGATAAAGAGACGCTCAGAGGGGAACCTGGAAAGGCTCCTAAGCTTACCCCTATAGGGACCACTCTGAGCTTCCTAAGGGAGCCTCAAAAGTTCCTAACAAGGAAAGAGTCCAACTTTGCGGTTGGATCTTGAAAACTGACCAGATTACTCCTAGAAGTATCAAAAAAAAAGTCCCAAAAGTCTCAACCTGCACAATTTCCTAGTTTTTGAGAAAGAACACCTCGAAGTCGAAGAAAACCGTCGAAATCCGTTAAAATAGGCCAATTTGGAACTTTTAGCCCTCATTTCTCAAAAACTAGGGAGTTATGCAGGCTGAAACTTTCAGGAAAGTTTTCTGGTACGTTTTTGGTCAATTTTGGCAAAGTTAAACGACCTCCTGTTGTAAGGAGTTTATGCTAAACAAAAAATGGAGTCGATTTCAAAATAACAAAGAGAATCAAATAGAATATAACATAGAGCAAAAGTGAAAAAAGTGGAAGGCTATGTGACATGACGCCTGTTGACCTGACCCCAGTGCCATATGCATTATCATGTGGGCGGGGCATGCATACCAACTTGCGGTGCTAAGTTGCTCTAATAAGAATATAAGAACTCGAGGTCAAAGAAGAGCGTCTTTTTTTGATAGTTTTCCATTTTCAAACTTTTTTATGGTTCTAAAGAACTTAGTTGAACGAATAAGAGTATCAGGATATCAAAAAGAAAAAACCTATTTCATAGGCAGAGTCGAAAAGGCTGCAAAAAGACTCCATAGAAATGTTCCTTTTTTGCTGCCTTTTCGCGCCATTTTCTCAGCCATTTTGCACCATTTTTGCTGCCTCTCCCTTTTTCCACCATTTCTTGAGCATTTAAAATCCCAGAAAAATGGAAGGCTCGATAGAGGGAATCTTTCTGCGGCCTTTTTGCTGCCTTTTTTGAGCCTCTTCCTTTTAGCGGCCATTATATACCATTCTGACTTATTCCGAGTTCTTATACATTTTCCATGATTGCGTTTGACCTCGAGTTTCTAGCTTAAAAATCAACTTTACCCATCTCGCTTTTCGAATCGGAAAAAAAGGGATTATATGACCCCAAAAAAGGATTTTTGATGTGATTTTATTCAAAAAAACGTTATCCATTTTTGGATCGAAGTGAACTCGTTGGGGTTCACACTGATCTGTGAATAAATTATTTATTTAATTATTTATTTGGTTTGAGAATTTTTCTTGCTGAAAAAAAGCATGAAAGTAGACCGAAGAAGAGAAAAAAATCTGCACTTGGAAAGAGTTTGTTCTTGTGGATGGTGAGCGACGGAAAACTGTAGAACAAAGAAAGACCGATTCGCACATCTGGCCCACCCTGTAAACAGTTCTGACCGCTCAAGTTTTGGCAGAATATATGCAAAAAAAAAAGAATATAGTGGAATCACAGCTCACTTGGGACGCTGAGAGGTCGTGAGGTGTCTGCGCTCTCCACCAACCAGGCAATATCTCTTTTATTATCGTGTCGGGACCCTTTTTTTGATGGCTGAATCAGCTAAAGGCAACCTGACGTTTTCAGATTACAAGTTCTGATTTGGAAATTCTTTTCAGTATTATTAAACATTTTTTCTAAGAAGAAAGTTTTACTGAAGCAAAAAAAATGGATCACAGTTGCGTTTCAGGCAGTTTCGACGACGACCTGTCCGACGGCGGGGGCGGCGGTGTAGGCGATGAACTTCTTCTTGTTGCTGGCGTGGCGGTAGACCCAGAGGGTGAGCAGCCATTGGTGGATCACCATCGCCAGAAGAAGGAGCTGGAGGACGAGAAGGGGACCCGTCACTTCGAAGGGCGAGACATCGCCTTTTTGGTCACCTCTGCAATGTATTATGAAAATAAAAAATCTAGAAAGTTGTTAGAAGAATCGGGTCCTACAACGATATCGTGACTTTCACGCGCTCATTTAAAATTTTCGTTATAAACGCCCAAGTAATTTAAAATTTGCGATTTCGCGCGTAAAGTCGTTACCTCGTTTAACAGTTCACTAGGGATCCCTTTGAGGTTCCTGGAGGGTTCTGTTAGAAATATAGTTTGTTAAGAATCTCTTTAAGGTTCCTGGAAGTTTATATAGGGTTCTGTTGAAAGTATAGTTCATTAGGGATCCTTTTTTGGGTTCTTGGAGGTTCCTAGAGGTTTCGGTTGGGAATATAGTTTGTTAAGGATCACTTCAAGGTTCCTGGAGGGTTATGTTGGAAATAATAGTTCCCTAATAATCACGTTAAAGCTACTAGAGTCCCTAGAGGTTTCTGTCAAAAGTACAGTTCACTAGGGGTCACTCCAAGGTTCCTGGAGAGATCTGTTGGAAATAATAGAACAAACCTCTTGACGCTGGCGACACCGGTCAGAACGAAGAGAAGCAGGAAGGCGAAGACGGAGAACCCGCAGAGGATGACGACGGAGATGGTGTTCATGATGAGGAAGAAGAGCAGAAGACAGGCGTGGTCGCGGTAGATGGCGTAGACCTCGACGAGGGTCATCAGCACCATCAGAGACGGCATGATGACGTAGCCTTGCGTGAAGCTGGCGATCGTTAGGAGCAGTCCGACGAACAAGTAGACGTAGAGGCCGATCTTCGGCGGATACACCCCGCACCACTTGGAGTCCGCCGGCTTCTGTACTACCATCACGACGTTGGCCATTTTCGGGTTCAGTTTATCTAAAATCAGCGAGATTTTCGGTTGAGGAAGAGAAATTACCTTACAAGGTTTTACGATAAGCTTGAAAATTTTTCTGAAAACTGACTTGGAAAAAATCGCTCGCAACCGGGAGGTGATAGGACCTTTGTTGTTAGAAATTTTTACGTCTACTTTCTCAGGTGTTGTGAAGGTAATAAGCAGAAGGTTGGAAGGTGAATGGAAGCTAGAAGGTCTTGGGAAGGTCTAGGAAGGTGTTTGGAAGGCGAAAATGAATAATGTCTACCAGAAGCCTTCCAGAAGCATACTCAAAAGCTTCTGGAAGGCTTCCGGCAGGCTTTTTTCTAAGTAGAAGGTGTTGGGAAGCTATGTGGACGACTCACTAGAAAGCTTCCAAACGCCTTCCGAGGAACCTCAAGCAGATCTTCCAAACTTTTACCTGAGATGAGAAGCCTCGGACTTTTTCTCCCAAGTTCTTGCTAGCAAACAAACTTTGAAATTTACAAATCGATAGAGATATGAAGATCAAACTGAGAAAATATGAAAATGAAAATTCAATTGTTTTTTCATTTTCTTTAATGTGTACAACAAACAACTACCCAGGAAGTATTTTTAAACAAAAAAAGGGGCTTGAAACAGGTACGTAAAGAACTGCAAGCAGGCCTGCAAAAAATTTTCAATCTTTTGAATTTTTTCAAACGTTCAACAAACAGCCTTCAGCAAGATAACGTGATTAATCAATTTTTACGAGATTATGGTTCACCTAATCATTGAAAACCAAAGGAAAAGCCGCAAAAATCGATAAAATAGAAAAGAAGATCAAGCCGGGGCGACGCCACAAAAATGAGCAATGTCCGAGGCTGTTTCGACCCTCTGCTCGTCTGGCCTCTCCGCTGTGCCCACGCTCTCTCGCCATCCAAGAGGTGCCAAACAACGAAGAAAAAAAAACCAAAGGGCGACCTTTCGCCAACTTTCTTGAGGGGAAAAGGTAGAGACCGCAAAGCCACGCCCCTTTTCGCGATTGTGAAATGCACTGATTTTTTAGATTTTGGGTTTGATGTTTTCGTAAAACCGCAATACTGAACCAAACTTAAAATTAGTGGAAACATAGAGAAAACCTTCCTCTTCAATCTGATATACTTTTCACCCGATTTTCGAAGTGTTTTAGCGGAGTGTCGTACAAAAAACCAAAACTACTTTTTTTTCTTCCAGTTTTTGACCTAGTTTCATGTCGTTGGCGCCTTTTTTTATTTTCGAATTCGATTTTTCAAAGAAAAACAAATCTTTTAAGAAAAAAAAATTTGGTTGCGGTCCCTAGGAAAAGGGTTCCAAGTTTACTCGCTGTGAGATTTTACACTCGGTAAAATGTTCCGTTTTTGTATTTGGTGGCGACGAGATGATCGGGCGTCATCCGGAGGGCGATCAGTCGTCTCCAGAGAAGCCAAACGCCGAAAATGCAGAGGGCGGTCATGCCCAGGTGGTAGGCCATCACCCACTTATAGCCCGTCTCCTTGAACGCTTTCCTGGAAGATTCTGGACGTTCTTCAAATTGTGGATCAATTGGATCATTTTTCCAAGCTTCCTAAGATCAAAAAAAAGATGAAAAAATAATTTATTTTTGCTGACCAGAATCAAATTTCATAGAAAAACAACCAAAAAAACTGATTTTTAAAGTGAAAATTGACTTTGAATTGTAAATTTTTAACAAAATGCCGAAAAAAATTCAACTATTGAAACAGAAAAAAATAATCGTAAATTCATTCAAAAAAAATTTAAATAATGAAATTTCCAACGAATTCCGCGGTTTTCGAGCTAATTCCGCGCCAAATTTTACATTTTTTAAAATCATTGGTACAATTTTTTTCATAACAAAATTTTTAAACCTATGCCTTCTGAAAGCCGAAAAACCAAAAAGAGCTTCCGAAGCTCAAATTAAAGTGAAAAATAGTCGAATTTTTGCTGATCAGAATCAAAAATTTTTCAACATAAATTACTAAAAAAACTGATTTTTTTATTGTGAAAAATTGACTTTGAACTGAAAAATTCTAACAAAAATAATGAAAAAAATTAAACTATTGAAATGAAAAAGGGTAAAATCCTTTGGAAAAATAAAAGATCAAATTTTTCCACGAAATCGATGATTTTTCAAACTGATTTCCAGCTGAAAACTTCATTTTTGAAATCCTCGGTACAATTTTTTTATAACAAATTTTTTTAAACCTATGCTTTCTGAAAGCCGAAAAAAAATCGAGAAAAAAACTTCCTGAGATCAAAATGAAGGTAAAAAAATAATTAATTTTTTTGCTGGCCAGAATCAAATTTTACGTCAAAAAAACAACCAAAAAAACTGATGTTTACCGTGAAAAAAATAAACTTTTAGAGGAACATTTTTTTCAAAAAAATGTCGGAAAAATTCAAGTACTGAGATAGAAAAAAATAACCAAAAAAATCAAATAAATTTTTTTCTGTGAAATTGATTTTTTTCAAGCAAAAAAATTTCACTTTCTGCGACTCGAAAAATCCAAAAAAATGCAAATAAAAACCTTCTAAAATGTTTTTCTGTAAAATTGATAATTTTTCAAGCTAAACGTTCACTTTCTGGGAACCAAAAAAAGTACAAAAAGAAAGCTCTGAAACCTATTTTTTTAGAGAAAATATCTTTTTTTCCTTCTCTTTTTCAGAAACGAAAAAGATTGATAAGACATAAAATATATATTTTTCCCATCTGATTAAACTTTTTTTCTTATCATTTTTTTGATAGAAAAAGATAAACTTTTTACAAAAATAGCGAAAAAAATTGAACTATTGAGATTGAAAAAAATTATCAAAAAAATCGAATAACTTTCTCTGGAAATTTGATAATTTTCAAGCTAAAAAAATTCAGTTTCTGAACCCAAAAGTACAAGAAAAAAAGCTCCTGAAACCTATTTTTTTAGAGAAAATATCTTTTTTTCTGCTTCTCTTTCTCAGAAACGGAACGATTGATAAGACATAAAATATATATTTTTCTTATCTGATAAAACTTTTTTTATCATCGTTTTTTTCGAGGAAAATTGCTTTCAAAAAGCTTTTCCATTCAGAAAAAAACTTACGTCGAAGCGAGGGTAACGAAAAATTCGGAAGCCGATCCGATGAAAGAATTGACGCCTTGAATCGTTCCCTTCAAGTTAAAATAATTTTTTTTTGATTTTTTTTTTAGGATCTGAAACTTGTTTCCTGGGCCCAACGACTTCACTGAGAATCGTCGAGGCGGCGGAAATCACGAAAGAAAATCCCAAGCCAAGAGATGTGACGTCGAAGAAGGCGTAGACGTAGAAGGGTACCCTGAAAATCACATATTATTCCAGAAAAAAAGGAAAAATTGGTACCTTGGAGTTTGTTCACACCAGCTGTACTCCCAGGCACAGCCGCCGTTGATTCCAGGTCTAGATTCTAAAAAAAAACAACTATTGGTCGCATTTGGAATGGCTCAAAGCGTTGCGATCCAAATTAAGACTTCCAAGGTGATTTTATGAATTTTACCGATTTTTCTTTAACCGACTAGGTAAGTTTAAAATCCCCATAGATGAAGTTTTTCACTCTGATTCTGAATATACAACTGAAAAGTTCCAAAAAAGCTTCTGAAAAAAGTTATGGTCGTTTAAAAAATTTCACACTTTCTATTTGAGACCATTGCTTGTCCGGAAAATCATAATTCGGTTTAAATTTTCTTTTTTCTCGGAAAAAGGTTGTTTTTCGTGACCAGAAGATCTACATAATTAATGAAAAAAATCTTAAGAGTATGAGAAATTGAAAAAAAAAATTACTTTGGCTCAAATTTTTGACATAAACCTACGAAAAATCGCTCAATCGGAGACTTTTTCGAATTTTAGGTACCTATAACTTTATTCAAGGACTTTTTCACAGTTTTGAAGTTCAGAATCAAAATCAGCGTTAGTAATTTATTATAATAGACTTGGTCTCTATCAAAACTTTTATTCGAATTCGACAAAAAACATTTTTCTTCTTTTGTCGACTAAAAATTGACCGCACCGCAGCCGTAACGCCTATATCCATTCCAAATGCGACCAAGACCACTTATAACCATATCTTACCGTTTCCAGCCAGGACAGGTCTGTCCAGCTTCTCCGGATAGAACCACCAAGGCATGTGGATCAAGAAGAAGCTACCAAAAGCGGCTAATCCGAAAATTAGAAGCTTTTTCTGGTCTCTGAAAATTTCCGTGTCAAAGCACTTTTATTGCTTCTCCTCCTGCGCCTTTAAAAATCACGAAAAGTTGTACTTTTTTGAATTTCTTCACTCATAACTTAGTAAAGAACATGGAAAACAGAAAAAAAAAATCAAAATTTAAAGATAGTTATTCAGTTATTTCCAGCTATCTTTTCATGCCCAGGAACTCCAGAGGGGTCCCTTTAGTGGTTAGGGAAAAACCAGCAAGTGGTCCCTATAGGGGTCTTTCTCATTATTTTTCAGATCCAAACGACTAACTTAAAGTTCTGTAAAGAACACTTGGGCGAGCTGTAGTGGCCCCTATAGGGGAAGGTAAAGTGGTCCCTAAAGGGGTAATTCAAACGCCCTAAGTTTGTCCCTATAGTGTCCCCTCTGGCGTTCTTGATTGTCCACACCAAAATTCTATTAGAACTTTAAAAAAAGATGAAAATCTGAGCTATTTTCATATATAACAATGTATTTCATACTCAATTGAGGAAAATAATCAAATCCAAAAAAATCCATGACTTCTGACCTTTTCCCGATACTCGTCTGAGCAATCAGAAGGTTTCCCATTGTGGTCACAGCACAACTCCCCGTTTCCAACAGCCCATTGTACAGGACGGCCTGTTCGGCGTTCCAGTTGTACATGGCCATTGTCATTGGGGCGAACAAGCTCAAAAGTTGAATAAATAAACGTTATTTTTTTTCAGGTACCTTGAGACCGAAACAACCCCGTAGACGTACCACCAGACGAAGAAAAGGAAAGCGACGGCGAGACGATCGAATTTGGGAAGAACCATGAATGGATCTTCTGGAATGAGGCTTGTTTCCCTTTGGCGCAGATTAGGGCGAGGGCCGGCCCGTCAGACTATTATTCAAGCCCGGCCTTGTCCTCAAACAAAATGACCAACCTGGCCCAAAGAGCCAACTTTTCTGCAATCCAATTATGGGAGTTTTTAGAAAAAAAAATCAGAAATTATGATTTAACATGTGAAAAGAACTTTTTGATGGTATCTTTTCGATGGAATTTTAAAATTTCATTTGAAGCCGGGCCTGCCCCAAGCCCTTTGCAAGAAACAAAGCCCAAAGCACGGGCCCGCCCAGGCCGCCCCGGTCTGACGCATGAGCCTGATTTGAAGTGATAGAAATAGAAAGCAGAGAGGCCAGACTTTATTAAAAGCGAAGAATTTTGGAAAGTTCCAGTCGATACTTTTATAACATTTTCCGTGAAACTGAACTTTTCAACTGAAGAAAGTTTGAGAATAAGAAAACCCCTACTTCCACAGAACAAATTTTTGATGAATACATGTGAAAAGCAGTTTTAATCATAATAAACAAAAAATATTTTGCTTTCTGCGCGTCGCTTATTGTGCATCGTGTGCACTGCGTACAAAACATTTTTATTTTTCCGTCGCTTTTTTTTGAAAGCCGTTCGAAAAAAATTTTTTTATTACTACCCAAGTTTTTAAAAATATAATAAACGATGAGTCATTCCAAATGCGACCGAAATATCCCTAATAGAATTTAACAATGATTAAGAAGGACAAGAGCGATTTCAAGAATAAAATTTGAAAAAAATTCTGAATTCCAATATTTCATCAGAACTTTGTTTTTCATTCATTTTTAATTCATGAAAATGGATAGATTTATATTCAGTTATAATTTGTAGTTTCAAGTAAAATGACATCATTCGGAAACACTGTGTGGATGGCTCGCTCTTTGATTGGTTTATCACGCCATAAGGGGCGGAGTTTGAATGAAGACGTGACTTTCAAAATCTCAACAGATCCCGAAAATATGAACCTTTTTTCTCCTCGTCGCTGATGATTCCCACATAATCTTCGACCAAATAAACATAAGCCACAAAAATCGACAGAACACTGACTAACGCTCTGAAAACATGAATTTTTTCGAGAAATTTCAATAATTGACGAACATGAAGATTGCGCAGCTTGTGTACATGTTGATGTGTAGGAATCCGATTTTGAAGCCCTCCCGGCCAAGTGGAACAAAGAGAATCTGAAAAAATTCTTTTTTCCAAAAAGAAAAACTGTAAAAAAGGAACCTGGACAGTAGGTCCCATGAAAAATCCAACAGTCGCCCCCAAATTCGACAAGGAAATGGCCTTGACTCGGTCTTCCAGTGTACTCGCACAGTTAATCAAGGATTTTAAAACGCCATAGGCTCCTAAATACAAGATTTTATCGAATTCTTTTTGAAAAATCCGGAAATTTTCGCCTTTCGAAATCGTTCCCAAATTTTTTTTTAACGTAAGTGAAGGTTTTTTTTCACAACATAGTCTTCAAACTGACAAGATTTCAAACATTTCAGAAAAAAAATTTAAAAAAACAATTTCGAGTATGCGATAGTGCGTCTCGGTGCTTACACTCTAAGCATCCTAATTTACGAGAAGCCTTGACCTTGCGTAAAAAAAAGCCGTGTTCTCACATGATTGGTTTTCAAACCATCAATCGTTGTTTATCAAACAAATTTCGATAAATAACTTTAATCCGAAACGGAACACCAGCAAAAAAAAATACCAAGGCAAATTTATGCGCATAACTTTTTTTTTCCCCTGAATAGCGTTTTGAACTCTTTGTTGCAAACAACGTATGACTTTTTGATATTTTCAAAAAATTTCTCAGAACTTCTTTTTGAAATTTTTGAAAAATTTCTTACCTGGACCAAAACCAGCAAAAAATCGGCCAATCAAAATGCACCATCTGGCGTGTGGTTTGAAGAGGTAGGAGAAGGCGTAGACAAAGTTTCCTGGAAGATTTGGAAATTCTATCAAATGAATGAAACTTGAAGCTGTTTTCGTAAAGATGAAAAATAAAAAATACAATTTTTAATAGAAATTTGAGACTCAAATTCAAAAAAATTAATTTTTCATTGTCTTTTCGCGTAAAATTTCGATTAACTTCGTTCAAAAGTGATAGAAATTTTTCAGAATAGCCCTGAAAAAAATAATTTGAAATAAAAAAAATAAACAACAGGGATTAACTTTTTTTAAAAAAATCACGTTCTAAAAAAAGACGTTTTGAAATTCGAAAGTAAATTAGCAAGAATAAATCATTTCACACTTTCTTAAACAAAATAAAAAGAGTGAAAAAAATATTAAAAAAATATTGGATTGAAGTATTAAACCGAAAGAAAAATTTGGAATCTTGAAAAAGGCTTTTGAAAAACTTTATTAGCTTGAATGCTAAAAAGAAAGTCATAACTTTGATGAAATTAATGTATTTTTTTCTGAATTACTTCAGTAGAATGTCAATGGAGCGTACAAAATTTTCGCTGCCGATATTTTTCATTTTTTTTTTTTCTGTTTTCAACGATTTTTTATTTGTTTTCTTATTTTTCATTATCAATTTTTTGATGAAAACTCACCAACAGTGCTCAAAGCAAAGGCAAAAATGATAGGATTCTTCGAAGAGCCGGTTTTTTGGTTCCAGTACCCGAGAATCGGATTCGCCTTGAAAAATTCCTTATTTTGAAGGGAAATTCTTAATTTCAAGCTCACAAATGCTGTGCTGACGCAGCTCAAAGCGACGATAAAGCCGAGAAATTCAACGGAAGCGTGGTCGTCGTTCTAAAAAAAATTATTTTTTTCTTAAAATAGTTATGAATTGATTATAATCATACCTCCTCCAAAAATTGCCACGTTGAATTGAAATAAACGCTGAGTTGAACTCCGACTAGAGCCAGAAATAATGTTGATATGTAGACTAGTCTCCATGGCGTTTTTCTCGCGGCTAGTTCCAATCTATAATTATATTTTTTATGTTGCTATATTAAAAGGGATAAATTTTATCTTGATAGTTACAAATTAGAATATTAATTTCATTTCTAATGCCGTTTTCAATTTTATTCCGCGAAATGCAAAATGATTTCTGACTCTTCAAAATCTAGTGATATTTTCTTTTCTCTAACAGGTATTTTGCATTTCGCGGAATCAAATTGAACACGCCATAAGAAATTATGCAAAACGGCTTCTCCAGAGCTACGTCGCCCGTCAGATATGATGTTTCTTGTGCATGAACCCCACGCGCAATTTAATTTACTTTAAAAATTTTTTTAAAATGTTTGCAAAAAGCGCAAAGCTCAAGGAATCTTGAAAAAGAGTAGATTTTGCTTCAAAAAATCGTTTTCAAAAAGATAAAAACGTGTTGAATAAAAGAAATACATGAAAAGATTTAAAATGAATCACTCAAAACCCTATAACAAATATTTTTCTAGATAAAAAAAAGAAAAAATTAGCCTAGAAGAAACTTTTCTGCATTTTTTAGAAGCTTCAAAATTTTTTTTGTTTTATTTTAAAGTCCTTAAAAGGCAGGACCTTTTTCCGTGTTTTTTGAAACCCAACTTTGAATTTACTACTTGAAAATAAGGTCTTATCTTCCAGTAAAAATTTCAAATTGAGGTTTTGAAATTCAAGGTGACGAAAGGCTCAAGTTTGTAAAAATACAAAAACCTAATATTTTTCTAAAAATTTCCACTCTAATCGAAATGAAAAAAAAACTTTTTAAAAACTCACTCTTTGGCCGAGACCTTCTTTGTCAACATCTCCCAACGGCGGAAAAGAAAAAGGTGGCGAAAAGTTCGGAAAAGTTAAGTTCCCGGCATTTATATGCACACCGTTTCCTATTTCTATTCAAAATCGGCATCATCGTTCTTTTTTTCAGCACTTTCAGTTTTTTTTCTTCCGCGTCAACAGAACTTTCGAAACAACAAGATTATTCGAAGAAAGTACGGGAAAATCGCTAGATAAAATAAAAAAAATAAGCGATTTTATCATTTTTAAATTCGCTGAAATATTGAAAATCCTTTTTAGTTTCTTCAATAAAGTTTGGGAAAAAGATACTTTGATTTCAATTTCAGGCTTTGAACATTTTTTAATAAAACAATTATTTTATTCATTTCTGAAAAAAAGTTATTATCCTCGTAACTTTATGAATAAGTTTAGAACAGTGCTAACTAAAAAAAAATTAAATTTTTCATAAAAAGAGGAATTTTAGAGTAAAAACATGTTTTTGGATCTTCATAGTTCACTGGAAGTTTTATTAACCTTTTAAAAGCTAAAAATCAGCGTTTTACTAAAAAAATAAATACTTGAATTTTTCCTGAAACCCCGAAAAATCGGATTGAAATATTCATTTTCAAAGAAAAATTCTCATTGAAAAAAATGTTTCCTTCATAAAATTCTCCATCAATGTCGAATCCCCCTAATCATCAGAATCAGAAAATGATCCTGGGCGTTTATCGGCAAAGAAGCAACTTAAAATCAGACGACGTGAAGATAAAACGGCCATTTGACGACGTCGGCGGGCCGAGAACCAGGTCAGCGAAACCGTGAAGAGAATTTTGCTCCCAAAAGTTGCATCTTTCCGGCTTTTCCCTGAAATTAAGAGGACAAGAATCATAATCGGTTCAAATATTAAATGTCCAGTCGACGGTCAAGCTCCGCAACTTTTATAAAAACCAATCCCGTTTGCGTTTTCAAATGACGTCAGTGTACTTGAAACTAAAAATCTGAACAGGCTATGAAAAAGTTTCAAAAGCCTTGAATAGAAAAACGAGAATGATTTTCAAAAAAAAAAATGCAAACAGCTAATTTTTCTCACCTCTTGAAAAAAAAGAACTGTTCCCCACTGTATTAGAGTTCTTAAGAATTCCAAAGTGGTCCCTATAGGGGCCCTTGGAAGGTCCAACTAGGGACCACTTTACCAACCCCTACAGAGGCCAGTAAAGCTTTCAAAAATGGTCCCTATAGGGGCATTCTGGTCGACATTTTTTATGAACTCTAGGCGAAGAAGCATATCCAGGGGGAAAACTGAATGAATAAGCGTTTTTTGAATGAATTTGGAAGACCCCTTTAGGGCCAAGGGGTCAGACTCTAAACCCCTATAGGGACCACTTTGATTTTACCCCTTCAGGGGCCACTCATTTTGCACCTATAGGAGTTGAAGCTCCGTCCCTTATGCAAAGGCCAAACCAAACAGAGAGCGTTGTTGGGGGCGGAGCTTTCTGCTTCACGTTCAAAAACGAAGTACTGTAAGTTTCCTCTCGAGACATGTTTCTTATATTTTGAGAAGTCCTTTTCAAAAAGAATCCTAAAAAGGCGCTATTAAGGCCTTTCAAAGGCCCTTTTCTTCAAAAAAATAAATGATTAATATATTTAAAATTTTTCAGACTTTTTGAAAGAATCCTGGTCAGAAAAACTAACCATTTTTTTCAACCCAAAAGAATAAGACATTTTCAAAATTAAAAGAAAAAATAACAACCGATAAATTTCTTGTTATTTCACTGCATTGACAGAAAACTTTCTAAAGCAAACCTTTTTTAAAACTTTTTATTAAAATTCGAAAAATCAGCACATAAAAAAACGAAAAAAATGACAATAAAACCTAAAAATGGAAATGGAATGTTCCGAAGGTACATGTATTGGAGTAGGAAAAAAAAAATGAAGAAAAAAGAACCGTAAAAAATTATTGTTTTCATTAAAGTATACATCTGGAAAGCAAAAACAGTGAAAATGAGAGGGAAAAAAGCATCATGAATCTAGGAAAAAATGAAAAAAAAAATCCAATTTTGTTAATTTTCAAAGAAAAATCATTTTGGAAGCATCAGCCAAAAAATGGACAAAAAGAAAGTTTTTTTCACCAAAATCTGCATTTTTCAATGTCAAGTTAGTGGAGCATGGAGTACAGTTCTTTCAGAATGTCTTGGTAAAACCTGAGGATCTTTTTTAGAAGGAAAAATGATAAGAAACACAAAATCAAGCGCCTGCGCCTTTAAAAATCTTTACAAAACCTTCTTGAACGAACTATGCTTCATTAACCGTTGTCTTGTGACAAAAAAAGCTTCAGAAGCTTCTAGAAATCTTCTTTTTGCTTCTTCAATAGAGAAACTCGTTGAAAATTATTTTAAGGCAATGGTGGATGAACTATAACTGTGTACCGTATAAATTCCATTCATAGCGATTTTCTGTTTTAATAAAAAAAAAATCTTTCGTGAACCTTTAAAACATCCAAAAAGTCGTCATGAATAAACTAGACTCATTTTAGAAGACTTTTTGCAAAAACATCATTTCTTCATTCATATCACCTTTAAAAAGCGTTTAGAAACAGGAAAAACTAAAAAAATTACCTGACGGCAGTAAAAAACGGTGTTTCAGTTCAAAGCAGTACTTTGTAGAGCTTTTCATTGCGAATCGAACGGTGAACTTAGAAACGTACAGAAGTTCCTAGTTTTGGAGAAAAAATAATTCAAAGTCGGAGAAACGAAAGCTTGAAATCCCGCGAAAAGTGCGCTTTGCAGTAAAGTTGCTCTATGGACAATAGGCTTCGCCTTTTTTCGGATTTTCGCTTTTTTCTTCGTTTCTTTCAATTTTCAATTTTTTCTGTTGTCACCAAAGTTCTTTTCGTCACAAAAGCCTTCTATTCATGTATAATTGCAAACTTTGATTGCAAAAATGCTTCTCTGGTGAAAAATGATGATTTTACACAGGTTTCGATTAGGATTGCGATCTGTAAAATTTTTGAGTATACCGTTCGATTTGCAAAGTAAAACTATACAAGATATTTCTTTCACATGAAACCCGTTTTTTACTGCCCCTATGCCTTAAAAATATTTCAAAATACCCTATGAATGAACTATTCAGATCCTCAAGTCTAGGACAGGAAAGTGGGGGAGAGGACATTGACCATGAGGACACTTTTGGAGAAGAAAGACGGAGACAAGACTCCAGGAGTGAGGACGACGCCGCCGAGGACCATCGGGGAGACGACGTCGGGACACAGGACCAGGGGAGACAGGACCAAGGGGGACAGGACGTAGGGGTTGAAGACGTTGGGGGACAAGACGTAGGGCGTCAGGATGAACGGCGCCATGACCAGGGGCGAGAAAACGTAGGGAGAGAGGACGTAGGGCGAGAGGATGAAGGGGATTCCGACGGTCGGCGAGAAGACGTATGGCGACAGGACCGCCGGGTTCAGAAGCAGCGGGGTGAAGATTCCAGGCGAGAGGACCTAAGAATTCAATGGGTGAGAAGAGTCCGGAAAAGCTGTTTTCTGTTGAGGAAGGATATACTTATGGACTCTAAAGTGGTCCCTATAGGGACACCTTAGGTGCCATTTGGAGGGCCCCCCCTAAACCCCTATAGGGACCACTTTCTCGTCCGTTATTAGGACCGTTTTTCCCCTAACCGCTATAGGAACCACTCTAAAATTTTAAAGTTCCTAGGTATGAATCCTCAATATCTCAAAATCCTGAAACTTAAGTGGCCACTCAAGAGGTTCCTCAAGGGTTCTTGAAGGGGACCCTAAAGTGGCCAATAAAACCATCTCTACAGAAGCCACTTGCGTCTGAGTGACCACTATAGTAGTTTTTAATGGTTCAGTACTATCTCTCGAATTTCTAAAAAGGCTTCTAAATTTTAACTTCTTATGGGGCCTCTAATTTGGCCACTTTAGTGGCCACTAAACCTTAAAAAACCCTAGAGGGGCTACTAAAAATTTTCGCAGATCTCAATTGGAGGAAAATTCTCAAACACCATTGCAAGTCATCCCAAGTGGAACAAGAAGCTTCCAAAAAACTTCTTTTTCTCTCTAAGTTCTCCTCACTATCTCAGTCTCTCACTTTGGAGCATCTTCTCGAAAACCTTTGCTAGCCATTTTTTATGCAACAAAAAGCTTCTAAAAAGATTTTTCTTTTTCTCTAAACTCTACTCGTTTCCTCAGTCTCTAACTTCCAAGCAACTTCTCGAAACCGTTGGCAGGCCATTCCAAGCCCTTTTAAAAAATCGTTCTTTTCTCTGAACCCTTCTCATTTTCTCAGTCTCTCACTTTCTAGCGAATTCTCAGAAACCTTTGCTAGCCATTCCAAATGCGACAAAAAGCATCCGAAAAGCTTCCTTTTTCTCTGAACCCTCCTGATTTTCTCAATCCTCACTTTCAATAGAACTCTCAAGAACCTTGGAAGATCTTTTCAAGTGGGACAAAAGGCTCCAAAAATCTCTCTTTTTCTCTGATCCCTCCTCATTTTTTCATTCTCTCACTTTGGAGCATTTTTCCAAAACATTTCAATCCATTTCGAGTACGAAAAACGGCTTTCAAAAAGCTTCCTTTTTCTCTGAACCCTCCTCATTTTCCCAGTCTCTCACCGTTGGAGACAGCACAGACAGTCCATAAACCGGAGCGAACATAATGGGCGTTAGGACAGTCGGCGTCAAAATATGAGGGTCGAAATTCTGACGCTTGCTTCTTCGGATTACTGTACCGTTGGCAGCACCCTAAAATAATGAATTATTGATTATTTTTGGTCATCTAAAAACCCCTCTGGCGGCGTTCCGGACAATGTCCCAGACCATCTCTTTCCTTTCCAGAAGAGTCTTCTTTTCATAGGCTTCGATGTCGAAAACGTCCTTCCGTCCGGCCACGCCTACAAATTACTGTTTTTTTAAAAATTGTACTTAAAATTTTCCGAATAATTCAAGATAAGACAGGAGCTCCATAGTGGTCCCTATAGGAGCAACCTTAGAGGCCCTTGGAGGGTCTTCTATAGGGACCACTTTACCAACCCCTATAGGGGGGTTATCAATTCAGCTTCAGAGGCTTGGACCTTAAACCCCTGTAGGGACCACTTTTTTTGGTCCTCCAGGAGGTTTTTACCCTAACTGAAGATAATTTATTACAGAACTTACAATCAAATTCTCAAATCTTAGGAACCTTTGAGTGGTCCCTATAGGGGCCGAAAAAGTGATCCCTGTAGGACTGAAACCAAGGGGGTGCCTATAGGGGTTTAGGATCACACCCCTCAGCCCTTAACGCTTAAGTGGTCCCTATAGGGGTCTTTCAATTTATTCAAAAAGTTTTTTTCTTTCCAAGTTAGTTCCAAACTCCCCCTCCCTAAGTTAGGCACCTCCCCCATAAAGCCAAGCCCCCCTCCCTCCCCCCTCTAAAGACAAGTCCCCCTCCGAACGAAAAAAAGGACCTTGATCCTCCATGATCCGGCGGAGCTGATGGGGCTCCATCAGGGCGAACCCCTTCTTCTCCATCGCCCGCTTCTGTCTCCGCGTGAAGGAGTCCTTGACGTCCTTCACCATCTTCATCGTCTTCTGCGCGCTTCCGCTCAGGGCGTCGTCCATCTCCGGCACGTCGGCCGACTTCAGGATCTTCACGGCTTCGTCGACGAGTTTCCTCGCCCCGGAGACCTCCATCGTCAGTTCCAGGATCTTCTCCCGGTCTTTTTGACTCATTCCGGTCGCTTCGAGGAGCTAGAAATGTTAATTTTGCTGTAGAAAACCGATTCGAATGAATAAAAATAGAGAAAAGTCCATTTTTCGTATATTTCAGTAGCTTCCAGAAACTGGAAATCATATTTTTCTCAAAGTAAAATCGATTTTCAAGTGCAATATCCCACCAAAAATCGATTCAGATGAGTAAAAACTAGGAAAAACGACAAGTAAAACTGTATTTTTTCTTTTTCGCCCATTTCAATAGCTTCCAGGAGCTGGAAATGTTAATTTTGCTGTAGAAAATCGATTCGAATGAGGGAAAATTGAGAAAAAATCCATTTTTCGTTTATTTCAGGAGCTTCCAGGAACTGGAAATCATGTTTTTCTCAAAGTAAAATCGATTTTCATTGCTATATCCTCCCAAAAATCGATAAGGATCAGTAAAATCAAGAAAAGAGTTGATAAAACTTTATTTTTCCTCTTTCGTTCAATCCAGTAGCTTCCAGAAGCTAGAAATTATGATTTTCTGTTAAAAAAATTCATTATTTTTTTCAAGCTTCTCTATCTTCACAGTGCAATTTGCTGCAGAAATACAATAAATTTCGGAAAAAAATTATAAATTTTTTGTCCATGCTGGTAGCTTTCAGGAGCTGGGAATTTTTAATTTTTTTAGCTATGAAAAAAAAATTTTTTCAGTGCCATTCGCTCTAGAAGATCAATTTAAATGAGTGAAAATAGGGTTGAAAAATTAAACAAACAATGGTTCTGTTTATTTTTTTCAGTCCCGGTCACTTACATGAGCTGGGAAATATGGATTTCTTGAAGAAATATCAAATTTTTTTCAACTTCTGAGTGCAATTTGCTCTAGAAGATTAACTAGTATGAGTAAAATGGGGAAATTTTTTTCTCGGAAAAAAACTTCATACATTTTTTTCGCCGATATCGCTTGGAGGAGCTGCGAATTTCAATTTTTTGATAGGAAAATAAATTTTTCCATTGCAAGTTGCTCTAGAATATCCGTTTGAATGAGTGAAAATAAGGTTGAAAAGTTAAATAAAACATGTTTCTGTTTTTTTCAGTTCCGGTCACTTACAGGGGCTAAAAAAATTATGATTTTTCTTGCAAAAAAATTCAACTTTTTTTCCAACTTTTGAGTTAACTCTATAAGATGTGTGAAAATTTGGAAAAATACTATATTTTTCCTTTTTGGCTCACTTCGGCTACTTACAGGAGCTAGAAATTATTTTTTTTTATAGAAAATTCAGCTTTTTCAATGTAACCAGGTCTAGAAACTCCAAATTTGGTGAAAAGAAATCTTTTTTTCAAATTACCTTGGGAACCGGCAAGATTTGATTGCCGGAGTCGTCATTATAGAAAGGCAGGATCGAGGGCGACAATCTCCCGTGTCTTCCGTCCTCATCGGGCATTATTGGGGCGAATCTCGGGCTGGAAAATGTTTATGAAATCGAAGAAAAAAAAGATACATTTTTGGTTTTTTTCGAAATAAATATTTTTTTCTAGGATTATCAAGAAGACGATTTCAAATTTTTTTGGCACCTGAAACATGAATTTTTGGATGCTTAAAGCCAAAATTATGATTTTTTTGGAGCTTAACAAATGACTTTGAAGTTAAGGTTTTTTTCTTAATTTGAGATCTTTCTTAAGGTTTTTTTCGAAATTATCTTTTTTTCTAGGATTATCAAGCACACAATTTTGAATTCCTGAAACATGAATGTAGGACACCTACAATTTGAGTTATGATTTTTCGAACTAAAAAAATGACCTTAAAGTTAAGGTTTTTCCCTAATTTGAGATATCCCTCAAGGTTTTTCGAAATAATTGTTTTTCAAAGACTATCAAGCACATAATTCTGAATTTTTTGGTACCTGAAACATGAATTTAGGACACCTACAATTTAAGTTATGATTTTTCGAATCTAACAAAGAACGGAAACCTTATAAAAATCGGCCAAAAAAAAAAAAAATTCGGTTTTTTTCATGATTTTTTTCGGCTACGCTTATTTTTTTCAACCCCTTTCAAAACTTTTTTTGGATTCATTTTTTTCTTGTTTTAACGGCGCAGACAATAAACTTTCCTCTAGAAAATTCAAAATCCCGTATTTAAAAATATCTCAAAAAAACAAATTTTTCTCCTTTTTCTGTCTAAAAAGGCTTTTTTTAAAGTCTCTAGAAGCCACCGGAAAAAAATGTCTATACCTCAAATATTTGAAGTTCATGTCGTTTTTTTCTTGCCTTCCTTGTCGATGGCTCCCATCAAATCGAAGGCGTTTTTTTCACGATTTCCGGCATTCCGTGCTGTAAAAAAATGAGCAACTTTACTATTTCGAAAAAAATCTTTCAAAGAAAGTACCTATAAAGGTAAATCCATTGTTTATTTTTTTAAATTTTTACTAAGAAATTATTTTTTTACTAAGAAAAAAATTACTAAGAAAAAAATATTTAAAAAAATCAAAAAAATTAAAGTGAAAATATTCGAGAGATTGCTGCGCTAATTGAATCGAAAAAAATTATATTTCAGGAACTCTGAAGTTTAAAAAAATAATAAATTGTGGAAAAAAAGTGAAATTTCAAGACTTATTTCACTACAAATGGTTGAAAAATTAACTAAAAAAACCAAGTTTTTTTCTCGAAGAAAAGCTCGAAAATTGGCTGGAAATTGATATTTTTCAAGGTTTAAACTTTTGAAAAAAAACATTTTTTTCTATGAAAAAAAGCTGCCCTAAAAGCAAAAAAATTTGAGAAGTTTCAAAGAAAAAAATTTTTTTCAACAATTGAAAAAAATAATCGACTTCAAGATTATGTGGAAAGTCTCCAGAAGATTAAAAATATTCGTTTTCGAGGCATTTTTTTTTCAATTGTGCTAGAAATTCACAAAAATCAAATAAAATATTTTCCCACTCAGTTCTCTCAAATGAAAGCGATTTTGAATCAAATTTTCAATTTTTTTTCGATTTTTTTCCAAACCTCGATCAAAGCGCTCGTCTGCTCAGGAACGTCCAGGACCAGATCGTGCATTCTCTGATTGTAAACTTTCGCTCCGGGACCCTTTTCCCTGGCGTCGAGCCGTTTCTTCAGCTCAACGATGCTTTTGTACGTCTCCGTCCAGGAAGTTCCTCTGGAAATCGAATTTTTTTTCATTTTTTTTTTTTGGGAGAATCTGGATTTTTCATGTGATTCAGGAAATTTTTCTTATTCTTTAACAAAGAAAATTCTAAAATCTTTCGAAGCATGCCACCCTACAGTACTCCAGGCTACAGTCCTACTACAGCACTCTAAGCTACTTCACTTTTCAGTATCATTGTAGTGCTACATTGCTACTATCTACAGTAATAAAAATCAGTACTACAAGACGCGGTACTACAGTACCCCCGCTTACAGTACCCCGCTACAGTAACACAGTTTCATCACTACAGTACCACCTAATACAGTTTAGCTCTTGAGAAAAATTAGAGGTGTACTGTAGAGATTTAGAATACTATATTTGTATTTAGTAATATACTGTATTCGGTATTACTGTTACTTGTGGTACTGTAAGTGGTAGTACTGTAGTAAGTGGTAATGGAATACGTGGTAGGTGGTACGGTAGGAGGCGGTACTCTATAGTCATGAAACTGTGGTACTGTAATTAGGGGTACTGTAGTAATTAACTTCTAATTTAAAGTTTTTGAGTTTCCACGTTTTCCTGCCTATAAACTTGAATACTTGTGCATGAGGACTATAACAATTTAATGATTTTTTTGAAACAGGGAAGAAATGTAAAATGGAAGAAAATCAGGCTAAAAAATTTTTTTTGGATAAGTCAATTTCACTGTAAAATACTGCACTAAATAAGTTGAAACAAGGAAAAATTATATTTTTGATAAAAGTTTGATAAAAATTCTGGTAATCTAGGTTAAAATTAATCGAAAACTGATGTTTGAACCGAAATAAATAATAAAAATGCAGGAATTTTCAAATTTCCAACTGTTTTTGAGCACTAAAACAAGCCTGAAAATGAATTAAACACAGGAAAAATTGAAAAAAAACCCGGAATTCGTCGAATTTTCCGTGGCGTTCTTGAAAATGGCCTGAAGAAGTCCGGCGACTTTTTGGACCGGCGTTTTTTGGTCCGTCGACTTAAGATTCGGCATCGATTTCATGGACTTTACCTGGAATTTGGGTCATAATCATTTGAAAATGACATTTTGCGATTTTAAAAATACACTTGGATTAGAAAAAAAATCGTTTTTGGCATGGATTTCACTCGAATATTGGCCATAACCATTAAATTTTGGTATTTTCCGATCAAAAAATCACCCTTAATTTTGAAAAATCTCTTTTTCGGCATCAATTTCATGGGTTTCACCTAAAATTTAGGCCCAAATCTCAAAAATTTCCTATTTTTCGATCTAAAAACTTGAAAAATGCTCTTTTTGCGTCGAATTCAGAGAGTTTTTCGTTCAAAAATCATCAAAATTCGGCATTTTCCGATTTTTAAAACACATCTGAGTCCGAAAAAATCATTTTTTGGCTTTGATTTCATGGATTCTACCTGGAATTTGGGCCGAAATCATTAAAATTCGGCATTTATCGATTGAAAAAGCACAATTAATTTTGAAAAACTCTTTTTTTGGCATCTATTTCATGGATAAAACCAAAAAATAAGGCCCTAATATCAAAATGTCCATATTTTTTGATCTAAAAACTTGAAAAAACGCTCTTTTTAGCATCGATGTCATAGATTTTATCTGGAATTTGGGTCAAAATCATTAAAATTCGGCATTTATCGATTAAAAAATCACCCTTAGTTTTGAAAAATCCCTTTTTCGGCGTCAAATTCATATATTTAACCTGAAATTTGGGCCATAAACTTAGAATTCTCAAACTTTTCGTATACATAAATTTAAACTTGAACGGGAGTCGCTTTTTGGCGTCGATGTTAGGGATTTTTCGGGTCAAAATCATCAAAATTCGGCATTTTCCGATTTTTAAAACACATCTGAGTCCGAAAAAATCATTTTTTGGCTTTGATTTCATGGATTTTACCCGGAATTTGGGCCGAAACCACTGAAAATTGATATTTTTCGATCATAAAATATGCTCGATTAAAAAAAATCCCTCTTTCAAAGTCAATTCCAGTTCAAAATACTCATAAATGCTCTTTTTTTTTCTGAATTTTAAGACCTGCACCCGACCTGCAGCGGTTCACGCCTCTCTCAGAAAACTGACCACAAATCCTTCGGAGTCACTTTTGGAGACGGAATCGACGACGAGTCTTCTCAGACTTCTCTTCACTCGGGTTCTTCGGGTTCTTTTCCGTTTTTTCAGGGGTTTTAGTGGCTTTTTGGGCCAATTTGGCCGGTGAAAATCGCATTCGTTGCTGAAAAAAAGTGATTTTTTTCAGAATTTACAACAAAAAAAGTTTTTTTAGAACGTTCTAGGATTTTTCTAGGACTTCGAAAAACTATGGAAAATAGTAGTCTTTGAAGGCTAAAAAAACTAAAAAAAAATTTTTTTAGATTTTTTTGACGCTTCCCAAACTTTTCATAATCGAAAAAAATTGATGTATTTTTTTAAACTTTTTAACAAAAGCAACACACTAAGATTCAAAAAAATAAAATGAAATTTCTCGATTTTTTTGCAAAAACTCACCAAAAAAACCTCTTGTGTAGATGCTCGGCAAGCGATTCTTTCGGCGCCTTCGCCACGATTTTCGCTTTTTTTATTTTTATTTAACAGATTTTTTTCCTGAAAATACTACATTTTCCATTCCAGAAACCTAAAAAACCTATCATTTGACTTGAAAAACCGACTGAATGACTTGAAAGGCATCCTGGTGACCTTTCTGGAAATATGTTTATTTTTAGAAAAAAATTTCTAAAATTCCGAACCCGTCAATTTTAACTATTTTTTTAAAGCTTGGGTTGTTGTGGTCGATGGTTCAGTGGTTGTTGGCGGCAAGCTAAAACCAAAGAAAAAATTATATTTTTATCGAAAAATAGAAAAAACCTCGTCGTGGCATTCAAAGGAGGCATGAAATTTCGACCAACGATAAATGCAGAATTTTCCTGACTGAAAAATAAAATTAAACCTCAAATAATGAGCTTTAAAGCTTCATAATCTTACCTTATCTTTTGATCTCCATTTTTCCGAGTTTTCTTCATTTTCCTGAAAGAAAATCATTGGAAAACAGGAAAAAACGACAAAAATAAACCTTTCAATCAAGAATTTCTGGTACTGATGTCTAGCTTCTAAAAGGCAATGGGCAGCCGCGGCAACGTCTTTTTTGTCTCGAATGTGAGAAAGGCATAACAGAAAGTCCGACTTTATCTCTGTAAAAGTGGGAATCAACATAGAAAATGAGAAATAAAATTACGATATTTGAAGAAATAAGAGTTTTCGATTTCTAGAGATTTTTTTACGAAGACCTTTTTTCAATTTTTCTTCTTTAAAAAACAAATATCAAAAATTTATGTCACGGAAAACAGGAAAAAAGAAAAGCGCGAGAAAACAAAATTTTTTTTGTAAAACTTAAAGGCGACACAATGACGTAATACTGCACCGTGACGCGCAAAAATATTATAATAAATTTTTATTTTTTAGCAAAATGTTTTTTTTAGATGTATTTCTCTCTTATAATCTGTTGAATTGATTTTTTAAATACTTTTCAATCCATTTTTTGGCTTGAAACGTTTTTGCCTTTCAATTTTTGTGAAATTAATGTGTAAACCTTGTAAAATTGCATCATTTCGAAAAACTTTGGTTTCAATATCTAGTTTATTTTTTTGATAATTCAAAAATTTTTGTATTGATATATATGTAGATATTTTTAGGCTTCGGAACGCCTTTGCTCAAAAAAATTTCGACTTAAAGAACTTTTTGAAGCGGTTGCCGTTGAAAAAAATCAAGGTTAATTTTTACAATTTAATATTATTTTTATTTATAATTTTTTTCCTCAGAATTTTTGATTTTTTTAATTTCATTTTAGTGTTCCTAATGTTTTTTTATGTATTTAAACAAAATGTGAAACGGATAGAATTCAAAAAAATGAATTAAAAAAAGTTTTTTTACGTTTCATTCATTTGATAATTTTTCATATATCATCATTCATCGCTTTTTAAAGTCGCCAGAAAATTTTCAAAAATGAAATAACATGATAAATATGACATTTAAAAGCAAAATATAGTTTATTTTGACCTTGAAGTTTGTTTTCTCCACTCCCATTTTCTTTTTAACTCAAAAGAATCAGCGAAAATGAAGATTTTCGTTATGTTATTTTAACCCCTACTGTAGCGCTGATACCCCTAATTTCTTGAAATAACAATCATCAATTCCTGTTCCCTTCCACGCGACCGAAATCTTCGAATCCACGGAAAAACCTTATCCTATCGAACTGAAATGTATCGCCGTAAAAGTGCGCTTATCCCTGCGCACAGACTTGAAAGATAAATGACCCTTTATCAGTTAGTCGGAGGGGTCGAAAGTGAAAAGTTTCAAAGTGAAACAAATTCGGCGCAGTCTGTCTCTTTTTTGGTTTTCCGAGAGACGGTTCAGGTAGGGGAGAGATACGGGGGAAAGTTCGGAAGGACCGAGAAATCGAGGTGATAACGATCTTTGTTGTAAATCACTTTTTTTTTACTGCACTGACCAAAAAAACCGTGGTTTTCTTTTATTTAAGAGTTCTTGTAAATTCATTTTGTGGGTGAAATCCTAACAAAGAAGGTTATTTAAATTTCTGGTTGGGAAACTTCTGAAAAAAAGGCCGGAACACTCGTTCACGTTACAAGAAAAAGATTCTGAAAGTCTCACTCAGCAAAACTTTCTCATTTCCGAAAAAAAACGCCTTAAATATGAAAACCAAGCCATTTTTGGGCCTTGAGCTCTCATTTATCGAAAACTGGGAAGTTGGGCCTTTAATGATCTTTTTTGGGGCATCAATGATCGTTAGGGACCCTTTTCAAGGAATTCTCAAAATAATTACCTTTTCTTAAGAGACTTTTAAAACCTTATAACGTGCAAAACTTTTTTTAAGCTTTTTTATCTAAATTTTTAAAGCAAAGGATTTTTATCGGTCTTTTTTTCTCCCGCTTCTAAATCTTATCTTCGCTTTCTTCCTTCAAAAACCTTCTTTCTATTGTTTTCATCATTTTTCAAATTTTTCTGATCCAGGTAATTGAAAAAATTCGGTAGATCCAAGAAATTGAGACGACACCAATCTTCGTTGTAAATCTCTTTTTGTACTTAACTGACCAAAAAACATAATTCTTCTTTGAAAAAGTTTTTTTTTTCTAGTCAAAAAATCGAATAAAGTCCCCACAAGGAAGGTCCTTTCACTTTGCGGTTTGCTCAAACACTCTCTGAAGGTCTAGATGAAGATCCCTCATAGTCGCTACATGCGCAAATTTCTAGTTTTTCAGATGTGATTTTTTAAATTTGCGAAAAATGGGTTTGAAGCCTAATTTTTCGAATTTTGAAGCTGGAATCTTGAAGTTGGACCGTGTAGCGACTAGGGGGATCTTAATTTAAACCTCTTAAAAATTTTTAGAAAGTTCAAAGTCTCAAAGTAGAAGGACTTGTGGAATAAAATACTTTTGAGACTATTAAAAGGTATAAAAAAGGACATTTGGAAGTTTTCTAAATGATAAGTCACTATCTTAGGGACTTATTTCTGAATTTTTCAATTAAAAATACTTCGAACGCCCCTTTTTTGTTTCTTCAAGGAAAGTAAATTGAGAGATAGAGATTTGGTTCGAAAGGACCAAGAAGTCGAGACGACAACGATCTTTGTTATAAATCACTTCTTGTACTGTATTGACCAAAGAACTGGGGAACTATTCTCTTAAGATTTTTGAAAGCTTGATGAATCAAACTGAGAGATTTTTGTTCAAAGGTTTGAAGATATAAAGCTTTAATCCCTGGTAAAAGGCCAGTTTTTTTTCCAAATAGCCGGTGTCTCACTAGAAAAAGCTCTCGGATTTTTTCTCAAAGTTTAGAAATTCAAATTCTAAGGAGAAGTCCAAGTGACCTTTTATAGGGGCTTTTCAAGCTTTAAAGATGAGGAAAGGAATCTTCTAAACACCTCTTTCTGAAGAAAAACTACTTTTTTAAATCAATTTTTCATCCCTCCTTTTTGAAAACTTATTCTTTCCTTCTTTTTTTTCAACGTCTTTTATTTTATTTTTTTAAAATCTATTATCAGTTTTATTTTTGGTTTTCGGATATAAGGTTGAGGTAAATGAAGGATGGAGAGAAAGTTCCAAAGGATCAGAAATTTGAGACAAACTGATTTTTTAAAAATCTTGGCTTGTACTGTATCGGTAAAGACCTCACAAGGGAGGTCATTTTACTTTGGGATTTTCCTGAAAATTGGCCAGAACACTCCTTGATGTACCAGATGAAGATCCTAAAAGTTTCAAACTGCACAACTTCCTCGTTTTTGAGAAAAGACGCCTCAAAGACAGAAAAACTCTCAAAATCCATGAAAATGCCTATTTTTGCGCTTTTTTTCTCGAAAACAAGGAAGTTGTGCAGGTTGAAACTTCCAGGATCTTCATCTGGTACATCCAGAAGTGTTCTGGCCGATTTTTAGGAAATTCCCAACCGCAAAGTAAAATAACCTTCCTTGTCCGGAACCTTCTAGAAAATATTAGCGAGTTTCAAACCTAGCTCAAAACCATTGTGATTTTATTGGTTCTGGGAAATTCGGTAATTGTTTTTAGTTTGAGCATTTTCTTGGCAAGGTTTTAATTTATTTTAAGTATCTAAACTTATTTTAAACGTCATAATTTTTGAGAAGTCTTCCATAAACTTTCTAAAGTATTTTCACCGTTATAAGAATATAATAAATTTGCCCTGTTTGAGAGAAAGATGTTGTATTTCCTCCGAGTCTTTCAGTTATTGTAGTATCTTGATTTGAAAAAAAATACTCGGTTTTCTTTCAAAATTTATTAAAGAAAAGTTTCATTTTTCTGGGAAAATTTTCTGTTTTTGGCGTTTTTGTGGCCGCTATAGTAGTCAAATTAGTGGCCACTTAAGGGGTTAAACATTACTGGCCACTATAAAGGTCTAAGTGCCACTACTATCCGACTAAAAAATTTAGTGGCCACTTTAGGGGTCAATGGATCAACATAACTGGTCCGATCTGTTTGATTTGAAATTATCAGAGTTACTGGAAGGAATAATGGATGAAAAACTACTGAAGTGGCCACTAAATAGAGAACCTCTATAGTGGCTACTAAAACGGAAAATAGTGGCCACTATAGAGGTGGGTTTAGTGGCCACTTTAGTGTCCTCTCCAAGCAGTTCTTGGCGTTTTCACACACAGAAAATATTAATAACAAAATCTTTTTTTTTTTACTTCTATAAGAAACACATCGAAAGCCTCTTCTATTGTCCTGGTTTTTTGATTTTTTCAAGGTAAAGGTAGACAAATACCTCATTTTTTGTTGATTTTTCAGGCCTACTGATATTCTATTTCATTTTGAAGTAAGGGAATGACAAAAATTCTGTGACAATTTTAAGTGGCCACTATAGAGGCTCGCCAAAGACTAAATGGAGTGGACACTAAAGTGGCCACTAAACGAACCCCTATAGTGGCCACTATTTTCCGTTTTAGTGGCCACTTCAACAATTTTTTCATCCAGTATTCCTTCCAGTAACTCTGATAATTTTAAAACGAACAAATTGGACCAGTTATGACGATCCATTGATCCCTAAAGTGGCCACTAAAATTTTTAGTGGTCTAGTAGTTGCACTTAGACCTCTATAGTGACCACTAATTTTTAACCCCTTAAGTGGCCACTAACTTGACTACTATAGTGGCCACTAAAATTTTCCCAGTTAGTTTCAAAATAAAACCTCCTTGAAGTTTGGGCAAAAGTTCCTTGGAGAGCTGGACAATGAGCGCTTTGACGGAATGGACGTACCAATTCGAGTGAATCGTCCTCACCTGGATTTTAAATAGTTAATTAGAGGTTGATTAATAATTATCACCTTTTCGAATCCTTTCTCGTCGAGCTGATATTTCTTCAAGTCTGTTGGCTGCAGTGATGCTTCTGTCCCTGAATTTAAGACAATTTAGGCATTTTTTTATAAATATTTTTAATATGACCTTGTGAAACTCATTTCTCTGTTTCAAGAACTTTTTATGTACAAATAAATTATAAACTCAGATTATTATAGCGTGATTATCTCACCTTTGCCAACGCCAGAGTGATCCCTAGAGGAGCGTCCTTGAGGATACTTGAAGGGTTCCCTATAGGGGCCACTAAAGCTCGCAAAAGGGGTCACTCAAGGGGACTATGCTACATCTTTTAAACACGTCTTTTTTTCTTTCAAAACGGAGGGACCACTTGAGCTTCAGAATCAGAGCCTGAATCCCTTTAGGGACCACTTAAATTTCAGCCCTCTAGGGGGCACTCTTTTGTCCTGAGTTGTTTCTGAATTTTTCAAAGAGTGAAAGTTTTTTTTTAGATTTTTCATTTTTTCAAAGAAAGTTTCAATTTTGCGGTTTGAAAAGCTAGGATCCTATGTAGAATGATGAAGAAATTGATGAGAAATCTCAATTTCGAGTCAAGTAGTCACTTAAGGGGAGTAACTGGAGACTACCTGAAAATTTTGAAGCCGTGGATTTTTGAAGAAAAAAAAACTCAGTGAGTGAATTAAATCTCAAAAATGTTTCCTGATGTGGACATTTTTTCGAAATCGATAGGCTAAAAGACTTCATTTCGCAAAACTCTAAATAAAGCGACAAAAAAGGTAACTAACTCGGTAACATGAGCAATAGCTGCGTATTTTAAGAAGCGATAGATTTTTATGGATTCATTTATGGATAAAAAAACCAAATTGTCGATTTTTTTGAAGTTGAATATTTTATTGAAGAGCTCTGAGCTCAGAACTTGCACTTTCATTTGAATTTTTCCAAAAAGAATAGTAAAATAAGTAATTAATTCGGTAACATGAGCAATAGCTTCGTAGAAACTTTCTTCACGACGCGATAGGTTTCATGGATTTCAAACCGAACAGTCAACTTTTTTTTGATGGAGATATTTTAATAAAGAGTTTCCAAGCTCAAGAATCTCGGTTCGGTTCGAAAAACCCCGAAAAAAGTAGGAAAATGGGTAGGGTTTTCGGTAACATGAGCAATAACTACATGATCGATTTTATGGATTTCAAATTATTATTTTTCACTTTTTTTCGGGGATTTATCTTGTTTAAAAAGATTTCTGAACTGGAAAAGCATAATTTTCAACCCAAAAAACTGCAAAAAAGCAAGAAACCTACTCGGTAACATGAGCAATATCTATGTAGGAGTTTATTGTAATGCGCGATAGGCTTTATGAATTTCAGACGATAGTTTTCATTTTTATAATAGAGTTTCTTGATAAGGCTTTTGAACAGGAAAAGCAGTTTTCAACCCAAAAAACTCGAAGGAAAAAGCAGGAAACTTTATCGGTAACATGAGTAATCGGTACAATTTGAGGAAGTTCGGGGAGTTTTATGACTTTCAAACGATAATTTTTATTTTTATGAAGAAGTTTCTTGATGAAAAAGGCTGCTAAACTAGAAAAGCATTATTTTGAACCCAAAAAAAAGCAGGGAAACGAGTAACGAACCTATCCGGAACTCGGAGATCAGGGCAATAAATAAGATAATAATTGGGAGCCAAGGTTTGGAGCGCATTTTGTTCCAATGTGTCTCAGAATCAACCGAGAAGAACCGTTGCCGCCTTCACGGGCTTAACGGATTTGTGACCCTTTCCTCGAGGCTCCGCCCATTTTTGGCTTCGGAAAATAGGCGAAGTCTCACCGCCGAGACTGTCCCCCCAAACAAATGCAATTCTCCCTATCCGATGGCTTTTTTTCCAACGATAATTTTTTTCCTTTGGAACTTGGTGATAAATAAGGGACTCTATTTGGTCTGACAGGGTCATAAGTGAAAGAGGAACGCTTTAGGATGAAGAAAATGGAAAAGGAAAGCGATTTTTTGAGGCTGATTTAACAAAAATGAATTAAAAGTAATGAATACTTGAGTTATCTTGAAAAATAAACTCTCAACAAATAAACAGCGTTGATTTTTGAGAAAGGACACGCCAAATGCGCCCCACAGAGAAAGACATCAAACTCGGACCTTGGTAACGCAAATCGGACGTGTAGGGGAATTTCCAGTGACCACTTTAGTAGCTTCAAATCTCTTGAGGGATCCCTAGATTGTCCGAGAAGTTCAGCATCTGAATTTTCGTTGAATAAAGTTAATTCCGACAGTGTCTAGCAAAATGCAATTCTGCCCATCCGATGGCTTTTTCCAACGATAATTTTTTTCCTTTTGAACTTGGTGATAAATAAGGGTTCTATTTGGTCTGACAGGGTTATAAGTGAAAGAGGAACGCTTCAGGTGAAAGAAAATTGGAAGGAAAAGCGATTTTTTGAAGATTTTTAGGTTTGACTGAGGCTAATTCATCATAATGAATATGATCAAAAAAATCTGAACTCTCAGAAAAAACTCTAAAAAAATAGTCGGAATATTTTACAAGAACAAAGCAACTTGCTCTCCACGGATAAAGACATCAAAGCTCGGTTTTAATATTTTTGTTGAAACTTCAAGAAAACTCAGACTGTACTCCACAGGAAAAACCATCAAAAACGTCTTTTTTAATTTTGAAAAAGCCTTGCAATAACTGAGGGGAGCTTTTTTTGATTTTGAGTTGATTCCTAGTTGTTCAGTGATCCCTTGAGTTGTTTCGAAACTTATTTAGTGCTCAGGTAAAAGTTGGGAACCTTCTGGTTTCGGTTCCTTGGAAGCCGTTTGGAAGCAGCAATTGGTCAAACGCCTTCCACAGCCTCCCGGGAGCCTTCCAGATGCTTTCTTGCTTGCGTTTTCTATTTTCCCCTTCCGAACACCTTCCTAGACCTTCCCAAGACCTTCTAGCTTCTATAAACCTTCCAACCATCTGCTGGTTATCTTCCTAACACCTTCCCAGGTTTTTTTGTTTACTCTAAATATTTTCTTTTTTTTTTGAGTTCCTTCTGAATTTGCGCGTTCAAACTTGGCGACCTTCTTTTGACCAGCTAAATAATTTTATGTGACTCGGCTTAACTTGATTTTAAAAAAAATTGAGAAATCCTGAGAGGATAACCAGAAGGAGGTTAAAAGGTGAATGAAGATTGGTAGTTGGACGATCCTTGGAGGTAAGAAATTGCAATTGCCTGCCAGAAGCCTTTCAGAAGTCTGCTGGAAGGCTTCCGGCAGGCCTTTTTCAAAACAGAAGGTCTTGAGAAGGCCTTTGGAAGGCGTTCAAAAGGTAGTTGGAAGGTCCTTGAAAGGTGAAAAAATAAAAATGCCTGCCAGCAGCCTTCCAGCAGGCTTTTGGAAGGTAAGTAGAGGTGTTGCGAAGGTATGTCGAAGGCATCTGACCAAACCGAAATTAAAAACTTCCAAATTTTAAGAAAAGACTCATTATTGCTCATGTTCATTACGAAAAAATTCAAAAGATCATCAGATTTTTCTTTTATTTCCCTTCTATCCCATAGCTTTTTGCCGGTTATTTTTTGCTTGTTGATAAGAAATCGACTCGGCTGCATGACGTGATCGGGTCATAAGCGAAAGAAGAACGCACCAAAAGGTCAAATAATCACAGAAACAGGCTGCTTATGAGGTTTTGACGTGGTTGATTCACAAGAGTCCACGTCAAAATAGCCGCCCCGCGACCGCGACGCGTGGAGCCATTCTCTCCGGCTCCAGGAAGCATTGAGCTGTAAATATAATCAATTTCTACGCTTCCAAAGTTGAAAAAAGTATGAATGAAGTTTTTTCAAACAAAAAAAAGAGACGATCCATTTTTCGAAACGCAGAACTGCTCAAAATGTTGCAGAAAACAGGAAGGAATTTTCTGAGAAAAATCCTTGGCACAAAAACTTTATCGTTCTTTTCACTATCACAGATAATATGAAGCCTTTTAAAAATTTTGGACCAGGTTTTATTAGGCTCCGCCCACTTTCAGGCTTACTGTAGAAAAAATACCGAAAAAAAGTAACTTTTTTCCTAATGAATCGAATCGTTTCGAACAAGTTTTAATGCAGACAACATGCCAATTTGAGCATTTTTCGTGTTGAATTTTTTTTCCTTAAGTTCATGGAAAAAATATTCTTATTCGGAAAGTGCTTATGAAAAATAGACGGACTGGGAAAATTTTTACTGGCCACTATAGTAGTCAAATTAGTGGTCACTTAAGGGGTTAAAAATTAGTGGTCACGATAGAGGTCTAAGTGCTACTGAACCATTAAAAATTTAAGTGGCCACTTTAGGGGTCAATGGATCAACATAATCCAATCTGTTTGTTTTAAAATTATCAGAGTTACTGGAAGGAATACTGGATGAAAAACTACTGAAGTGGCCACTAAAACGGGAAATAGTGGCCTTTAAAGAGGTGGGTTTAGTGGCCACTTAAGTGTCCTCTGCAAGTAGTCCTTGGCGAGCCTCTATAGTGGCCACTAAATATTTTCCCAGGACTTTTTCAGAAAACGTCATTGATAGCTCGAAACTGGATAATAAAAGGTTATATGGGTGTCGTCTAACCAGAAAAAACTCGCGACAACGCAATAAAATGCGCGATAATGAGTCAACTGGTCACCAAATTACTTTGTTAGACCCTTTGGGAAGCTTTTCACTGATTAGATCGAGTTTCACTTTTTTCTTAGATCTTTCAAAAATCAAGCAATTTCTTTGAAACTTGGAGGACTTCAAAAATATTGCCTGGAATTTTTAGAGGAGCATTTTGAAAGATTTCGAGACGAAGAACCGTTTTCTAGTGTTTCTGTGAATGAAGGGGAAAATTCCAGTGGCCACTTAAGAGGATTCTCAAGAACTACTTGGAGAGGACACTAAAGTGGCCACTGAAACCATCTTTAAAGGAGCCACTATTTTCCGACTTAGTGGGCACTATAGTAGTTTTTAGCGGTCTAGTAGTAAAGGGACCATTGAAGTTTAGTCACTTAAGTGGCCACTAATGCGACTGCTATAAAAGCCACAAAACATAAAACCCTATAGTGGTCACTAATTCTACCATACCCTGAAGTGGAAACTAAAGATTTTTTCGGTAACTTTGATCAAGAATTTATGAACTTTGTTTAATGTAGAGGTAGTCAAAAATAAGTTTTTCAAGTACCTTGAAACAGTGTTAAAATATATTCTTTAGAGCTTTTTAAAGGAGCATGAAAAGATTTTTTTATAAAAATTTTGACACGAGGAGCCGTTTTTTAGTGTTCTTAGCACCATGTAGAACTTCTAAGCTTTTAAAATTGCTGCGGAAAGTGTTTTGTGCAGACTTCAGAAGGAAAGATGGGTACTGTCGAAATTTTAAAGGAGCATGGACAATTTCATATAATATTTTCAAAAAGAAGAGCCGTTTTTTTTTTGTGATCTTGTGGCCATGTAAGACTTCTAAGCCCTAAAATTGCCGGAAATTTTTTTCTTTCCAAATCGGTACCCAAAAAAAGCCCGTCTTCCGATTCAACTTTGGTTTTTCCTCCCAAAGTTGAAGGTCATTTAGAGATTAATCGACGACCGTATCCAATAGAGAGCTTAAAGAAGAGTGGGTCACTTTTTGAGTGGGGCAAAGGGCAACAATTTTCACTGGGGGGAACATTTCGGACCCTCGTGGCCGAATATTCCAAATGCGGGCCTCCAGCTGCGAGACTTTTTTGGCGGCCGTGCCTAATCCGTCGACCCCCTTGTACACTTTCACAAATATCATCCAAGACGACTCCAAATCTTCACGTGAATTGCATAACTTGTCCAAATCTCATGCGACAGTTTAGTCCGTTCAAAAATTTTCCACGGGTCCTCAAAATTCTTGGAAAACCCTACTGCGAAAGTTCAACGAAACAATTTCCCTTTTCCATTTTACTTTTCATTCGGGAATTTCCTGAAAATCGGCCAGAATACTCCTTGATGAACCAGAAGAAGATTCTGAAAGCTTCAACCCGCATAAATTCCTACTTTTTGAGAAAAGACACCTCAAGCCCTCAAAATCCGTTAAAATAGCTTTTTTTGGGTTTGAGATCGTGTTTCTCAAAAGCTAGAATGTTTTGCAGGTTGAATCTTTCAGGATATTTCTCTGGTAAATCAAGGATTATTTTGCCTTAATTTAAAGAGATCACAGAGAAAAAAATCCTACTTGAAACCGAAAAAATTACAGCTTTAAAGGGTACCGAGCATGTAAAAAATGTACAAAAAAGGGTATTTTTCGAAGTTTTTAGAATTTTGTAACAACTTTCCTGAAAAATATAGCTATAAAAAACAGTAGTAATGGGTTTTTTTTTAGTAATGGGATTATTTTTGATTAATTTTTCCTAGAACAGCTTTTAAAAAAATTTGGACCAGATTTATGATTTAAATACCACATAATATCCTAGTAAGAACACCCTTAAAATAATTGTCTGCTTTGAGACCTTTTTCAAAGTTCACCTATGCTCCTTTAAACATACCAAAAAGGAGTTTTTAACCTTGAAAAAAATTTAGAGGAGCATTTTTTTTGCCTTGTGACTTTTATTCTGACTTTTTACTGAGCTCAGCTTCAAGTTTGACGATCTTTGAATTTTGCAAAAAACGTTACGACCTCGACAGGACTCGAACCAGCGACCTCGTCGAAGCTAGAAATGAGTCTTACCAACTGCGCCACATTTCCCTTTTTGAACACTTTTCCACTCAAAATTGCTCTAAATATATTTATTTCATCAACTCTGTCTCAAAAAACTGCAAAATAAATACAAAATCTCGGGAAAATTGGCAAGAAATTACAATGGAGAGCCCTCTGAAGTGGAGAACAAACGAGGTCGAGCAATACTGATTTCTCGGATTGTTGCTTGGGCCATGGCCCCGAGCAGGACTTCTGGACACGAGACGAACGCGATCTGTCCGTTACCGTATTCACCGCAAAGTGACGTCACCTAGAAAGTTGATGACGTCATCGTTCAGAGAAAACATTTTAAACGTTCGTTACTGTTCACGGAATAGTTATTAAAATGACGATGATTCAAAATATACTTTGAAAGTATTATCTATTAACCTTAATGGAAAAACGCGCTGGTCGCATTTGGAATGGTTCGAAGTTTTGCGGTCGCGTCGCGGTTTTCAGTAATGCCAGAGTTATCCCTATAGGGTTCAAGGAAAACAACCCGCTATAGGGATGAAATTCAGGTGATCCCTATAGGGTCTTTTAAGTTTTACGTTCAGTTTCGAAAATGAAAAAGGAAAATTCGATCAAGTTATTGAGTTTTTTGCATGGAAAGTTCTCATAACGGCTGACAAGCTCCCCTAGAGGGGCCACTAACTAAAAACCCCTATAGGGGCCAATTCCGTCAGCTTTATCCGCTCCTATACAGAAAGGTATGCTGGTTAAAGAGGAACCTTGAAAGTAGGGTCCGCAAGCCATTTCTTCAAAACGATCCAAAAAATATGTTTTTTACACTGTTCGATAGAGGAGACTGTCCATTTTCATAATCCGTTTAGTTTTTGAAAAAAGCTCCACTAAGAAAAAAGTTATGGCCAAAAAACTAGCGCGCGCGGCGTTCAACTGGAGGCAAAATCTCACGGTTTACCCGCTGCCGCACGCTTTCTTTTTAAATGTTTTTGCGCATTTCTGAACCGTTTTCGAATCGGTTTTCTGTTCTGAGAGGTTGTCCGAACTGAGCTCAATGTTTTGGTACAATTCTTTTGTATAACTCTCATAAGAATTTTTGATAAAATATCAAAAAACTACTTAGAAAAAAGGTCAGAAGGAATTTTCAGCTTATTTTTCTTTTTTCTAATCAGAAAAATCATTATCATTCGATTTGAAAGAAAGAAAAAATGAAAAATAATGTTATTTCGAAATAAAACAGGAAAAAGTGCAGTTTGACTCCGAAAAACGGCTCCTGCAACATTTAAAATGGCGCATCGGTGTGTTTGACGCAAACACAGCTACGAATGCTTGCACGAATTCTTCCAAAATTTCAAAAAAATTGCCATTTTTTTCGAGGTTTTTCAAAGCCGTTATTTTTTTCGCGTCGTTAGATTTTTTTCATAATTTTTTTCATTGATAGAGTTTTTGAACGCTTAATAACATAAACAAAAAGTATAGACGCGATCCTATTCTCTCATGCGACAACGAGGCAGGCGAAAAAAAGGAGGTTTTGGTAAAAACTCAAATATAATTTGATTCGCTGTCCCAATAATTCTTTTCATTTCTGAATTTTTTTATTTTTTTGGACACATTGTGAGTTTTTTTAAACCAAATAAAAAAAGTATACCTTGTCGCTGAAATTTTTTTCGCATTTCAGCTTCAAAGTTTTGGTGTCACTTTACAAGCTTTAATATTTTTTTCGCGTCGTTAGCTTTTTTTAAATTTTTTTACTCGAAAAAAATAAAGAAAGTGTTAATAAGTAACATATTCAAAATTTGGAAGCGATCCTCACTTGGTTTTCTGAAACGCGACGATTTTGTGAAACTTGTCAGTTTGTTTCGTGTTAAATCTTACTTTTTCGCTTATTTTTGAAAAATACATAGTTTAAAAATTTTTCAGTCTTGTAGAGCGTTGTCGATTACATAGATTAACAGCAACAGTTCATTTTTAAAGTGGGACTTTAGCTAGTATAAACGCCTCAAAACCGTTTCTGCAACAAAAAAATCGTCATTTTGGTGGCGTGAAGGGGCGGGGCTTTGCGCCCCCTACTTGAAAGGCCCAAAAGTTGACCCTATAGGGACCACTCTGGGCCCTAGAGTGGTACCTTCAAGGACCCCAAAGGTTTTCCCCTAAAGGGACCACTCTGGAGTTCACATTAGCAGCTGTTTTGAAAATCTTTTTCTCGCTAAAGTCGTTTTGAGTCGGGTGCAACTTCCACCAAGTATTTTTGCAAAAATCCCCCAAACCAACCTGTTTTTTGAGAGATTCATCAGTAGTGACCCAAATGGTATAGACGCCATTGGCGTTCTGGTCCAGACATTCCCGCAACATTGGCAAATCCGTCAGGGAGTCCCCGCAAACCAAGACATTTCCTTCCTGAAACCAAGAGTTCAGGAAAGGGTCCGAAAATAAGGAGAGATTGCAAAAAATTTGTAGTGGCCTTTATAGAGGCTCGCCAAGAACTACTTGGAGAGGACACTAAAGTGGCCACTAAACCCACCTCTACAGTAGCCACTATTTCTGTTTTAGTGGGCACTTCAGTAATTTTTCATCCAGTATCCCTTCAGTAACTCTGATAATTTTAAAACAAACAGATTGGGCCAGTTATGATGATCCATTGACCCCTAAAGTGGCCACTAAAATTCTTAGTGGTCTTGTAGTAGCACTTAGACCTCTATAGTGGCCACTAGTTTTTAACTTCTTAAGTGTTCACTAATTTGACTACTATAGTGGCCACTAAAGCGTCTAAACCCTATAGAGGCCACTGAAAGTTTCCCCATTCTTATACACTTTATTTTTGTTCTGTCTGTAAATGAACATTATTTTTTTAAAAAAATGACGCTTTATTTTTCAGAAAAAATTCAGAACTAACTCTACATGATGAAGGGTCTGTCCCTAAACTTTAAAATTTCAAAAAAAAACCAAAAAGAAACCTTCAAATCGCACTTCATCTTCTCGCACAACATCCTCAAGCCGTCACCCTTGTCGAAAACTTGACCGTCGTGTTTTGTCTGAATTTATTAGATAAATATTTTTTTAAAACGATCTTTTCTGTTTGAGAAATCAGCTTTTTACCTTCAAATAAATCTTGATATCCAAGTTGGTCGAGCTCAATTGAAGGATCGACTCGGCAGGATCGATTTCGCGGACGATTTTTTGAATTGCTTCGAAGAGCTGCTTGCTCATGGCTTCGCTGACCTGAAATTCGACTTCTTTCGTTTGAAAATTTTTTTTTGTTTGTAAAATTCCGTAATAAACTTGTTCATATACCTTTCTTCCAAGTATCTCTCAAGAATTTCTCAAGAAATTTACTAGATTTTTATTAAAATAACATGAATTTTGTTGTGTGTTTCATTAAACTTCTTCATATACCTTCCCTAAAAGTAAATACAAACAATTTTCCAAGAAATTCTTTTCATTTTTAAATGAAATACGACATTTGATTTCGCCGCCATTTCGGCATGATGCAATTTCTGGTGCACGTGAATGCACACGTGACACCTGATCACACGTCTCGCCGCCTTTTTCCATTTTACACACTTTCTCTTTTCTTTTTCTCGACCTTTTTGCCTTCTTTTCGATTTCAAAACGGTTTGAATCGTTATTCTGAATAGTTGAATCTGTGCGAATTATGCTTATTCGAGTTTACTTTTTGAAAAATTGAAGAATTAGTTTTTACTGCTTTTTTGCGTTTTTGCAAGCTTTTTCGTGACTTTTTTCGTTTGTTTTTTCAAACAGTCCAATTTATTATCTAACTTTCACAGAATTTTCTGAAGATTTTCACTAAATTGATAAGATTGGAATCGTTTCTGTTTAAGGTTAACCTATAGAAATATATGGCTTCTTGTTTGAAGTTCTTTCGTTCTTTTTAAAATTTTCCTGTGGACTTTTTTCTCCTTCTTATAAATTTCTAAACGTTTTAAATGCTCTATTTAATGATGATAAGTTGTTCATTGCAAGTTTAATTTCAAAAAAATAACTTTTTTTCATAATTTTTGAACGTATTTTTCATTGTTTCAATTGATTTAATGCTTTCCAGGACAAAGTCTTCAACGATGGGCCCCCTGACGAGACCGTCTACCGTGTCTTACACACGTAGAAAGGTAGATTTTATCATTTTACGATAAAAAATGCGATTTTTTCAAGGTCCAACACATTTTGAATCGGTTTTACGCTTCTAATGAAGGTCGGGCCGAAACGGCGGCCGTGGCGAATGTGAAACCGATTGAGAAAATTCGTAATATCGGTAAGAATTTTTTGAAAGAGGGAAAGATTGGGGTTTTTTGAAGGAAGAAGGGAATTTTGCAGGAGCTTTGAAAGAGGAAAAAATTAGATTTTTTCATTAAAAATTTTTTTTTTCTATAAATTCCAAACTTGGATATTTTTTTTGATGAAAATCGGTCTGTTTAAGAAATTTTAAGAAAGGAAAGAATTGGCATTTATCCAATAAATATCAGTTTTTTGTTCCAGGAATTTTTGAAACGGGGAAAATTTGTATATTCCAGGAGTTTCGGCACATATCGATTCGGGAAAAACGACGGTAACTGAGCGAATTTTGTACTATGCCGGGCGGATCGATTCAATGCATGAAGTGAATTTTTCATCAAAAAATAAGAAAAATAAAATTTTCTTGAGGTTCGAGGAAAAGACGACGTCGGGGCGACGATGGACTTCATGGATTTGGAAAGACAGCGAGGAATCACGATCCAATCGGCCGCCACCTACGTCGATTGGCACGGGACCAATATTAATATCATTGATACGCCAGGTTTGGAACTAAAGCGTAAAATTTCCAGTTTTTGTGTGAAAAATATTTTTTCTAAGGTAAGAGATTGCGAAAAAGTTATATTTTACAAAGAAAGTCTTTTTTTAGCGCTTGGGAAAAGAGAGAACGCTTCTTGATGTACCAGTAGAAGCTTCAGAAAGTCTCAACTTTCCAAAATTTCTAGTTTTTAAGAAATATGGGCTCGAAGGGTCTAAAAAATCTATTTTAACGGATTTTAAAGGTTCCCTCTGACTTTGAGAAGTCCTTCTTCAAAAGAAAAAGCAAGTTTTGAAGGTTGAAACTTTCAGAATCTTCATTTGGTACATCCAGAAGAGCTCTGGACGATTTTAATGGAATTTCCAACTACATAAAGTAAAATTATCCTTCTTGCTAGACAAATTATCAATTTTTGAAGCAGGTTTTAAAATAATGAAGTTATGGCCGCCAAGTAAATGGAATTTAGGCCGATAAAAGTCAAGCTTTTTGCAATTTTCACACTATTCCATTCAAATTGCTTTTTCTTTTTAAAAAAATTACTGTAAGAATTATCGAAGAAATCGAATTTTTTTGTTTGGACTTTTTCAAGCTTTCCATCAAATTTCGTATTTTCTGTCTATTTAAAATATTACATGACTTCTTACAAAAGTATTTTAAAAGTGAACTATTCAGTTTTTATATCTTTCATCACGAATTATGCTAGAAACGTTTTCATTCCTAGATTTTCTTTCTAATTCAAACTTTTAATTAATATTTCAGGCCACGTCGACTTCACAGTCGAAGTGGAAAGGGCCCTGAGAGTTCTCGATGGAGCAGTTTTGGTCCTTTGTGGCGTTGGAGGAGTCCAGTCCCAAACTTTTACCGTTAATCGGCAGCTTGCTAGGTACATTTTTCGCTTTTTCTTCACTATTTCTTTTCAAAACTACTTCGGTGTGAAAATCTAACGTAAAATCTCGAAATTTAGGTACCAAGTTCCGTTCATTTGCTTCGTTAACAAGCTCGACCGAACCGGCGCGACCCCTTTGAAGGCTTTGGACGGGCTTCGGAATAAATTGAATCATAATGCGGCTCTCATTCATCTACCTATTGGAAAGGTATTGAAAAAATGAAAATTGAAATTTTTCCGGTCGACTTTCGTGAATTTTATTGTAAGTCTCTCATAAATCGTGAAAAAAACACGTCATTTTTTTTTACCGGGAGGAAATCTAGTGACCGCTTAAGGGGGGTTCTCAAGGACGACTTGGAGAGGACACTGAAGTGATCACTATAGTAGTTTTTAGTGGCCGATTAGTTTTACTTAGACCCCTAAAGAGAACACTAAGTTTTATTCACTTAAGTGGCCACTCAAATCACATTTATAGGAGCCACTTTAGGGCTTACTATATCAGTTTTTAATTGTCTAGTAATACTACTTAGACTCCTAGAGAGGCCACTGAAATTCAGTCCCTTAAGTGGCCACTAAAACGTCAAGACCCTAGAGTGACCTCTGAGAAATTTTTTTCGAGATCACAAGCTCTTGAGGACTTCAACATTGTGAGAAAAGAAAAGATTTAAAAAAAAACCCCTATAGGGACAACTTCAAGGTTCCTTAAAAATTTTAGTGGCCCCTATAGTGTTTTTTACACTCATTTCTAAAGCTTTATGGTCCCTATAGGGTTCATTTTTGGATAGTTCAGTTTTTGAATGTCAAGAAGTTAACTGTGGGAACAGAGAACGTTTTTTACAGCCCTGTAGGGACCACTATGAGTCTGACCACTATAGGGAACCCTACGACAGTGATTTAGTGCTCCTAGAGCGTAGGGATCCCTATTGGGGCTCCTCAAAAAATTATAGGGACCACTTTGAGTTTGACCCCTACGACATCGAAGCTCCCAGAGCGTAGAAATTTCTATTGGAGTTCCTTAGAAAACTTTAAACTCTATAGGGCCTTTTTTGACCACTATAGGGACCCCTACGACAGCGGTTTAGTGCTCCCAGAGTGTAGGGATCCCTATTGGGGCTCCTCAGAAGACTATGTCCTCTATAGGGGCCACTTTGAGTCTGACCACTATAGGGACCCCTACGACAGCAGTTTAGTGCTCCCAGAGCGTAGAGATCCCTATAGGGGTTCTTTGGAAGATCGCTAAACTCTGGTTAGTAGTATCCCATCAGTATCTTTCCAAAGACTACAATTTCCTTCAGGACTCCAACTTCAACGGGATCGTGGACCTCATCGAGGAACAAGCCCTTTACTACGAAGGCGAGGGAGGCCTTCTGATCCGTCGTGACGAGATTCCGAAGGAACTCCGCGCCGAGGCCAACGACCGACGGCAGGAGATGATCGAACACATCGCCAACGCCGACGAGAAGCTCGGCGAGATGTTCCTGAACGACCTGAAGCCGTCGGTCAACGACATCCACGACGCGATCCGTCGCGCCGTCGTCCAGCGCTCTTTCGTCCCCGTGCTCTCCGGCTCGGCCCTCAAGAACAAGGGCGTACAGACGATGATCGACGCCGTCGTCAGATACCTCCCCAACCCGTCCGAAGTGGTCAACCGCGCTACCGTCAAGAACGAGTTCGGCTTCTTGTACTTGGGAATGCTAGGGGGGGTCCCTATAGGGATTTAGTCCATATAACAGTGATCCCTAGAGTGGTTAGGAGAAGAACGCTCTTTTGTAAGATGAAATTTAAGTGGTCCCTGAAGGGGTCAGGGTCCATGTAGTGGACAAAAAGTGATCTCTAGAGGGGTTAGGGTGCCCAAAAAGGATCCCTAGAGGGGTTAGGAGAAAAAACAGCCCAGAAAAAACACACTAAACAGTGATCCCTAAAGGGGTTAGAAGAGAAAACAGCTCCTTTAGGAGACAAAATAGTGCTCCCTAGAGAGGTGTAGGAGTTTAGGTCTGAACTTGAATGCTTTGAAAGCTTAAGTGATCCCTTTAGAGATCTTTCAACTTTTTGTCATGCGTTGATAGATGGAAAGACGCAAAGGGATCACTAACAAGCTCCCCTAGAGTGACCACTTTTACAAGCTTCAGAATCCCAAGCCCCCCTAAAGTGGTCAACAAATAAAAAACTCCCAAAATGGCCACTTTCGAGAGTTTTAGTGATCCCTATAGGGAGAGTAAGGTGGTCCCTTCAGAAGCCTTTTAAGTAGCCCCTTTAGGTTTTGGTGTACTTAAGTGTAGTCAAGAAATCCCATATGAGTTTCGGTAACAAGAAGAAAGATTCTAATGAAAGTCTGAAGAATTTTTAAGTGGTCCCTATAGGGTTTTGTCGGTTTAAGGGCCACTATAGGGACTACTTCACGGTTCCTGAAGTAGCCTAAACTGTAGGGGCCCCTATAGGGCTTTCTGAGCGGTCTACTGAAATATTTAAGCTTTAGGGATCCCTATAGGGCTCAGGAGAACTTTATTTTTAAAGTCCCATTAAAAAAGTTCCTTGTCAAATGATATAAAATTATTTTTCTCAAACTTTGCTGAACTATATAAAATCACGATAAATTTTTTCGTGTAAAAAAAAAATTCGTTCCATCGATTTTTACGTATTTCCCATTCCAGAAAATCCGAAGAAGTCCCAATTATTCTGTCCTCAAAAAGGTCCAACGAGAAACCGTTTGTTGGACTAGCCTTCAAATTAGAGGTTTTTCCGGTCTTCCAAAAAATTGTGATTTTTTCCTGATTGTTTAGGCTGGGAAGTACGGACAGTTGACGTATTTCCGGGTCTATCAGGGCGTTTTGAACAAGGGAGACATGGTTTACGCGTCGAGAGACGGCAGAAAAGTCCGGGTGCAGAGGCTGGTCCGCATGCATGCCGCTGATATGGAGGTGAGTAGAAGGTGCCAGCAAAAATTGGTAAAAAGGTACCAGGGAAAAAAAATTGGAAGAAGAAAAAGCTACAGAAAATTATATATTTACAGGATTGTGCGCTCTATTGATAATTATTCATGAGGGCTTGATTTAGGTTTCAGAGCAAAAAAGGCCTCTGAAAATGATATATTCAGAGGATTGTGCGCTCTATTGATAACCATTCAAAGCCTAATTTAAGTACCAAGTTCAGAGAAAGAAAAGACTTTAAAAATGACTTATTCAAAAGATTTTGCGCTCCATTGATAATTATACGTAGGATCCTATTCAAAGTACCAGTAACAACGTTTTCAAAGACTAATTTAGGCACCTAAAAAAAAAGAAACGGCTATAGAATATGAAAGGAAAAAAGAAAAGTTGGCTCAAGAAAAAAAATGAACGAAACATGAGGAAAATATAGTCTCATGAGGTCTTGTGCGCTCTATTGATAAATAATAATGAGAGCCAATTTTTGAGATTTTAGCCCCATGGAAAGAATTTTGTATTTTTTCTAGTTTATTTTGAGATGAAAAAGAGGTAAAAATTTTTAGGAATCGTTAAATTTCAAGGCAAAATGTGGAATGGATGTTTGAGAAGAAACAGCCGCACTGGTAGGATCTTTTGCGCTCTGTGGATAAAGATGGGGAAACTAGACTACGATTACTTGGAGAGGGCACTAAAGTGGCCCCTAAACCCACCTCTATAGCGGCCACTTCAGTAATTTTTTTCATCCGGTATTCCTTCCAGTAACTCTGATAATTTCAAAAAAAAAAAACAGATTGGACCAGTTATGTCGATCCATTGACCCCTAAAGTGGCCACTAATATTTTTAGTGGTCTAGTAGGTACACTTATTCCTCTATAGTGGCCACTAATTTTTAACCCCTCAAGTGGCCACTAATTTGACTACTATAGTGGCCACGAAAAATTTTCCCAGTCGTGGAAATGTTGAGAGACTCTAAATAACAGGATGCAATGAAAAAAAAATTCGAATCTTATCAAAAAATAATTTCCTATGAGCGCCAAGCTTCTGCAGCTTCCAAAGTAATCTCCGCGAAATCCAAAATTATCTCTGACTCTCCAAAATGTCAGTGATCTTTACATTTCTCTGACGGTTATTTTGAATTTCGTGGAATTTTTTGAAGGACATTGAAAAAAGTAATTTCCTTCCGGGTTATAAGAAAACTTTGAAACGGGGATCCGAAATAATAAATTCAGGAGATCAACAGCGCCTACGCCGGCGATATCTGCGCGACTTTTGGCTTGGATTGTCATTCCGGAGAAACTTTTTCGACTGACCCCAATTTGGCCCCGCATTGTGTTGGATTTTCATGGGGATTATCAGAATTTCATCGGAAATGCCTTTCAGGAATCGATGCACATCCCAGAACCCGTCATTTCCATGTCGATCAAGCCCGTCAACAGGAAAGACGCTGACAATTTCATCAAGGTGAATTGAGTTTGAGAAAAAAAAGGGTTTTCAGGGAAAATTTCATATGAAGATGTACTTCAAAAAAATTGAAAATTATCAGATTTTAGACAAAACTTCACTTTTTACAGTTGAAATTCGAGTTTTTCCTAGGTAGTGGCTATATTTTTGTTGATAAATTCGGATTTTATGGAATTTTTTCAGAATTTTGTTCTCTCAGGACCTCCAGAGTGCCCCCTATAGGGGTAACCTTTAGGAATCCCCTCTAGGGACCACTTTATCAACCCCTATAGGGGTCTTGCAGAAGCATTTCCAAAAGCTAAAAAAAAAATGCGTTTTTTAATGAAATTGAAAGACCCCTATAGGGACAACTTTTTCGTCCCCTATAGAGGCTGTTTCTCTCCCTACCCCTATAGGGACCACTAATCCCTTGAATTCTATCTGAACCTTGTAAGTTCAATAAACCTCAAAATTTTTCTGAATCTTTGAATTTTTTGATCTTCTCAATTGATTTTTGGTAATGGTAGAGAGAAATTTGAAAGGATTTTTGAAATTTTGCCAAAATTAATCATTTGGATAACATCTATGATAGTTGAAAATGCTGTTTCAGCGCGAATTTAAATTTTATCAGATTATTATTTTTTATGATTCGTAGTATGCATGAAATTTATAATTTTAACTCGCTCATCAAAAAAATTTCGATTAAGTTAGTTTACCGTTTCAGATTAAGGGATAGAGTTGAATAAATAATTCAATTAGATGTTTTGTTTTCGGTTAAAATTGTATAAGGTTAGATACTGTTACAGTACACTTTTTCGCTTCGAAAGTTCGAAAAAACTCTCATTTTGGTTTGAATAAATGGGTAAGACTCTTTGGAATATTGATTTTTAGGTCTTCAAAAAAATCAATGAATCTGAGTTTTTTTCGGACAGATTTTTATAAACTTTTATTTGAAAACTGATTATTTTTTTGGTCATTGGGACGAAAGAAAACGAAAAATTTCTCAACTTTCACTCGTTTTCCAGCGATTTTTGAGCAAAAAAATTGCTCGAAAATATAATTTTTTTCTAGTGTTTTTAAGGCTTATTGAATGTCATTAAACGATAAATATACTATTTGAAGACCATTTTTTTGGTCGTTTAAATTCAAAAAGCTCAAAAATTTGAACTAAACTTCATGGAATTAGATCATTTTGCGGATTCACGCTGATTTCTTGAAATGAATTTCTAATGTTGAGTATTGGTAGTGCTTGTAAACCGAGAAAAAAACAACAAAATTACTGTTCATTTTCTGAAAAAGATTGTGAATTTATCGTTTTGACACAAATTTGCGAGAAAAAAAGTTTAATTTAATTTTTTTGACTTCAAAATAAAGAAAATCATCTGATACTTCATATTTTTCACAAGAAAAATGCAAAAAAATCGATTTTCAAGAGGAAAATCGAGAATTTTTATTCGAAAAAGCTTTAATTTATCCATTTTTTAGGCCCTGACTCGATTCACAAAGGAAGATCCGACGTTCCGACGCGAATATAATCAAGAGGCCAAGGAAACGATCGTTTCTGGCATGGGTGAACTTCATTTGGTTGGTTTTATTGATTTGAAAATTTTTTAAGACGGTTTATGAAAAAATAAAATGAAAAATAAGGTACAGGGTACGTAGAAGGGGATGAAACCATTAGATTTTTGTAAAGTTTTAGGATTTTTCACAATTTTTTCTTTTTTAAAGTTCATTTTTTCTGCTTTTTTCAAGTTGTCTGTATTTCATTCGGCTAGTTTTGATGATTTTAAAATTTTATCAGAAGATTTATAAAAATATAAATTAAAAATTTGAGGTGTAGGGTACGTAAAAGGTGATGAAACCATTAGATTTTTTTGTAAAATTCACAGATTTTTTTCCGAAATTTTTTTCCTTTTTTTCTGCTTTTTTTCCTATCAAGTGAACTTTAAATGGCTATGACTAGAAACACTTTATGAAGATTTTTAGAACTCAAGAAAAAAATTAGTTATTGCATAGAATACACGGAAATTGAGGGAAAATTTGACGTTTCGTGACTGAAAATTCGAATTTTTTTAAAATTTTTTTAATCAATTTTTTTAGTACATTTTTTTGTAGGCTTTTTTTCCGATCCCGGTACATTTCTCCATCAATTTTTTTAGTTCAAATTTTGAAAATTGATTGCATAGAATACAGAAAAAAATTGATGACCTTTTTGAATTTCGCGGGTGAAATTTGGAACTTTTTAGACCTTTCAGTCGATTTTTTTAGTACATTTTTTTGATTCCGGAGCTTTTTTCTTCATTAATTTTTTTCTTATAGATTTAACAAAAAGAATTCAAAATTTGAGAAAAAAACTGGAGATTTTTTTCCAGGAAATCTACGCGCAGCGCATGAAAAAAACGAATATAATTGTCCGGTGGAATTGGGGAAACCTTCGGTCGCCTACCGGGAATGTCTCGCCAGCCCTTATAAGTTTGCAGTTTTTCAATATTTTTTTCAAAAAAATTACTAGAGAAAGAAATTTTTTGAAAGCGGAGAAAAACGTTGTCTTACTGAGTTCACTGTTTCAAGGCCAGGATTATTGGAACGTAATTTTTCGAAGTTTCGATTTTTTTGTGTTGGCAATAGACAAGAAAAAAATTAGAGAAAAAAATGGGACTTTATGAATTTATAAAAAAATAGGAAAAAAATCAGCTACTTTATTGAAAAAAATATGATTTTTTTACTGAGTTGCCAGAGCTTTTTAATTTGAAAAAAATTAAAATCGAAAAATTTTTTTCTGAAGAAATTGAGTATATTTTTGAGTTCCCCTTGCTGGAGAATTTATTTATTACCTTCATAATTTTGAAAAAATAAATCAGTAATAATGAAAGTTAAAATCAATTATCAAACTAAAATGTCTTTTTTATGCTCCGTTTTTTTTTCCATAAAAATCAATCAATAAATCGATTTTTTGCGTTCAATTCATAGATTTTATCGATTTTTAATCAGTAATCCCCCTCAGATTCCACTTCCGACACAAGAAACAAACTGGCGGCCAGGGACAATTCGGTGAAATCGAAGGAGTTATTGATCCGTTGCCCGCTGATCGGTTTCGAAAAATCGATAATCGATGAAAATATCGATTTTCAGAAACACGGCCGTCGAGTTCACTGATGAGACTTTTGGCAGTGGAATCCCCAAAAATTTGTTCCCGGCTTTGAAAAAAGTTGGTTGGAAATTGAGGGTATAAAGTTTTTGAGAAAATCAGGAAGTTTGAAACAGTAGAGTTGTTCAAAATTTAGCGCAATTTTTGAATCTCAAGCATTTTTTTAGCTAGCAAAATGGGAAAATATTGAATTTTTTTGTGAACTTTTTTTATTCAAAAAGATTTTTCAGAAATTTTTCAATACAGTTTTTTTGACATTGAAAAAAATGGATATTTTTTTATAAATTTAAACAGGAAAAAAATTGTACAAAAGTGAGTAGAAAAATTTTTATTTTTCAGAGAAAAAAAGTTTTTTTATGAAAGGGAGTTTTTTTAAAGTTTCAATTTTTTTGAAGTGGAACCCCGAAAAAAATTTGTTCCTTGAAATACGTTGATTAAAAAAAAGGATTTTTGGATGAAAAAAATGAATTTTTATTAAAACGATTTGAAAAATTTTTAGATAGTAATTAGATAGATGGCTCAAATTTTTGACTAATTTTTCAAGTCTAGCGAAAATTTTCAGCTTGAAAAATAGAGAATGTTAGCTTTTTGGACCTTAAAAATGTGTCTTGGAACTTTTGGGTTAGATATAACTTTTTCTTCTCAATCAGAATATGAATCGAAAAACATTTTCATTCTTTTCCCAAGGGTTTGAGACAGATCGGAAAGTTCAAAATCGATGATAAAAAGGCTCAGAAACGCTATAAAAGTTCCTAAAAAGGAAAACTTCTAGGTCCCCTCTAGGGACCACTTCAACTAACCCTACAGGGGACACTAAAGCTTGATAAAGTGGCCACTTTAGGGAAGCTTGCTAATGGTCCGTATACGTCTTCTAAACTTTCAGTTATTTAAAAAAAAATCGAAAGACCTCTTAAGGGACCACTTAAGCTTCAGGGGCTTATAGGTCAGACCCTAAAACCCTATAGGGACCATCTAAGCTTTCTCCTATTGGGATTGTTTTCTCACCTTACCCCTCTAGGGACCACTTTGCATCCCCCTTCAGGATGCAGTAAAGCTTTCAGAAGTGGCTACTCTAGGGGAGCAGGCTAGTGGCCAATACACGAACTTTTAACTGTCAAATCATAACGATAAATCGAAAGGCCACTATAGGGACCACTTTAGGAGCTTATGGGGAAGACTATAAAACCCTATAGGGACCACCTTGAGATTAACCCTCTAGAGAGCATTGATTCATCCATTAAAAAATTTTTTTTTCTCCTTACCTCTCTAGGGATCACTCTGATGTCTTTGAGTGTGAGACAGTACTTCTAGCGCTTTTTTTCGACCAGATTTCAGCCTTTACTCAAAGGGTCTGGACCAAATTCGAAATATAGCCTGTGTACCACGACTTGGAATTTCACCGAACGACATTCCGCTGTTCCACTGCGCGCCTTTGCGAACCTCGGTCGCGCTTTTTTTTTTCTTTTATTAGGTTCTCTACTTTCATGTGCTTGCTCCCACAGCAACAAAAATCATTTGAAAGCGTGACCTAGATTCGAAAAACGCTTCGCGAACGCACGCAGCGGAACAGCGGAATGTCGTTCGATGAAATTTCAATTCGTGGCAGACAGACCATAATATTAACAAAAATGTACCTCCAAATCGAAATCATGATACACCTTGTGAAACTGTTTGCACTAGTTCTAGCCCCTTTTTTCAAAAAAAGCTTTTTTTTTCAAGGGTCTGGACCAAATAATCACCGAAGGGCCGTTGATCAAGTCGAGAATCGCCGGCGTCCACGTCCGAATCCAAGACGGATCCACTCACGCCGTCGACTCGACGGAAATCGCCATGATCAACACCATGCAGAACATGATGCGCGAATGTATGCTTATTTATCATTGAAAATAGGGGCTTTTTAACGAATTTAGGCGTTTTGCTGCGTTTTTTAAACCGTTTTTAGGTTATATTAAGCTAGAAAATTGACAAAATATGTGTGGATTTGACGGTTTTTGCTTTACAAAAAAAAGAAGCTTATTTCTAGCTGAATCCTTGAAGAAAAAGCGGTTTTTTTGGTTCATTGTAGCCTTTTTCAAGTTATTTATAGTTTCATATTCTCAGAATATACGTAAATTCAACGATTTTTTTACTGTTAGAAAAAAATTAAAGCATTTTTCCAGCTGAAAATTGAAGAAAAAAAATTAATTTTTGCAACGAAATTTTTGGAGAAAAAAAGCGATTTTTCTAGGTTCAATTTGATAATTTTTCACGTTATTTATATACAAAAAAATTACTTGAATATGTAAAAAAATATTGCAATTAAAAAAATAGAAAAAGATCAGATTTTTCTAGCAAAAATATGCAGAAAAAGGCGTTTTTTTCTGGGTTCTTTTTCAGTCGTTTTTTTGAGCTATTTGAAATTGGAAAATCTCTAGGATATGTAATTTTGATGTTTCAGGAAAAATATAATTGATATCAGCGGAAGAATAAAACGTTTTTCAGACCCTCACGAAGAAAAAATCGAAAAAATGGATCAAAATGATCTCAAAAACTAAAAAAAAAAATGTTTCATTCAATCTTGATAGTACACTTTTTCGTGGCGAAACTATAAATCTGGATTTTTTTTTTCATTTCCAATGCGTTGAAAGAAAAATTGTTCATGAAAGGTTAGTAGTGATTTTTTCTTAATCTTTCACTTTTTTTTCCTCGGTTGAGTAGGATTTTTAACCCTTTTACACTGGTAAATTGACTTTTTGAGGCCCTTTCCAAAAATTTGCCGGGTATTTTAAGCTTCATCTCCGTACACAATATATTAGGTTCTCATTCTCACACGTCAAAAATAGAATTTATATCAAATTTTCCCAGGTGACGAAGTCTGTAGTGGTTAGTAAAGCATGGGAAAATTTTTCGGCAAAAATAGAAAATTATTTTGGTCTGATTCTCAGTTTTTCCCATGGACTTTTGAACTTTTTTGAGGTTTTTGGTAGAAGGGTTAGCTCTTTGTGGAATGAAAACTCAATTTCAAGCCTTTTTTTGAAGAAAGATTGAAACCGAATATTCAGTTTGAAAGGCATTTTTTTACAATAAATTATCTAAATTTTTTTATTTTTTTAATGATTTTTTTCGACTAAAACAACAAAATAAATGATTCGATTGAACACTTTTTAGATGAAATTGGCTTTTTTTCCAACTCGATTTTTTTCATTTTTTTCGAAAGTTTCGAAAGTTATTTTTGATTGAACAGGCGATTATAAGCTCGAAAAAGTCAAAAAAATGATAAATAATATTCAGAAAAAAAGGCTCTTAGTTTTAAAAAAAAGTCGACAATTCTGGCCTCCAAAAAAATTGATAAACTCTCAAATTTCGGCTGAAAAAGGAATGTAAGGAAAAAGCGAAAGTTGAGACTGGATTTTCCGGATTTTGAGCCCTTTTTTGATATTTGTCATTTTTTTAGCGTTCGAAAAAGTTAATCGGGTCGATTTAAAGTTGATTTGAAGCTTGAAAAGTCCAGAATAAAAATAAAATCACAATGATTATTGAGGAAAAAAGGCTTCAAAAGGTAATTAATCGATCTCAACCTCTAAAAAATCGATACAATCTCGAAGTTTGGCTGAAAAAGGTATAAGATGAAGTTGAAGTTGAGATTGGATTTTCCGGATTTTGAGCCCTTTTTTGATATTTGTCATCTTTTAGCGTCCGAAAAAGCGAATCGAGTCGATTTAAAGTTGATTTGAAGCTCGAAAGGTCCAGAGCAATATAAAATTCGTGATGAATATTTTAAAAAAAGCTTTCAAAAAAGTTAATTAATTAACCTCAGCCTCCAAAAAAACGATAAAATCTCTAAAATTTTGGCTGAAAATGGAATGTAAGAAAGGTGATTTGAATACTGAAAAAAATTGAAAATAATAGAAATTCTCAATGCAGATTGTGAAAAAAAGAGTTTCTTTTTTTCTGAAAAAAATGTTCAAATTCCAGCCTCAAAAAAAGTATAAAAAATTTTTTGGCTGATGATTGAAACTGATTTATTCAATTTTTAAGCCTAAAATTCTGAATTTTTTCATCTTTTAGCGTTCGAAAAAAAGCGAACTGGGTGCTCCTCGAGCCGATTATGAAGGTGGAGGTGACGACTCCCGCCGAGTTTCAGGTCTTTTTTTCGATTTATATTGATTTTTAATTGATTTTTGTGTAATTTAGGGCAACGTCGTGACATCTTTGACCCAACGAAACGCCTTAATTACCACTACGGACTCTACGGAAGGCTATGCGACCGTTATTTGTGAGGTTAATCGGCATTATTTGAAGAAATATGGGCAGGAAAAAAAGAATTTGAGATAATGATTTAATTTTTGTCGAGCTCTTCATTGCGTATGTTAGAAAAATGTACAAAATTCCTAGTTTTTAGAAAAATTCAAAAAGTTCCCGCTGTTTTTGCAGCAAAGTTGCTCCATGGACAAAAAAAGCGATTTTTTTCGCATTTTTTTCTTTTTAAAATACTCATATCTGTTATTTTTTTACATATACCGTTCGATTCACAGTAAAAAGCTCTACAAGGTATTTTTTACTGCTACTATCCCTTCAATCAAAATAAATGATAAATTTGAATTCAGGCCCCCCTTTCTGACATGTTCGGGTACACGTCGGAGTTGAGGTCTTTGACCGAAGGAAAAGGCGAATTTAGCATGGAATATTCGAGGTTTGTTTCAAGAGGACAAAAAACAGGGCCATTCTGGGAAAATTTTAGTGGCCACTATAGGGTTTTGACGTTTTAGTGGCCACTATAGTAGTCAAATTAGTGGCCACTTAAGGGGTTAAAATTAGGGGTCACTATAAAGGTCTAAGTTCTACTACTAGACCACTGAAAATTTTAGTGGCCACTTTAGGGGTCAATGGATCATCATAACTGGTCCAATCTGTTTGTTTCAAAATTAGCAGAGTTACTGGAAGGAATACTGGATGAAAAACTACTGAAGTGGCCACTAAAACGGAAATCAGTGGCCAATTTAGTGTCCTCTCCAAGTAGTCCTTGGCGAGCCTCTATAGTGGCCACTAAACATTTTTCCAGATGATTAATAGAACTAGTTAATCGAAGAAAATGACTGACCCTTAGAAAAAATGCCAATTTTTGCGAGTTTAATGAGATTTTCCCATTTTTAGCGACTTTCGACTTTTTCGATCTTTTCTTCCTGTTTCAGTCCAATTTTTCTTAAAATTTCTGTTGATCATCAAGAATCTTCTCAGTATACTTGAGCGAATTTGTACAAAATTCCAAGTCGCAAAGTAAAATGACCTCCTTGAGGGGTCTTCAGCGCGAATTTTAAAAAGCGCCTTATTCAGACCTTCAGAAATAGTTTCAAAAAATTGTAGAAAATTCAAAGTTGTAAATTAAAATGTCTTCCCGTGTTCAACTACCTTCCACATGAGTTAGAAGCAGATCTACGATAAATATTCATTTTTCTGAGTTCAGATACGCGCCAACGACGAAAGAAGCCCAGGATCGGGTGCAGGCCGAATGGAGAAGTCTTCACGGGATCGCCGACCCCAACGAGAAGGGCAAGAAGAAGAAAAAGTAGAAGAAAAATCAGATTTTTTTTTGTTTTTTAGGATAGTTTTTCCCTGTTTTTCTTGTTATCTCTTTGTTATCGTTTGATTATTTTTCGATCTTACTTTTGAAAAAAAAAAATGTTCCTTACGGATTTGTAAACGTCCTGATGAGCGATGGTCAGATGCCCGAAATGTTTCTGGAGTCCCGAGCCGACCCAAGTGAACGGCCGGTAGTCGTGGTGCTCCAGAAGTTGGGAGATCTTCAGAAAGGCCTGGAAAACGGTTTTTTGGGCCGGAATGAATTGAGACATGTTTTGGGCATGCTGGAAAAGTCGGTCGGTTTGGAAAACTAGGCCGCGCCGTAAATTTGCTCCATGGAAAATCGAATTCAGACTTTTTCCCTGTTTTCTATATTCATCCTCCCTTTTTATCAGTTTTCTAGGATATGGGATACATGCTCCTCACTTCAAACTAAACTGTTCCTCATTTATAATTGTTTTCCTAGGTAATGTTTCACCTGTTGTTGGAGATAATTTTGTTTCTTGCCTTTTTTTTGTGTGTATTTTACACATTATCTCATTTTCAGATCAATCAATCAAATCAAATCATTTATTTTGTTGTTTTAGTCTGATGTAATCGACTAGGCGGTGAACAAGAACTTTAAAAGCTATAACGAACAACCGCCTTTGGCGAACTAGAAGTCCAAACGTGTAGTCGAAAGAGTTGAAAGCATGGTCTTACAGTCCTTCGCCTCGTTCTTCTGCGCGTAGTCCATCCAGTTGCGCCTTGACGAGCTCAGAATGTAGCGGATGTTGTGCTGGAGCCCGGAGACCGTGCTCTAGGTGGAAGCCTCAGAATGAGAGCGACCACTTCGAGTGAAGATTTTACACGGAATGACGGAATACACGGATCACTTATGATTTTTGATTTCGCTCATTTGGTTTCATGAAGTTGTTTTGGATCCAAAAAAGTTAACAAGAACTTTCAAAAATTGAATCATTTTATAATTTTGAATGTAGTAACCATCGTATTTCACTCGCAAGAACGATACACTTAAATGAAAATAAGCGAAAACCTTTTTTTAGTAAAATTTAAAAAAAGGAAGAAAAAAATTCAGAGAAGAAAAAGTTCGAAATTCCAAGTGTTCCATGGAGCAAAATTGCGGCGTGGCCTAGTTTTCCAAACCGACCGACCGACTTTTCCAACATGCCCATGTTTTTGGTGCCCTTTACCGAGACCTATCAAAAAATTAGTTTTGTGTGGAGTTTTAATTTGGAGCAGAAACAGGGAACTTTGAAAAAATAACTGAATTTCGGGATTTTTGAAATTGAAAATCCACTAATCTATAAATTTCGAAAGCATGAAGAATTTCTGAAAAATCTTCAATACGTTTTTTTAGTTTTTTTACGATAATTCTGAAAGAGATTTAAAAAAAGGTCTAAAAATAATTTTTTTCTAATTTTTTTCAGGCTTTTTTTATGTCTTGAAATCGCTTTTTTTGCATAGTTAAAAAAACAAAAAAAATTTCGTGGAAAGGAAATAAAAAAATAGAAATACAGAAGACTCAATTTCTGGGTAAAAAAACGGGGAAGTTTGAAAAAAACCTTGAAGATATAATAAAAAAAATTTTTTTAATCAAAACCCTCCTAATTTTTGCTCAAGTTTCCCATTACTATTTTTCAAAAAAAACATGAGAAAATTCATAAAAAAACCTGAAAAAAATGCGCATTTTATAGAAGCCTCATTAGTTTAGAGTCGTTAAAAAGTTTTTTCACTTTTTTATTGATAAAAAAAAAAAAACCTTATCGAGAAGACTCAAAGTCTGTTCGGGAATCGAAGTATCCTTGAATTTATTCGTCGGATCGATGAACCATTCCCGACCCGCCGAAGCTCCGTAATAATAGTACCCGGGTGGGATCGTCGATACGTCCAAAACGCCTGAAAAATCATCAAAAATTGATTTTTTCTCAACTTTTTCGACAAAATTTGAAGAAAAATCGGGATTTTTTCAGCTTCTCGAGCGTTTGGAGAAAATTTTAGGGCTAAAAAAAAAAGCAATTTTTGTCCAAAAAATAAATCTTTAAGCTTCAAACTGGGAAAATTATGAATAATTACTGGATTCACCAAGACCTGGTCGCATTTGGAATGGATCGATCCGAAAATTCGAATTTGATTCCCCAAAAACTTGGTTTTTTGGGTTTTCGAAGTCCGAGAAAAAGTTTTCAGAAATGAAAAAGCTTCAAAAAAAAAAAAAAACTATCAGCTCCAAACTGGAAAAATCATGAAATTTCTGAATTCCCTTTTTACCAAAAAAATAAATATATAAGCTCGAAACTGGTATATTTTTCATTTTTTTAAAGGTTTTTTGGACTATTTCGCACTTATAGAATGGCTCGAAGCGTCGCGGCTGCTCTGAAATACCTTTTAGCTCAAGTCGTTTCAGGTCGGGTGAAGATACCTGGTCCATTTGAAGATTTTTCAGATACTATATGGTCAAATTTCATTACGAAAATGATCGAAACTTGACACTTCTATTTTTTTTTTTTTTTTTTGAAAGTAGTTTTTGGTCGGTCGCTTTATAAAACGCGTGGAGCCATTCCAAATGCGGCCATTGACTACAAAATCCAACGAAATCTTACCAATATGCATAAGCGGGGCCGTGGTGAGTATACAGCAAGTTTGGGCACATCTTCGGGCGAATTGAGCCTGAAAATTAGGAAAATACTTTTTTTGGAAAAAAGCTTGGGGGGTCCCAATAGGGACTTGGCCATTTCGCCCCCCTTCCGGAATTTGATAATAGCCCTTTAGGGGCCCCCTTTTAATTCAACCCCTAAAGTGGCCCCTTTAATTCGACCCCTATAGGGGCCTTCTTTTGATTCAACCCCTTTAAGGGCCCCTAAACCAAAAGCTATAAATTTTTCAGTTTTCTAACGACAACCTCACTAGAAGCAACATTTTTTTCCACCAAACTATTTATTAAACTCCTGAAACTGCGAGCTCAGCTAATTTTCGGATACCTGAATAACTCCGGAATAAGCCGGCTGAATGCTCGACGGATAACTGCACGAATAACTTTTCAAGGTTCCGTCGCGATCCGTGAAAAAGTAGTGGAAATGGTCGGCCTTGTAGAGCAGGTCCACCGCCTGGAAACAGGGGAAAAAAATTGAAAATTAAGACAAAAAAAGTATATAATTTTTTTCTTTATTTTTCCAGCCTAACAGGGAGGTCATTACAATTTGCGGTTGGGATTTTCCTGAAAATTGGCCAGAACACTTCTTGATGTACCAGAAGAATATTCTGAAAGTCTCAACCTGCACAACTTTCCAGTTTCCAAGAAACAAGGGTCTAAAGCCTCAAAAAAGCTCATTTTTATGGATTTTGACCGTTTTCTTTGAACTTGCAGCGTCTTTTCTGGAAAAGTAGAAAGTTTTGCAGGCGGAGACTTTCAGAATCTTCTTCTGGTACATCCAGAAATATTCTAGCCAATTTTCCAGAAAATCCCAACAACAAAGTAAATGACCTCCCTTGTGAGCTCTAAAAATACTTTTTTCAAATTTTTAGAAAAAAAAATGGTTGACCTTGTAGAGCAGGTCCACAGCCTAGAAAAAGAGAAGAATGGAAAAAAAATTTCAAATTTCATTCAATCTTTTTTTAAAACTCTTATAATGAAAAAAACAGCTTTTTAACGTTTTTTTGTTCAAAAAAACTTGAAAAAAATCCTTTCATTTTATTTTTCATTTTCAAAAAAAGAAGACTTTTTGTTCCAAATATGGTGAAGTAATGGGAAAAAAATCGGCCTTGTAATAACTAATTTTTTTGATTTTTTTAGGAAAGATCAGAAAAAAATATTTAATATTAGTGAAATTTGAAGACCACATGAAAATAAGAGAGCACCACACACTAGAAAAAAAGTGCGGTAGGGCGACTTTGACCTCTATTTTTTTCGGCATAAATTAACAATTTGGATATTTTTCTGTTTCGAAATTGCTCAAATGAGCCGAAACTTTTTCGTCATTTTTTTCTGCGATTTCAAAAACCAAATTTTTCTAGATGTAACTATGGAACCACGGTCTATCGAAAATTCGATAAAAAAACCAAATTTTTTTAAAAAAATGGATTATCTCATCTTACTGTTTCGGATACAGAGCAAAAAAATGAAAATTATTTCTTTAACCAATATTGTTTTTGGTTTTTATATACCTTAAATTTTTAATTATAAACAGAAAAAAACTCACATTTCCTAGATGTAACTATGGAACCACGGTCTATCAAAAAAATTCGAAAAAAAAAAAATTTTTAAAAAAATGGACTATCTCATCTCACTGTTTCGGATGCTGAGTAAAAATGACAAACTTTTTTTCAAAAACTAATAGTGTTTTTGGTTTGTTAACCTAAATTTCAATTATAAACAAATATAAACTCACATTTTCGACTTCTTTCTTGTAGTTTTCGACGGAAATCGGATGAGAATTGATGAGAGTCTGGAAAAAAATTCCATTTTCACCTTGAAAAAAATATTTTTTTCAGTATATTTATTTCGCTCATTTTATAAACTTTTTTTCTTCTTTCAATGGGGAAAAACTCGTCAGGAAAAAAAATAATTTATTAGTGACGCACGTAATCGAAATGCATATGGCGACAGGTGGCAAAAAAATAATTCTAGAAATTTCTAAGATGGGAAAAATGCCCGAAATCACCTGAAAAACTGGTTTTTTGGGTTGAAATTGAGAATTGAAGGCTTGAAAATTATTTGAACGGAAAAATGAGGAAAAAAAGATGGATTTATCACAAAAATACACTGAAAAATTGGAATTTCAAGCTCCAAGAGATGCTTCTAAACTTTTCTGCTATATAGAAGCTGTAAAAAAAAATGATTGAAACAGGAAAGTACGCGAAAAGCCGAAAAAATGAAATGACAAGGAAACCAATAAAAAAGTACAGAAAACGAAAAAGAAAGGCTATTTTTTGAGCTTAGACTATTAAAAAAAGAAAGGAAAAAAAATTCAAAAAAATTGAAAAAAACCAAATAAAGTTCGAAAAAAAGGTAATCAGAAGTTCTGGAGACCATATTTTTGAATAGATATTTTTTTAAAAAAAATTAGGGAAAAAAAATCAAAAAAAGGACTATTTTCAAAGGAAAAAAAGGTCAAATCTTCAAAAAAACGAATTTTTAAAACAAATTATGGATTTTTCGTAGCCAGAACCATCACAAAAAAACTGAAAACGCAAAAATATTTCTTGAAAAACGAAAAAAAGGCTATTTTTTTGATATTTTTTTAAAATGTTTAGAGCTCATTATAATGAAGAGAAGGGTGGATTTGAACGGAATATAGATAAATTTGAGCTCAAAAACAATAAAAATGATCGAAAATGGAGCAAAAACTGAATAAAACGCTATTTTTAGTTATAATTTCATGAAAAGAATGATTTTAAAGGAAAATTGAAGCATTTCGAACAATTTTAGGAATAAAAATCGACTTAAAAACAGAAAAAATAGTCGAAAATGGAGCAAAACGGAAAGAAAGTCAATTTTTGAGCTTTCAACCAAAAAAAGAATGGAAACAGGAACATTCCAATCAATTTTAGAGCTGAAAAACGTCAAAAAACCGAGAAAATGGTCAAAAATGGTGCAAAAACGGAAAGAAAAGCTATCTGTATGCTTTTGAAAAATACAAAATATGTTCTGGGAAAAGAATAGGTACATTCCAAACAATTTCAGGGACAAAAACGGGCAGAAGAGCTGTCCCTCGGGGAGCAAAAACGGAAAGAAAATCAATTTTTGAGCTTTCAACCAAGAAAAGAATGAAAATAGGGACATTTCGAACCAATTTAGGCCTTGAAAGCGATGAAAAAAAAGAAAAAAATCAAATAACTTTATTAAAAAGAATTATAGGGACAAAAACGGGCTATCCCTTGGGCTTGGTCTTGATGGTCTCGGCGACCCAGTTGATTCCCTCGGGGACGCCCTCGTTGGAGACGGCCGAGCAGGCCTGGATGTGCCAGTTGCGGTCGCGGATCTCGGTGAGTCGAAGTCGGGAGGAGATCTCGTCGGACCTGGCGGCGGTGCCGAGGTCCTGCTTGTTGGCGAACACGAGGACGGGCACACGTCGGAGCTTCTCCTCCTCGAGGAGCTCCATCAGCTCGACGCTGGTCTCGTCGAACCGTTTGCGGTCCGAGCTGTCGATGACGTAGATCAGGGCGTCGGTGTTCTCGAAGTAGTTGCTCCAGAAGGGCCGTATCGCCCGCTGCCCGCCAATGTCCCAGACGTTGAGACGGACGTCGCCGGCGGCCGCCACCGTCTTCACGTTGAATCCCTTGGTCGGCGTCACGTTGGAGATGTCTTCCGTCGAGAGTTGCTTCAGAATCGTCGTCTTGCCGGCGTTGTCCAGCCCCAGGAGCAGGATCCGAATCTCGCGGCCTTGCGACGACTTGAACGACTTGATAATCTCCAGAAGGCCCATTGCAACGGCGGGGAATTGCCTGGAGAAGTCGCGCGGGGTTTGGAAAAAAGAAGGCGGTTGCCAGGGACGACGGGGCGTCGATAACGCCTTGGCGGCCAGGCTGATTAGTCGGATTCTCGTTCCGTGAGAGTTCGAGGTCCACGGCAAAATTAATGATGATGGCTTTGAATTTATAATTTGTTTCTTAAGGGGGGGCGGGGGGAGATGTTTGAGGACACATAAGACCGTTTTGATCTTTGATTTCTGGGGGGGGAGGGACAAAAATTTTTTTCCTTATTTCGGGCCAAAAAAAGGAAAGTCACGTTGAAAAACAATTGGGTTAGATTCAAAAAAAATAGTTTTTTTCTTCTTCAAATTTTTTTAAACTGTAGATCCGAATCTATTTTTCGAAAAATTTACTCTTATATTGATTTTTCTGAAGCTCCCAGTTCAATGCTCAACTGTATAAATGAAGCGCTTGATAATTTAATATCTTATTTTTGAAATATTTTCGTGAAATACAGCATTTTTTTAAATTTTCAACGTGTTCCCTTAGCAGAAGCGATGAACAAATTAATGAAAAATTTCCACGATTTTTTTAACCCGAAAATGGCTCGATTTTTCCAGAATTTCAAGGTTACCAAACTCAAATCTTTGTTAAAATAATAGATTCCTCAATCAAAATAGCTTATCCTGAATGAAAAGACCAAGAAATCGGGTTTGGAATAAATGCAGACTTGGGAAACTTTTCTGAAGAATGGAAGACCGTTTTTGCGACAAAAGTTATTCTCGTGATAGTTGGAGGTCCACGGAAAAACTAATGGCTAACTAAAATCCAAGCTGACTTTTTCAGAGTGCAAATTCAACTGAAAATAATGTGACAAAATATTGGATCCGATAATAAATGAAAAAAATAATTGGAAATTAACTTCCTGTTTCAAAGAAAATCGAAAATCACTGACTTGATAAAAGTAGAATGATTAATAAAATAAAGAAAAAAAACAACAAGGAACGCCAGAGTGGTCCCTAGGGTGAGTAAAAGAAAAAAGCCCAAACAGTTTATGAAAAAGTGCCCCCCATAGGACTAGAATTTAGGTGGTACCTATAGGGGTTTAAGGACTGACCCCTAAGCCGCTAAAGGCTTGAGTGGTCCCTTTAGGGGTTTTTAGGTTTTTGATCGGATTTTTCCGCATGGAGATTCTTCGAAATTTTGATGAGCTAGCCTGTCCCTATAGGGGCCACTTTCGCAAGCTTCAGTGGCCATTAAAAGATAGGATAAAGGGGTCGTAAAGGGACTCTCTAAGGGCCCGACTCTCAGGTTGCCCCTAAAGGGAACCCTTTGGGAGGAGCATTTTCTTAAGATTTTTGAGGTAAAAAATAGTTTCTTTCAATGGAATTTTTTTCGAAAAATCAAAACTCTGGGAAAAAAAAAGTGGCCACTATAGGGTTTTGACGTTTTAGTGGCCACTACAGTAGTCAAATTAGTGGCCACTTAAGGGGTTAAGAATTAGTGGCCACTACAGAGGTGTAAGTGCTACTAAAAGACCACTAAAAATTTGAGTGGCCACTTTAGGGGTCAATGGATTAATATAACTGGTCCAATCTGTTTGTTTTATAGTTATCAGAGTTACTGGAAGGAATACTGGATGAAAAACTACTGAAGTGGCCACTAAAACGGAAAGTAGTGGCCACTTTAGTGTCCTCTCCAAGTAGTCCTTGGCGAGCCTCTATAGTGGCCACTTAAAATTCTCCCAGCTTGTTATTCTATCGAAATTTCCAAGGGACACTGGCCCGAATTAAGGACGAACAATTAACAGTCGAATTGACCTTCAGGGGGCAGTTCGCCGAAAACAAACGATAAAAAGGTGGGGAGAACCCGTCGAATGACGATCATTTCCATTCAATTTCTGTTCTTCTTCCTTCCCTTCTCTGTCAATATCACCTTTTTGTAGAAATCTCAGAAAAAATAAAGATAATGACTATGATGACATCTCTTTAGAAACCTTGAAACTACCTTCGTTATAAGGAATTTCATTTTTACAAAAAAAAAAATTTCGATAGAATAACAAAGAAATTCAACAAGCTGGAAGAATTTTAAGTGGCCACTATAGAGGCTCGCCAAGGACTACTTGGAGAGGACTCTAAAGTGGCCACTAAACCCACTCTATAGTGGCCACTATTTTCCGTTTTAGCGGCCACTATAGAGGTTCTCTATTTAGTGGCCACTTCAGTAGTTTTTTTTTCCAGTATTCCTTCCAGTAACTCTGATAATTTCAAAACAAACAGATTGGACCAGTTATGTTGATCCATTGACCCCTAAAGTGGCCACTAAAATTGTTAGTGGTCTAGTAGTAGCACTTCGACCTCTATAGTGGCCACTAACTTTCAACCCCTTAAGTGGCCACTAATTTGACTACTATAGTAACCACTGAAACGTCAAAACCCTATATTGGCCACCAAAAAAATTTTTTTCCAGAGTTTCTATTTTTTTCGAAAAAATGCCATTGAAAGAAATTATTGTTGACCTTAAAAATGTACGAAAAATTGCTCTTTCACTTCATTTTCCAAAAGGGGTCCCTCTAGGGGCCTTCCGTTTTTTCTGAGATTGTAAAGGCTCCTAAAATGGTAAGAAGAAGGAAAAGGCTGCAAAAATGGTGCATAATGGCCGAGAAAATGGCGCAAAAAAAGGCAGCATTATATTTTTTTCAATATCAAAATGATGATAAAACAATTCAAAGGAGCATTTCTATGGACCCTTTTTTTCAACCTTGTTCGACTTTGCCTACGTTTTTTTGAAATTTCAAGATTTCAAACCTATTTTTTTGTTGTATTGCCAACGTCGGACTGATTAAAAACTGTCTTAAAAATTATCAATTAATGACTTTTTTGAAACGTATAGTGAACTTGACTTTGAATTCGAGCCAACTAGGGGGCTTTTTTCGCCTTTAAAAATTTTTTGGCTTGTATTTCAGGGGCTTCTAATTTTTAAACAAGAAAAAATGCTGATAATGTGTTTTTGGCAAAGCTGAAAAACCTTCCCTTCAAGGAAAAACAAAATTCATCAAAAAAATCGTTCATTTTTTTCAGGTAATGGACCAACTAATCTCCATTTTTTTCTCGTTTTTCCTTCTCGTTTCCGTCAATTCAGAATCGAGTTCCCAAAGAAAGTTCTGAAGAAAAAGACGACGCCTGCCGATTTTTTTGTGGGTTTCCTTGAACTTTTAATATCTCGTTTTTTTAAAAGAATGAAATTTTTTTACAAAAATATTGATTAAAAGCTTTTCAAACTGTGCGAGAAGCATTGAATTCTCCTCTCGGCTTAATAAAAATGAGTTCTGAAACAGGAAAGTTATCTGGTTCCATTGGCGGAAAAACTAGAACCCAGAAACTTTTTTTAGTTTTTTTAGTTTTTTTAGCACCTTTTATGTTCTAAATTTATATTGGAACAAATAGAGATTTTTAAAAAAATGAACTGTTATAGTTTCCCAGTGTTGCTAGTCATTCCCTATAACTCTCTCAAAATTTCGCAGTTTATTTTCTTGTGGTTTGATTGGTTCAAAGGACTACATAATTGTTCTGTTCACGAAAGTCGAAATTTTTAACTCAGGTTTGGGTGGTATGAAAAAAACACCAGCAAAAATTCAAACGGCGACTTTTCCGATTTTTTCGTATCGCTAGGGAACTTTCCGACGGCCACCTTTTCGACGAAACTTTTTCCGACTTTTTTCCCTTATAGTTTTCAGTTTTTAAAACATCTATAAACATTTTTTTCCCCATTTTTTTGTGTTTTAATCATGAACCAACCACCTACTTTATATAGGGAAATTTAAAACGAAGATTTTATCGAGAAAAAAAGTCGGAAAAAAAGATTCGTCGGGAAGTTCCCTAGCGATATGAAAAAAATCGGAAAAAGTCGCCGTTTGAATTTTCGCTGGTCTTTTTTTCATACCACCATTTATTCACGATCAAAATTTCCCAGTTATTTCGAAATTCAAAAAGCCTTGTCTGAAACAGTAAACACGTGATCATTGATGTTTCAAAAAAATTCAAATTCAAGATATTTTTATTGAAAAATATTTCTACAGGACTACTCAAAAAAAAATATTTCGTATGAAATCTTTGATTTTTTTGAACTTTTTAAAAGGAGCATAGACAAAAATCTGGTATAGTTTTTCAAGACGAAGAACCGATTTACAGTGATTTTTTTAAAAGTCGTGCAACTTGATTTTTTGTTCAATCTCTCATTCGTTGGAGATGAAAAATAGTCATCTTTTAAAAAAATACTTTTTCAATTGACTGACTTTTTCTACAAAATAAAACACTGTCAGCAAAAAAATTGTAACATAAAAAAACCTTGTTTGAAAAGAAAAAAACCGTAAAAAAATTTGAAAAAAACTTCAAAAATCCGGCTTTTTTTCGACAGTTTCAAGCTGTTTTCTTTATATTTAAATTGTAAGGATCTGAGATTTCGAAAAAAAAAAACGAACTTTTGTAATATTCCTACAGTTTCTAGCAACAAGTAGTGAACAACAATTTGTGGAAATTTCGAAATATAAAATTTTCCTTTGAAACAGTGAACTCGGTTAAAAAAATACAACTATTTTACAAGTGGTCACTTAACAAAAATTTATAGAAAAGTAAAAGATAAAAAAAAGCCGAAGTCTTTTTGAATGAACGAGAAACTGCAAAGCTCAATGAGAAAAATAATCATTCGAAAGGTATATATACCGTTCATGAAACAGTAAGTTCATCTAAAAAGTGAAATTCCAGAGACAACGACTACTGTCACTTTTTCGGTGACTCCAGCTGCTACATTCGCCTTTGTCATTGCGAAAAGTGTCACGAAAATGAGAATCTAACATTTTCCGGGGAAATCTCAGCAAATTCGACGCAAAACTGTCCGGCCTGGTGTGGAAATAGCACGGCCGAGGGCATTTTCAACATTCAAAATGAGGGAAAGGTTGGGTTTTTTCGGGATTTTTCTAATTTCCGGGTTCTTTCTTTTAAAATACAAGCTTTTTTTATAGTTTTTCAATATTTCTTAATAGAAACATTTAGGTAGGTGGTAACGATATTAAGGTTCTCAGACATTTTTAAAATCGTTAAAAAGTCGGAAAACTACTAAAAATTCGAGCTAAAATCAATTTTTCAACCTTTTTCTTTGAATCTTGAAGGTTTTTTCTATTAAAATTTGAAAAATCCAAGGGAGAATTTTAAATTTTCCTATCCAATTCAAAAATATCTTTCAAAAAGCTCGAAAAATCCTTTTCTCAAATTTTTCTGTGAGTTCTTAGGAACGGCAGAGTGGTCCCTAGAGGGGCAACTTCATAGGTCTTTGAAGGTTCCCCTCTAGGGACCACTTTAGCTCCCCTATAGGGGTTACTAAAGATTGCAAAAGTGGCCTCCTTTCCGTGGGAAAAATTCGATAAATTGACATTTTTGAGGTAAAATTATCACCAAAAAATGACCTCTAAAGGGGCCACTTAAGCACTATCCGCTTATGGGTCAGCCATAGGGTCCACAAAAATGTAACCCCTATAGTGGGCCCTTTTTCGTCCCCTATATGGGGCCCCTAAGCCCTCCAGGGACCACTCTAGCGTTCCAAAAGTCTTCTTATACTACTTCCAGAAGAGCCAGGAACACTTTTTCATATCCAAAAAATGGGAAAAATTCAGAAAAGCCGTCCGCTGAAGATAATCTCGATGGAGTGCAACAGTTTGAAGAAAAACTGCCGTCGCCACAAGGGACTCAATGGATACTGCCATTTTTGGCGTAAAAACTGTGCCGACGACGATTCTCAGGACGAAGTCGTGAGGATTTTGAACGCCAAACGGGGAAAGGTGACCTTTTTTTTGGGTTCTAGGCAAGAAAAGGTGGGGGATTTGAGCTTGAAGAAAATTTTTTTTAGACTTGAAAACTTTCTAATCGATATAATATCACCATTCTGAAAAAAACTACTAAAGTGAACACTATAGAGGTTCCTTTTTAAGTGGTCACTTCAGTAGTTTTTCATCCAGTTTTCCTTCCAGTAACTCTGATAAATTCAAAGCAAACAGATTGGACCAGTTATGTTGATCCATTGATCCCTAAAGTGGCCACTAAAATTTTTTAGCGGTCTAGTAGTAGCACTTAGACCTTTATAAAGGCCACTAATTTTTAACCCCTTAAGTGGGCACTAATTGGACTACTATAGTGGCCACTGAAACGTCAAAAACCCTATAGGGGCCACTAAAAACTTTTCCCAATTACTTTTTTTAAAAAAACTGAGAAATTTAGTACTGCGGAAAAAGTTTGTTTTTGAGAAATAGGATACCCGTCAAAAAAAGTCGGGTGCAAAGTCCAAAATGCACTTTTTCGAACAGCTTGTAGAAAAAAACACTGCATCTATTGACAAAAAAAATTAAAATTTTCGTTTTTAAAAAATTGGGACAGCATAAGATAAAATAAGAAGCTTCCAAAGAGAAAGTGACCGCATTTGGAATGGCTTTCCGCTTAAAGGCCTGCAACCGACATGGAACGACTTATCGAAAATAATCAGCTAAGAAAAACCGCATCGCGACCGCGACGCTTTGAGCCATTCCTAATGCGTTCCATTTGGAGGATTTCACAATGAATCTGAACAGAGAACCTCCTCAAAAATTCCCATAAATTCTCTATTCGAAATAGTAAAGTCATCTTGTTTCCAGAAACACTTCCGGAAAGTCAAAAAGTGCAAGAAGATGCAGTCCAAATGCGCAGAGAAGTGGCCCAAGCACTACGCGTGCCGATTTTTCAAGAAAAACTGCAAGAGCTTGGGACTCGAAGGTCCGAGCAACTCGACCGACGTCTTCACCGGCAATTTCACTCTTTTCTAGCCTATTTTGATGGATTAATAATGGATAAAAGCTTGAAAGTTATGAGGGGAAAATGGCAAAAATGGCAGAAATGGCAGAAAGGACAGGATTCGAACCCTGGTACCAAAAATGAGAGACAGGAAATGACGCGCTGCGCCAAGAATCAAAAAGTTTCGAACAGCGACTTTTGGAATGATGAATAGGTCTTTGAGGATCAAAAAAAGCAGAATAAAGCATTTTTTCGAAAAATGGACATTTAAAATGAATAAAATCGATTCTTTCTTTTTTTTTTATTATTTTCTAATCAAGTTTGCCACCAGTAGAAGCTAAAAATGATGATGCAAAAAAATGGCAGTAAAAAAACGAGAACTGGAATCGAACCCTGGTCTCAAAAACGGCAGACCAAAAGTTTCGCGCTGCGCCAAGAATCAAAGTCGTGAATAAGGACGATTTTAAGATGAAAATGAGTCAAACTAACGAATTTTGATACCAAAAATGAAAGAAAAAACGAATAAAGGTATAAATCTGAAAAAGAAAGGAAAAACTAACGTCGACAAACTGCTCGACGTTGTCGGCGTCCTCACTTTGCACGTAGCTGATGAATGACAAGTCCTAAAATTTCAAAAAAATTGAAAAAAATCACTCAAAATAGGTTTTTTTGAATCTCAGTATCATCATTTTTTTGAAACAAAAAAACAAGATACATTTTTCCTATTTCTTTGAGAGCTCAAAGTTCATATATTCAAATGAAAAATTCGATTATTTCAGAAAATGTTTAGTGGTCACTATAGGGCTCGCCAAGGACTACTTGGAGAGGACACTTAAGTGGCCGCTAAACCCGCCTCTATAGTGGTCACTATTTTCCGTTTTAGTGGCCACTTCAGTACTTTTTCATCCAGTATTCCTTCCAGTACCTCTGATAATTTCAAAACAAGCAAATTGGACCAGTTATGTTGATTCATTGAACCCTAATGTGGCCACTTAATGGTCTAGTAGTAGCATTTAGACCTCTATAGTGGCCACTTATTTTCAACCCCTTAAGAGGCCACTAATTTGACTACGATAGTGGTCACTAAAACGCCAAAACCCTATAATGGCCACTAAAAATTTTCCCAGTAGATACTCCTGTTTTTTTAGAGTTCAGACCATTAAAAACGGAAAAAAAAGGCTTATTAGGTCTCTTTTTTGAAAGATTTTTCTGAGAAATTCTGGTCTTGAAGCTTCGATTTTTTTCAAAGGCCTGATGCTAACTCTATGGGAAAAATATTTTTCATTTTATCCGAATATTTTCCCAACGAACCCTCTCGAACTCCTCCAGCTCGTCGTCGATCTCAAACTGAGCATCGTCCGGACTGTCGTGACTCGCCTTGAGGACCAAAGTGTGGGTGTCAGGTCGGCACATGTTTTCCAGTGACTCCTTAGAATTGAAATTTGAGTTACAAAAAAATAAAGGTTCTTAGAACTGTTAATGCTTGAAAAAAATGGAGGCTTTGGTAAATTTTTGTGAGTCCGAAGCCTCTAAAAACTTAAGTGGCCTTAAGTAGGGTTCTTAAGTAGGGTTCTTCAACTTAAGTGGGGTTCTTCAATATTTTATTGTTCAGGTTTGAAAAATAAAGTTAAAATATTCAATGGAAAACCCTCTGTTGAGATTTATTTCATTAAAAAAACGAGTAGTATTGTAGGAGCCCATAGCTCATTGCAGCTATTTCCGCTCCATTGAAACACTGGACAAAGTCCTCCAGACGGCCCAAAGGCTTTTTAAGATAACATTCCGATGCGCACCGATAACATCAGCTCTTACCGTCGCGACGATCAGCCGATCGCGACGCTAAGAGCCGCGGAGGCGTCGACCCCGACGCCCTCCAAGATCACACAATCCCTCACCCGAGCCCACGCTCTATTGAAAGCCAATTATAACTTTCAAGCTTTCAGGGCCGCCGTGGACAACTATAAAAAGCCCGCCACGACGACGGCAGGACAAGACCGGGGACCGGCAACGGACCCGCAGCCACTCGACACCGCCATCCCATTTTTTTGATTTAATATTTTTATTTTTATGATTTAATTCGCCATTTTATTTAATGAATCTTTTTCAATCCATGAATGAGCGATGCGGCAATGAAACCACGGCAAAGAGATCGGGGGCCACACAAGCCCCGATCTCTCACTGTATGGTTCCCTAGAGTAACCACTTTTGCAAGCAGCCTGACTCCCTTAGCCCTGTAAAGCTTAAGTGGACCCCCTAGGGTTCTGGAAAATCAGGAAAACCTATTTTTTTTCATTTAAAAAGCGCTAAATTATTGATAAGCCTCTTCTCATAAATTCATAGCAATAAACAAGAAGCCTGTCCCCTATAGGGACCACTTTTGCAAGCCTTAGTAATTTGAACCTTCAGGAGGAGGCAAAGTGGTCCCTATAGTGGAATAATTAAGAACCCCTAGAATTGGCACTCTAGGGACCACTCTGGCGCTCCCAAGTGGGAATTCCAAACCTTGGCATTCCTCAAACTGATGGCAAAGTGCGCTCTGATGGGAATTCCTTTCAGAACTCGGCCGACGATTTGCCGTCGAACATTTCGAGTTTTCATCATCAGCGAGAAGAAATCTTCAAGGGTTTCCACCTGAAAAACTAGAGATTTTTCGAAAAAATTCCTTTTTTCTGAGCAGAGACCAATTTTTAATCATAAAAGCATTAGTAACTGTGAAAAAATGACTATGTAGAAGATAAAAAACTGCTTTTTCTTCAAAATTATGCTACCAGGAACTGTAGTGCTCAAAAAGCTCGGAAAAATGAAATAAAAAAATAAAAGTTTTGAAGTTATGATAACTAAAAATTGTGAAAATACGAATATTAGGAAAATAGGAAAGAGAAAATAAAATACAATCAAGCTAAAAAAAATCAGAAAAATAACAAAAACAGCACGAAAAATGCGAGAAGCAGAAATAATTTCGAGAAAAAAAAAACTATAGTGGTCACTTAAAAAAATAGACCTCTTAAGTGGCCACTAAGATGAAAAATAGTGGCCACTTTAGTGTACTATCCAAGTAGTCCTTGGGAAACCTCTTAAGTGACCACTGAGAAGAAAACCCCTACAGTGGCCACTAAAACGAAAAGTTGGGACAACTTTAGTGCCCTTCCGAACAGTCTTGAGAAACCTCTATAGTGGCCACTAACACGGCAAATAGTGGCCACTAAAGGGGTGGTTTCAGTGGTCACTTCAGTGTCCTCTCCGGAAAATCCCTGTGGAACCTCTTGAGTGACCACTGAACATTTCTCCAATACCCCATACTTCCACTGAAAAACTTTTTTTTCAAATGTTGATTAAAATCAAATTTAGAATCTGTAAAGTACTGGAAACTCACCTTGGTCGGTCGAATGACTTCATGGGTCCAACTTGGGTCCAAAAACGCGCTGCTCCACCTTAAATCCAATATTTTTCATGATTTTTCACAAAATTTGAACCTACCGCTCGATATCATTGGCGACGATGAATTCGTGAAGCCGTTTTCCGTGAATTTTCCGTTGATCTTCTGATTCCAAGGCAGCCGCGTGGAAGGCGTCCGCGTAGGACTGAAGTGTTTGATTTAAAAAAAATTTTTTCGCTTTAGAAAAAATTAAAAATCTTCTTGAAACGTTGCTGGAAGCAAATTTATATGAAAAATGGTCCAAGAAGCTCAAAATTTGGAGAATCTGCGCTCCATGGCTAATTCTACTTTTCAAGCCTTTTTTTCTGAATAAAATCTTATTTTTTTCCTTTTAAAGTAGATTTATTGAAGCTTCAGCTTCAAGTTTCATCTACAGAAACCTCTAAAAAAAGGCTAGGAGAATTAAAAAAAACCCCTTAAAGTTATTCATCTGTTCATCTCCAACCTCGACATCGAACACGTCGGAAATCCTGTGATAATTCTTGTCGCCGTCCTCCTTGTAAAGACCGGCGGTGGTGAACTGAATCTCCGAGCCGGCCCCAGTGGACAGAATGAGACCCGCCCGCGGGTTGCAGACCAGCATCTCCTTGGCCACCTGACAACCTCATTTTGCTGTTTCGAGTAGAAAATAAAGAAATTAGAACATCTGATTGAAACAGTTTGAAGATCATTTTTACAACATAGGCAAAGTCGGAAGGACCCTCCGAGGGTCCATAAAGGCTGCTGAAAGGTTCAAAAAATGTTCCTTTTAGGGTGACGAAAGCTCCTTTTTTGCTGCCTTTTTGCGCCATTTTCTCGGCAGGTATGCACCATTTTTGCCGCCTCTTCCTTTCCTACCATTTCTTGAGCCTTTAAAATTCTAGAAAAATGGAAAGCTCGAGAAAGGGACTTTTTTTGGTGCCTTTCTGCGGCCTTTTTGCTTTCTTTTTGCTGCCTTTTCGGGACCTTTTTGCGAGCTTTCTGGGACTTTTCTGCATCCTTTTTTGAGCCTTTCTTTTTTAGCCACCATTATTCACCATTTCGACTTTGCCCGAGTGAGAGAAACGAATTGATGGAAAAAAACCGAAACAATAAAAGGAACAACAAAAAGAAACCATTATCAGTAAGAATACCCTTTTGAAAAAGGTCTGTGAATTTTTGGTCGCACGGAGAATGGCTCAAAGTGGAATCAGTTCATTTCAAACTTGCGCCCGACCAAGAAGCGACTTGCGCGCAAGGCTTTCGAAAAGGGTCAAAGCAGGCTGCCAAATACAAAATAGTATATCGAAAACCGCACCGCAACAGCGACGCATCGCGCCATTCCACGAAATATCTCAAAAAAATTAGAAAATCAAAATTTCGGCAGAATTACTTTCAATGAAACTCGGAAAAAAGTGCTCGTTTTTTACCAATTTTCCCTTTTTTTCAAACGCTCAAATTCGATTTGAGGAACAGGAAAAAGCTTTCTTTGAGGGACTTAAAAATCGTATTGAAAAAGTAAAGTTATTTAGCTTTCTTTTAATGAAAAAAGGCAACTTTTCCACAAAAAGAACCAAGGAAAATATACATAATATTAGCCAAAGTGGTCCTTGAAGTGTTTTTTCAGAAGTTTTGATGCTTTTAGAAAAAAAAATACTTTTTTGAGTGTCTTTGAACCAAAAAAAATCTCTTCAGGTCTCGAGTGGAAAATTTGCAAGAGCAGTTAGGATTACGGTAGCTTTCCAATTTTCTGTTTTCACTCCCAAACTCACCAAGTTCATTCCATCCTTCTTCGGCGTCACGATACCGATATCCATGGCCAGGTACGCGGCCACCAACTCGGACCTTGGCAGACCTAAATCCTACCGTAATCCTGGGAAAAATCAGAGTATTTCACCATCAGTTTGGAAGACCAATGGACGCCACGAAGGATTTTTCGTGTCGCGGAATTCTTCGTTGATTTTTTCGGCGATTTCGATACATTCGTCCTGGTAGACCCGGTAAGTGTCGACTGAACGGCGATTCGTCACGGCCACCTTGAAAATTTCGGAAAATCAAAAATTTCGAAAGGTTTTTGAAGGAAGAAGAACATAAGGGTGCTGATAAAAGAAAAAATTCTTCATCACAGAAAAAAATTGACATTTATGTTAGAAAAAAACCACTGAAAAAAATGAAAGATCAAAAAAATTTGAACGGGACTTCGATAAAGAAGATCATAAAACCTTTTTATTTATTTCAGGTTTAAATGCCAATTTTTTTCCTTCTTTTTTTGTACATGTTATTTTTGTTCTGCCTGTAAATAAATAATATTATTAAAAACCTATTTACTGAAAAAAACTTCGAGGAAAAAAATGTTTTGATCGCAAAAACCTGTTTCTGGAAACTCTAAAAAAACGAAGCGAAAAAAATTTTTGCGAAGAGTTAATAGGAAAAAAAATGTATGAAACAACAGAAAATTGATATTATTCACAGAGGAAAGTAAGTATCTTTGAAATTAAAAAAAAAAAAAAATTATTTCAAAAAAACCAAAAAAATAAAGGAGGCGTGGTCAAAACCTCCGCCGTTCCCTCATGGGAAAAAAGCGTAAAAAACAGAAAATATTAAAGGTGCATGTTCAATGGGTCACGAGACGAATCTATCTCTCATTTCAAAAAAACGAGATTTTTTTTTTAAACACATGAAAGGAATTCCGCGAAAAAACAAAATAGCGATCAGAGAGTAGAAAAATAACTGAATTTCAAAAATTCAGACGAGATTTCGAATTTCGCGAAAATTATTTTGGACGTGGCATGTGCGAGAGCGTCGCAGTGTATGCACACGACACACTACACTTTACGGAAAAAAATATAGGTGGGCCAAAAAAACGCCGTTGCTTATGTGGACGAAAAAAACACTAAGATATAGATATTTTTGATAAAAAAAGGAATTAATAAAGTTAGGAAAATGAAGAAAAAAATCTAACATTCAAGTCATAAACAGCTGAAATAGACAAAAAAATAAATGAAAACTTGAAAAAAATTTTTTTAACAGAGAAATCAGGATATTTGTAAAGAAATGATGACAAATGAGAAAAAAACTTTCCTTGCGTTATTTTTAATCGTTTTTCGAAGAAATCGGTATTTTCAAAACCAGAATTAAATATTCTATTTTTTTTTATCTGATCTTTCTTCAACCCACCTGATACAACACATCCTTGCCGATTCGTTCCGGGAATTTCTCGAAATATCTTCTGTAGGCCACCAGCTTCTCCTTGATCCCTTTGGTGTAATCGAATCTCTCGACGGAGAAGAAAAATCGGGCGTCTTCCGCCGGATTTTCGCCCAAAACCTGGAAAATTTCAGAGTTTTGGGGTAGAAATGGGTCGCAGTGGGAATGGCTCAAGGCGTTGCGGTCGCGTTTTCTCGGAAGCTCGAAGCTTTGGAGAAACAATTTGACGAGTCAGTGACTCAAAGTTTCGTTGGCAAAAGCGAAAACCGTTTCAAGGTCGGGCGCACTCCAAAAGCGGCCAGAAAACTTGGAAAAACTCATATTTTCATGGTAATAAAGCCGATTTTTTCCATAGACTGCTTAAAAACTCCAAAGTGGTGTTTATAGGGGCAACCTTAAGAGCTTTAAAAAGTTTCCAGGACAACTTTACCACCCCTATAGGGGCCACTAAATCTTGCAAAAGTGGCCCCTCCAGGGGCATCTTAGTCGATTATCATTGAAAGCTCGAGGAGAAGGAATCTTTAGGCTTACCCTAAACCACTATAGGGACCACTTTTTGTAGCGAGGCTGTTTTTCGCCCTAACCCCTCTAGCGGCCACTTTGCGCTCAATCATACTTTCAGTGGATTAATAAATGAATCAGAAAATGTCTTCCTCTTTAAACCCTCCTTGAAACGGCAAAAATATTTAAAGAAATCGTTTTTTTTCCATTCCAAACCAACCTTTCTCCTCAGCTCGTTCTTCAATTTGATCGTTTCAGGCAGATTGACAAACTTCAAAAAATCGTCATTTTTGATGCTCACTGGGAAAACTCCCAAAGAGCAAGTCCAGCCTTCGTGGGTCACTGAAAAGCTCGAAAATTGACATTTTTCAAGGATTTGCTCGAAAAACCTGAGCAAATATCAGAATTAGAATCGTAGTTGATGACGGATCCGCGAAGATATTCTTTGACCAAATCCAGGAATTTCGTCCGATCCCGATGGGTTTGAAATCCGACCTCAAAATCAATAATTATCATAATTTTCTTCAAAAATCAACCTTTGTGAATCTGAGCAACCCCCTGAGCATTGGAAATCCGACGGATCCATATTTGGTGAAAAAATCATCGGGTGGCTGGAATGGAATGTGCAGAAAGAAGCCGACCTGAAAATCATTGAAATTCGGTTTTTTTTTTTCGATTTTTAGTGAAAACCTCAAGTTGAGGGTCCAAAGATTGCATTATCATTCCCGTGAGCATCAGGTGGTAGTCGTGGATCCATATGAAGTCCTTCAAAAGTTTGAAATAAAGACAAAAAATAAAAAAAACTGCGCGTAAGCAAATTGTGACGATTAAAAAACCTTTGAGAAACCTTTGAAAAACCAAAATTATCAAACTACATTTTTTCAATTTTCAACTCTTTGCAACTTGAAATGGAACAAAAATAATCGAAAAATCTTTAACTTAGGTGAAATTATCCAATGATTATCACGAATACACATGAAACCCTATGAAAAGTGCAAAAAAAAATTTGTTCGTAAATAATTTGCGCGTAGCTAAAAATGCAAAGGCCGTGATCGTGTTGCGGACGAAGAACTCTAACAAAAGTTGCGGTGCACCCCGCGTCCAACTCTCGTTTCACCCCGCAGTGTAACCAGGGGTGCACCCCGTTTAGCTTTAAATGCCCATTAAGGTACTTTTTCCGTACACGATTTCGAAGTGGTTTGTTTCCCATTATCACCATTTTCTACCGTTTCATCCTAGGTCGTTTCGGTAGCTCAAAAAGAACTTTTCATTTCTGACCGGTTGCCCCAGGAGTTCACCCCATTCAGGTCCAACGCGGGGTTCAGCGCAAACATCAACGAAAAGCTCACTTTTTTCGGGGTTCACTGCGGGGTACACCCCCCTTTTTGTTAGAGAATTTTAAATAATGAGAAACTGGTTTTATTATTTTTTTTTCGATCTGAAAGTTTTATTTTGAACAATCCAATCATTTTTCTTGTTCGAAATTGGTCGAAGAAGCTACTGCAGAATTCAAAGCAACCATTTTCAAAATTCGAAGCAATATTATCGTTTTATTTTTGTGAAAATGTATTTTTTCAGTGCATCACTTCAAAGTTCACCTGTGGACGACTATTTCGTACAGCATCCAAAGCGAATTGATAATTGACCCGAACGTAGGCGCACCAGTGATTTCGGAGCACCTAAAGGCCGTTTTTTATTGAATTTAAAATATTTGAAGTTTACATTCATATCATCGTACTCGCTGACAATGTATTCAGGCAAATTGTGGAGAGCCGGCCAAAGTAGTCCTTAATTTTGATTTTTGAATAGTTTTTCATAATAATTCAAAATTACCATTACTAATACCGCCATAATAAACGTTATAATCTTCTTCCTGAACGATAACCGGATTGAGTTTGTAGTTTCCGCGGTTGTAGTTGTTCAACACGCCCAGGAGAGACATTTCTTCTCTGGAATATATATTTTTGAGGGCGGTTTATTAATTTTCGTTCTAGAAATAGTCTTGAAACATTTCAAGATTTATATTTCAAACAGTTGCGGGAATTGTATTCTCGACATTTTTCTTTCAAATAAAAGAAGTGAAACGGGAAAGTGACCTCGCTTTGCGCTGCTCGGCGTTGGCCGCCTTGTCTGGCTGATCATCGTCGGCCAGGACGTGGAAAAAGACCTCAGCAATCGCCTGCTTTATCAGAGGCAGTCCCAAGGTGTTGGTGGCCGGGGAGAAAGTTGTAGTTTCCTTGCAAGTCGAGGTGTTCGATCTGAAGTTGCAGAATTTCAAGAAAATCGTGGGGAAACGAGAAAAAAAAGTTCAAAAAGCCATGAAAATTATTGGAAAATTTGTAAAATCAGGTTGAAAACGAGATTTCTATTATAAAGAAAGTAAGACTCTTTTAGAATACACAGAATAAAGCGAGATTTTTTAAAGCCAATTTTTAAACTTCAAAATATTTTTAAGCAGCATTTTTGAGCCATTTTTACGGTTTCCTACTGTTCCAAGGTTGTGTAGAAATGCAAAAAGGACTCTTTTTCCAAATTTCATTCAGTAGAAATCAGAAAAAGACAAACTTCCGTCGTTTGTCGCTGATGTTCATTCCCAAGTTGGCCAGCCACATATTTTCGTGGTCCTTGGACATTACCGGGTCCACACAGGCCACGAGACCTCCGGACCTGGAAAATTAGAGTTTATTATTCATTTCGAGAACCTTAAAAGGAGATCATTTCGGTGGAAATTCGAGAAATTTCTATAAATTTTCTTAAAACCTCTGAAAATTCCAGGATTTCAAATTTCACTAGGAAAAAAAATGCCAAACTTAAAAAAAAAAAATAAAATTGACGAATAAGCTTTAAATCCTATCTCTTAGTCGATAGCGCTGGAAATTTGATTTTGAAGAGTTTTCAAAAGTTGAAAAAAAAATATAGCTCCCAGGCCTGATTTTTATCAAACGCGAACTTTTACGAGCCCTTTAGTGGCCGCTTTAGAGGCTTCAGATCTCTAGAGTGGCCCCTAGAAATGCTAAGACGCTTCAGGGGTCTTCGTTGTCGATACTCGAAGATTTTTCCAAAAATAAAATTTTTGGAAAGAGACTTTGAGAAGCCTTCAGAGATCATTAGAGCGAAATCGCAGAAATTTTTAAAGTTTAGATTAAAAATAACCTTATTTTTAGATTTTTCATGGACCCTAAGCCTTATTTTGAACCAAACGAAAATCTTCAAAATTAATCTTTCCAAAAATCAAAGTTTCTAAAGTGATCCTGAAGAATTCTATAATACAATATCCTTTTTTTTGTTTTATTAAAGGCCGGAGAAACAGTAAAATGAGTTACCCTTGAGTGATTTCCCAATCTCCAGTCTTTTTCCCGTTTCAGAGAGACGGGCGGTGCGTTCGAGACGTTGATCACTCTTTGCTGAAAATTTACGATTTATAGAGATTGTTTTTTCCAAAAGCCGTAGAAATCTCATTTTTTTTGGAGTTTTTGCTTTTTGGAAGGTACACTGAAATCTATCAAAAATATGAAGTTTACGAATTTTTTGATATGTTCGTTTTTTCGAAGTTTTTCAACAGTCCAACTGTGGAAAAATTCTCACTGACAGAATTTTTGAATTTCCATAAAATTTGACCATTTTTTCGCTTTAAAACCCAATAAAATCACTGGAAATTCGAAAATTCTGTTTGGAGCGCACATGCACCTTTTTATCTTTTTTTTAAAGTTCATATTTTTCTTGAAGTTCTACAGATCCTTGTTTGAAGTTAAAAGTTCAATTTTCCACATTTTTTCAGAATCCTATTCAAAACCAACATGAAAATGGGTGTTAGCCAGGCCGCCACAAGAAATCTTGGAATGATCCTCGTCGTCGCTGCTCTCCACGGCGACCATGCTCTCTCGTCGGAAGGCTGAAAAAATTCATTCATCACTACCTTGAGATGAAAGTACTGCGGAGATGTCTAAATCTCTTATTTTTTGACACTCTTTCGCTAGTCGTGTTGAGACCCTTTTAGAATATTTTGTAAGGCCACTAAAGAGCGGAAATCCACTAGAGTGACCGCTTAAGGCGATTTAGGGATCACTAAAGAGCCAAAAAATTCACTAGAATGATCTCCTCTAGAGATCACTAAGGATTCAAAATTTCACTATAGTGACCCCATAAAGCCCCCTAGGGGTCACTTAAAGAGCCAAAAATGCCACCAATCACTGACAAGCCGGAAAAGTTCGCTTTAGTGACCGCTTAAGGCCATCCAGAAATCAAAATTCAAAAAAACCACTAGAGTGACCGCTTAGAATTGTTGAAGATCACTAAAAAACTGAAAAAATTCTACAGCTACCGCTGGCCCTCTAGGGACCACTGTAGAGCCAAATGATCCACTAGAGTGACCACTTAGGGCTCTTTAGTGATCACTTAAAGAGCCAAAAATGTCCCCCGCTATAGTGACCCCTTGAGGCCTTCTAAGGATCACTTAAGAGCCAAAAACCCCTAGAGTGACCTCTTATTGCCCTCCAGGGATGAGTAAAAAGCCAAAAATCCACCAAAGTGATCACGAGCCCTCTAGGGATCGCTAAGGAGCCGAAAATCCACCATAATGACCATCTAAGGCCATTTAGGGATCACTAAAGAGTCGAAAATCCTGTAAACAGATCGCTGGGCCTCTAGGGATCACTGTAGATCCAAAAAATCCACTAGAATGACCACTTAAGGCTCTATAATGCTCCCTCAAAGTCAAAAAGTCCACTATAGTGGCCCCTTAAGGCCCTCTAGGGATCACTTCAAAAGGAACAGTGACTCTTTTTCTTCTCTTATTCGATTTTCATTGGAATAAAAGCCTTTTTCAATTATTTTAACGAATTTTCCTCTAAACTGACCATCGCCGCCCTCGCTGTCGAGGCTGGAGATGCTCGACGCGGATCCGTGGCGTTGGAGTTTCCGCTGTAGATGATGGAATCTCTCGCCGAACTGCTTGGCGTGGACGCCGAGAAGTGATTTCCGGATCCCGGGAACTGCTGCGTAGAGCTCTCTGGAAAATTTAAAAAAATTCAAAACTTTCATGAAAAATTAATCAATAAAATTTTTTGCTAAAAAATGAAAAAAGAAATATTTTTGAATGGAAAAGGGTCGAAAATCGTTCAAGTCTCTGAAAAATGAGATTTTGAGTGATAAGCCCGATAAAAAACTGCATTTTGATAAATAAAATCATTTCTCCTTGGAGCGCACTTTCTGCTAAAAAAATGGGAGAAGTTCTATTTTCAAATTTTGAAATTTTCTCAATTTTTCAGGTACCTTGGAGCTGCGTCTCGGAAAAAATATGTCAGAAGACCAAATTGCTGTTTCAATCGATCATTATATTGATTTAAACGTGACATGATCGATAAGTATTTTAAAAACAAACTTCTCTAAAGATCTTTCATCTACAGTAACCTACCGTAGGTCATTCTATGGAAAATAACTTTTTAAAAAAAGTAAAAAGACCAAATTGATTTTTTTCAATCAATCGATATAGTGATCTAAAACGTTACGTGATCGATAAGACAAGGTCTTCAAAAGATCTGAATGAGATTTCGAGTGAAAAGCCCGATAAAAACTGCATTTTATTAAATAAAATCGTTTCTCTTTGGAGCGCACTTTCTGCTAAAAATGGCGCAATTTCGATTTTTTTTTTCGGACTCTGAAACTTTTTTAATCTTTCAGAAGCCTTGGATCACTTTGAAAACGGCTAGAAGACTAGATTGATGTTTCGATCGATCTCAAATTCAAACAAAAAGTGCAGATTTTCTTCCTGTACAGTAACCTACAGTAGGCGTATCCTATTTTTCAAAATCCTAACAGGTTCATTTTTGAAAAAGCCAGGTTACTGTTTTAATCGCATAATAAGAGTTGAAATTTAACTGTTAGATGATTGACTTTTGTCATTGAAATGAGTTTTTCAAACGATCTTTCTGTTACAGTAACCTACAGTAGACCATTTCTAAGTATTAAAATCCTTACAGATTCGTTTTGAAAAAGGCAAGTTGCTGTTTCAAGCGAATCATAAGAACTAACATCCAACTTTTAAATTATCAGTATTTCAATCAAGAACGAGGTTTTAAACGAATTTCTGTAACAGTAACCTACCGTAATCGATTTTTCCCGGTGTTGACGTCATAAAGGGTCAAAGCAAAAAGAAGAGCATCGCGAAATTTCGTACCTCTCGAGAGGTCCGAGTCGAAAATGTGGCTGGTTGAAGATCTGGAAAAATAATTTTTTGAAAAAATCCAGTCTGGGTCGCATTTGGAATGGCTCAAAGCGAAGCGACTATAAAAAAAAATAAATTTGTGGACCTCCATCAAGTAAAAAGTCAAAATGAATAAATCAATATTAGCCGCGTAAGCCGTTTCAAGTCGGTTGCAAGTTGAGCCATTCCAAATGCGACCGAAAAACGGTTTACCTCCAAAACTGCACGGTGTTGTATCCCAAGGCGGCGACGAAAAGTTCAAAAGCTTGGTTTCCCTCGAAGGTGTGACTTAAGCAGTATTCCAGGATCAGAAGTAGGCCCTGAAGGGATTTTTTTAACTTCTCTGACTTCTCTGCGCTCTCTCCTTTTTACACGTTAATTTTACGTTTCTCTGACCTCTACTACGAGAGAAAAGAGAGCGCAGGCTAGTCAGAATTTTCCAAAAAAAGGGATTTTTATGGCTTTCAATGGAGATTATTGGCTAAAAATCAAAACATTCTGATTTCTCTGCGCTCTCTTCTGGTTACACACTATTTCCGAATCTCTCTGACCTACACTTTGAGAGAAAAGAGGGCCCAGACAGGTCAGAAAGCTCCAAAAAGAGGATTTTGATGGCCTTCAATGGAGATTATTGGCCAAAGATCGAAATATTATTATTTCTCTGCACTCTCTTCTGTTTCCGTACTCTTTTCATTTTTCTCTGACCGCTTCAATGAGAGAAAAGAGAGCGCAGACAGGTCAGAAAACTTCCAAAATAGAATTTTTATGACATTCAATGGAGCTTTTTCGTCATAAAATCGAAATATTTTGATTTATCTGTACTCTCTCCTGGTTATATGCTATTTCCAAGTCTCTCTGACTTCTAATACGAGAGAAAAGAGAGCGCAGACAGGTCAGAAAACTCAAAAATTAGCATTTTTATGACCTCAATGGAGATTATTGGCCATAACTTGATCTATTTCTATTTCTCTGCACTCTCTCATTTTACGTGATATTTTCAAATCCTTCAGTGAGGGAAAAGAGAGCGCAGACAGGTCAGAACATTCAAAAATGCTCACCTTCAGGGCGATTTCCGAACTCGAATCCCTTTTCCTCCAAGCTGCGGTCAAAGAATCCAGAGATTGAGAAATTAAAGTCGTCAGGTCCACATTCTGATCCTTGACGGGAATGGCTAAGGACTGAAAGATGTGCAGGAGGTCCTGAAACCCAAAATAATGAAACAATTGGTAGAATACGAACAGTTCGGACGGCTTCGCTGCTGACGGGCCCATCCTTCGGGTTCCGGTGAAACGGATCTGCGATCAGATTCATCTGATCTTCTGCCATCTAAATCGATTATATTAGTGTTTCAAAACTTTCATAAAGTTTTTAAAATCAGAATAGAGCGCTGAATGATTTAAAATAAAGCGGTAAACTGAGGTTGGGAAAAATTCAAATTTTGAACTTCTTCATCAAAAATGGAAAAAATCATGATAGAAAATTAGTTTCAAAGGGAATAGGAGTGTTTCATGAAGCGGGAGAAGTAAGGATTTTAATCAAAATTATTGAAAAAGTTAAAAGTTTTGGAAATGTGCCATTTGAAATTTCAAGAATGTGTACTAAGAATGAAAACAATGAAAAAGGGTTCAAAAACTTTCAAAAGGTTTTTTACAGTTTCACAAAGTTCTGAACCAAGTCCAATGAAATTACTTAAGCATGCCAGAGGGGTCCCTAGAGGGATTAAAGACTAACCGCCCATATAAGGGAGTGCTATCTAGAGGTAAACTTCAGATGTTCCATATTGGGGCTTAGGGTTCAACCTCGAAATCTCTAAAACTTAAGGAGTCCCTATAAACTCTAAAAAACGCTAATTTATATAGTTTTTCTCATGGAAATGCTTGAGAGTTCGTAACCGACTAGCATGCTCGTTTTTGAAGCCACTAACTAAGATCCCTAGAGTGACCACTTTTGCAAGATTTAGTGGCCGCTATAGAGAAAGGAGAACCTACAAGGGCCTTCAGGCTTCCCTCTAGTGGTCACTCTAGGGTTCCTCAGTGAGAAGTGAGATTTACGGGTGAAGTTAGAGCGGGACATTAAACGGCACGAATTTGAACTAAGAAAAAAATACTGAAAAATAAAAATGAAGAAAAATGGAGAAAAAAAAAGCATTTATTGGAAGCATGTCCACAAAAACCGAGTGTTTTTTTTCACAGGTGGAAACAGAACTTGCTCATGTTATCTCATGGAAAAACTGCTCATTCTAGCCCTTTCTTCCTGTTTCTTTGAACTCTAAAAGAATAATTTAAAATTTCGTTTTCAAAGTTAAAAAATTGAAATAATCAAGCATATTTTTCTAAAGTTTTTTTTTTCTCGTAGAACTGCAACCCAAAAAAACTCATGCTGATTTCTCAAAACTAGAAGAAAAAATGCGGAAAAAGTGCAGAAGACTCTAAATTCACAATAACTTCAAAGCTTTTTTTGTTAGATTTCCATTCAAAAAAATCTGTACAAAAAAACGATTTTTGAATAACTGAAAATTTATAAAAAAAATTTTAAATTGAGGGTCAGAAAATCTAACAAACGCTTTTGAGAAAAAAACTTTCAAAAAGGGATTTCTTCGAAAATTGAAAGATCTGTTAAAAAATTGATTTTGAGGAGCTTGAAATTAAGAGAAAATCAGAAATTAAAAACCAGAATTTCTCAGAAAAATCTTCCAAAAAAGACCTGAAAAGCCTTTTTTTCAGTTTTCAATGGTCTGAACTCTGAGAAAACAGGAGTATCTACTGGGAAAATTTTTAGTGGCCCCTATAGGGTTTTGACATTGTAGTGGCCACTGTAGTAGTCAATTTAGTTGCCACTTAAGGAGTTAAAAATTAGGGGTCACTATAGAGGTCTGAGTGCTACTGCTGGACCACTAAAAATTTCAGTGGCCACTTTAGGGATCAATGGATCGGTGCTACGACAAGAGCGAGTTTTCCATTTGCGAGCAGTACTGTATGCGGCAAAGCGCATTGCGTGCATGCACTCTGCGTGTTTACACTTTTTGTGGCGTGACGTCATCGCGCCGTACATCTGCGGGTTTTTTTGCTTGCGGGTTTTTCGGATTTTTTGAATTTTTTTCCGGCTTATTTGTTTTTTTCGAAACAAAAAGAAAAACTTTTTTTATTGATGAAAACTCTGTTTGTCAAGGGGGCAGCTTAGGAAAATGTTTCTTTATAGATAGCTATTAGGTCAACTCCACAAATATAGAAAAAAAAAGAAGTAAGCTAATATTGATATTTCAAAGAGGAAAATATCAAACAATTGCATCATAACAAATACCAGTAATTGAAATAAGTTATATCAAAAAATAAGAAAATAAGAAAATAACAATTTTTACAGAAAAATCATATCAAACAAAAGTCATTTTCCCAGAAAATCTTCAAGATATTTTAAATTACATTGAAAGATTTGAAGGGAGTTGTCAGAAATTTTACGAAAATTGGATTTTAGTACAACACCGGTGTTGAGGGTGGAGGAGCAGGGACATCTTTTTTCGCCAAAACTTCCTTTGCGATTTCTTGTTGCTTTAAAATTGAGTCGAAAACAATGTCGTTAACATAATCGAGCCTTCTTATGAGGTAAATCGAGCCTTCTTATGAGGTAAATCGAGCCTTCTTATGAGGTTTCTTATGAGGTAAAAAAAGTTTTTCTTTTTGTTTCGAAAAATATTCGCACAATCAAAACCAAACCGGAAAAAAATCCAAAAATTCCGAAAAACATTGAAAAAAATACCCGCAAGCAAAAAAACCCGCAGATGTACGGCGCGATGACGTCACGCCACAAAAGTGTAAACACGCAGAGTGCATGCACGCAATGCGCTTTACCGCATACAGTACTGCTCGCAAATGGAAAACTCGCTCTTGTCGTAGCACCAATGGATCAACATAACTGATCCAATCTGTTTGTTTTAAAATTATCAGAGTTACTGGAAGGAATACTGGATTAAAAACTACTGAAGTGGCCACTAAAACGAAAAAAAGTTACCACTATGGAGGTGGGTTTAGTGGCCACTTTAGTGTCCTCTCCAAGTAGTCCTTGGCTAGCCTCTATAGTGGCCACTAAAAAAATTTCCTCAGTATATATAAAAAAATATATAAAAGACACAAAAAGCCAAGATTGCTCGGAAATCCGGTGAGCAAGGTGACCCAGCGAGTCCGTTATCCGCAGCGATCAGGTCAGGCTCCCATTTCTGGCTCGAGATAAAGATCCGATTCGGCTCCCATGGGTCAGTGATCAGCTCAACTAGCGATCAGCTCAACCAGCGATCAGCTAATGAGAAAAAAAATCTGGCCGATTATTTTCCGAACCATGATTTTCCGAACCAAAATCCGAACCAATGCTTAGGCGAACCAATGATTAGACGAACCACCTCATGCTTACCAGAACCAAAAGTTTTTATGATTCGCCGAACCAAATGTCTGTATTTTATGTAGATGTTCATGGTAATCGGTTTTCGTTTCTCGCATCCTAAGAGACCGAGAATATGAAGTCTAGCGCTCCATCCTTTTCCGAATCGTTATATAACTTTCCGACCTAACCTTTTTTTATGCTTTTTCGAGCCGTACTTCGATTCATTTTTCAGAAAGCACCTTTCTTTAGATCTGCTCATTTTTGATCGGTTCTATGTAATTTTTTTCGCCCATAACCGGCTTTCAGCTTTACCCTTGACTATTTAGATACCTCTGTTCAGATCAGATTCTTTCAAAAATTTGTTTGATTCCAACCCAAGTTTGAAATTGGAAGTATCTGGTCTATGACTTCTTTTAGGGTCGTCTGAGAGTAGAAATGAAGTCGCCACAGATACTGCCAAGTGTCCTAATCTTGGCATTAATTTTCAGATTTTCTAAATTTTTTTGATTATTTTTTCTCAGTCAGTCAATCATTTTATAGTTTTAGTCACAGATATTATCGACTGAGCTGTGTGCAAGAGCTTTTGAAGCCCCATTCAAAATCGTCTCAGGCGAATTTGATGTCCAAATTTGTAGTCCAAAGAGTTGAAAGCATTGTCTGACGGTCCTCCTTCTGATCATAGTTCATCCTGTTGCGCTATGACGAGCTCACTTTTTAAAAAGCATGGAGATCGTGTTCTAGGTCAAATCCCAAACTTATAGTTTGTAGATTAATCTCAGGTTTTTTCCTGGCTGGAAATTTATGAAATAATTGCTAAGTTTTTTTTCTGTATATTGTCAGATATTTTTCTACTGTCAATTTCTGAACAGGTTTCGCATTAGCGCGGGCGATAGTCATTTAAAAATAGCTCCGCGAGATTTATGCCGTGTTCAAAGTAATTTCCGCGAAATGCGAAATTGTCTCTGACCCTCCAAAATTTAGTTATCTTTCTCTTTCTCTGACGGCTATTTTGAATTTCGCGGAATCACTTTGAACACGGCATTACCTAATAAATGAGCTTGACTAAAACTAGTTCTCAGTCGTTGCATACATAGAACTATTCAGAAAATCAGCTAACGGCTTATTAGTAGGAAATTCATTTATTTTTTAATTTTTAAATTTTCCAATAATTCAAAACGCGTCTCCAGAAGAAATCTTATCTTTTTCAGATGGTTACACAGTCTAAGAACCACTTCGAAATACATTCAGAGTTCAGAGTGTGTTGCGAAACAGTATTTGCAAACGGTCACGCGAAAGAGGACACTCAAGCAGAATTCACCCATCCGAGAACCCATCAAGCTGTTTTCTTTCGAACTTCAGTAGTTTCATCCGAAACATGCGAAACGAAAAAAAAAAATCAAAGCCCAAGCTCATTGACTTTATCAATTGAGAACTTCCGATTAACATTGAAAAACTGGAGCACTAAGAGATCGAAGTTTTTTTAAAAAAACGAAAAAAAGGAAAAAAAAGACTGTATTAAAGGGTCTGAGGAGGTCCCAAAGACTCTGAAAGCTTTCTCGAAAACCATTGATATAATTTTCTTCAGTCTTGAGAACGAGTGACAAGAAGTGCGATAAAAAATCCTCCGAATAAAAAAACATTTCAAAAAGATCTCTGGCTCTCCAAAACCTTCGTTTTTTTTTTCTTTTTGACGGTCTTTTCGCTGGAATCACTTCGAAAGCGGTATAAAGACACGACACTCCTTTTTCCCGATATGATTATTCAAACTTTGAAAAAGCTTGATTGACATGAAAAAAATTGATGCGAAAAAAATTTAACTTTTTGAGCCTAAAATATTTTTTTGGGAACAAGTGAAAAACTTTGATAAAAAAATTTTTAAAACATCAATTTTTTTCTCATTGTAGAACATCAGTGGTTAGAATATCTGAATAAAAAAATATATAAAATACAAAAGC